TTATATAAAAAACTAAATAAATAATTATAATTATTATATAAATAATAACTACTTATAAGAATAAGAAACTAGTAATAATATTTTAAGATAATATAATACTATCTTTAACTCTTATAAGAGATATTTATTTATTATATTATTTATCCCTTAGCCCTTATAAATTATTTATATAAAAATATATATATTTATTTCTATAGTTAAGAATATCAAGATTAAATTAATATAATAATATATTAATTGATTTCTTATTATTAAAATAATTAAATATTATAATATATTATTTAAATTCCTTAAAGTTATAAATTATTTATTTTATTATTTTCTTATCAAACTTGAATTTATTTTTATAGAAGTAGATTTTTGAAGTTATATATTATTAAAAATTTTTTATATTATTAATAAAAAACTTCCTGATAAAAATATTAGAAATTTTTTATTTTAAAAAAATATATTATTCTATATAATTATATTAAAAGATTGATTACTAAATCTTTGATTTATTAATTTAAGTATAATTCTACTAATAATATATATAATTATAATAGAATACTATAGTAGATAATTTAATCTATAAATTGAAAAATATTAATTATTTTAATTATAATATATTACTTATATTTATTTATTTACTTTTTATTTTATAAGTATAAATTACTCTTTCTTATTAATATTTTTATTATATTATTATTTATATATATAATATCACTTTATAAGAATATCAAGTTTACTAGACTAGTATATATAATAAATCTTAATTTAATTAAGAATTTTATTTTTTTATTTTTTTATTATCTTCTATACTATCTTAATAGAAGATTTCTTGAATCTCTAAGTTTTAACTATTCCTAAGATTTCTTCTAATTTAATCTTTTTACTTGTTTATTTCTTAGTCTTTATCATCAACTACTATAATAATATTATCATTATTTATAAAAGATTCTAGTAAAGTTTACTTTTTTTTCTCAATATCTAGATATTATATAATTATTAAAAAACTTTAAATTAATTAATTAAATTTTATTAATAAGATTATTAGAAGATTTTATTTATAATAAAAAAAATCTATTCTAGTTCTTTATATTTATTTCTTATATTCGAAAAATCTACTTTTCTAATTCTTAGTTAATTATATTAATAAATATTAATAGAAATAAATACAGTATTATATTTAGTAATTTAAATTAAATTTAATATAATTAAAATCTACTAGACTTTTTTAGAATATTTAACTAATTCTAATTCTAAATATTTTAAAGTAGTAACTTACTTAATTACTTCTTTTAAAAAATAAAACAACTTTTTATTAAATATTTAAATATTTTTTATAACTGGTTTATATTCTATATAATTAATAATATAAGTTTTGATAATTATTCTAATAAGATTAATCTAATAAATTATCTTATTTTATTATTCAGTAAACTTTTTAATTAGTTTATTTAAGTATAATATTATATTATTATTTTTATCAATAAAATAAAACTTTTAGTTTTTATTATCTTAATTAAATATCTTTTTCTAATAAGAATAATTCTTTAATTTAATTAATCTTATTCTCTTTTACTTTTTCTTGATATTATATTATAATCATTAAATAATAAATAACCTGATTAATTAGAATCTTTATTTAGATCTTATTTATAATATATAGATATAATTAATTACTAGTTTTATTTAAAATTTTTACAAGATTTCACTAATATTTAATAATAATTAACTCATAAGATAGTAGCTGATAAATTAATTAAATTATTTTTAATTTAGAAATATATATAATTTATCTTTTTATTTATAATAATTAAGTATTATCTTCATTTCTCTCTTTCTTATTTTAATTATTTAATTATTCTTTTTAGAATTAAAATATTTCATATTCCTGAATCAATTATCTATTCTAGTTTAATAAAAGTTATTTAATTTTATTGAAATTATAGAAGTATATTAGATATCTAATTTTGTTTAATCTAATTTAATTTAATAACTTAACTTAATCTTCTTTAATAAGCAGAAAGTATTATATTATCTAAATAATGTAATCTATTTTTAACTATTTATATCTGAATTAATCTACTTCTTCAAGAAATAATTAATAATCCAAATTAAATATACAAAATACTCATTTTCTTATTATTTTATTAATTATTTTAATTAATTAGATTATTATATATTAAATTTATTATCCTATTTATTTTCTTAATTTATTTATTTTTTTATTAGATTTATTTTTTTAGATATCTTTTCTGTCTTATTTTTACCCTCCTTTCTTACTATATTTCTATATAAAAGTAAAAGACAAGTAAAGTTAATCAAAATTACATATCAGAACTTCTCCATATCAGACAAAATATTATATATAAAATATTTATAATAAAATAATTCTTAACATAAGTATAATTAAGAAAATATATTATAAATAATGATTATCTGAAATTTATAGAAAATATACTAAAAGTTGAAAATGTCTTAAATAAAATATTAGTTAAAAATATACTTTTTAATTTTTTGTTATTATTGTTTTTAAATATTAGAAATAAAATATCTTGATATATAGGAGCTTTTTATGTAAAATATTCAAATTTAATAAAAAATATAATAAAACATGATATTCTTATTTTTAATGATATAAATATAATCTAGATCTTTTAACAATTATCTAAATAAAAGAATATTTATAAAATTATTTAAAGTATATCTTCTTTTTTTATATAAGATTAGATTTAGATATAAAAGATTTTATTATAATAAAATACTTTAATTTTTGGAGATTTATAATAATTTATTAATTAATATTGATATATTCTTCAAAATTTAACAAATAAATCAGTAGGGATTAGAATAAATATCTCCAATTTAATCAAAATTAAATACATATTTAAAGAAAAAATATAAATATAAATTCTCAAATTAATTGATACAATTATTTATATTAAAATATTCATAGTATTCTTAGTAATTTAAACAAATTTTATAATATATATTAAAATATATATTATAAAGATAACCACCTACATAACTCTAATATTTTTATCTATAAATTCATTCTTTGGAAAAAAATCTCTTAAATAGTAATAATTCTAATAAAACTTTGTTTTTTTATGTTTTTACTATACTTAATTAATTTAAAAAATGAAAAAAATTTTATATCTACTTAAATCTAGATTCTTATAATATATATATATATATAAATATAGTTATAATAATTAAAACAGGTTAAAAACTGAACATTGAAAAATGTATTTAGACTAATTAAAATCTATATATCCTTGTTTCTAATCTAAAATCCAATAAATAAAATATATATATATATATATATATATATTATATGTATATTATATCCCAGTACAGCTAAGCTGTATTTAATATATAACTAATTAGTTTCAAGTCTTTTTCTATAGTAATTTTTAACTGTCTGGTATTTTACTGTATTGGATATATAATATACTAAAAATACATTTAGTTTATAATATATATATATAGCTTACAATAAATGTATTTATAAGGTATTTTTATAATTATTGATTCTTATAAAATACTTTAACTGTCAGCTGTATTTTTAACTGTTACCATTAACCTGACCTGGCCATTAGCCACTCTATTTTGAGTTATTTATTAATATATTAGAAAACTCTTTTTAATATATTTAATAATAGAAAGAATTATAAAATTATTAATATTTTATTAAATTATTATCTTTATAAGTAGAAGTTATATAATATTAGAATATAAATTAATAAAGATAATAAATATATTATATAATAAATTAGATCAATTAATCTTAATAATATATTATTTTATTCTTAATTAATTTTTTAAATTAGGTTATTTTTAAATTTATAAATAAAATATAGCTTAAAGACTACAATAAGATTAAAAATAAATTAGAAATTTGAATAAATTATTTATTATATATAGAGTAATTAAGATTAGTAGTATATTTAAATAAATAGAATAAATAAAGTAGATTAGATATTTTAAATCTGTATTATAAGACTTAAGACTTATATATATATATATATATTATAATATAGACTTAGAATACTCTATTTACTTATATATTCTATTTATTCTATTTATCTAATAATACTACTACTTCTAATTATCTTTTATATAATGTATAATTTATTTAAATTTCTAATTTATTTTTTAATTTATTATATTTTTTAAGCTATATTTTATTTATAAATCTAGAAATAATATAACCTAAGTAGCTAGTTAAAAATTAAGAGAACTATTATTAATACCTGCCAGCCTGAACTGCTATATCTACTACCCCTACCAGCCTGCACCTTGACATATCTACACCTAGTATTACTTTAATCAGATATAAATTTTAGTAAATCAATATATGTAATAATTCTTTAATTTAACTAAAAATTCTACTACTATATTTTTCCATTATTTTTCCATTATTTTCCATATTATTTTAATAGAAGACTTGTCAGATCTCCAAATTTTAGTTATCCCGAGATTTCTCTTAATCAATCTTCTTGCTTCTCAGCCTTAGCCATCAAGCCTCCATCACACTATCTTAAGATTATCTTACAACTGTTCTGCTAACACAACATCGGCCGACAAGGAAAGAAAACCACACCTTATCCCGGTCAATACCCATCACCCCGGTCCTAAGGCTTTTCCAAAGCCTCGCTTAGAAATACAACCCTATTTCAACTATTACATTACCTTTATATTTTATTTAGTTCAGAAAATAAACCCCACAGCACATTCTCACCAAGACACACAACCTCTTACAATCGCTGCACATAGACTACAAAAATGCCGTTACATGAAGATCGGAAATATAATCAAGATCTTGCACTGGTAAGTTGGATGCTTCTTTAAGTTTTCTGCTATAGTAGCAACACGAAAGCAATGAACACATGACTGACCTGCCTTATACTAATCATATTGAATAGGCCTTCAAAGACATCGCCAAGTATGTTTACTGTATCTGATAAGCGACTTTCCAGACATGCGTCACTGACGAATTGCCCAGAGGCGAGGAGGCGGCACTAGCCATGGAGAAGCATCTTAGCGAACTCGAGTCTAGAATTGATGAACTGCTCAACAAACGCGATAGTGACAATGACAGGTCTTCCAGCGACATCGACCATAGTCAAACGGAGATGCAGCCGCAGCCGCAGAATGGCAATTATCCCTCAAATAGGCCTGCCAAATGAAATTGACCGTCCGCTGCCTTTTCCATGACTCCCTTCTCTGTTACAATCCCGTCGATGAGTGTAGCTGGTGTGATATCAAATGCTGGGTTCCAGACATTAATCCCTTCTGCAGCTATGCGCACAGTCTCCAATTCTCCGACTTTTGAGATATTGCCTTCACAAGGCCCTTTCACTCTTGTAACCTCCACAGCGGGCCGTTCTTCAATAACTATTTCATCACCGGATTTGGTTGACAAGTCGATGGTTGTGAGTGGTGCGGCAACAAGGAATCTAACGCCGTGGTATTTTGCAAGAACTGCCAGCCCATATGTCCCTATTTTATTGGCAGTATCGCCATTGGCTGCGACCCTATCTGCACCCACGACGATCGCACTGACGCTGGCTTTGGAACTGGCAAGAAGTGCGGCAGCCATAGAATCTGTTATCAAGGTAGAGGGAAGACCATCGTGCACCAATTCGAAAGCAGTCAACCGGGAACCTTGATTGTAAGGTCTTGTTTCAGTGCAGTATGCATGACGCAGACTATTCATCGAAGACAGGCTGCGAATCACACCCAGCGCTGTTCCATATCCTGATGTCGCTAGAGAACTGGCAAGATATTAGAATTAGACTTCCCCCTTATAGGATGGCATACTTACCCTGTATTGCAATGAGTCAGGACGGTGGCCTTTCCCTCTCCAGCAGTCACAGCGTTTGCCATGATCCACTTAGCGCCATGCTCCCCTATCTGCTTATTATCTTGAACGTCCTTCAATAACATCGCCTCCGCGGCCTTTATGAAGGCGACAGCGACCCCATGACCTGTCGACCCATCATGGGTAGCACTCTGAGAGACCACGAGCTCAAGCTTTCGCGCGGCATCGCCTAGATTGACGGCGGTGGGCCTACTGCTCACCAGGTACTCTAGCTTCTCGACAATGAAAACACGAACTTCATCCGCAACTGAAGACAAGCCTCCATCTGCAATAAGTTGGTGAAGCTCAGAGGCAAGGGCAAGGGCTGCTACTATAGCAATGGCAGGCGCTCCCCGGACTTGCATAGCCTTGATAGCATGCCAGGCTTGTTCACTCGTCTTGATTTCGATGAATTGCTCCACATAGGGAAGTTGCAATTGGTCGATGATAGTGAGAACACCCTCATTATATTTGATTGCCTGCAGTGTCATGCTTGCCCCACTTAAAGAAGAACGAGCGTCACAGTCTTCTAAGCAACAGAAGTGCAAGTAAATACTAGAGGAAGGATGTATTGTTGGCCGAACTGGATTGCCCTGAAATTTGACTGTCGCTAGAAAACCTCTTCTTGGTGTTGAGGCGTTCGGTCCAGGGCGGTTCCAGAAGTAGTGGGGCAGATGTGGCAAGCGCTGGACCTGGCCGGAGCAGGTTGTACCATGCATATATTACTATTTCTTTGCCGAACTATCACATGTAGAAGATCTATCATCCCTCTCTATCTATCGGATCTCCTATGCAATGAATAGGTACAATAAAGCCATGGCTCACTCTGCAAAACTCGCTATCACACCCAATCGCTCTCAAGCCTAAAACCGGGGGCTTTGCTATTCTTCAAATGGCACACTGTACCTCAGGTTGAAGCACAATACTGCCCAGGTATATTCAAGACGTACTGCTTCCTGGTTTGACCTTCACTCGCTGCTTCCGTCCACCAGAGACAACATCCTTTTTGAAGTGCTCTTTCCACCCTCGCAGGGGCTCGGACAACGCGCTCCTCACCTGTAGGCTTGGCGAGGAACTGCACATCCTTGTGATGACCGTGGTGCCTTCAATGGTGAAATTTATCAATGAGCGGATATGTAAAGCACTACTCCGTATGTATCAGGATAAGCATGCGAGACATGATTCGTGCATGAGATATGATCAAACAAACCATTATTGCCCCGGATAAAAGCATCGCCATAGCTTCGTGTCAACCGTCCGTTCACAAACTCCTCAGATTTCTCCAAGGCTATGTTCATGTAGCCATCTACTGACTGGAGTTCGCCTAGGACATCAAGTATTAGCTTCCAGAAGCTCGGTGTTCTTTCATTTCAGACAGTTCTTCCAATCATCATTCTCTTCCTCAAAGACTGGGATGCAGCTGTCACGAAGGAGAGAGCCAAGTCCTTGTGTACCTTTATAGACAACACCAGAGTTTAATTTGATGGTCACCGGAGCACCGATTATCTCGCCAAGGAAAGTCGATGGATCTTTCCCTTCAGTGGATGTACCATTTTCCATCTTGACTAAGGTATTCTCAAGGACAGGAATCGATGCTTTCGGGTCAAGCAATATCCAGAAGTCTGTCTGTCAGCCCACTCTAGGTGGAAGTTGTTTTCGTTTGCGATTTGTCAAGGACCACGTTAGCCGGACAGCTAGTAATCAAGGTTAAGTAAGGCACGTGCTTCCCCCATAAAAAGCGGATGATACCATCTGACAGGACAATGATGGAAAATCGCTTTTTAGCAAACCACCAGTTCCCAGGCCTTCCATAAAGACTCGTGCCCGTGCTCAATATAGATCCTTTTTCATTAGCTGGGGGTTCTGCACTTATATGAATCCTCGAATTCACAGTCATCCGTCAAGGTCGATCCGATGCGTTCATTCTTCAATAAACCTTCTTGGGCAAGCAGGGGAGATGAAACCCAGGATGTCAAATTTTATCGACATGCTAGTCAGGTATACAATGACATAGTTTCCGCAAATCGAGATGCACTACGTGCCAATCATACCCAAGCAACACGACTTAAACGGCGACGTACTTCGAATGAGAACCATGGGGATGACACATTATCTGTGCGGACCTGCAAGGGCTATGAGGCAGCTGGTGATTGTCAAATATCGTCCTACAACTCAGTTGACCAGTGCAAGTCTGCGCAGGAAAGCGAAGATGATCTTGACTATCATGTCCCAGATGCACCACAGCACGAACCAAGATTCGACGATGAATATGGTTTTAACCACACAAAACTAAGAATTGCGGTAAAGCCTCGCGATGAAGTTGTTGCTACTGGTACAACAGCCGCAAATGATATGGGCGGAAGCAGAAGCGCGCACATGGACACCTCCCAATCCTCGAATATGCCGAGTCCTACTGAACCAACCATGACTATCAGCACGCATATCCCATCATCTGATGACGCAACAGTCCAGATTCTCATCACGTCGAGCATTAATCACACTAAACCGCTCATAGTCCGCCGGAAAATGCATCAACCGTTGAAAGATGTCCGTCTGGCGTGGTTTAATCGTCAAGCTCTGCCGAAAGAATTACAGTCTTCTATATTCTTGACCTGGAAAGGAAAAAGGCTTTTTGATGTTACTACATGTCGCAGTCTGGGAATTGGAGCCAAGGGCGGCCATGCATATGGAACCGATGTATACGGGTTCCCGCGAAATGACTGCCCGGATTTACAAGTTCACATGGAAGCTACCACTGAAAATTGTCTCGACCTTAATGTCGACAACACACTACCTTTTGCTAACTTGGAGCAAAATCTCGGATCCGCCGCTGGAGAGCCATCGCTTAACAGTCTTGTTTTCAAGTCCCCCGGGATTGATGATCTTAGATTGAAAGTTAGCCCCCAGTTGCAGGTCTCACAGCTGATCTGTTTGTACCGCGAAGCTAGACAAATCCCCCAAGAACACGATGTTTACCTAATATTTGACGGTGAGCGCTTGGAGTCTGATCATGTCCTAGCCGAATATGATCTTGAAAATGATGATCTTCTGGATGTAATAGTCAAGTGACAATTTTCGTGGATCTACTACTCAGTTCTAAGAGCTGCTTGTTCAATTTGGTCGTCCTGGTTACCCAAATATGACATAGCACGTGATGCACACGCCTTAGGCCTAGGCAAAGGAAAGCCAAGAAACATCAAATGATGAGGAATTTTGTCACACTGTAGTTGTAGTCAGTAAGCTGGGTATTCTGAGTCGAAGTCCCGCCAGAGAACTCAGCTAACCACGTCTTCTCACTACAGTCTTTAGAGAAACCAGCTTGAAGTGTTACAAGTGGCAAACCCAAATCACCATAGTATCTTTCATTACACGGGAAGTATGATAACGTAACCTGAAAAGAGCCTGGCTCAAATTTTCACTCACTCGATATGTAAGCCGCCGCAAGTCTAGTTTACTCTACATTCAATTAGCGGAGTCGTCCGACCAACCTCAAACGTCAATGAAGCTGCTTACAGCCAATTTTTTGGCTTGTGCCGTTAAGGGCTGCAAAGCGGCCGCGTCGTCCTACCCCCTGCATTTCAAGGATGCTGAACTCGAGATGCAGGAGGTCGACTTTCAGCCGGAATTTATACATAATATCATCCCACGAGTTGACTGGGAAGGTCTGCGTGTAATGGCCAATGAGGTGAATGAGAAATTCTTTTGCAAGAGAACGTATACACTTCGGGCGGCTTACTCAACCTACTTAGCTCGGCTTCCCCAATATCCCAGGTTCGAAGCCCGAAGGTGATATGCTCAATGACGAGCAGACACTGAGGGACCTTCATAAGTTACTCCTAGAGACTCATGTTGTTGACGGGAAACTATGCTGTGGTCACTGCGGGCATGAGTACGTGATTAAGGAAGGGATCGCTAATTTTCTCCTTCCCAGCCATCTGGGTAAGACCAACAATTCTACTCAAACTTCAGATTTATGCTGATAGTAATAAAATCAGTCTGAGCTTGATTCTCGATGATTCATGCACCGGTGCAATGGCCAGAAAGTTGTTAAATACCCTGTCCATACTGGGCACCTTTGCCTAGTACAGGGCTGGTGGGAAAGATTGCTCCAGTCTACGCTCCCAAAATCATGCAAAAATCCTTGTCGCATGCTATCAGGAATGGCATTTGTCATGGACGTGATAAGATGGATAAAGGTGTTGGCGAGAAGTCGACTATAAATAATCTTACAGCGAACACCGCACTACAACCTCGATAACAGTTCTTGACCTCCATTAGACACGCAATTTGTTCGACGCCATCAGATTAATACTACTTGCTCAATGTCTATGTGGTAGATTTGCATGCCGCAATGCGGCAGGGAGCTCATGACAGTTCTCATGACGAGACTTATCCCGAATTCAGGCCGTGTAGCTTCAATTTGAATCCGTTCCTAGTTGAGAAAGCCCTTACAGCCAGTAGAACCACATAGACAGGGGATCCTGTCATCGCTGTCCCATTCCCTTTCGAACTTGTAATCATACGTAAGCTCTTCGTCTGTAGATAGAATGCATGTCAGTATGTCCAATCGCTGAAAATTATTTCTGGGTAAACTTTACCTCTTTCGATGTCCCTCAAGGCATATATGACGATCCTTTTACTACCGTCCACTTTGATGATCTTGGCAGTGCAATTAGGTGTACAACTGTGGTTAATAAACCTTGCAATGCCTCCTCGCTTTGTGGCATCAATGACCGTGTTCTCGTCGATACGAAATAGGTAACTGCTGCCGATTCCACTTTTCAAATACCGTCGTTCTCTCATATCTGCAACCTGCTGCCGGACTTTCTCACCCACGTATTCGATGATCATATCATTGGCCGAGATATTTTCCTCCGCATACAAGCCCCAATTATGAATCGCAGACCGAGCGAAGCGAACTGGTTTCTTTCGCTTTTTCAGCTGATTGAAACGAAGAACATCGCCGTCGCCGCTCTGAGTTGGGAGAGCCTGCTTTTGCGCGTTGATATCGGCGATAAGTCGGCGATTATTGACTCTTGTGGATCTGGAAGTGGATTTTGATATCGTCTTGGCTGCAGCAATCCTTGCGGCTTCGACAGCAACAGTATGAGGGTCATTCTTTGCCTTCGCTTCTCGCTCTTCACGAGCCCTTTGAACTTTGATACGGTGTGGCAAATATTTCGACTTCTCCGATTCCAGAATCTTCTTTCTCCCCTCCGTCCTTGCTGCTCCTGTGATATTCGAGACATAATAGCCAAGGATACTGGTCTCTTCGCGCACGGGCCCTACTTCTCCTGGGCGGTTGAGGGCTTTGATTTCCTTTTGTCTCCAAGCCCAAGCAGAAAGACTTCCAACGTTGGATATTGGCAAGCCTTCCAGTACGTCACGAAGGAAACCCAGGTCCTCGCCGTCTTTTATGAGATTCTGCCATCCATCAAGATCAAGCACGATAGCTTCGTCGTCCTCGACCGTCGGTCTAGGCTCGTCATTGGAAACCTTCCATTCGATCTCAGTCCTTGACACTTCCCTCTGGGCTTCAAGGTCACTTTGGCTGACGGGAACGAAGACGCAGCTGTGATCTTCGTCAAGGGGTTCGGCCTCAACAGCCGCCTGGGAACACACAAGTCTTGCAGTGTCGTCTGTCCGCGTTGAATGTCCGGTATCATGACCACCAATCGGATCTTTGCTGCTGGCGATATAAAAATTTCCATTGGCAACGTCCCTTTCAACAATCTCCATGTCGATAGATGATTCCATTTCCATTCTACTCTCTGAAACTCTACCAAGATCGACTCCAAAGAGGTCGTTGTCATCTTTATGCCTCTTTCGCGAGTTGGCTGTGTCACCTTCTCGTTTTCTCTTGCGCGATGCAGGGGAGAGTTCGTGCAGCTCACGAGATGAAGCATCATACGGAACATCATTAACCGGTTCGGCCAAGGAATCAATGTTGTTTTTCGGAAGTGCACTGTACAAAATCTCGCCATCAGCCTTTCCTGGAGTAGATAAGTCAAATGTCTCAGGGGCAGATCCATCAATATCCTCCGAGTCCGACGACTCCGAGCTCATCCGACTTGGGGCACGACTGTCTGGATCATCAGTGTCCCTTGTAAACGGCGTCCTCTGCTCGTCATCTGAATCGTCCACGTGGTGTAGTTGTTGTAGTCGGTGATAAAGAGGTCGAACGTCTTTCCTCCGCGATGGCTGTTTACGCCTCTCATCTAAGAAAGCGGTGTCTGTGTGGTTGAGACGGTGAGCCTTCCTAATACGTGGAAGCGCAAGGATGCTCAAGTTTGAGGAACTGAAAGGGTGACGGGCTGTGGATAATTCTGAGCGTGAATCTGGTGTCCCCACTGGACTATTTATGCCAATCTGGAACAAAGGTCGTTTCGCCCCTTCTGGATCACGTATACCGAGCTGTTTCCGTTTTGCGGCATGTCGGTCTGGGTCAAGGTAATCATACAAGGTAGGTGCAGCAATCCGAGATTTGACGTCTTCGAGCAGTTTATCCTTTAAATCCCGAACAATTATTGCTACCACTTCCTTGCAAGGATCCAGGTCATTTGCTCTCTGTCTTTTCTCTTCTTCGAGGTCCAGTTCAGCCTCTCTCTTGATCCTATCCATTTTCGCTCGCTCTCGCTGCTCTGCCTGCAGCCTCTCTGGGCTGGGGCTGCGCTCGTAGCCTGGATTGCCATAGGGTTGGCTTTCCATGTTCATGATGTAGGTAAACAAAGGCTTCATGTGGCACATCTTGTAGCAACGTTCTGTTTCCTCTTCGCCTCGCCTAGAATTTTCGAAAATGATGTAATAACCCGTCTTGTCACATCGAATATCTTTCCAATCGAATACTTTCAACCTTTTTTTCAGGTGAGGAACGGTCGTACTAAGGACTGGAACATAGCAATGCGCAATGAAGATATATGGGTCTCGCTTGATTTGACTCAAAATAGGGATTTCCTCAACCAACGATGGCACAAGTGATTTGAAGAAACTAGCTCTTGGTCCTTCAGGAATCACGGCTGCCGGCCGCATCGAAGGCCTTCCCGATGGACCTTTTGGGGCTGACGGGGGAGGCTCATTGAGATTGGCAGAGAGACTGGCTTTCGCCTCTTCGGTGACTGAGAGATTGTTCTTGTATCCCATTCTCTGGGAGTCGATCGCTCTTGACACTATCTTGTCGGAAACGACGCCATCTCGATCTAATTCAACTCGGATCCTCCGTGTCCCGATGCGCTGCTCTTTCTTGCACTCATAGTAGGCTCGCCTTGCCGCATTCATTGCGAGTACCGGGCCGCCTCCTCGGAACGACACACTATCTTTGTACTTCACGGAACAGATCCCAAGAAATCTGCCGGTTATTGGATCAGTACGATTATTTATCTCGGCAATCTCTCCGAAGCTGGAAAATAATGCACTGATTGGTGCAATCGGGGTCAGAGGATCAAACCCAGTAACCACTATCTGGATCGGAGGCCCAGGCCCAATGGTGGTAGTAGCATCGTACACCCATTGTCGCAACGCATATGGGGCCGGTCGAAACTTTGTTTTCTGCTTGCAGCCGGCACCACGTACATAATTAAGTATGCCCAGTCGAGGGTCTGGTGGCCTATCAACCTGTCCGTTGGAATTGATTTCCGAATAGCGCGCCTTTCTCCGTTTGTCTTTCGATGTTCGTCTTTCCGTTTCAGGGTCGAAGATGATTTTCCATCCTCTGGAATTCCCAACCGAGCGTCCCTGAGATTGTGGTGTTGCTGGGGTTTGAAGCAAGGTGATGGCTGGCTTCGTTTCATCAACTCTAGGATATTTTGATAGAACATCCACTGTAGCCATTGACTTGGATCGACCTGGACTGAGCTTCTGAGTGGGTGGGGAGTCTGCATTCGTAAGCGGCGTCAGCGTATCTAAGCGTCCTTCGCTGCTAGATGTCGCGCCGGGTGGTAATGCAGAAGCGTGAGGCGTGGAAAGACTCTTGTTTGTGGAGCTTGACAATCCATCCGGGCATGTATCGGATAACGTATTCTTCATATCCCGGGGCAATTCGACCGTTGAAGTTGCGCTTGTAGTGCTGACCCCCATAGCAATGACACCCGGAGGCTCTGCGGAATATGCAAGTGTTTCGTGGTCGACATCGTGATTTGTATGGACTTTGGAATGGGGCCTGTCCTGGGTGGCTTTGCGTTTCTGCTGTAGAACCGATGGAGCGGTGGGAAAAAAGTCTGCAAAACCTGCTGAGGCGCGCGACATGATGAGAGATGGCTACCAGCCAAAACCACGAGAATCGTGACTACCAAGCCGCATCCTTGATATATGCCTGTTGATTAATGGGCGATGTATTGCCGGAATATGCTCCTGGAACCAAAGGCGGTAACGTGAAGAGTCAAATTGACGAACCTTGGGAAAACTGGAAGCGGGTAGTGTATGCTGAGACGGGAAGCAAGGCGAGAGGGATGATTGGGCACTGCAGGAAGGAGGTCGTTTGACACAGTAAAAAAGGGAGGAGAAGCGGGTGGGACGTTGGAAGAGTCAAAGAGGGTGAGATTATAAGATTTACCCAGTCATAAAATTAGTATGATGTACTCCGTACCTACCCACAACTACCGACGCGACCTCGACACGCGCTGGGTACGGCTGATGACAAAGTGGCGAGTGTAACTAAGTACTGTCTGTCACTTTTTCTGTATGTACAGTACATAGTTACTGCACTAAACGAAGCAACGGCAAGTTATTGATTACTGCTCTCTCATTCCATTCTTTCTTTTATCATTTTAGGGCTTCTTGCTATTTCATGCTCTATGAATTCGCATTGCGACACTGAACGCGGCATCTTTCACTGATAACTCTACCTGTTTGAACCATTCCCTTGAACAATCGCCGCACACGAAAGCATACACCATTCAAAGTACTATCCGCATGTGCTCTTCTTGGCCAGCAATCATCCAATAGCCTACAGCCCATGCAGTCGCATCGCTTTGCCTCTGATAGGAGTGATTCGTGTCCTGTATATCCGATATTCATCTGCTGTACATGGTCGTTAGGCGGTTACACCCTCAAATCTTGTTTGTGCCTGCCTTGCGGCCTAGTGTCAGCCGCTGAAGCATACTGAATGATGAATGAGCCATGCCTGCACACTTATAGAAAGGGGGGTGGTACACTGATGCAGGCAGGCGTGGGCAACAGCAGTATGAGTTTATGATATGAACAAGTCGAGGCAATCAGCCTGCCCGAGATACATTACCCTGGTTGGCCAATCATCAAGCGTACAGTATAGACCCCTGGGAAGTGATGTTCTATAGGATAGTAGTAGATACTAGTAGAGTACCCTACTACCTCGTGTTAGGTAGTGACCTCCTAAGCACAGAGGTGTGATTTTTAATTTGGTCCCCAAAGAGGTCAAAGTTTTGGCAGTGAGATAATTACTGTATAATCTACACCGTACTGCACATACTATCACGCAAGACTACATACGATGTATGTGACTCAGTGTAAAATTGTCACGCATGGTATATGTATGCAGTATAGTTAAGTACAATGCTCTATATATCATTGCATATGGCAGTTTCGTCGAGATATTCTGCAAGCACTTTAAAGAGTCTTCACGCCAAGAATATGAGTCATGGATACTGTTTATGTGGAACCTTATATACTTTTTACTGTTTATTACTGTATAACCTATAAGAAAACAAAAGATGGCGGATGTGGCTCACCACATTAGATCTCGGAAAATCGCCATATGCAACGACGCGTAAAGTACACGTGACTAGACAGTATCCAGAGTACTCCGTACTCATAAGTCATAAGTCATTTGTGCCCCTATAAGAGTCCCACCTCCGTAGAGTTCAATGGGCTTGGAACTGGGCCCGGGGAGGGGCTTGAAAGGGTAGCCCGCCATCATGGTGCTGCCTCAGTAGCTCAGTGATGCACCTCCATGTGCTGTGTACCTAGGAGTCATACAAATATATATATGTATATATAAATATAGTACTATTTAGTGCTATACACTTACCTAGCGGAGGTACTACTAGGTCCCGCAGACAAACTACCTGTCTAGGGTAAATAAGCCAGAAGCGGTCAATAGCATCGCCTCCCGGGGGGAAGGCCCGCCCGGGCCGCCCTGAGGAAACAACCACAACAGTAAAAGTGGCCCGGGGTTGTCACTCGATAATTAAAAGAGACAGCAGCTCGAAGTAGCGTCTATGTAGGACCAGTTTCTAACGAGAATCATGTATGGGTAGAAGCAAAGCTGCAGAAATCCAGTCCATCGTTGGAACCCCACCGGGACAATGGGTAGATCCGGTCTGCTGTACTAGTCTGGTACTATCTATGTATAAGACAGTAACCAATCAGGAGGAAAGGGGGAGGGGTTTCTTGGCACAAGCGAGTTTCAGCCTACCGCGGCCATAAATTGGATACGTATGAACATACTAGGAAAGGATTGGGAGGCACCTAAGAAGACACGATGCCCTGTTATGGCCACCGGGCACCCCTTCCACCCCTTTTCTATGTTTGTAGAATATTCATCAATGTAACTATCAATATCGCAACACCCGTAACTGTCACAAGGTATGTAAATTGAAACCAAAGAAGACTTTCCTGTAATCGTCGAGAGATTTATCCTACATACAGACAGACGGTCTCATGCGTCCGAGACGTACCTATACAATGCGCACTCCCTAGACAAGGCCATGAACCCATTTACTAGTTCACGACATCATTGAATCGGGAAAAAAGAAACAGTCTTAATGAGGTGTCTAGCGATTTTCCCTACCACGGCACCAATCGCCACTAAGTGAGAAGTGGGCTATTATTAGAAAGCTATGTTTAGAGGGCTGTGGCGGCATGGCCTGCGAGTTGAAATCGGCACTTACTGTATGATGAATTCCCAGCTGCATCTCAACAGTAGTCTACTGCGTAGATACCGGTAGGATCGTTGTACAGTACACAGTCCTCAAACCATAGCCATGGCGTCGGAATTGACCTTGTTCCTTGACTATAATTAGCAACTTGGGGTTATTTTTCATCTCGAAAAGTGGAGTCGAATATTTAGGATGGGCTCGATAATAGGCTGATACAGTACGATCTTATATCATTCAGCAAACTCTCATACCGCGGGGAAAATACCAACATTACCCAGCACTTGATGTTTGGAGCCGAGTCACGGGTGAAACATACCAATAGATTATGTGAGGCGCAGAGTGGGCTCATTGGCTACTATCTTATTTGATGAATGGTTGTGCCCTGGAGTGCCTGTAGCAGCTTCCCTGGTCTGTGTGCTAATGTGGGTCAATCTTACCACATAAAACATAACAGCTCCCCCTCCTTCCGACCTTCATTGTTTGTTGCTTCCCATCAACTACTACTAATATCCTGCCTGTTCTTTATCTTGCCCCTTCTCTCCATTATCCGCCCCCCCCCCCCCCCCGCTGACCATCACCCCTTCTCCTTAACCAAGGTCCTCCTGTATCTCATCAACAGAATATAGTGTTTGTGAATATCCCCTGGATCTCTCCTCGCTCGCCCCTGCCGTGCTTTGGAGAATCACCCCCTCTAACACACCTTTCCACAGTTGGCACCCATCACGACACATAGTTTCAGTGTCAATACCCGAAATTCTCTCGATTAGCACCCAAATCCACTACCTTCATATCACGTTCTAATCCCATCCCAAACATGTGGTATGTCCCATTCTCCTGACAACCACGAACGAACTGCACTGACATGTACACCTCAGTGGCATTTTCGGATATATCAACTATCTCGTTGAGAGGGACCGCAAATATATCCTTGACACTTTGCTGAATGGTATGTCTCTCCGACCCGTTAGAGCTTGACTCGTGTCCTTCTGACACTACGCAGGTCTCTCAAGACTTGAATATCGCGGCTACGACTCTGCTGGACTCGCAGTTGATGGCGACAAAAAGAATGAAGTCTGTGCCTTCAAAGAAGTTGGAAAGGTCGCAAAGTTGAAGGAGCTCATCGAAGAGTCTAAACCCGACCTCACCAAGACTTTTGAATCCCACGCTGGCATTTCCCATACACGCTGGGCTACACACGGAACACCGTCCCGCCAGAACTGCCATCCGCACAGGTATGTCAATCGTCTCCAGCGGCTTTCCGGTATCCTGCTAAGCATTATCTCGTTTCATCGAATGTTTAGGTCCGATTTGAATTGGGAATTCGCTGTTGTTCACAATGGCATCATCACCAATTACAAGGAGCTCAAAGCCTTGCTGGAGAGCAAAGGATTCCGGTTCGAAACAGAGACCGACACTGAGTGTATCGCCAAGCTTACAAAGTACCTGTACGACCAACAGCCGGACATTGAGTTTACGGTGCTGGCCAAGGCTGTTGTGAAGGAGCTTGAGGGTGCCTTCGGTCTCCTTATCAAATCCGTGCACTACCCCCATGAAGTGATCGCTGCCCGCAAAGGGTCTCCCTTGGTCATTGGAGTCCGTACCTCCAAAAAGATGAAGGTCGACTTCGTGGACGTCGAGTTTTCGGAAGATGGCGCACTTCCAGCTGAGCAGGCTTCCCAAAACGTTGCCATCAAGAAGTCCGCCACTGGGTTGCTTGCCCCTCCTGACAAATCCCTCTTGCACCGTTCCCAGTCTCGTGCTTTCCTTTCTGACGATGGTGTTCCCCAACCGGCAGAATTCTTCCTGTCTTCTGACCCATCCGCAATCGTCGAACATACCAAGAAGGTCCTTTACCTCGAAGATGATGATATTGCCCACGTGCATGAAGGTCAGCTTAACATTCACCGGCTGACCAAAGATGATGGAACCTCCAATGTTCGCGCGATTCAGACAATCGAGCTCGAGTTGCAGGAAATTATGAAAGGGAAATTCGACCATTTCATGCAGAAGGAGATATTCGAGCAACCAGAATCTGTGGTCAACACGATGAGAGGCAGGCTGGATGTTGCAAACAAACAGGTGACTCTTGGTGGACTTCGACAGTACATTTCCACCATCCGCCGGTGCAGAAGAATCATCTTCGTCGCTTGTGGTACAAGCTACCATTCATGCATGGCTGTGCGTGGAGTTTTCGAAGAGTTAACCGAGATTCCAATCTCCGTTGAGCTTGCCTCCGATTTCCTCGACAGACAGGCACCGATCTTCCGCGATGACACGTGCGTCTTTGTTTCCCAATCCGGAGAGACTGCAGACTCGCTTATGGCACTTCGGTATTGTCTCGAAAGAGGGGCGTTGACTGTGGGCATTGTCAATGTTGTTGGCTCCTCCATTTCACTTTTGACCCACTGCGGTGTTCACATTAATGCTGGCCCTGAGATTGGCGTCGCTTCAACTAAGGCTTACACTTCGCAATTCGTGGCCATGGTCATGTTTGCCCTCTCATTGAGCGAAGACCGCGCCTCGAAGCAAAAGAGGCGCGAGGAGATCATGGAGGGTCTCTCCAAGATCTCGGACCAGTTCAGAGAGATCCTGAAACTTAACGAACCCATCAAGCAAATGTGCGCTAAGTTCTTCAAGGATCAGAAGAGCCTGCTTCTGCTTGGTAGAGGTGGTCAATTTCCCACGGCTCTTGAAGGTATGCCATATGTTTCTAGCGACTGCAACCAGGTGCATACTAATGACCTTCATCAGGTGCGCTGAAAATCAAGGAGATTTCCTACCTCCATTGCGAGGCTGTCATGTCGGGTGAATTAAAACATGGTGTCCTCGCTCTCGTGGACGAGAACCTGCCAATCATCATGATACTCACCAGAGACAATATTTTCACGAAGTCTTTGAATGCTTATCAACAAGGTAAGTCTAACCAACTCCAAGAGGTGGTTTAGTTCTTCAAAGGATGACTAACCATACAATAGTTATTGCTCGCGGAGGTCGCCCTATTGTTATCTGTAACCACGATGACCCCGAATTCTCTTCGGCTCAAACGGAGAAGATCGAAGTTCCGAAGACGGTTGATTGCCTTCAAGGCCTTATCAACGTTATCCCGCTGCAGCTGATTGCTTACTGGCTTGCGGTTGGCGAGGGCTTGAACGTTGATTTCCCTCGAAACCTTGCGAAGTCGGTCACCGTCGAGTAGTTAGCCATACTGTCCCTACTGTCCGACTCAGTCCGGTCACAGAAAGTGGCCTGGGTTGCGTTATTCTCTCGTTTCTTTCCACCATAGCCTCTGTGCAAATGACTTGAAACTTTTCTAACGACAAAAGAATGCAAGCGCTACCAATAACATCCGCCCATCTGCTGAGCATGGCTGCGAACCTGCTCTGGTCTAAATGAATCATTCACTGAAATTGAGAAATCCAAAGTACAATTTCGAGTAGTACGCACCGGCAGGGGTTCTTTGTCATAATTATCTTCTAGACTAGTAGGTTTATTGTTACACCTACACATAGCTTGATGATTGAGTAAGTAATACCGTATTGTAGACGCGCGGCGGGGTCGGATCGGACCCCCACTTTTATCCGGAATTCGAGCGGGATGCTCCTAAGTCCAAGTGTCATGGTCTCCGACCTCTTTGTGTGGATAGCCTTAGGGGAATCCAATCATAAAATCAAAATCCGATCATCCACCCAACCAAGACATGACACCCATCAAAGGTCCAGGAGCTGCCCAGGCCCACAATGGTAAGGACTCTCCTAGCTCAACATCTTGCTTTTGGGAATTCTATTAACGCTGATCGCTTTAGGGTCGGGGCTCAGAATTGCGATCGTTCACGCCAGGTGGAACATGGAGATAATCGGCCCCCTTGTGGAGGGGGCTAAACGAAGCCTCCTATCAGCAGGAGTTCTGGAGGAGAATATATCACTGCAAACTGTCCCAGGCAGTTATGAGTTGCCTTACGCCGCGCAGCGGTAAGCGCGGAAAGCCAGCTATGGATGAGGCCAGGGATTTTCTAACGTTGTATTATTAGGATATATGCTGCCTCGCAGATTCAATCTGCTAGGAGTTCGACTTCTTCCCAGGCCATCAGCGCCACGGACTTACTTTCCTCATCAACTGCAGACCTTGGGAAACAGTCTTCCCAGTCGCCATCCACTGATGCGCCTCAGCCATTCGATGCTATTATAGCGATAGGCGTTTTAATCAAAGGGGAAACCATGCATTTTGAGTACATTGCAGATGCCGTGACTCATGGGTTAATGCGTGTACAGCTGGACACGGGTGTGCCTGTCATTTTTGGCGTGCTTACTGTCTTAAACGAGGAACAGGGCCTGGAAAGAGCTGGGCTGGGCAAGAGGGGAATTCACAACCACGGTGAGGATTGGGGCAACGCAGCCGTGGAACTCGGAATGAAGAGAAAAGACTGGGCCGAAGGCAGGAATGTGTAGGGTAGGCTATCCTGGTTATTGAAGCGATACGGGGCAGATGAGAAAAGACGTCTTCTTGTTCTTAGTCGAGGGCTACAGACAATAAAGCTCATATCAGATGAAGGTGGTTGTTTACTATGCTGGTGCCAGGCAAGAACGATGTCATTTGTCATGACAGCTCGCAAGGCAGGAGGCAAGCCGGGGTCGTCAAGCCTCACGGGCATTGCGTACCCGTATACCGGCTGGGACCCCATTAACTTCACTCTTGCATGCGTTCGCTATCATTAGTATCGCCCTTCGTCGCATCTTCTTCCTCATCCTCTCCCTCGAGAGCCGCTTTCGCCGCCCGCTCTGCTTCTTCGAGGAGCTCTTCGGGTACCTCTTCATGTCTTCCTTGTGTTGGGCCGTCTAGCGAACTAATCCAAGTCATTTCGAGCTCGAATTCCTTGTCCTTACTGTCTTCATGGGCGACATAGATGATCCGAGCTGCCTCTTTCACGCCATCAACGAGGCTGAGATTGCCAGCACCCAGGTCCAACTTTTCCAGTTCAGCCTTTGCCGCCTGTCTACCTTTCCCGGTTGCGGCGCCATAGTAACCCTTTCAAGATTGTCAGCATAGTTATATTGGCTCAAAACCCGCAAGTTAGGGCCCCTTACCCAGTACAGACCACTTGGCTCAATCATGTATAAGCCTGGGCCTCCAGCTTTCGCACCCTCAACTTTCCCCCCGGAACCTGCTTTGGGCCCGCTTCCAACCTGACCGTCAACGGCAAGCTCTGCTTCGGAGTCCCAGCCTCCGACAATAGCGGTCACCCCGAAGGGCCTCACACTTGAGTAGAGTGTGTAGGCCTGTACGTAACTGCCGAGCCGGTTCGAAAGAGCGGAGATTGGAATGGGTCCTTTGTAGACGTTTCTCCATGAGGAAGCCTCGTCTCGAGCTCGAGAGACAAAATGCCGACCATCGGGGACTAATCCAGCCGAAACCTACATTGGGACCAGCGTATACTTAGCACGAGCAAATTTTCAGAGAGAAAGTCACGTCCACATCCGTGGACACGAGGTGTTGACCTTACAATACCAACGTGGCGATCAACAGTTGCTATCCTCTTGTTCGCACCCGGCTTGAGGAGCTTGCTGCTGATGATCTTCTCCACTGCCAGTACAACGCCATCTTTGCATCTGATGCCAACCGCTGTTCCCCCATTTTCAACAGCTTTGACAGCATATTCCACCTGTATGGATAGTCAGGGGGCTATATTGTTTCTCAGCTCACTTGCACAAGACTGTACCTGGAAATTACGGCCATCCGGTGAGAATACCGAGTTCGAAAGATCATAACCAGTACCGATAGACGTCTAAGTCCATAAATGTCAGTCTCGTGAGCTCAGGAATGCCAGCCCTGAAGGGCACAGTGGTCAGACGAACCATGGTGATTGTGAATAGTCGCACAGGAGGTACGAAGCCAATACGGAAAATTGAGTGAGTGACTGGTGCAAATGGACAGGGATGTAGTGGAGAGTTGTGAGTCCCAAAAAAAAGGAAGCTGAAATGGCCGGAGAACGAAAAGAAAAGAGGTCGAGCAGTAACTGATATGGATGGTCAGCCGAATGAAGTCGGGTCGGACGCGTAGATACAATCGATGCCTGTTACCCTGGCGGCGGCGGGACTGAGACGGATGGAGCTGGCCTTGGCTTAAGCTCGCACGGATCACACGCCGCTTTAAAGATCCGAGGTCAGGTGATAAAAAGGTAGGATGACGTCGTCTTCCTAGGTCTTCCGCCCGGCGAAGGGTACTGTACTGTACTGCCATGGTGGCCGCATCTGACTGCCTGCCCGTGGTGCGCTTGTTCTATATGTATGGCTCTGTGGTAAATTACCTGGTATCCTCATTTCATGTGCCCAACCAAGTATGATGATTTGGGCATCTACTTGCATGCAGTGCGCCCTCTCTGATTCATACGCCGTGCTTTAAATAGGCATCATTATTCTGTACCTAGTCTATACCCGCGGGTCCTCTTTCTCAAGGAAGGGGCTTACTATTCACATAGGAGCTCGATATACTCCATATCTCATTTGATGCATGACGGGAAAGCTCACCTAGAATACTTGCAAACAGCTGCCTAAGACCTTACGCCTCTGTATCCTCTCACCTGATCCCTCTTCCTTTGTTAGGACCCTGGGATGACAGCAGCCATGGAAGTTACCTTTTCACATCGGTGTCTCTTTTGCGGCCAGGCGAAGCATATCCCTGAATCTCTCGCCCCATATGCCGAACTTCCATGCTGTAGTAAGGTAGATAATCCAATGCTGCTCACTGTTCAGCTCCTAACCGCAAGGGTTTGCAGTGCGGGCTATCGGCATCGGAAAGCAACATGCGGTTTCAAGAAGGACTCGCAGCACTATTCGAGAAGAGCATGACTCTCAATCTGACATCAACCTTTGTCGATGATCAAACACCGTGTTCTGGTCCTGTTTCTCCCCAGCCCAAGCCATATAGTATCACCCAACACTACCACCACTCCGCGCATATAACCCGCCCAAAGGACACCACTAGCAGCACGGAGCTGTTTCCCGCGGTAGTTGACACACTCAGGCGTCACGGCGTTGATGCATCGACACTATCGAAGGGGCAATGGGAGCTTTATGAGCGAGCATTGCCAGAACAACGTTCACGCTTGATACAGATATGGCAGATATCTCTGGAGCATCAAGGTCCTTCCAGTAGTAACGAGGTCGAGGGCGTCACTTTACGAGATCAGAAATCAATTGGACCAGCTGTCGACCTGACTGAGCGCTGCAACGTATGGAGCGATACTAGTACGGCTGTTGATATGGATATGTATGACTCAGATCAGGGCACGGGTCACAATACTCACCACTATGCCGAACCATATATGATCACTGGCTATGAGGCTATGGCTCATAGCGATAAAGAACTCGCCGGCAGATGGGACATAAACCCTGTAAGCGAGCCCACCACCGGGTCGCCATACAAGCTTGCAAATGATCCTGCCTATCGTGCACAGGGCCAGAGACGGTGGGAATGCGCGCGGTCGGCATCGTCCGAGTGCCAGTATGGCATGTTCGAGGAAATGGATCGATACTCGCACTGCGGTGTTGTGCAGTCTCGTCACTAGGCCTACGCTTGGTTGCTAGATTTATTCTCGGAAAGACCATTACCTGCCTTGAAATATGATTGTGCACTCTTTGTCCAGAGCTCAAACACTACCCCAGTGGGTAGTCTAGTAGCTATCAGAGGTACGACATGACCGCATAATTTCTAAGAATATCAACAGCCCACAATAGAAAACTGTCATACACAGTGGTGCTATGGCAAGGTGGTGTCAAGGAATTTGGAGTGGTCTAGTGTTCATATGAGAAGGAGCAAACCATGAAGATGGGGCTTTCTTCATCTGACTAATATCACCCCCAAAGTTGGGGAACGAGGACAGAGCATTATGCACATGGTAGAGCGAGTTTTATATACTGATTACTTTATGCGGTGAAAACACTCTGCTGTCTTGACCCACGGGTACCTTCTTTCACCTGGCCCTTCTTCTCCTTCCCCTTTGGCACATAACACATGGCTGCTAGGGTCATGATCTGAGGGAAGGCGGGTGAGAATGTGTTGTGACTGCCATCGCACAAAGGGATGAATGCCCCAGAAGAATCGAGTAAGCTAGCGACTCGGCCAAATCCAGTCGTCAGTCTGTAGGGATTGCTGCCGGCCGGCAAAGTGCCAGGTCCTATGGTCGTGGCAGAAATACCCGTGAAAATATCGCATCTCGTAGCATAAATCGGACCACGTCCCAAAGAGAAGTGAACTAATAGCAAGAAAGAATCAAATTTAAAAGAAAGACGAAGATGCTTCTTGCGCCCGAAGGAGGACTGAAGCTGTAGCCGAGAAAGTGGGCCACGTTTAAAATGCCACGCCGGCCACTTTACTCGTCATCGAGGGCTGCCATGGCCTCTGCGAGAGCGTCGGCGGAGCGCTTGACCTCATCAACAGCCTCGGCGGCTCGTTTGATCTTCTGGCAGGGCTGGCCAGGCAAGTAACACCATTTCTGCAACTTCGCAGGGGAAGCCTCGGCCATAGCTTCGGCCAAGGCATCAGCTGAGCGTTTGACTTCTCCAGTTACATCGGCCGCACGCTTCATCATGGCGCAGGGCTGGCCGGGGAGGTAGCACCACTTTTGCACACTGACAGCTTGGACAGTGGTGGCAGCAAGAGTGGCAAGCATCAAAGAGAGGAGCTTCATGGTGGCGGTGAAAAACAGAGAGATAATGAATGGGATTTGTTTTGTTTTTGTTTTTGAATAGACAGATATATGATGGATTTGCTTGTTTTCTGGCACCGTGCAGACCACAGAAATGCCGAAGGGAAAAGCATCTTATATACCGGAGATCTAAGCATAGTTAGACATGAGGTTATTGTTAACAAATAGGTGTTTCAATAGATCAGGCCTCTATTGATCTTGAACCAGCGGGCCCATAAAGACGTGGGCGACAACAAGGGCAACAGAAATGGTGCAAAAAGAGAGTAAATGAACGGAAGGAGGCATCAACCACTGGAACTTGAGGAAGGCCAGATAGCATGGACCCTATAGAATGCATTGGCATCTGTCAAAGTATAAGCATTCTTGAGAAGATGATAGCCCTGATCATGACACAGATCGTATAGATTGAATGTCATGGAATGATTGAAGGGTATACCACAAAGCACCAAAGCCTGTTATAGGTATAGTACTGTACATACCAGATCACAGTAGCATCACACATGCTTCCATACAGCTTCTAGAATCTTGATGTTGCTCGATTTGGGTCTGAATAGGGTTGAGGTTCAAAGGGTTGTGTGTAGACGGTGTGTAGGCTATCTAAGTACCAACACACACAATAGGATTAGCCAATCGCAACTAAAGTAAGCCCTCAATAGGTTCTGAGTGTGGTTCGGCTGGTAGAATGGTTCATTCTATCCAATCATTCTGGTCTCAGAGAGATAATGAATAGACTGGATGTACCACAAGATACAGTACATGCGGTAAGTCCAATGGCATCTGGTAACCAGGATAACCTTCATCATTACCGTTTCGTCAGTCTTGCAGGGCAAATGATACCTACCCAGTTCTACTCTAGGTAGGCGTCAGTTATGAAAGGAGGAAGGTAGCATGAAAAAGTAGTACTTACCTATTGATATGACCCCTATGTACATGTACAGTACAGTATAGTTATTGATGAGAGAGAGAGAGAGAGAGAAAGAGAGAGAGAGATGTAGTTTAGTTTGTTAGCATGTAGATAGGTAAGTATACTAGTTAATTGGCCACTTCAGGCACTAGGCGAGAGATAAGATCGGGCCGTGCTGTCGTCAGGGAAAAAGGAAAGAAGGTGACGGTGGATGCCATGCCGAGACGATCCGCCCGTTTTTTCCGGCGTCTCGTGCATCTCCTCCCTCGCCTCGCTCTTTTCCCGTCTCCTCTCCTCCCGTCCTCTTCACCAACCGGTACTTTTCACGCGCCTCTCTCCCCCCCTTCTCTCTCTCTGCCATCCTTTCGGTTCTACCCCGGTCCGCCAAGATGTTCTCTCTTCGGACGGCGCAGCCTGCCCAGGTAAGTGAACAAACCTTGCTTGCTTTCTTTCTTGCCTCAATTGATCGGTCGATCCCATCGCCCTCTGGAGACCGCACATCCTTCCCTACCCAACTACCCAACTCAGCTCCTCAACAAAGATTTGTGGAAAAGAGGGCGCGACGCAATTTTTTCAATCTGGGCATTGCTTTTCCCAGCCGCAGATGGGCGGAAACAACTTGTCTCGCTCTTTCGCCTGGCTCTCATCGCCTATTAACACAATTGTCGTCAATAGTCTCTCCTTCGTCGCGCTGCGGTGCCAACTTCTCTTGTCCGCTCCTATATCCCAGCAAGATGTGTGTCAACCCTGACTCCAGGCCAACGCAGCTTGTCAAGAATTATCAGTGACTGACCCTCCCCGCCAGCCTTCGCTAGCGTTCAGTCGGACATTTTCAAGCCAACCAAATATGGCGGCAAGTACACTGTCACACTCATTCCAGGTATGTTCGCTCCGATGGGACTTGGCTTATATTCTGTTTCCTTTCTTTCCTCTTTCCTCTAGCCTCTTGCCTACTTTCTCCTGTCATGGCTCGCTGTGATCACTGATCTGGTTTCAATTCTTCTCCGTAGGCGACGGAATTGGTGCCGAGGTTGCCGAGTCAGTGAAAACAATTTTCAAGGCCGACAATGTTCCCATCGAGTGGGAGCAGGTAGATGTTAGTGGTGTTGACACCGGCAACAAGCACTCTGAGGAGCTCTTCAAGGAGTCCATCGCGTCTTTGCGACGTAACAAGCTGGGTCTGAAGGGTATCCTGTTTACCCCCGTTGAGCGGTCCGGCCACCAGTCATTCAATGTCGCTCTTCGTCAGGAGCTAGATATCTTTGCTTCGGTTGTCCTCATCAAGAACATCCCCGGGTATCAGACACGCCACGAGAACGTTGATCTGTGCATCATCCGTGAGAACACCGAGGGTGAATACTCTGGTCTTGAACATCAGTCCGTGCAGGGTGTCGTGGAATCATTGAAGATTATCACTCGTGCCAAGTCTGAGCGCATTGCGAAGTTCGCTTTCGGTTTTGCTCTTGCCAACAACAGAAAGAAGGTCACTTGCATCCACAAGGCCAACATCATGAAGCTTGCAGATGGTCTGTTCCGCAGCACTTTCCACAAAGTTGCTGAGAACTACCCAACCTTGGAGGTTAACGACATGATCGTTGATAACGCTTCCATGCAGGCTGTCTCGCGCCCCCAGCAGTTTGATGTGATGGTCATGCCTAATTTGTATGGTGGCATTCTATCTAACATTGGTGCCGCCCTCGTTGGTGGTCCTGGTGTGGTTCCTGGCTGCAACATGGGCCGTGATGTTGCCGTGTTTGAGCCAGGATGCCGCCACGTTGGTCTCGACATCAAGGGCAAAGACCAAGCAAACCCTAGCGCCATGATCCTCTCCGGATCCATGCTGCTTCGCCACCTTGGTCTGGATGACCACGCAAACAGAATCTCAAAGGCTGTGTATGATGTGATTGGTGAAGGGTAAGTGCATTGCTGGAAATCAGTCATAGGTTCACCGCGAGCTATTTACTAACGCGTCGTCTATCAGCAAAACAAGGACTCGCGACATGGGTGGTCAGGCCACCACCCACGAGTTTACCAGGGCAGTTCTTGACAAGATGGAGGCTGCTCTGTGATGGACTTCCTTTCTAAACTTGCTATTATTATGACGATGAGAGCTTGCATAGGCCCATTCACTGTTAATCTATTGTTTGTCCGATAGACCGTGCTTTTCCTCGGCCTATCTCTGTATTTGTTCTATCATCCAGCCACCTGTACACCGTCATATTGACCTGCGAAATAGTTGAAGAGTTGGACAAACATGTGAGTCAACAAAGCCCACGGGATGAACGCAAAATAAGTAAGCAGCGACATTTGCTTGTATGTTTCCCAGCTGTCTACCGACCTGCAAAGTTCAACTTTTGATAGTCACGGTGACTGATACCTTGAGCTATCATCCATGAGCAGAGTGAAGTTCTGAACCAGTACTCAATACGCATTTGTAAACTTAGGTCCCTGTGTGGTGTTACAGACCTCTCACACTAGATGAAATGGCGCGATGGCCTTGGAGAGAGACCTGTTCATCTATGAGAGTTGCACTGCGCAGGTGCTGGACACAGCCGGATTAGCTGATTCAACACCGTTTCCACGTGATAGGCCGGCGAGTGTGGGGAGCTGCTTCTTCGATACTTACGCAACCAGTTGGTCAAACCCACGTAGTTGGTAGCACACTCTGCAGTAAATCTCTGGCTGGGAAAGATAAAAAGAATTGTAGATCAAGTGCGCAAAGCTGGAGAAGATTGGGTATACGTTCAAAATGCAGGGCGCCGCTTCCTGCCGGTGTATTTCGAGTTTGCTTTGACCACCTTGCCCTTCCGCGTCATCTGTTCTTTCTTACGCATAATCCAAGCCTTGTCCCCTTTCCTCGTGACCGAAGGTTTTCCTTTCTCCATAGCTCTTTTTCTGGCATCCAGCACATCGACGTCGCTCATGCCGTTCACAATCCCGGTGATATCGCCTTGAAGACCGCCACCACCGACAGTGAGAACGAGATAAAGCTTGCTATTTTTCGTACCGGGATCATCTTCTAAAATGCCCGCCCCGAAGCCAGCTTTCATCGCGGCTCCACTGATCATGCTTCGTTGAGCGTCATTTTTCGGGTAAAACTGACAGACTGCGCGGCCCCCACGTCGAAGACTAGCGTAAAGACCTTCAAAAAAGCGACGCAATCGGCCCTCAGGACTGACATCGCTCGATTCCGCATTACAGAGCCACTGAATAGCACTGATACTGATGGCTGCGTCGAAAGTTCCAGGCCGGAAAGGAACGCCTTGTCCAATATCTGCGAGAAAGAGGTCGCCGTCCACCCCGCGCTGAAGTGCCACGTCGAGCATGCTGGGAGAAATATCCATGCCTACCCATGTGTGTGGACCACTATGCTCAGGCCCAACCTGCGAAAGGATCTCGCCTGAGAGGCCGGAACCGCAGCCGACGTCCAAAATCAGAGAGGGCGCATCAAGGTTAAGAAGCTCCAGTGCTCGATGTGTCATGTCCGACTGGATGTTACGAATTCGTGACGACGTGGTATATTTTCGCGATTCATTATCATCGTAAAATAGATCCGGAGGCCTGGTGCTATACGTTAGGCAATCTGACACGATAACGAAAACCACGACTTGGGAGGGTGAATGGATACACACAGAACATCTTCGGGACGTGACATGATTACAGTGTATGCTTATGGACTTTGTCTGCGCCCCACTCAAAAGACCTTGATGTCGGGGGAGTGAAGCAAAGAAAAAAAAGGATGTGCAACGGGCTGGAACAATCTCGGCATACCTCGCAGCGGGGCGTTGGGGCCTGAGGCAAAGGCGCGTAGCCGGCCCGCACCCACCAGCACCCTCAGCACGAGTGTATGCATTCGGGAGGTAATGTACCAGCAGCACACGCGTGCCCATGCAAATTAGTATCTTCTTCGTCGGTTACTTCTAATTGTCTTTTTTTGTCGGAGGGTGTAGCTATTTTTCTCGTTCATTGGGCCATGAGATTCTTCTTGATACTACCACCTTTTCTCTAGCTTCGAACCAAGGGACCAAACCGCCTGTTGCCGTGCTTTGGCCAACTGTTCGATATCTTGCGCACGAACGAGCAACGTCCGCATATTGAGCCTGTATTCGCCGCAGCGAAATTGAACGCAGATAATGTGGATCCTGCCGCTAGTAGGGTATTTGGGGGTGATCGTGGGCTTCGCCTTCCTTACTCTAGCAATAGGTACGTGTAAAGTGCAGTCAGTATAATGGAAACAATGCTGATGTTGTTCGCCATGCCTTGGCCACGGAATTCATACTTTTGGCTCTTATACTGACCTCACCCCAGCTTCAGGACTTTATTACCTGTCCGAGCTCGTAGAGGAGCACACTGTTTTCGCTCGTCGGCTACTGTCCCGGTTGATATACATTATCATCCTGGCCCAGATTCTTCTTGTCGTGTTTGATCGATTCCCTCTCGGCCTCTCAGCCTTCAGTATCGGCTCGCATCTTGTATATGCCAGCAACTTGCGCCGTTTTCCAATCGTGAAACTATCGGACCCCTTGTTTATCCTGTCGTGTGTTCTTGTGGGGTTGAATCATTGGCTCTGGTTCCGTCATTTTTCGCAGCCATTGCCTTCGACGCGAAGCCCAACAAGCTGGCGCCACCCTTATCAAGTCGGCATTGAGGATATGCCCACATTTACCGAGGTGGCGTCTTACTTTGGATTATGTGTCTGGCTGGTACCGTTTGCGCTCTTCGTTAGTCTTAGTGCCGGCGAAAACGTCTTGCCTAGCATGGGCTCTGAGTATGTGACAGGAGAGCACATTTCGAACCCTGGATTTACTCGCAGTGCTTTATCATCGGATGGCAAATCCAAGAACAAGGGAATGGCAAAGGCATTAGTGGATAATGTCCGTTACTGGGTGCGTGAAAACGGGGAAGTGATGGGCTTTTGGAAAGGAGAACGATCGAAAAGATTTTAGGTCCCTAAGAAGTCGTCTCGGTGCTGGTTTACGTGCAGTCAAACAGCACCTGAGATGTTGGGAATCTTTTCTCCTATTTTGGTGTTGTACAACGACAAAAGGGACAGTGGACCCTCCCTCTTGAATGCAGCTCATGATCAGATATCATATATTAAGAGTTCCGCTACTGGTATGTTCGAATAAGACAAGTCATCGTTTAAGGAAACGAGATTGCAGCTTCCTAAGTTACATAAGCATAAATCACAGTGGTTGCAGGAAGAAGACATGAATTGATGAAAGCCGCGAATTTTTTCAAATGCGTAAGCATGCCGGCAGAAACCAACAGAGATATGAACCGTAAGGGCTGGGGTATATGGTCTCTCAACTTTGTTTTGTGGAAGTTGATAAAATAATTTGAGGAAATTAATAGTGCATGATTTGAGCCATGAGTGGCAGCGATTGGAATTCTTTGCTGGCTGGCTTTCAAGCATATAAAAGGTTAGGAAAAAAACCATTCTCATATTATCATTAGTATTAAACGTTGCATCACTCGTCCTGCCGAATGTGACCAGGCCGGAAATACAGTCGTGTGTTGTGATCGTTCAGATTCCGAGCTAGTCCTCAGATTAAAGGCATGCTGCGTGAAACCGATGAATGGGAAAGACCGAAAATCGAATGTCAAGCAAGCAGCAAAGGACAACATTGGGCTGATCAGGGATGAAGGGGGTGCAATATAGGCGTAGAGAACATGAAGGATGAACGAGCATAGAGACAATCACCATCCACTGAGTCGGTGAGTGGGTAAATGTAGGCCGCTTGTCGTCATCGCAAGCGAATGTTTGAGGTCTATTTGATACAGCTGTCTCGCGAAACCTCAGGATCCTACAATCTCATGTCAAGCAGCTGGTTCATCTTGCACTGGAGGCGAGAAAATATGGTTGTTGGTATCCATAAAAAGAAGAGAGCTTTCCCTCCTTTTGGCCTTAGCAGAACGTGTATTGTGGACATTCGGCGACAACATCGTGTTAACAAAAGGCAAGTTTGACTGAAGCGATTGAGACCCTTCCAAGCCAGCGTTGCTGGTGAGAGTCTCGTAGCTCGTTTTCGTAAAGCTAGAGACACACTCTGGATGCGTATAAGCATCGTGTGGCGGACCCAGTTGCTCCTGATTCACTGTCCGACCGTGATTGAACAGAGCAGGATCTGGTAGCACCTGACGGTGAGTGAAACGGAAGGCCTCGGAACCAGAAGCAAAATCTTCATGAGACTCTATCGTTTCGTCGCTAAAATCTGGTAGCTCGTCAAAAATCTCCTCATAATCAGTGAGAAAGGTAGAGAAAACCGGCGCTGGTATGTTGAGGGTGGGCGCAAACACAATTCCAACATTTCTGATCGTCATCTTGTTGATGTCGGAATTGTTGACGATAATCATCAAAAACTGGACCAATGCACGTAGCAAAGCGAGATTCGGCTTGGGTAGTCGGTGGACAAGGACATTAAATGCCGTGATTCTCTGTTTCTTTTCCTGAAGTTCTAGAATTATAATGAGCATCAATCTCAAAGCCATCAGCCAATGAGTACTCACCGAGGACTCGCAGGAAATCCAAGTGCAGTTCGCGGGTTAGGACGGTCGTGGGAAGCTCTCGGAGGTATTGCTTGAATAGAGATGCAACAGCATGCACATCATGATACTCGTCATCGGCGAGGAAGTCCACGTCGCCTTCGTTGTTGAACCGTTCCTTAAGCGCTTTCACGACAACATTCGAACCGCTTAGACGGAATATTCCTTCCTCCAACTCTGCACCCTTGGCTTTGAGATATTCTATGCAGCGATAAACCACAGCAGGGAGTCCGACATCAAGCCCCTGAGGTGCGCAAAGTTGCACTGCCTCGGCCAGGGGCAACCCGAAGACTGGCCTCACAATTTCCCTTTTCTCAAGAGTACTAAGAATCTGGGATGCTGGGCTGTCATAAGCTGCCTGAAGTTGTGAGGCTAGATCCATTGAGGACCTCGTGCGGAAACCCCAGATACTTCGTTTTTTCTCTTTGACGCTTGTTGCTGTTTTGTTACCCCAGGCCCCGGCGTCTTGTATTACCGTCCCATTGGTGGGACCAGAGATGACTTTTGAAGCGGATTGTCCGTAGTCCTGGTTATAGTCTTGACCATCTGTCGGTGGCCCCGAGAATACCAGGGGAGATTTGGGAGCCTGCCTATCCCCTGGGGGCCCCAGGACCGGAGGTTCAGCGGGAACGGCATCATCATAACTAAATCCCTGAACAACATCGAGACCTTCGAAGTCTCGATGATCAAATCCCCTGTTTTGCTTTTTGTGGTTAGCGTTAGGAAACAGCCTAGACTTTGTAGGCGCGTCCATGGCAAGCTTCCCAGAAGGCACTTGCACTTTTGAGGATGTGCCATAAGATCCTTCATTTTCCTCTGCCTGTACCTCAACGTACTCCAAAAGGACATCAACCCAAGCATCCCTTTCCTCATCACTCTCGGCGCACAGAACGTGACGCACAAGAGCTGAGGAGTCTTTTTTCTTCGGCTCAAGTATGAGGAAGGCATGACGATACTGATTATCAGAGTCTTCTTCGACGCGAGAAGGAGAGGCCTGCTGGCTGGTTACATTTGGGGACTGCTTTCCAATCTGAGCGTTGTGGATCCTAATGGTTCCCAAATGAGGGCCACCGGGAGATTCGAAGTACTTGAGCTCGGGGCCATGCAGAACGAAGTATCTAGCTTTCCATCCCCCAAAATTCTTCCCCCTCTTTGTCAAATAGCCCTCTTTGCGAGGTTTACCATCCGGACCACGCCGGATCTCAATACCAGCTAGGCTGTTCCCTTGCAATAGGCTCATCTCATCGTCTCGAGCTTCTATAGCGTCAGAGGTAAGGAACTGGCATACTATTAAAGCCGCCTTCTCGTCCATAGGCGTTTCAAGAAGTGTTTCGAAATAGCAGTCTAAAACGGCGCGTCTCGCATCGACTTTGGCAGGTGAATGTCCGCTAAATATAGCTCGGTCTGGTAACCTGCTTCTCCAGTGGACTACCTGCCTTAAGTGTTGATCAAGAAGAGGAAGAGCTGCAATGACCTTTTCGACCCGCCAGAGCTCTTTATTGTCAGATCTAGAGAACACACCTAGAGTAAATACTGGCTCCTCTTCCGATGGCCTCGGAGCTAGATAGCTGTTTCGGGATGGCCGAAGGCGTGAAGACGATACTTTCACATGAATTAGTGGCAGTGCGTTTGGGGGCAACAAAAGGTTTGGATAGTCATCTGAGATAAAGCCCCGATAGACTCCGTTAATTCTCATAGAAGGAGACTGAGGTGTTTCAATCTTAACAGCTCCACCACCAGAGGGCGCATGTTGAATAAGAGATTCACCAGGGGCTAAGCCATGTACAGCGCTGTTAAGTTCTGTGGTTGTAGAATCTGCGGCAGAGAAATTGGGATGGCTGGCGTTTCGGGGAGACAATGCCAGCCCTGACAGTGTGCTTTCCGAGGACAAAGGCAAAGAAATCAAGGAGTTGGGGATCTCTCTGGGCAAACGCGGCAGAGGAGATCCAAGAGGGCGGTCTTCAGGCCGAGGGCTGATTGGTAGCCCAGGACTCTTAGGAATAGTGATTATCGGATGGGCACGTAGCGATCCTGCACGTGCCATAAGAGGACTTGAGTGATCGGGCTCTGCACGATTGATAGGTGGTAGTTGCTGTTGGTTTGACGACGGTCCAGCGGCACGTGGGCTGTGTGCGTCCTTCACCAAGCTTCCATGGAGAAAGTCCTTGTCCGTTACACGAATGGCTTCACGATCCACATCATCTTCATCTCTCGTCCGCCTTCTGCCGCGCTCTGCCGGGAACTCGTCCACTGCCAGGATATCCTCATACTCAGACCCTGAATCGGAATCTTCCACATTGTTAACGGGTATATGATCACCTTGGTCGAGATTGAGTGGCGCTGGAGGAGGCTTTCGAATGGGTTGAGGTACTCTTTGTAACTTGTCGCCGCTCGGCCCAAAGTCACTTCTGGCAGAGCTGGTGCTCGTAAAGGACTTTGGGCTAGTTGTGGACAATACTTGACGGGGGTTGAATGACGATTGGTAGCCTGGCGTTGCAAGGCTTCCATTGATATTCTGCTTGGGGGGTTCGATCGGTCCGAAAGAATCCTGGCTGTCAGTTGCCGGGGGACCGTCCAAGCGGTTATTGTCTTCTTTCAGATTAAGACCTTCGTAATTGGGCAACGTTCCCCCGTTTTCCAGTCCGGTTTCTTTCGGCTGTTCTTGACCAAACTTAGAATCAACATCAACGGCCCGTTGCGATAACACAAATTCACTCGTCGAATTCGGTAGCGGCGGTGGCATACTCTGTAATTCCTTGACCTTCTTCCTATATCGCTCCTTTTCCTTCGTAGTGCGTTCGAGATCTTTGTTTAGCCCTAAGATGAGTGTGCGCTGCTTGTCGACTAGCCTCCAAAGCTGAGAATTTTGCGACGCTGCATGATGCTTTTCTTTCAAAAGGTGTATAATAACAGCTTCGGCCGACCCCGCAGTAGCTATCAAGTTTCCAATATCAGCCTCACTCAACGCATTCGCGTCGAAAGATGATTTATTGGGTTGTGATGTAGATGACAGGGACGAGATCGCTGAGTCAATCGATGAGGTGCGGGGCATTGTACGTTGGCCTTGTCGCTTGCCTGACATCGACTGTAAAGAGTTGACTGGCGACATCGAAGGAGGCGTTATGGACATATCCCGACTGAATAATCCTTGACCCTTGTGCGACCGTTTATCACCTGATTCTCCGTTCAGATCCATATCATACTGCTTTGATCCAGGCCCTACAATGCTGGCCGTCGCTTCAAAAAGGTTGAACGTCCTGGAGCCGCTATCGAAACGAATCGGAGATGTTGCATGAGCACGATGGCCCGAAGGGGAGGCACTTTGGAAAGGGGAGACGTTTCCCGAAGATTTAGGCGAAAGCGAACATCGAGACGGAGGTGATTTGGGCTGAGCCGCGGATTGTACCTGTGCACTCGTCGGAACTGCAGGCGACGGTATGGGTTTGCGAGGAGGAGGACTAGAAGCACAGTCGGGCGGTAAGGTCTGGGTATCAAATCGCGGTCCTAAGTAGTCTCGGGGAATAAGTCCGTTCTTTGATGACGGGTACGCCAGACACTGGGTGGTGGAAGCAGGGGAAAGGGGATGATTAGCAAAAAACGGGTTGCAGTGGGTGTTGTTACTGCCTTGCCGCCGGCCCTGCGACATGGCTCTCTCAGTCCCGACGCATGAGACGCGGAACCCAACCAGGAGCTGACGCTAAGCGTGGGAGGCGAGTACAAACCGATGGGTCAGGGGCTTATGGAACAACAACATTAAGTACTACTAGATAGTACTCCTACTACTTACTACTAACTCGTTGCGATAACAATAGCAGCCGTAGCAGTAGCAGTAGCAGTAGCAGTAGCAGTAGCAGTGACAACACAATGAAGGTAAATGGGAACAGGCGGAATAAGATTCACAATTCATTGAGGCAAGAGAAGAAATTAAAGATGACATGACTTGAGAAAGGGGAGCGTGTTTAATGATCAGCACTTCAAGATTGAGTGGGGAAGAAGACCAGGCGTGAAAAAGGGGGAGCTGGAGAGGGGCGGAATAAGCTTGAAGAGAGTCATGGACTCCAAGTCCCGTCTGAGGTGATTCTTGTTTGTTCACATTCATGGAAAGGTTTACATTTGACTAGTCATAGTCTACAAGCAAAGAGTATTGAAATATGTATGTGGTAAAGAGAAACAATCGAATCCTGGTGAGTACCACCACTGAATGCCAGCATGGCTGGACCCAGGCTGGAGTTGGCACTAGACCGGTCCCTCGGAGGCCCTTGGGCCCTTTGCTAAAGTAGTTAGTGCCGAAATGGCGGTAAATTACTATAGTAAGCCAAACCCTTTCGTTAACGTAGTCGGTAAGCGAGTGGCGCGTTGTAAGCGGGCGGCGCGGTCCTGTATTCCATATTAAACCACACTTTTTTAACTTTGATTTCTCAATCAATTCTTGTTGATATACCAAAAAATCTTAAAAATAGTCTTTAGTATCTAGCTATATCTGAATTATACTAGAACTATTATCTAATATATCTTAATTGCCTCGATATATATGTATTTCAGTACTTTATATAAATTTTTAATAAATCTTGAAATCCTAATTCAGATTCCTTAAAAAGTAGAGGAATATATAAAGATTATAGTTAAGATTTAAATATCCAAGTCCTAAATCTCTAAGTATCTTCATTGTTGAGATATTCAGCTTTATAAAATAGCTATTTTATATGGAATACAGCACCGCGCCGCCCGCTTACACGCGCCACTCGCTTACCGACTACGTTACAACTAGGATTAATTCTATGAGTTTGTCTTCCGCTTCCTACTCGGGAAATAAGGCACCACATGTATTTACTGTGTACTTACTGACCTCGTGATAGCACGAAAATATAGATTGCAGGGAAAGTGTAGTGGATGAGGATGAACGTGTTCTATTCGCAGTCGAATGATTGAGGTTGAGATGTGTTGGTGAGGATGGCCATGGCCTCCTTGCCAGGAATGGTAGATGCTGCAGGCATTAATGAAACTCCCCCCACAGAAATGAAAACCTTCGTGGCCTTGATCGAACGCCTTTGTAGCACTATCCCATCGCACCAGCCGAAACGCCAAGTGACCCTTGCCAAAAAAAAAGGATTTTCATGCTATGTTTCCAGCCATGCCCATGAAGATGGCCTGAGCGGCAAGCTGGAGTGACCAGAAGCCGACCTTCTTGAAACGTCGCTTCCGAGCTTGTTCGTCGACAACATCTCGGGCGAACGCATCGTACACCTGAGTGATATTAGCATAGCTCCTAAAACACTGTAATGCCGAACTTACTGCCGCGGAAAGGTCGTCCATCAAGCCGCTATCGAATGTAGTCCAACTACCATCAAAATCACCTACCCGTTTGACAAGGCGGCAATTTACAGGTATGAATGTGCGCCTTGAATTTATATAGGCAACAATGGGACGTATCAGTGCGTTATTGATGTAAGACAAATCCCGCGTAAAAAGAGGAACCACGGCCCTGACGTTATTCAGATGGAGGCGTAGATCAGTTACCAGAAAACGCTTATCATCCTCAGAAACCACATCAATTGATGATGACTTGGGCAACGCCGAGTCGTCGTGGCTGTTCGATGTGACGGTGGCCTCTAGCCGATCATAAAAGTCGGCCATGACCTTAGCGAGACTTTCGTCATTTTCGGCGGGAAACATAATATCGGCAACAATATCAACAGTGCCCTCGTGTATCCAAGAGAAAGGCCCTTGTACCCCACGATTCAAGTGATCAATGTTAAGCCCATCGACACGTATCCTGCTATGCTTTTTCCACGGGCTTGGTTTGCCATCCTCCTCAGTACCGCTATCGAGCTGCGCACCAGTGAAGCCATGTGTTTGACGGGGATGAATTGTGAACAGTGAATTGTCGAATGATCCGGACATCATGTTCGCTGACATGAAGTCATATAAGAGCCACTGCTTTCTCAACTGCGGCAAATCACATGAAAAGATACTAACAGGGAAGGGCCTGAAACCGTCCGGCTGATAGACTGTTACCAGCACATCGTTCATCTTAAACGAGTCAATTTCGAAATCCCCAGGGCTGTGCTCGTGTCGATATGACTTAGGATCCAAATCATCATCCGACCAATGGACGTATCTGCGGTCAATGACTCCCCTAATGCCCCTTACCTCAACATCGCGAAGTAACCCCTTGCCATTTATCCATTTGGTGAACGACAGTGTAACATTGACCGTTTCGATTGACACATCGAATTGTGTGTAGTTCGTGTCTTCCTCGTCCAGCGAGGTTCGTTGATCAGATAGCTCATGACTGGGCTGCCCCCCCAGAGCTGCAGCCGCAGCTACAGCCGCGGCGGTCTTCGACGATCCCTTACTAACATTTCCTGTGCCTTGGCCCGGTCGCCTTGAGACAAAAACGTTCTTGAACGTGATCACGCCATCTTTCCATTTGGGAACGATAGCCGATTCGAAAACAACCTTTACCCCAGATGACTTGGTCAAATAGTTACCTATCCATCCTGCCAACGTTTCTGTGCAGGGTTAGTGATTGACAAACAACGTCTGAAGCAATGGTGACAGACCTTGAGCAAAGACCGTGTTTATTGCGATGATCAGCAACGAGAAGAAAGTAGTCGTGCCCAACACAACCCAGACTACATGCCCTAGAAGCACCCAAGAGAAGAGAGCCGTGATCTCGTCCAAGTTGAAAGGCCGAACGCTTCGTATCGAGAACCACTTGAATCGTACCTTGAGTCTAGACCAAAATCCATTCGCTGCAGCCAGCAATTCTTCCTTTGTAGGCCGATGTAAGTGGGGCATGTGCGGCAAACGGTTGATTAGGTGTCGATTTGGTTGTATGTTTTGATGTACCCCATTCAAAGACCGTTGGTGCCCACGGCCTTGCAAAACTTCGTTTCTGTCGTCTCTGGGAGAAGGATGAGATAAATGAGTCTCGCGATTGAGTTCACGGTGATCTTTCGTGGGCTCCGTCTGATTGCCCTCGCCCTTGCGTGTATGGAACCAGCGCCTCGACGCATTTTGGGAGGAAAAGAGATATGACTTGCGGTCAAAATGCTGTAGTGTTTGCGATAACAATTTCTCTGAAGATGTAGCACACGTTGTACGAGTCTCCACCGCAGTTGAGCTTGGGGAAGCTCCAAGCACAAGAAAACCACCCGAAGCGAAACGTCTCGTGGCCCTGGTGGATATTTGCGACGATACGAATAAATTCTTTGCGACTCTGCATTTGAAAAGAAGATTGAGGGAGAAGTTGCCCGGGTTCAGTGGTGTGCGACTGGCTTGCAGTCCATAACCGACAAGCGGATTTGATGTCCCCCAGAGAATGGCGTACAGCCTGCGTCCGAGATTGCCAGACATGATCTTGCTCACATAATGGATAATCGGGTGAAGGCGAAAGCTGGCTGCAGTGAGTGATTAAAAGCGCTTTAACGTAGCTTAGCTGCTGTAGAATATTTGGTAAGACCGACACTGGTGGAATGGAAATGCACCAGTTCGCAGAGACATGAAAAGGGCCGTCGGACCTTTGATAAAATTGCATGAAATCATCCCGCCTTAGCCAGAGCGGGCGGGGTTTGTCCTGTTTGCACCAAATCTTTCAGAATTTCACACCACTTCCACACTTTCCTTCTCATACATCACAAAATCTAGTGTTGCCAAGTCCCATTACTTCAGTGCTAGCACGACCAAATCCCTGCAAGATAAATTCCGCACGAAATGCCTGCGCCTACAGCTCTTAGGCAACCTGCTGGGATAGCGATGACAGGAGCGCCGCTTGCACCTGTGCTAGGTTAGTCGTGATTTGGCTGGCCAATATTGGTCACCCAGGCTAACAGGTTTCTAGATCACGATGAGGAAATCTTGATCGATACTCAGCCTTTGACAGATGAGACTTCGTCGGCTTTTAACTTCAATTCTGAACCTATCAATGATGCCGATGTGCATATCGATGAAGAGGGGCGGCCAATTTTTACGCCAGCGAAAGATGTGAACCGCGTATATCGAGTCGAAACCCGAAAAGTCCCCGTTCCGCCACATAGAATGACCCCTTTGAAAGCTAGCTGGTCACGAGTGTATCCCCCGCTTGTCGAACATCTGAAACTACAAGTGAGAATGAACATCAAAAATCGAGCAGTCGAACTTCGTACATCTCGATTCACCACTGATACCGAAGCCCTGCAAAAAGGTGAAGATTTTGTCAAAGCCTTCACGCTAGGGTTCGATGTCGACGATGCCATTGCACTGTTGAGGTTAGATGATTTATACATTCGTTCATTCGAAATTCGTGACATCAAGACCCTCAATGGAGAGCATCTTAGTCGTGCAATCGGCCGCTGTGCTGGCAAAGACGGTCGCACCAAATTTGCAATAGAAAACGCGACCCGTACAAGGATCGTCATTGCAGACCAAAAGATTCACCTGCTAGGCGGTATCAAAAATGTCGAAGCCGCCCAGCAGGCTATTGTCCACCTGATCATGGGTAGCCCACCAGTAAGTACTCGCGCCCTTACCGCACGCAGCAGCTGCTAACTAGTATTCAGGGCAAAGTGTATGGCAATCTCCGTAAAGTGGCATCACGAATGAAGGAGCGCTTTTGATCAATTACAATTTACCACAGCTTACTTTTTGTCGTCGTGTTTCTGCTTTATGACATGGTACTGGCGTTAGGGAGGAGGTAATATCTGATTCAACAAAAACTCAATGAGACGATGACACAGCTTCAAATAGAGAGTAGCCCTTGCTCAGTAATGGACCAAATTTCAGGATGCTGTCCACTTTGCTGGCCTTGAAAATTATTCCGACGCAGGTAAATAAAATTTGTTTAGTCCTTCTTCAATGGGTAATAGATCTCCTCTATACCTGCGCTGGTGATAACCATCATCTGCAGACCGTCTCCAACTTCGATATGCCTTTCAACAGCACTCGTAAATGCATCCCGTACAAGCCGTTCAACCGTGTCTCTTGGCAGTGGCTCCGCTCTCTTAGGCTCCAGAGCATGACCTTCACCGCTGCCAGGGATATATTGATTCTTGAAATTGACTTGATTGTCCAAGAATGGCATAATCAAGCTCGCTGCAGAACCAGCTGCTCTGCATTGTTCTCTTTCGTACGAGCCTACTGGGTCGTAGCTGTACAACGCACCTTTGCCATCCTCATCTAGTCCTGCAAGAATAGCATGCACGTAGTATGGAAAGAACCGTTTCTGATACAATATCGTCGACAGGCGCTGAGCACATGCTCCAACGGACATTGACTTTCCATGCTGATACTTGTACATTTTCACCACAGCGTCTAGTCGTTCTTTGAGGGCCTGACCGTCCGCGGCGAAACCCACGACCGAGAGAAGAATATGAGCGCCGTCGCCAGTTTCGTCATCACCGCCAATTTTGAAAACTTTGGGAACGTAGCGAGAGTTGATATTGTAGCCTGCAACGGAGCGAGTGTCACCAGCAAGAATAGCGAAGTCGGAGCCAGTGATGCCTAATGTCGAACCGCCATTATCGGTGTATCTAGGTCTAAGTCAATTTATCAGTCATTATGAGCCTCTTGTAGATGTACACACGGGTAGAATGAATGCTCCTTGATGGGAACACTGGCTGTCTGAGTGAAGGAATATCCGATAGCCTCGCTGTGAGGTTGACCCATGAAAGTCGTCATTGCTCGTATCGAACAAGTAGGTGTTTTGGGAGGAAATGGCCTTGAAAAGAAAGCAATGACTATGCGAGGTGGAGAATAAGACCTTGGTTTCGTGATTTCTCGCTCGCTGTCAAGACGACAATCCAAGTGGTAGATTCAGGTAGAAGGTTAGCTGTTCAGTCGTAGAGCTGTGACCGGGCCTACTGACGCGTTGAAGCTGCCTTGTGCTTATCTAATCACTGCACTGCCCGGCCACCTTCCGTCATTGTCTTTTGCCCACGGCCCGTTAAGTCCAATTCAAGTCTCAGTCCCTATGCTCTCAGTAATTTTTACAGGATTCGAAATTGATTGGAGCCATAGGTCACTAGATAGCACCATACTGTGACAGGCTGCGATTCGAATAGTAGCCTGTGAAAACATGCTAGGTCTTGCAGCCTATGAAAGCAGCAGTGAGGATGACGCTGGTTCCAATCCAATTTCCACAGTGTCCCAGGTAACAAGAGAAAGCGTGCCTTCTAATTTGAGCATTAACTGATACACCTGGTCAGCGAGAAAGAAAGGAGCACCTCTTTCCTCAGGCCTCACAGGCAAACGCACACTCAGGTGATTCTGCAAAATTCTTTATTTTTACAAAATCCCTTCAAGGTCTAATTCTCATGCCTGAAGCAGAGCTCGAGAGAGAAACAACATCAGATCATGGGTCCACGCCAGTATCTTGTAGGCCTATTTTTGGCCCACCACATGTGAACCTTCACGATGCACAAAGGGCTCCATCGAATCACTATATGACGTTGTCAGCGTCTCGTACAATCATTCATGACCTAACTCTCCCCCCGGTCCCGAATCTAGACATACCTCCATCACCTCCAGGCTCGCCCGACCCCTCTACGGATGCGAAGTTCACCCATTTCCTGTCACTGAAGAAGCAAGGTGTCCACTTCAACGAGAAGCTCTCAAGTTCCGCGTCTTTGAGAAACCCGAGTTTGTTGAAGGCGATGATGAACCATGCGGGAATTGATGATGGGGCGCAATATCACACTTCGCTATCGCCAGCCCTATGGAACGCATCAGACTTACCAAGCTGGGGCTTTAAGGAGGAGATTTTCAAGGCACAGCGAGAACTCCAGAAAGCAGTGGATGAAGGGAAGCCAGTACGACCAAGGGGCAGTGTATCCTTCGTGGCTGCTACATCTTCCATCTCATAGGACTGCCGCATGTCCGAAAGTCATATCAAGATGAGACTCGTAGTGCGATAATAGTTATAACTTTGCAGCCTGTCTAAAACGACGGAAATAGATTCTATAGGGTGGGATTGCACCGGCATCGATGGAGGTCTCTGTGCGTTCCATATTTACCACAGAGACAGTGATGAGCTTTCGACTTTCGATCTCATACGCCTTCCTTACTTGATTTCCATATGACTTTGCTACGGGAAAGTGATGCTAGATAAGGAGAACAGGCTTCAGGGCCTGAGCTGGCACAGCGATTTCTTCGGGTAGGCTGTATTACTCTATGGGGGCAGGCCAACCGCTAAAGGGTGGATCACTAGAGTGTGAATCAATCGATGACCTGTTTTGAGTATTTGGTGGATTCCCGGGCCTGTGCTAGGATGTAAAGGTGTATCTCATAGAAGAGATCTTGTGGAAAAAAGGTAAATTTGGCAATGCTGTTACATGCCAGCGTTACGTGTTAAGTCAAGTAGCTTGGACTGCAGGAAGCGGAACGTACGAGTACGGCGGCGATCCTCGCTAAGCGCGTGCCAGCTCCGACTGATGACATTGCTCACGTAACAAGAGCTCCGTCAGCTCCTACTGCCTAGAGTCACCGTTATCACAACCAGCTACTATCGACGACTCTTCCATCGAGCAACCAGCAAATAATCGTCTTACGGAATATCTTAATTTTATTCGCTCAAGTCTACCACTGTGCGATCGCTCTCGACTCTGCCATCAAATTTCCTCTTCATCTTCATCATGAACCACTTTCCCGAAGCCTGGGGTCGGGTAAGGACATTGCCAAATCACGCCCTGGTGTCTCTTTCTAACTAACATACCATCGAAAGCCCAGAGATGACATTTATGGGCCATATAACCCATCATACCTGCAAACTACCGGCCCGAAAGCGTATACTCAGTCGCCCGCCGTGACGGGAACGTCTGTTGTGGCCGTGAAATTCAATGGAGGAGTTGCGATTGCTGCAGATAATCTTGGTACAACCTCAACCACCGCTGGAGCAATGAGAATACTTGTCTAACATCTCTTGATTTTAGCTTCATACGGATCTCTCTCTCGGTTCACCGACGTCAAACGCCTCCGTAAATTTGGCGATACTGCCGTCATCGGATTCAGTGGGGATGTCTCTGACATGCAGTACATTGACCGATTATTGGATTCTATCGATATCAGAGAAAACTACTCGGCCCACGGCAACACACTCAATGCCAAAAACCTCCACACCTACTTGTCCAAGGTTCTCTACAAGCGTCGTTCTGAGTTTAACCCCCTCTGGAATCACATTTTAGTTGCCGGTTTCGATGACAACAAAAAGCCTTTCCTCAGCTCTGCTGACTTACTGGGCACCACGTTCTCTGCACCACATCTGGCAACTGGATTTGGCGCCCACCTGGCTATTCCAATTCTTCGCCGGCTATTTCCCGAAGAGAGACCCGTCGAGGAGATCAGCAAGGATGAGGCCGTGACAGCGCTTCGGGAGTGCATTAAAGTTCTCTGGTATCGGGACGCACGGAGTCTTGACAAGTACTCCTTAGCAGTCATCACAGCCCAGGGAATCGACATCCAGGAGGACCAGCAGGTCGAGGCTCAGAGCTGGGCATTCGCGGAAACCATCAAAGGCTACGGGGCTCAAGTTAACTAGTTTCTTTGTTGATTGAAAGTGCATCAAGTCACTTTCAGAGCTTACCATATCCGCAATCACCTATGTGACGAGGTCCTGCCTGGAGATAAATTAAATAATACGGAAAGAAATTGCTTCATTGCGGACCTATACAGCGTGCCTTTGACCCGCCCAACTTAGCTAAGCCAGAGCAAGCTCACAAATGACCAGCGTTTTATGTAGGGACATCAAAGTTTAGACGATGGCTTATCGAATACTACCTTGTTCACACAGGAACCCACACCGTCAAGAGAGACCTCGACCATATCACCATCCTTTAGCCACAATGCAGGTTTGCGGCCCATGCCAACGCCCTGAGGCCTGTGTGTGGTAACAAATATCAGCATAGTGAGCATGGCAGCACCTGAACAGGGTTGTATGCAAATTGCAGGTATATAATATCGAACTCAAATTTGCGAGATTTGACTTACGTCCCCGTGAAAATTAGATCACCTGGTAGAAGAGTGGTGCTCTGAGAAAGAAATGATATGGTTTTCGCCACGCTGAAGATCATATCCTTGGTGGAAGACGATTGAACCGTTTGGCCGTTGAGTTTCGTTGCAATGTGCAGATTGTTCGGGTCGGAGATAATCTGTGAAGAGACAATTCCTGGTCCAAAAGGCGCCCAGCCATCGAAACCCTTGCCTAAGCCCCATTGGCCGCCACCAAGTTTGAGTTGCCAATCTCGGTGGGAGACATCATTCCCTACAGCATAACCAAGAATGTAATCGAGGGCCTGACTCTCAGGGACATCCTTTGCTTCCTTGCCAATGACAGCGACCAATTCACATTCGTAGTCCAACCCTTCTCCGTGCTGAGCCATAACTGGGACTGGGATATCGTCAGTCGGCCCGGAAATAGATGTAACAGGCTTATAAAAGAGCACTGGATATTTGGGCAAAGGCAGATTTGATTCTTTGGCATGTTGCTCGTAGTTCAGCCCCAGACAGCGAACAGTTCCAATGTCTTGCCTCGCCAACGGGGCTAGAAGCATCCTCACTTCAGCGATTTGGTCCGTGACATGATGCTTGCCGAAAATATTCCCCTGGATAACCCGCGCTTTTGTGGTCTTGGCAACGTCGCTGACACCGGTCGGCATAAGAGCGTCGCCGTAGTATGTGTTGCCGTCCTTAGCCAGGAAACGTACGAGGCGCTATGCAGGGTCGGATGGTCAGCTAAGGATGTCGAGAGGTGCTCGGGTAGCAAGTAGTATTGGGATATCGTCCAGCAGGGTGCGGCATCGAAGGATCTTCTAGTGCTGAAAGACTTACAGAAAAGGTAGCCATTGCATATGTGGGAGCCTTTCAGGTCGAGGGGATGATGTTGATATAATATCTAGTTTGGGAAAGAATGGATACTATATAGATTCCAGTGCGGGGAAGATGTGGAGGAAACCTTTCAGTTTCCACTCCAGGAATCAAGAGTCAGGAGCCTGGAGTAATAGGACAAGGACAAGGACACCCATCGGCACCTACAGTACTTAATCGACGGCCCTCGGCTCGAGCACTCTCGGCCGGGAAAACTACAGGAAAGTTAGCCTGGTCGTAGGTTAAGGTTACCGTCTTCAGCCATCTGCAACTAACTACAGTACCAAGTACTCCGTAGTCCAAGCCGTTCCGTTGTGTATGTCCCTCTCCTCCCGAAAATCATCAGTCTGTGGTTCTCGTAAAGAATGTCCCGCAGTGCCGATAGATTTCTGACTATTATTGTGACCTTCCAGCGAACACAAATTCACACCCGGATTCTCAGACAGACCCAATGGCACGGCTTTCAGGTCTTCAGCGGGAGGTCTTATCTCTCTACCGCAAATGCCTAAGAGAAATCAGAAAGAAGCCTGCTGTGAGTCAATCTATTGCATGCATTGAGAGCAACAGACGGGTCAGGTGATAGAGTGGCTAATGTGATGATTCTCGGTACTAGGAAACCAGGGAGAATTTCAGAGTCTACGCTAGGTTGGACTTCCCAAATGAAAACCAAGCCTTTGTTCCATTCTGATTTAAGCAGGGCCGAGTTTCAGAAACAGGTGACAGTCAGTAAGAAAGACTTCACTGCGATAGAGTATCTGCTACGGAAAGGGCAGCGACAGCTCGAGACGTATTCTTCACCGGGCATTCGCAACATTCGCTAAAATGCGCAATGACGGTTAATCTCGGTATGAACGAAGCATCCATCTCGGTTAGCTTGCTAAAACAGTGCAATACCAAGAGAGGTATCGGGCCCTCTGCCCCCGAAAAGCCCACGCATTCAATTAGAGGCAACCAAGAAAAAAAAACGGAGTACGGATATTAAATCACGTGATCCTTGCAATCGAACGTCATGGAAGGTTCATATCTCTTATCTTATCGACTGGCGATGGAAACATCCAGCGACATCTTGGACTGTCTAGAAAACAAATTTGGTCAACCCTCCAGGTTATGCCAGAATGCCCGCGTGAGTTCTTGATGGCGCTTAGTCGCTATGATGGCACTTTCTGGAAATTGGACAAATAATGTATATAGCTCGGACATGTAACAGCTTCTGCCTCATCTCCATCCAGATTTCAGATTCACTTTACCAATCAGTCCTCTATTCTCGCGCGACATATTCAATTTGTCAAAGTCAAGTCTACGAGATATCATCCTCAAACCGTCTATATTCAATCACACACCATGGCTTTCTTTCCCCGTTTCACAAACGACCTCACCCCGCTCTTTCAGCTATTAGATGATTACGATCATCATCGCTCGAGCCGCCCAAAGCCCAGAAAAGTCGCACCGTCGTTCTCGCCTAAAATCGATATTTGGGAAGACGACGCTTACCACCTCGCTGCAGAACTCCCTGGTGTAGAACCACACAATATCCAGATTGAATTCTCTGACCCATACACCCTGATCATCAAAGGAAATACTGGCCACAACTCTTCCGACGAAGCACGAGATCCCGTTACCAAGTTCTATCACAAGCCAACTGTTGAAGACGAGAACGAAGCGAATGACACTACGACGCCCGAGCCATCGTCAGACAAGTCTTCGGTTCAACAACTAGTGAAGCATAAAAACGCCGAGCCAGCCAGCAAGTACTGGGTATCTGAGCGGTCAACCGGCGAGTTTCACCGAGCTTTTACCTTCCCCGCAAGAGTGCACCAGGATGCAGTCAAGGCCAACCTCAAGAATGGCGTTCTATCACTCTTGATCCCCAAAGAACCGGAACCCAAAGTGAAGAAAATCCGCATCGAATAGGCGCACATCATCGAGCTTCGAGTTTATGATTGCGGAAGCCAGCATCCTCCGGATGGGCGAGATACGAACGTCATCCATACATCATGCGGAAGCACGAAAGGCCTTGATATGTTTGCATAGTAGGGAGTTTGGTTTTGCACGTTCATGGGCACAGAATCTTATCCTCTAAATGTGCTTATGCCTTCTGTATTTAATGTGTTTCATGACCTATACCTCAACATTAATCGAATTTTGCAGATTATAACATGATGGTTTCCTAAGTCGTACACGTAGGGCGCAGGTGGAGATTCCGTCGAAGCACTATCTGAGAAAAGCAATCCTGTGTCTTGCTCTCACCAATAAACAGCATTGCCGGAACTCGAGCGACAGCCTCCGGGGCATGAAAGTGGGACTACCAATGCACTGTTGTCTTCATATTTCTAAATCTCTCGAATGAATGTTGATCTACTTGGTGCCATATCGAACAGTTCCTTGCTTAACCTCCTATGCGCCTGATGTTGTCAATTGATTATCGGCTAGAGCTTATCGGCTAGAGCCACACAGTACTGGTGGAAAATTGTAGGCTGGTCTTCTCTTTGAGAGCCAGCGAGTAGATATATACATCGGAGAGATATGCGAGGGAATGCAAGTTATGAACGACGTAAAAAAGAAAAGGCAAATGCTAACCGCATAATGAAAAAAAAAGAACCTGCTCCTAGAGTATTTCGGGCGCTTCTGTCAAATATAAACAAGGATCGGAAAAACGGAAGTTGATACACAACCACCAGAGGAATATGGTATAAATAGCAGGAAATATCAAATCAGAGGCTCCATCCAGTCGAAAGAATATGGTATCGTAACATGAGGACCCAAACCAAGGAAAGCAAGACAGTGAGGATGATGGTTAGTAGGTAGTAAATGGAGTGTGAAGAAGAATTAGATATACATAGTGGAGAGACGTCTCCAACCAAGGAAATATCACGATAACACATAAGATTGTATTGATGAAAGGTGGAAGGCACCGACACCATCAATAGGCGTGCAAGCTAGACATGTCTTGTCAACCGGCGTCCTCGATGCTCAATGGTCCGGCTTCGGCTTCGACCCCGTGCAGTTTCCGAGGCCATGGTCTTCACACGTTCGTCACAAAGTTTAAGCTTTTCCTCTGCGACTAGCAAATGATATGTGTCATTGGCCGCTTTGTGACGCCAAGAATCGCTGTGCGTGCTGCTGCTGCTGCTGCTACCGCCGCCCTGAGTTCCACAATCGCTTGTTGCGCCGTTCTGAGAAGTTGACGTAGAGCTGTCCTCAGACAATGATGGGCATGTCCTGATACTCTCGTAGTGGATGTTTCTGGGTGCAATCTCAGCAGGCAAGTGCACGGCAAGATAAGACTCGGCGCCATGATGACATACCGACCCCTTGCGATTCCCTAGAAGAGGGTCATGGATACTGACATTGCTCATCCCAACATCAGAGAAAGAACTGTATCTGTTCCGATAAGGTAGACTGCTTGGCGACTGTGATGTGACAGTTTGGGCTCGCTGTGTTGAAGGGGACATACAATCGGAATCGGAAGAGGAGGCTTCAAGACTCCGCAGCTGACCACAATATTGCGGCGATGACATATAACCATTAGAGTCTTGCAGGACCGTAAACGAAGTGCTCCTGAAGCGCCCATAAGGGCGTGGCTGTTGTGTCTCGTGACACATCGAAGATATAAAAGCTGACCTGTCAGGCACCTCAGGTCCGCGACGACTGCTGCGTACTTGGAGACTCAATTGTCGATGCACGCGAGGCTGCTTTGTCGTATCCGGTGAGCCCGTAGAACGCCAATGTTGGACATTCTTCGAACCATTTCCATGTGTTGAACTAAACGATTCAGACCTAGACTGCGCAGGCACTCGAGGCTGGGAAAATCTTGCAGCTTGGTGATTATGATAGAAATGAATAGAAGTCCCGAAACTATAACCGCTTTCAGCTACAGGGTGTGAGTACGGAGGTATTCTGTGCCTGTGTTCTTTCATATGACCTCGTGGTGGGAAAGCATCTGCTCTAATACTGGCAGGTACAGAGACTCCTTCGGGGCTTGTTGCTGATGTGCACAGTGTCAATGAGTCGGGAATGGTTGGTGATCTCTCGAAAGAAAACGGGCTCGCCGGGAGATCTTCGTGCTTTGGATAGCCAACACTATCTGGAATTTGGAGTGAATATGTAGTAGGCCTGCCCCCAACAACATTCGACGGGGTGGCCTGGGAGGTCGGCAACTCGCCGCCAGAAAGATGTGTATATGATTCAGAGGCAGGCAAGTGGCCAAGATTGTTCATGATTCTTGAGGGCGCCAGACAAGGCTGCTCAAAAGAACTTCCTTCCATCAAAGGATGCAAGTTGTCTTGTCGCTCGAAGCGGATCGACTCCATTCCAGATGCACATTCTGACTGTATGTCTGGCCCTGGACTCTCGGGACATTTAAGCCTAGTTCTATCACTAGGACAAGGAGATGCGGATCCATTGACGACGCGTAATGATCCTAATTTCAAGGCTCCCAAGTGGGTGTATTCGAGTTCGTTCGGCGTAGGAGGACGTAATTGCGCCGAGGGAACAGCAGGTCTGGGAGTGCTCTCTCTAACGTCAGATGATAATCCTTGGCGCGGCGGATAGTGCATGTTCGTGTAGGTATTTAAAGGTTCACTTCCTTGATCAATCATCGGAGGCTGTCTCCGAGTTGAGTCTCTTGTCGATCGTCTTGTCGCGACCCCGGGCCGCGTCAACAGAGACCGTCGACGAATCAGAGAAAACCCTTGACTGTCGACCATGAAATGCGTGTTAGAGGACTTTGCTTCTTCAATCGTACTGCGGCGAATAGCACTAGGCGTTCTATGAGGGGTTGAATGGGTGGAGTATGATCGTTTGGGCTGCTGGTCAGTTGGAGATTGTGGGTCGGTTCGAGAGTTTGCGGACCGGAAGGTGTCTTGTCTAGAGGGCTGGAAGGAAGCTCGCCTGCTCATGGTAGATGAGCCGACAGTGGAAGCAGTGGGCGAGCGCAGGATTGAGCCCTGTGGCTCTTTTACTATGGACTGGCATTTTCGGGTCGCATTGACGGAAGGCCACTGCTTTCCAGGATGATAGGTGACGGAAGGCAGAGAATGGGACCTTCGTCCGCTCGAACCGGAATCATATGTATACGTGCTGATGGGTATTGATGCTCCAGTCCATGGATTCTGCCACGCAGCAGTGGGTTGCAGACACGCAGAAGAACTGGCAGGAGAAGGTTGATGGAATGCGGGGGAGTCGGCCGATCCCACTGTTGCTTGTTTCGGAGGCGGCTTTGACAGCCGGTTTGAACGGCGGCGGCGCTTGTCTCTGTGAACTGATGACGTCGTCAGGGTCGTCGTCGACAGAAAGCTTCCCATGGCAGCAGTGAGAGGCTTGACGACTAACAGGATCAGGCACCCTCCTAGTAATTTAATACCAACAGCACAGACTCAGCATAGAGAGAGTCCCATGGAATCAACTATGAAATGATGTGAGAATAGATATCGACAACCAGGCTCGAAGCGCCAGGCTTCTTGTTAGTAAAACCCCCGGAAGGAGATGTAGTCTTCCAGTTTTGATGCGAACCATGCAACAGACGTCAGAGACGCGCTAAGCACAAAGGTAAGGCCAAAACTGGGGTGGTTATTGTTTCAGAAGGTGCGCGGTTGACGCTAGGTTCGGCAGTGGAGTCGTTTGATGCTAAACCCCCTGAGCATAGACAGCACGAGTGAGAAGTGTATCAAATGTCGTTGCAATTCGCAATTGATGTGGTATTTTCCAGCAATTCTTCTTTCCTTGGCCCCCTCTCCTCTCCTGTGCAGATTTTGGGGGGAAGAAACAAAGCCGCCAGGTGTACTGTAGGGACGTAATTGGGATGAGGCGATTGGTTTTCGAGGGCTAAGTGTCGTGAGCGATGTGAGAGGTATGATTGATCAATGGACTTTTCTTACGGCCCTTTGGCACGCTGAAGGGGCCGAGTACCACTTTCTAGAGATATTTGAATCTTGGAAGGTGTAGTATTCAATTAGCCGTAAGCGATTTTTCCATTATTGTGGACAAAATGTTAATTAAAGCCTCTTGAACCCTGAATTATTGCAATGTCAGAGGGGATTTTGACTTGGGAGAAAGAGGAGGGGGTGGTGAGGGAGAGGATGAATCGGATCCAGCCCACAGACGGGCAAGATAGATTAAGAATTAAGAATTGGAGTCTGAGGTAGTCGATAAGCAAGGGAAATGAGATACATAAAAGAAGTGGAGCTCCACTGGTGCTGCCATGGTTGAGGGATGCACGACAAGACACGACAATGACGAATGCGTTTGTGGTCTCTGCTTCCCTTGACGGAATGGGGAGGAGGGGGAAGAGTCGGGGAAGGGAACCCGGTTCGATATGAACCGATGGAGGACGGACAGCGATGGGACAGATCGACAGCTTGAGGTAACGGTCGGGATGCAAACCAGCTTCGGATGACACGACTCAATCCAACAGTCCAACAGCTAACTAGCACTGCAGACTCTTCAATATCTAACTACTCCGTACTTGGATGATTTCCGGGCTGGTGGGAAGAAATCAGGAAGATTACGGTACGCTCCTGACATTAGCGGTTCTTTCGCCGTATTCCGCTTGATTTGTACTGGAGGTAAGCCTTACTTACTGTAAGTACAGTACAGTACCTACATACAGTGGAAGAAGCCATCAACTTATTTTTTAATGAGTCCCTGGGACACCTGGCTTCTTGAATTTTCTCCATTTCTGCAACACTAGTAGCATCGCAATACGAGCGACGAGAATCGTTAATCTGAACGGAGAGGACACTAAGGTTCTCAGGGTGAAGGACGTCGAAGGCATGGCATGGCAGCGTATAATTGGAGTCGAACGCCTCCTCTGAATGCGGACCGAGTGGCTCATTGCAGTGGCAATGGTGCCGTAGTCTTGAGCCAGCAGCTCCCCTGAAGTGTCGCAAGCGAAAATCAAACTCCCGCGGAATGTGCTCCGACGTAATCTGGATGAAGGACTCAGAACTTCACATCCTGTTCCGTAGCTTTCATCTCGTCTACTCTACCAAGACTGGATGATTGAGGGGAGGGGGAACCTATCTCGTCGATGCCAAACCAAAGGAACAAATCAGTATACTGTACGGTATATGGAAGTATGTACTTCTGTACTGGTATTGTAGGTAGTATTTGGATCGTCAGGTCTCAGGACTCAGGAGGACCATGGAGCTGGTTTAGGCCAGCAGCGATGTGGATCATTCCAGGGGAGAAAGCTTGATGGCTGAGGGAGATAATGTCCATGATTGGTGCTTTCTCTGCTCTCGACACTGGTCGCATCTAAAGGCGGCAAACCGGACTTTGGACACGACTAGGTGGTAGGTAGAGATAGTCTACTACAGTACTAGTTAGTATTAGTACTACCAACTATTCCACGGTACTCCGTAGTACTGTTTTACAGGCAGGACCTTGGTCTCAAGAAGATGCAAGCAACATTGCATGATGATGATGATGATGATGACTTGCCCCGGCGCCAAGGCGATGAATTCTCTACCGGAGTCCCGTGATGCCTTTTCGAAGCTCTCAGTATCTCGACCGCTCCAGACAATGTGAATGGCATATCCATTGTTGTTGTCCTGTCATATCCGCCGTTGAGTGCCTTACTGTTCTATACTACTAAGTAGGTGCCAACCTGCTGATCAATCGATCCTCTTCACTGCCTAGCTATGTTTTAGCTTTTGCCCCTGAATGAGATAGTCTGTCACCCTGAGTACTCTTGCCTGAGCACCACCGTAGCTATCCCAGCCTGACTCGTATCGAGAGTTCAGCAACAATGTTCCACATACAATAGACTAGCCTAGTCAGAGCTCTTGGATGGAGCCTTTTGAGTTTTCCACCTCCACTCACTGCACCTTTACCGCTTTGGAAACTTGTCCGACTTCGGTTCGGTTCGCCTCTTGGACGTTTGGCTAGATCCAGCATCCGACGTTCACTGCATTCCTACCATCACTGCATGGAAGAGTGTTTCTCAGCTTTCTCTTATCTACCCGAAAACGGCTGGCTTGAAAAGGCATCATCTACGGACCTGATTGAGGTGTGTTCGCTGGTCTAGACGTGAGCACGGTAGTCTTTGCATCCCAGAGCTGTCTGCAGCCCGATCTTGTCGGTCAGTCGTCGGATTACACCGCGTCGTTACCTGTCGCATGGCCTCTTCGACCTGCGCCCAACAGCCAGCCTTGGCGAACTTCCCTCTACTCACAAACAAAGAGTTCAATTCTGCCTGTCGCGAATTTCTCGATCGAGTTCGTTTAGTGGATGAGTCGACATCGAAACAGCTGACCGTCCGCTTGACTCAACGGGTTAGTTCCTGATGGCTATCTTCATCATCAAATCTAGTTCTTCACTCTCCCCACTGCCCAGCTGTGTTGCGTTACTCCGCGTTGTTGAGTCTCTTGTGAGCTTTTTATCCTATACAAGCACCATGGAGCGAGACCTCTTCCATCATCACCAATTGTAGAGAGAGGTGAACGTGCAACGCATCTTTTCGGCTTTACATGCATTCGTTGAAACTACGTTCTTCTCCCCACCCCTCCCCTCATGCCCCCCCCCGGCTCCCACAAATAACATCATGTATCATAGTGAGCTAATCTGCTAGACAACTGGTCCGATTCTGAGCATAATACGGCGGATCGCACACCCCGGCATCCCTACATGTGATGGTCTCTCGTTGGAAGACGAACCGAACCCAAGACGGCAGCTAGAGGCTTACGAAGATGACCCCGTCCGTGCAACAGCCCATGTCATTGTAATTGATTTCAGGAAAAAGAGAAGCAACGTCTAATGCACTATGAACAGGAAGCTCTCATCCGTACTACCGAGCCCAGCATCGGCTTACATGTAGTTTATGACGTTGTTCTTTCACCCACCTACCAAACCCCCGTTCTGTACTTCGGTTTACGGCGGTATGGTCACCCCGAACCGCTGGGAATCGACGCGATCTACCAATATTTGGTACCGAGCCAGTACAGGAAGGAACTCCGAAGCGTGGGTGTCATGGGTGGGATTAGTCTCGGCGTATGTGCAAGTACTCAGGATCCTAGCTCGAGCCAGAGCTTATAATTTGTAGTATCATCCAGATTCTGGAACCCCAGCATTCTTCGTTCACCCGTGCAACACTGCAGATGCTATGAGACAACTCGCAGGACACCGGCATGTCACTCCGGAGACGTATCTCATCATCTGGCTTGGATTGGTCGGAAATCGGTTGGGTCTTCAACTGCCAAGGGAAATCTTTGCGACAGATGGGATGCGAGGAATTCTAAGGTGTTAGATCTCGCAATCTCAACCTATTGAAAATTCTTCGCCTGGCATGCTCCCGGCATTCTGTCGATAGTAACCTGACCCACGTATACGAGGGCACCGTTAGAAATCTAGTCTTCATCGGAGGAAGCTTCCATTGGGACATCGCTATCCTCATCCATTGGAGCTTCCTCTTCGTCACTGTCTTCCTCACGAGGTCGTTTGACACCATGAGCTGTCTGATTCTCTCCGTTGGTTTCCTCGCTCGGTTTCGGCGGCAATGCTACTGATCCGGGAGGTCCGCTAAAAATCGACTTTTGCAGCTCGGTAGATGCTGGGCCAGCTTGGCCACCGGAGGATGCATTTGACACGTGATATGTTCCACGAAGCCTTGCGATCACGTCTGATGTGCCTCTGGCATACACAATTTTCTGTATGGATTCAGGGTTAGCATATGAACGACAACCATGAGCCGGAATGCGTAGTATATACCATCTGTTTGCCGAAGAATTCAAATCCCTGGAGAGCGCGCATGGCTTGCGTACTGGTTTGGACATCCTTGAAGACGATATGAGCCTGGCCACGCATTTTCTCGGTTTTCAGGGCGACGACATCCAAAACAGTGCCGTACGTGGAGAAGAGCATGTAGAGGGAAAGTCGCAGATCATGTTTTCGAAGTTTGTCTGGCAAGTTCGTGCAATATAAGCTGAGGCTGGTTAGCTCCGTGGTCTTGTGTCCGGGCGGCAGGGAATACTCACGTTTGATTAGGGAGACCACTGGATGGCGGTTTACCTTGGGCACCGCCGCGTGCAGGCATCACTTTCGTAGTCATGTTTGATAGTAGTGATTCCAAAAACAAAGGAGATGTAAAGAATTCCCAGCCGGAAATACACAATGTGCAATTGAGCTCAGAGAGACCGATTGACAACAGTGAGGATAAAGTCTGCGCGGCCACTAACATCTGAACAAGTGAACGATATAGAGTCATGTGATGTATTATCTAATCGGGGGGATCTCCCGCGTCATCGTCAGACCTATCTGTTACGTTCACTTTACCGACCATCCCTCCCCCCATTTCCCCTCTCCTCTCACTTCCAGGTCAACACTCCTTGGTCACCAACATCACAACAATAACCTCAGAACCCTGACAGTAGAGAGACCCTCCTGTCACTCTCGTTATCATGCCCACTCCCGAAGTTCATCATCTTTTTCATAACCCAATTGCTGATCATTCTTTTTCTCCGGACAAATCAACCCTTGCAGTTGCACGGGATAGCAATGTGGAGCTCTACCAGAAATCAGGCAACAAGTTCTCATTGACCGATGAGCTCAAAGGCCATGAGAAAATAGTGACCGGTGTGGACATTGCTCCCAATAGCGGTCGTATCGTTACTTGCTCGCAGGGTATCTCATCTCTCCTTTTTCAGGTTCCTGCCTCGGTCGCAGTCTAACATCGGATTCCAATACAGACAGAAATGCTTACGTTTGGGAGCGCACTCCATCGGGCTGGAAGCCAACTCTCGTATTACTTCGCATCAACCGAGCTGCGACTTTTGTAAGGTGGTCACCCTCGGAGCAGAAGTTCGCTGTTGGTTCAGGTGCTCGTGTGATCGCTGTGTGTTATTTCGAGGAGGAGAATGACTGGTGGATTTCAAAACATTTAAAGAAGCCGATCCGGAGTACTATCACCACTCTCGCTTGGCATCCAAACTCGGTGCTTCTGGCTGCAGGCTCCACTGACTCTCACGCTAGAGTCTTTTCTAGCTTTATCAAGGGAGTCGATACACGTCCGGAGCCGAGTGCCTGGGGAGAACGCCTGCCCTTCAACACAATCTGCGGCGAGTTCCTGAATGACTCCGCTGGCTGGATCCACGGAGTTTCATTCTCTCCCAGCGGCAATGCCCTTGCCTTCACTGGCCATGATAGTAGTATCACGGTCGTCTACCCGAGTGCCCCAGAACAGCCTCCTCGAGCGATGCTTAACGTTACAACCCGCCTACTTCCCTTTAACAGCTTGATTTGGAATGGAGAAAACGAGATCATCGCTGCCGGTCATGTATGAGATATCCAATCGCTTTAAAAGAAACACGGGAACTCGGAGCTAACTTCCGGATGCAGGATTGCGAACCATACCGCTTCGGCGGCGATGAAAGTGGATGGCAGCTTACGGGGACCATCGAAAACAAGACAGGACCAGGGGCCGGCAGTGCGCGGGAAGAGTCCGCTCTGCACATGTTCCGTCAGATGGATCTCAAGGGGCAAACTCAGGCCGATACCCAACTCAAGTCAACCCACCAAAACACCATCAGCACTGTGAGGGTGTATGAGGAGACCAACGGAGTTCTGTCCAAATTTAGCAGTGAGTTCATCCTATGCGGATCCTCTGATCAGTGCCTAAAGGCCTAACTAACTCCGGAATGCAGCGAGTGGGGTTGATGGTCGTGTTGTTGTCTGGACAATTTGAACTCATCTGATGATGGTTACAGGGAGAGGTCTAGTGCCGCAGCTTGGCACTTTCTTGCCTTTCTCTTCTGATACTGCACTACCATATTGTAAATGCTATGGTCACTGTAGGAACGCATCCAAGTACATACAATATGATCAAATATGTTTACACTCCGTGTGAGAGGTCAAAAGGCGTGCACGAGATATTAACCATCTGTTTGTATGATGATCGGGTAAGGTACCGTAAGGCCGAAGAAAACGGGATCCACCTTGGCGGTAACTTTCCCCGGATTGTTCGACGTCACGCACGCCTCGCCGCTCGTCACGGGCCCCTCGAGCTTCAGTTATAAGTACTTGGACCAAGCGGTCTCCCACGTCGCTTCATCATAGGAGTTGCGCAAAAATGCATGGAAAAAGTAAAGCAAGAGTTCTACCATGGCCATGACCCCGTTTTCTCAGAAAGTGTTTTATCTTTGCTTTGCTCTGGCCTCTCTTTCCCTTGTCCTAATTGCCCGCAACGCCTCCTTCGTTCCGGTTGAGCGGATCTTGCCTGATGAAGTCCAGCGTTCAATTCCTTGGGAGCTTTTTGATGCCTTGAATCAGCTCGCCCGAGTAGTAGACGTCTCATATTGTGTCGGTAGCACAGGGCTTCGAAGACCCTTCGAGTGTCTTAGTCACTGCGCCGATCTCGAAGGGTTTGAATTGATCACAGTAAGTGCCGAGTTCCTGATGGCAGAGAGGAAACTAGACTATCTCTAATAGTCGCCTTCTCTTGGAAACTTGAATTAGGCATGGAATACAGGACCATTCTTGTCAGACTCCTGCGGGTATATCGCCCTTTCTCATCCGCCGTCACCACGACAGATCATCGTCGCTTTTCGTGGCACCTATTCGATTGCGAACACTATCATCGATCTCTCTGCTTACCCGCAGAGCTATGTCCCCTATAACCCAGGCAATAGCACCGGACACGGAGCAGAGACGACGCTTCATTGTAAGAATTGTACGGTCCATGCAGGATTCATGACCTCCTGGCAGAACACACGCCTGATTGTCCTCGAACATGTCTCTGCCGCAAGGCTACAATATCCGGACTACAATCTGGTGCTAGTCGGGCACTCGCTGGGTGGGGCTGTTGCTGCCCTGGCTGGGGTGGAGATGCAGCTTCGAGGCTGGAGGCCGACCGTGACGACATTTGGGGAACCGAAGGTCGGCAATCGGGGCTTTGCCGAATACCTGGCCGCATTATTCGAACAACCGAATGGAACAGCGATAGTGCCCGTCGAGCGGTATAGATTTCGCCGCGTAACGCATGTAAACGACCCTGTTCCGCTCTTGCCGCTCGCCGATTGGGGCTATGAAATGCACGCGGGAGAGATCTTCATCGCGAAGGAGGACCTCCCACCATCGGTCTCCGATGTGAAGTTCTGCGAGGGGCATCAGGACGCGCGCTGCATAGCTGGTGCAAGTGGAGCTTCGGAGATCGCTCTTCACGAGACGGCCTCTCTCGTCGTACCCCCGCAGGGTCTCATCAGTACGCCTGCTCGCTCTTCCCGGCAGGAGGTGCTGGCGCATGGGTCCTCGCCTGAAGATTCTTCCCTAGACTCACAGGACGATGAGCAGTTCTACGGTGAGGCCTGGCGAAGACTCCACTGGCATCTGATCCCAACCCGCTTTCGTCTGTGGGAGCTCTTCTTCGCCCATCGAGACTACTTCTGGCGACTGGGGCTTTGTGTCCCGGGGGGGGATCCAACTGGTAAGGGGTGATGGTTTAGCCAGGTTAGTCAATTCAAGGAGCTAGCTCGCGATATGTTCTTTGCTTGCCCTCTGGTTTGGCACCAAACAAGCCTAAGATGCGAAAATGGAAATGTCTACCTTTTAACGATTTTCTTCCTTCTGCTCTGAGATTGTGTTTCACGCAGCGGGCTAGTCCCATAATAAGATTCTACCAAAATGTGCCCTCATGTTTCATGAAGAAGAACGTTCATCCGACAAGCCGTGCGCATTTGCAACAGCCTAAACCTAGGTTCCTTGATTGGCATCTAAGGGTGACCAAGCAGAAGCGATGGACACATGGTCTACCTATTACCATCCGCGACGATACAGAGCCCACTCATCTGCACTCCTGGCAGGGATTCTTCTCTCCGAGTGTCTCTTACGGTAGACATTGGACCGCGGAAAAGACTGATAGCATGCTCGCGGGTGAAGAAGCCAACATCTTCACACAGCGAATATGGGCGACAGCGTGCTTCCACCTTGCCTCAACCTCTGAAGTCACAAAGATATATGAGAATGAATGAGAGAATTGGGATTATTGAGAAGACTGCCATTCTGGCCCGTCCATTACGGCCGTGGTCTAGACAATGACTATCTTCCCCATGTAACTTTCTGAGGACGGTACAATGCTGGAAGGCCTTTTTGCCCCTGCTTATTTTACCGTCTTCCGGGCAGTGTGATTCGTTGAGTGTTGATGAGGATATGTACCTTATTTGACTATCCACCTCGCTGTATTGGCATCGCTCATGAAACGTCATAGGCCTACCTAGTCCTTTCCCACGCACGCCTTGGTGATCAATGGATCCTGTAACGTCAACTGACATGAGTTGGTACGATTGACTAAGGCGACTGGTGTCCTGCTGCGGTATTAATCTCCATGAACCAAGCATTTTGTAGAATGTATCATGTATCACGGCAAGGGGGACAGGAAGGTGGCGGCGCCCGTTTAGAGTCTACCTACGGTAGCGGACTACAGAGTTTTTAGTTCTCCTTGACATAATTGATTATCAGCAATGCAGAAATTGAGTAGATATCTTGTCGCTAGTATCATAAGACGACTGGCTAATGGAAGGACGGATGACTCGATCATGCATGCTCCAAGTAGATTATACCAAATGCCTCGCGAACAGAGCTTTAGTAACAGTGCCGTTTATCAAGAGAATAGATGGAAGAGGATAAAGAAAGTGAAAGGAATATTAGAACAGAAGAGAGGGATGAAGGAAATCAGAAATGAAGGCGGGGCGAGAGAGAGAGTAAAATATAAGACTCATGTTTGTCCAGTTCATTGTCCAGGCTCTAGGCTAGGGACAATCACCGGTCCATATTTTACAACGGCCCCAAACGTTCCGTCTCCCTGGACCATGAAGTCGGCGGCAAGGTTAAGTTTTCCGCTTCCATGGCTTGCAACAGCCTGCCCATACATCGTGTTCACAGCGTCCGGGTCATAGGCAACGATGGCCACATAATTTCGACGGCCCATCAGCTTGCGATGCTCACGACTTTGTCCTGTGACATCGGACTGGAAAATCTCCATCATATCTTCCTTAGTGTCAGTTGGCTGTGATGGTGTCGAACGGTGACCGTTGGCTGGAATATAGAGGGGTTTGTTGTTGCTGTGAAGCATTTTCATTATATATGAGGGCGGGGGGCTGTTCACAACCGGCGACGATATTAATTGATACATTGTCTTATGGTTCGACGAATGGGCTGGATCATGTACTAGTCCAGCACCGCAGGCATTCATAGCGCCGGAGAGGAATGTCATGCGCAAAGACTTCTGGTGAGAGATGCCCTGGAGGGTGCGGATCAGATAGGTCCGCTCGAGGTCCTGCGCATCCCATCAGTGAATAAGCTCGAACAGTTTGAACGAGTTTTTACGTACCTTGGATTCATGCGTCCATTGGTCTCGAAGCTCATCCAGAAGGTCCAGTTCCCCGAACGGACTAAGGATGCCCCCCATGAGGCCGGATTTCCCTACAGCACGCTTGACAGAGTTGAAGCCGGAGCCTACCATATCCTTGGCTCCGACCACGCCAGCCACAGAGCTGGTGACTTTCCCAAGAACATTGTATGCCCCAGTCACGGCTCGCTTCCCTGTTGCAACGGTGTGCGCTATATGTTCTGCTGTTTCTAGCCGCGGATAGATGATAGGCACCGAAAGCATCCAGAGACAGTGCTGTACAGTAGGAGGAAGCATAGCCACTTTAGGAAAGATGCCTTGGTAGGTTGGTCCAGCTATAACCTGATGTGGGTTGCGCTCTGATCGGCAATCTAGCCCAACGACGACCACGGCCGGTCCCAGAAATTTAACAAAATGCCAGCCCGTGCCAGTGATTGTGAATAAATCGGTGTCAGTTCTAGAGCTGCGGAGCAAATCGAGTGTGGTGTGATGCTGGAAGAGCAAATACATCTCCGTTCCAACTCGGCCTATATTCTTGAACATATTCGAGAACTGCATGTGCTCCGGGTAAGAGCCATATCCGTCGAAGCTGGAGTCATCAGTAGCTGCTCCTTGTTCATGGTGAGAGTGGGCTTACATGTCATGATCGTCGATCTGGCAGACATATGGGATCTGGGCGAATGATTCGCGTAGATAGGGCTGATCGAAATGACTCGTGTAGTAATGGAAGTAAGCATGGGAAACGTCTTCTTCATGGGCTGTGGTCCACGGCGCACTTTTTCGGGTTTCTTTCCCGCTCATTGCAAGCCATTGCTTCAGACATGAAACCTCCTTCCACATCCGATCAGCGTAGATCTGGCCTCCAAGGCATAGCTGAACATGGAAGCCACCGATCTCGTTGTGTTTCTGCATAATGTCTTTCCACATGAACCCTATACCCCCAAGACGGGACCGTTCATTTGCATTCACATTCAATGAGAAATCGTTCCCGGACGTATTGATGAAGCGCCAGCCGGTATCGTATCGTCCAGCGATCAGGAACTCATACCGTGTGCAGCCCAGGTGAGACGTGATGGCGTATGTCCATTTAGCAGGCCCGGCTTCATCCATCTGTAGATCGATCTCGTACTTATAGAAGGTCCACCGCCGGTGCACAGCGATAGGTGTTGCTTTCAGTTGGCGCGGATTTGGTGAAAGGTCAATGCTCTGATGAATATGTATTGTAGGTGGTTGTGCCGCATCAGTGACCAGAAGAATGGAGCCCATCCAGATGCCCCGCTCCACATCCATATTAGTGTAGCGAAGATACGGGCCAAAGTATACGCCGTTGGTAGGTGCAACTTTGTATAAATCAATCCCACTACTTGGGGGCGGGCCGCTGAACCCTGCCACAATCGGGGATTGCAGGCTTTCATATCCTGGTGTCAGAGGGAGACCAGGAGATGTCAATGGTTTACCAAACGCCGAAAATACCGGCGAAGCCAAGGGATGACTGCTATACACGCTACCCACCGGCGACAAAGGGGTTTCATTGAGATTCAACGGCGTTGGTCCTTTGGGAAACTCCCATTGGGTGGATTGGGTCGGCAGATGAATGTAATAATATTGCCCCGAGTTGGAATCCAGGTGAGCGATCCATCCTTCGGGTAGTGGTGGCGGAGAAGCTGGTGGAAGCCCAGAGGACGAGGACGAGGCTAGAGTGTTGACCTGAGCCTGTTGGAGAATGGGGTGATGACCGTTCTGGGACGAAGACGTTTGCCTGTCATTCTCGGGCGGCGACGCCAGCGATTCCTGCCTTCGTAGATCGTTTGCAAATGCTGGATGAGCGGATTCCACTGGTGCGGGGACCGAAGCGGCACTACTCAAGGGACTTGTAGTCGTAAGGCGAGGGTCTGCAGCGAGTGGCTCTCCTGCTGATACCGGAGCGCGCTGCTTCTCGGCGGGATAGGCTTGGGAGCTTGCGGGTCCTGATACACTCGAATAGGCAGGTGGCGGGGATGAGCTGATGCGCATCCGCTCGAGGTCATGTTCCAGAGCATTTGGAGGAATTCTTGTGGGTTGCTGAGCTGATGCAGCCTGAAAAGGTGTCCCTGCTGTTGGTCTACTTGGTGGACGATTCTCGTCCGACACAACCCCCGCCCCTTGATAAACGGTAGGTGGTCCATGAGGTTGCGTGCCGGGCTGTTCAGTCGGGGTCCATGGCCGCGGAATCGGAGGTGCTGGCTGTCGGTTTCGGGGCTGCTGACCGACATATTGCTCTGCTCTTCTCTGCGCGGCGGCACTTTGCGCCTGTAAGCCGGCCAATGTCGAAGTCCCAGCTATCCCGGAAGCTGCATATCGAGCCTCGATGTCCGAGGCGGGATGTTGCCCCGGCTCGACCACCGGAGTCTCTGGTGGCGGGGGCGAGCCACGTTGAGCACGAGTAGTCGAATTCGAGGCCGTGGAGCTGATCCGGTTGATCGTGCTATTCGGCTGCAGATTAGTCTGCGAGACGGCAGGTCTCGAGGATGCTTGTGGAGGCGGATAGTACGGCTGATGTTGTTGTTCGGGAACAACATGCTGAGAGTGTGCGCCGTCAGTTGGTGCTGCAGGGCTTGGGAATCGTGGGTGAATCCTAGCAAATAATCCTTCCCTGTCTGGAGAATCGCCACTTGGAGATTCCGGGAGCGGCTTTGGGACGTTTCCTCGGCGCTCAGCTAGAGTAGCTTGCTTTGGTTCGCGACCATCCCGCGGCCGCAGGGCTGCGGGATACCCCGAAGGCCGTGACGAGATATGATTGGGAACAGTGGGGGAGTCGCATGAAACTGCTCCTTGGCTGATTGGACTGGAACCACTGGAACCCGAGGTTCGGATTTGTTGGGGTCTTTGTCGGTCGTCCGGGTAGGGCAGAACGATACCGTTTGACGAGGCCGGCGAAGGAGTCTCTCGTTTGCTAATGCGTAGTGGTTCAATGACCGGCGACTCAGGTTGCGAGGGCCGCGGTGTAGTGGTAGTCAGAAATAGCTCCTCCTGGGATCGGCTGCCCTGACGACTGGCGCCAGCACTCATATTGGGGGACGGAGATCGTCGTAGAATAACCTGGGCTGGGTAATTGATATTTTTATGAATTTCGCGAGTCGAGCGACAAGTCTGCGACCGCGGGAGTCGCCACGGGGGACCCGCGGCGGGGACAATGTGAAGGTGGAGGTGGAGGAGGAGGGGGTGGGAAACGGTTGGGGAAATTGAATGTGATGGTGAGGATTGGCCCTGGGAGGTAGGTTGGTGGGCGAGAACCGAAGCTTGAAAAGGAAGAACAAGAAGAAGAAAAATAAGAAGCGCGAGGGAAGAGGAAGAAGATAAAAAAAAGAAAGAGGGCGAGGACAAGGAGTTGATGAGGGGGAGGATAAGGCAACAGGCGTATGTACTGTATGTACCTTACGGCAGAATGCATTTGCAGGAATAAATGGACTGAGATAGCCGCCGAGGTGGTGCCCAGCGGTCGAATCATTGGCTCCAGTAGACTCGGCGCCGGTTATGGAGGGGCAACTGAGTAGCGAATCGATGCTACTACTATTAACTAGTAACTTGGAAGTCACTAAAAACCCCAGCAACCAAGATGATCAGCTAATAAGAAGATAGGGATCGCTCGGCATTAATTCAGCGTGTTCGTGGATATCATGAGCTACTGAAACGGCTATAGACACATTCAGAAAGAGAGAACGAGAGAGAGAGAGAGAGAGAGAGAGAGAGAGAGAGAGAGATATACATATGAATTGCTGTCGACCAACCCCAGAAAACAAAGAAGCTCGCCTAACTCACCCGTAACTGACTAGTTGGAGCCCGTGCTCGGATAATACTTCGACCCAGCTGAACTCTTGTGCGTGCTCACCGCGGCTGGAGTGTTGGATTTGGCGTTCATAAATGACTTGCAGGATATGGCACGCCGTCGCTGCGCTAGACCCTACGTCTGTCTCCTCGAGACCCGAAAGCAATTCTAAAGCCATCATTTTAAGACTGCTCGAGGCAGCAACTGCTCCCGACAAAAAGAGAGGGAAAATGATTAACTGCTTGTCACCCCGACGATCTCGGCTCAGAAGCGTTGAGGAGATCTGGAGAATGATTGTGGCGTGATGGTGAACGGTCTCCTCCGACACACCGCAGGACCCAAGCCGTTGTCCAGGGTAGACGCTTGTGAAGGAAAAGAGGATACATGTGTGAAACAGGATAGAAATCTGATAGTTCCGAGCCGTTAGTATCCTCGCCTCGGGAGTTGCGAACAAGAAGGCACGCTTAGAACAGTTGGCTCACCTGCTGAAGCAAATCATGCGACCGCCTTGGAAGGCTGGCCTGATTTTGGATTATGTATTGGATCTCATGATGATCCCAAAGTCTAGCCAGATCATCGCGGATATGCTCCAGTTCCTGCTGACGAGAATGCACTTGTGAGTCAAAGAAATGTGCCTTCGCTTTTCTTAGCTCAACAGATAGGAGCCCAAGACGAATAGCAAGTATGAAGGTATCATAGTATAGGCGTGAAAGTGTAGGTATACCATCGTATTCAGCATATAGCAGGCTGGGGCCGTTGTGCCCGAGAGGATGAAAGAGAGACTTGAGATCTAGGGGCAACTGATGGTCGAGTACAGCTCTTACGTACTCTCCCGTACCGGCACCGCTGAGGAGCGCGTATAGATCCACGTTGCAGGTCCACCAGATGACGAAAGGGAAGGGCTCTGCGCGGGGAAACGACTGCCGAAGCAAGGAGATATGAAGTAGTTGAGAGACATGATGAGACCAAAGACTCGGACTGGCAACATGTGAAGTCACGACCTAATAATTGGGAATCAGTATACACTGAGATGCAGGACCAGGATGCAGGTGCGGACCTCATATACGAGTAGCAAGAAATGTGAGAGGAAACTTCCGTCGGACACAAGATGCTCATGGCTTTGTATCCTATTGTGTAGAGTGGATATCGTTTGATGGTGGTAATGAGAAGGGTCGAAATTGTGGTGGTTCCCTTGACGGGCAAGACTCAGTGCAGATAGAGCCATCATTGCATGAAAAAGCTGCAAATCTGAACGTTAGACTATGCAGACCGTGGCGGTTATGATTGGTTAATACGTACTGGAGGAAAGCCGGCAGCCTCCTGTTCGAGAAGGTCGGCAGTCAAGCCATGGCCAATGGCCATGCCACCGCCGGCTACCAATTGCGCACAAACAACACGGCGGAAATGGTCCAAGAGGATGAGATCGTAATGGCCGGGATCGAGATTTTCTGGGACATGCTGCCAGCTATTTCCTGCGAAGTCGGAGACCGGTTCGGGTGCCGATGCAACAGAAAAGACTGAGCTCCCCGGGTCGGATTCTGGGGATTGCGAAGGACTTCTTCTGTGAGAGTATTGAGGTCTTCTTGTATCACGGAATCTGTGTATGATCACTACGTCTGGTCCGTAGGCCCACGTGTCGTTTTCAACGCGGTCACCTTCAGAGGCGACGGCCGAAACCAGGGAGACCATGGATAATTCTACCTCTCCCGCCCCATCCGTGTACTCCGGCAACTGAGAGAAGCTCTCTGGAACAGCAACAACATGATATGTTCCCGGGATAGATGACTGGGCTTTTCTCTCCCGCTCCTCATCTGAGGCGAGCATGACGAAGGGCGGAAGCATATCGCAGGTACGCGGGGCGGTCGGGGTGCTTGTCCGAGCTGCCCATGAGTTAGTTAACGTCGGACCTCGCGCTCGATCACACTACATCAATATACCCCACGAGTTGGGGCTGGGGAATGCCTTACAATTCCAAACCAGACTGCTGTTCATCTTGACATCTGGCATACGCTCCATGACGCGGCGGGTATCGTCACGGAAACACAAACGGGGTTGATAATCACAGACATGGCCGAGACGAGCACATTGCTAAATCACCAGATGTTAGTCTCGCCCAGGGCAATGCCAATGTGAAGACCAGAGGAGAGGAGAGGAGCTGTACATTGCACTGAGGATGGACTTCGTCGCACTTGACTATATCGCCACTCAGTAAGGATGGCCCTGGGACAAGAAGAATGCGAAGTAACTTGAGATGAACGGAATGGAGCAGCGCAATAGCTCCCTCTATGTTCGGGTGGGTCGGTGTGAGAGATGGGACCAGAAAGTGAGACTCACCCTTGCGGCTCTACTTCCGGATAAGCAAACAAGTTAGTAAGGGAGACGACCCTTGACGATATAAGGATAGGATGCGCTCACTCTACATGTCCTACAACCCGTTCATCGAATTAGAATGAGCCTGAACAGCAAAATCAGGCAAAGCAGGACTTACCAACAACCAGTTCGGGAACGGGGTGGAAAGCGAAGACGATGCTGCCTCGTAGATGGCTTTTTGGGCGCGGAAAGATCGGGCGCGGTGCTCGTGGTAGTGGTATCTTTGGGAGCGATGATGGGTAGCCGTAAAGGCCGCTTCCTTGCGGATTGACCGCGCCGGCTGGACATCACGAGGCTGACAACGGTCATTGAGCTGACTGACTCTGTGGAAGCAGCGAATCAGTCCAGCTCACCAGCCAGTAGAACGCTCAACCCTCGACCTACCGGGTTGCTTCAAGAGGCGCTCACTTGGCAGGAACGGTTGGTAGGTGCTTTCTCGGGATGGCAGGCTAGAAATAGATTGATTGACGGTCACGATAGGGGAAGAATGCATAGTCCAGTTAACTAAAGGGACATGTACTGGGGGATAAGGAATAAAAGTGCCGGGCTGCTGAGTCTCTGTGTATGCATCATGTGGAGGAAACCGAACGTAATAATATAGAACCGGAAAGCAAGAAACGAGGGTGGCAAAAGATGGGCGGGGAGTGAGAGTGGGTTTAAAGAGGGAAACAGAGCGAAGCGAAAGAGGCGAAAAAAAAAAGGAGAGACGAGTGTGCCAGACGATGGACGATAGATGACGGAGGAGGAGAGAAAGAAAGAGGGAGAGGAAGAAGAAGAACTCCGTATAAACAAACTACAAACTTACAGCGCCGATGCACACAATGCATGATGATACTAAGTGTTTTCCGAATCAGCCAGCCCTGTTGACGGTGGCGGTCCTGGAGCATAGAGACCAAGGCGAATCAACAAGGCCCAACACGACTTTGCGTTCTTCCCTCTTCAACCTAGTACAGCGACTACGGGCAGCCCCTCTCCATCCCTAATGTAGGAGTAACAAACGAGAGTGAAAATAGTTAGGACTTCGAATAGAGGACCAACCAAAGAAGAAAGGCCGGTCCCGAAATGGTCTAGTAGTCAGAATGCAGATGCCAACCATGTGGTCCCGGGGCGGAGACCCCCAAAAGAAGCAGCATGTTCCCTGCAGGCTTGACGCGGTGAAGAGGACCAAGAGGTTGAAGAGATGATGCAAGACCTCGGTGTTTCTGAACTTCTGATAGATCGATCCGCGGGTATCTATCCATGTGGAGCATGAGATGATCTACTGGCACAAGAGATTCTATTTTGTTCATCAGACCATGACTCCATGTCTATTTGTCACACAAGCACGTGGTTTTGAGGGAGGCGGAGGGAGAAGAATGGTGGGTATAAAGGGTAGAGGGTTCGAGCGAATGAAAGAGGGAGAGAGGCGGCAGCATAGAAAAAGTGAACTATTCTGAAGGAAAGGATCTATGGTCCTACCAAGCTTGCGGGATACTCATCATCCATGGTTCATCGGATTCATCTACGGTACTAAGTAGTTAGTCTAGCCCCCGGTGAGACTTGAGTTTCGGCCTTGCCGGTACCTGGTGGTAGTCTGGTGGGTGTTTGCCCACGCGAACTGGGAGGCTTGGCAATCAACACTGCCACTGATTGGCACTGCACTAACAGCTGCCAGCTGATCACGGGACTCATCATTCGGGTACATTGAAACTGTCGGATGTTGCCAGCCACAAACTAGACCCATTCCCATCGACTTAGCGAGTACTACTCCGTACTGTACTCCGTATTCTCAACCACACCAGCATCACACCTGTACTTTACTAGTTACTCGGAGCCGAAAACTAATTTCCCTCGCTCCGGGACTTCCTGGATCAACTTCCTGGGACCATAACCTTAAAACCTGTGCAAAGTCTTATCGTCAGCTGGAACATGGCTCTAAGTTTACAGCATGATCATTCCCACCTTTCCCTTTTTTTCCCCCCCTTTATCTTTGATATTTTTAAGACTGTCTCCTAGACGAGTGGCTAGTGCTGGCTAGCACTGGCCAGGCGGTCTATCGGAAGGTCAGACCCCGGGCCCGGGGACGGCCCTAACTTGACCTTCCTGTTTTAGGCTTGATGCTTGCTTGCATCTCCGAGTTTTGGACTCTATCCTTTAGGCCTCAATCGGATTTTGAGTCATCGAGGGTTAAGGTATCTGTCTGTCATTACCAATACCTTTGCAAATATCTCCATTCAAACAAAACTAGCCCTCCCAGAAACTTCGTCTTTATGTACAGTTAATGTACATACATCCTTCCAATCGTTCGTATATCCTCCTGACCGGTGAAAACGGTGAGAACCGAAGCCGGAGGAATGTTGTTCCTTTCTGCTTTTTGTTTCCGACGGCTTTCACTTCCGACCCTGTCATCCTATCATCCGAAGTCTCTGATCCAGTTTGATACGAGGTTTCGCACTTATACTCCGCTGAGTCTTTTGTTCCTTTTCTTGACACAACCCAACCCATCGGGATCTGTGATCCTAGCCCTGACAAGCCCAATAATCACGCTAAATTAGTCTGCCAGTCGCAACAGATCAACCGACTCTCCTTTCGTGCTCCCCTCCCTCCGAAGCGCAAATCGCTCCGCCCCCGCGAGAGACTCGCCTGGGCCAATCTAGATCTTCGGCATGGCCGCTGCCATCGGTTAAGCGTTAAGACTGATTCCCATCGATCCATTCCTATCGGATCCGAGCAAATCCATGGAGGCAAATTTGCCTTCGCCTTCTACGATCCAAACGAGTTAGATACCGGATAATGTAAGTATCGCATGGTCCTTCCAATGCTTCCTTGACCAGTCGACAGTGACGCTACTGAGGCGTATGGAAAGACTGCCTGGCTTTCGGATAACATCCCTCAGGGTGCTACAAATTATTGCAAGCCAGAGTCGATCTCATATCTTCGGCAAATAATTGGTCAAGGCTGTTTTCCCCTCCCGCCCTTAGGCTCCTCTTCCATTCTCTACCCCAGACTAAGTTATTTTCTGGCACTGCATCTTTCACATCTTGCTTTTTTGGGGGAGGTTTATTTCTCCCTGCCTTCCGCCACCCCCCCCCAAATGGGAAACGAACCACTTGTCGGGCGTAACACTTCCAGTACAGCGCCTGGGGGATGGCCTGGACCAAGCTCAGCCCGACTAGCCTAGTCTCATGATCAATGCATGTCTCTCTCTCTTCCTCCCCCGCCCCGCGCGCGTCTTCGCCCCTATCGGGCCATATCTGTTGTCATTTGATGCCCAGTCTGAGACACATCCCCCGCATAAATTGGAGCAGACACTACGAGCCGTATCCATCTCACAAGATTCGATCCAGTACTTGTCGCACCATTCCCGATCGTTCCTCTTTCCTCCACGTCCTGATAGTCTCCCATAGTGTCTCCTCAATCGGACAACTCATCTGCTCGCACAGCTTCACATATGAAGCAGATGCCTGTGCGCGGCCTAAACGTACCTTTTCCACCGAGGTATCGATATCACGAGATAGCATTTCGTTGGCTAGCGCCGCCAAGGCTTCTTGGACACCGCGTTGATCAACTTCGCCACCCTGCCCGCCGATCCATGTCCCTAACTGGTCGAAAACTGCGCAAAGCTCTCTATATAGTGTAGTCTGCACGTTTCTACCTCCGCGACTCATTGCTCGGCGCAAACCTGGCATAACACCCTCCAGGTGTTCCTGGACAGCTGGATCGTTGTTAGCGCCCAATCAACCTGGGAGGCCGGGTGCAAGCGAACTTACCACTGGCCGGCCGATGCGGTACCGGCCGGAGACAATGCAAGAGACATTCAGCACATGCAGCCAACGTGTCATCCAGTATTTGCCTAAAGCATTTGTCAGTCTTTATCCGCTCGCCTTGTGTGATTCGATTGAAGGCTAGTAACGAGGGTTGCATGCAAGAGCCACAAGGCAGCCTGATTAGTAGACAAAGTGCCCTGAAAGGTCTCCTTAGCTGAAGGGATCCAACTTACGTAGGTTTCGGGCCACTCTCCGAATCGACCTCCATTGGATCACCGTCCTCTTCTAACTGATCTAACACACGAGTGACAACACTGATAACGTCCGGCATCAAATCGAGGTCTTCGCGTGCTTGTGACACCTGGCCGAGAACAATGAGCGCATGCGGCCGGTAGATCACATTGTTTCGCCTGGCTTCTCGGATGGTAATTGCCTTATTCGAACGCGTTAGTATTTACCGTTCAAAAGCGCAAGACGACCACGTGTGTTCGGGAATGACTTACCTTCATAGAGTCTGCTAGCTGGGGCTTCGCTTCCCATAGTCTCTTCGCCTGCTTTGCGAACTTCGCAAAGGCTTTCAGCACCACCTCTTTGCCATCCCATGTCTTGCCAGCCAATGCCCTTTCCAAGACGGGCCATATGTATTCGCTCGTAGCAAGATCGATCTCAGCATCGAGGGAGGTGACAGCATTAGCAAGCCCTAGTGCGGCCGTATGCTTAATAGCCCAGCGCGCCGATTCTAGGTTCGTAGATACGAAATCGACAATCTCTTTGATGTATAGTGAGACTGCGCGGTTACCCCCAACATTATCCTGCCATGTTTTCTCGAATACCTCGCGGACATGCTCGTCCAAATCGTATCTGGAGACAAAGATAAATGGCAGTGCCGCTGATGCAAATGCTGCGAATCGGTCACTAGCTAACTTCGACGTTGAAAGTAAAATCTCGGCTGAGATGACCCGCTGGTTCGTGTCCTCGGCCGTAAGGTAGAGTTTTTTGGCGTGTTCAACCGTTTTCAAAAACTGCTCATCGGAGGCTAGGCGCATCAAGTAGCCGATTGAGGAGCAATACGACGCGCTAACAGTGTCATTGCGATCCACCACGTATTTGCCAAGCAGTTGAATGAATCGGTCCGCAAAGGGGCGCAGTAGTGTGGTTCGCATGCTCAGGAGGACCAAAACACGACTGCAGCCTACCTTGGATGGGAGTCCCACAGCCGAGCGTAACACTCCCTCTAGCCTCGAGGCAAACTCTTTCATGCCCTCTTCATCAAGCATATCGATGAGATATCGCTCGATGACCTCCATCATAGGAGACGTGCGGATGCTGGACAGACGCATCTTGTCGATATCTTGGCCCGTAAGTCCATACTTGTCGGCGTTGAGGTGGACGTAGTTCACGGCCTGGGGCTCCAGGGAACTCAAAGAGCTCAAGAACTGTTCTATCATATGGGGCACAAATGGACGCAGTGGCTTGCTGGGGCATTTCTTGATCATCTGGATGAGCGCTCCGATAGCAAACCCTTGGACTTCTCCAACCCCAGACTCCACACCCTTGTCACTCAGTAAGAATGGAATAACACTCTCCAGCATTGAACCTGCTTGCTTCGCATCGGACTTGCTTGTCTCCAGAGTGCGTATAATCGCATTAGTGATTGTCTGGCAAAGCTTCATCGCTGACACCCGGACTGTTTCCTTGATATCGTCCAGAAGCTTGAAAGCTTTGGTGAAGATCTCATTCATATACCCAGCATACATTTCTGGCTGGCGTCCCTGAATGAGGTCGGCGATAGCGGCACAACTCGCTTGACGAGCCCTCCATTCCCGGCCCGATAGCATGCTCTTCAGTAGATCAACCATAATCTCATCAAGGTGGGCATCGATCACTTCTGTCGGATTCTTGACCAGGGCCCGCCATATGGTGTTCATCGATCGCTGCACGTTCGGATTCGGGTCGAATCTGTACCGGAAAAGCTTCGGGTAGATCTTGGGGTTCCTTGAAAGGTAACCGTCCACGCTCGAATCAGAAAATATGCTGCTTATGCCCAGTTTGCTAAATGCTGCACGGCTGGTCCAGAGAGCATTATTCGAGGCCAGTGACATAAACCTATAAACAAGAGTGGGGTCCCCTGCTTCAGCTGCGAGGTTCATGATATCTTTGTAAGTATTCACAGACGATCCGCCCCCGGTCGGCAAGGCTCCTGGCTCGAATAATTCGGTGTCCCGGTTGACTCGACCTCCTCCGAGGTTGGAATGACCTTCAGTGAACGAATTGATCAAGTCGCGCACTAAGTCGTCCTTTAGTTCTTGGTCACCCTGCTCGTACACCAGACTCAGGCCTTGGGCTCCGGTTTCCTGGACGACCTCTTCACGGTCACTGAGAAGACTGCTAAAGCACCGTTGGAATTGCACTAGACGGGATTTCACTTCAAGCAAATGGCCGCAGTTTTTGACGAGGCTCAGGAGCCATATAGCAGCAGCCTTTTTCAGCGAGGGTTTTGATGCGCCGCAGTCAGATAAGACCTTGTCGCATACCTCGGCGAGGACTGACCCTGGAATCTCGGACACAGGAACTGCCTCGTCGACGTCGAATTCAAGTGCTAGGGACTTAGAACTCCATCCTACTGCAGCATTACTCAGCGCCTCGCCAACTGTGAAGTGAAGCTCTGGGTTGCGATTCTCATGAAGATCGTAGAGGGCCTGGGTAAGTTCAGCCGATCGTACATCAGCGGAATCAGCCCTCGAGAAGGTCATTGACAACAGTCCTATCGCCATAATGGCCACTTCGTTCTCTGCTTTGGCGTCCTGAATGAGGTGCTTTCTAATCATTGACCAATTGGACTCAGAAAGCCTGGAATATGAGAGCAGATCAGAAAGGCCAAGTCTTCCAATGGCAGCCTGAGCAGCCCGACAGATGAGAGAGTCACGGGCGTTCTCTATCATATCGCAGAGAATGTCGATGAACTGACGCACATAAGCTTCCGGCAATCTGGAAATCATCTTGCGGAAGGCGAGTCTGCTCAGCAGATAGGATAAAGCCATAACTGCCCCTCTGACCCTGAGTGCTACCTCCCCGATCGCAACCTTCCACGTCGATATAGAGTTCAGTAATTCCGTGGCTAAAGCGTCCATATCCATGTTAAGAAGAGCGGGATGGGAGGCTATGATGCCTATAGCTCGTGCAGAGACGTCTTGAGTTTCTTGATCATTGCTGCTCAACGGCGTCTTAAGTGCCAATGTCTGCGGTACCACTTTTTCGACTATGCCATTGGGGGCCAGAGAACATATACTGAGGAAGAGCCTCCCGCATTGCTGTCTACCTGTTTGACTTTCGCGAGACAGACCGGCTAGCGCACCTGAAAGGAACATAGCGATGGCATCTTCATCAGTAGACCGGAGGTAACCTCTCAACGCATCTCGTGCTTGTTCTTCAGAGCTAAGCATCACATCCAACTTGACATCCCAATCATGTTCTATTTCGAACTGAGTGCCAGAGGCAGTGATGGATTCCCAAAACAAGATGTTGCGGAGAAATTCGATAGCCGAAGGAAAGGCGTTCCGATAATTGCCTGATAGAATCTCCTCTGCAGAGGATCCAACTACACCTTGCGAAACAGTGGAGTTAAGTAGAAAGCGCACTGCATCGGTGAATCCCGGGAAGGAGTACCAGGATGACAGCTCCTTGGATGGCACGTTGTGATCATTGTTTGCATTCTGGAGTCGAAACCAGTAAGGATGTAAACCTTTCTTTCCCTCCTCTACTACTTCATGATGCCTTTCGGAGCCGTGTGCAACGGCCATGAGATCTATCCAACGGGCAACGACATCACTGTAGGGTAAAAACCGGTTCGCAAAACGTACTGCAGCATATTGAGGGTTGCGGACAACGGTCAATCCGGTCAAGGGGTCCTCTTGTCCAGGCTGATTATTCATTTGTTGAAGGAGAAAAGGTCTCAGTTGCGCTTGGAAGTCATGATCACAATCGTTCATCGAAGAGCTGAGAATACTTCCTAGTGCCTGTTCAATGCTGACAAAGATCTGTGCGCTCGAATCGTCAGAGCTGAGTGACATGAACAGCCACTTGATAAGTTGAAAACCAGATACAGCATCCTCTGCCTTTTGGCTTCGGAAGTCCGCTTTTGGGACCAGTATACCTATACACTCGTAGGCCATACCTCGCAGGCTAAGCTCCGTCTGTGGAGGCCTCTGTCCACTTGCTGCCGGACTTGGCCATCCCTGGGACTGAATGAAATCCATTAAGCCTGCTATGAGTTTCGGTGCCATGTGTTGCAAATCATCTGGCGAGCCCATCCTCACGACCCAAGTCATAAAATTGAAAAGCTGTGTTCGCAGCTTCGACGCTTGCAATCCCTGTACGGACCTTGCACTGTCTGATAGAAGGCTTTCTTCAATCACGCGCATCACGCGTTCTGCGTCCCTAGTAGCCCTAATTGATCTCCCTAGAAAGACCAGTAACCTAGTCTGCAGAGCAGGTCGCGCTGGCGGAGCCCCATCCGGTGTCCCTGTGCCCAGGTACAGGTCGTACAGCTGCCGTACGACATCTGGATCCTCAAGGCTTGGCACAAACCTCTTGAGAATCTCCTCCCCGACATCAGAAAGACGAGAATTGGCATCCGCAGATGCGACCACAGCGGGCAGAAATCGCTCTGCGTTATCAAACGCTCCACTAGCTAAAAAGCGGAGGGCATTGACCTTAGTCTCAGTGAGATTCAGCCCGCCATCCAAGGACGCATTCCAGGTGCCGGTGATAGGCGCATCCTTATTTAAAAAGGCATATTCTGCTGGTGATAATCCTGGACATGTGGCCCTGTCCTTGTCCGCGGGGGAAAGAATGAGCAATTTCCCAAACAAGGATGATAGGAACTTCGTATCCTGGTCAGAGAGACCCAGTTGAGACTTCAGTTTCAGATCCTCGTCGCTATCCTTTGGTGGTAAATTCATAAGAGGGAAAAGCCTCAGAACCAAGTTAAAGACAGTGGCAGCTTGATTGGAGGATGTGCCGATTTCGGAAATGCCTTGGAGCAAGGGCAGTAGGATTTCGACTCTTGCACTTGATCCTAGTCGATGAAGTCCCTGCTGAACATAGAGAAGATCAAAATGTCTGATAAGTTGGGATTTTTGTTCTTTGAATTGCTTCAATAATGCCGCCACGGGGAGCTTGATAGTGGGGTTTTGAACGCGGGTGTTGATATGCTGACAAACTGAAATGACTTTGTTGCGAACCGCAATGCTCTCTGAGCCCAATTTCAACAGCAATGGTGTCAGGTAAGTATTTAGGAGTGCCTCAAGCTTATCATCAGAGTCCGCAAGGGCGATCCTAAGCTCCACCTTGGAAATTAGGCTCAGTTCGCGAGCTTCAGAGCTCACTGGGCTATCGGTCGCTGAAGCCATAACACACAAGTAGAAGGATGAGGAGGATTCGGTGTATCAATGAACAGACAAGGATTTCAGCGACTGGTCAAGGGAATATTGCACAGAGACTAAGGAACCAGCGCCGGTATAAGTATTACTTGGGTGAGATTGCCGCCCAGGCAGAGAGCTAAACGTCACCAGTCAACCTGAGGCCACGATAACATCCCGATTCAATATTTATTAGTCATCATATGGCTGTGGGGCCCAGCTTGCAGGTAGTTGACTAACCCTTGTAAACATTGTAGTTATATTGACTAGTTATTATACAACGGAAGAACTATCTCTTGTCCTGGAAAAATAAGAGAAGTCTTCAGAGTTATACATAGATTTCCCTTCCCATTCATGTCAAAATATTCGAGTCGAGTTGACTTCGTGTTTGCGAAGGAGCGCAAGGCTATGCGTTCGCTGCGGCCGCCCTTCTTTGCTCAGCGGCTTCACCTCTTAAGAACCTCGCAACTTCGCCCTCGGCATTCATAATTGTGCCGTCCTTTGCTCGCTTGTTTCGGTTCGATCCACCAAAAAGGCATAGCCAGAGGTCATCCTTCTGCACAAGCTCACCACCGGAAACACCGCTCGCCATCATCTTGGTAAGGGGCGCATCTTCGATTTCAAGTGAATTCGCCGCATCGATTGCTGTTTCAGTCAAGTTGCCGTTGGCAGTCTCATGAGCGCCACATTTAGAAGCCTGTGGTAGATTGAATTCTTGAGCTCTTGTCTTTTGTGCAATATGTGCCAGACGACGCGACACAGAGAGGTCATAAATTGATTGCTCAACAGTGTCGGCAACCAGATACATCCAAACAGTGGTCGGACGTTGCTGACCTATGCGATGTACACGAGCAATGGCCTGAAGCTCAATCGCCGTGTTGATCAGAGGCTCGCAAAATATGACATGTGTTGCACAAACGAGATTGAGACCTGACGCATGAGCCCTGGCGTGCAAGAGCAGGCATTCGAGCTAGATGATAGGCAACTGTCAGCATTGAAATCAAATCAAACTATTGTAATCAACCCAGGCATGACACACCGCAGGATCGCTCTTAAACTGCTGCACCCCACCCTTGCTGTCGACACTGCTGAATCCTATCCTGAATCGCTTGAAGGCAGAAGCAAGCATTTCGCAAGACCATTGAGTGAAGACTATCGTTTTTGCCCCAGGGTCGTTCTCACGAAGCCATATCACGTGACGTGCTATGGTGTCAATCTTGGTGCCAAATGAGCAGTCTAAGTCGATCTGCTTGATTTCGTTTAGCGTACTGGAGCTGATATCGTTGTATATGGATCCTTGTGAAGAGGAGCGTTCAGATCCGACGTCAGTCGGTGCCCTTTCCTGTTGAACAATGATCTCGCGGGATTTATAGGATATCGGATGGAAGTCGGATGGCGCCTTTAATCTCAACTTACAGCTTGGGCACGTCCGATGTGCGACATACCAAAGCCGGAGACACTCGAGGCAGAATTGATGACCACAATGAGTCATAACTCCTTTTAGCTGTTAGCAAGGCCGCCCGATAGATGGCAAGAGGAGACTTTACTCACCTTCTTCTATAGTCGATTGACAAATCACGCATGTGGATTCATCTGTATCCGGCTCGTCTCGAAGATGAATGAGATAGCGATGTTTGGCCCGCAACGCCGATATCTTCCCGATTCGATCCTTTTCTTCTTTTACCTTTGCTTCAAAGGCGACCTCATCCAAAGGCTTGCCGACGCTTGACTCATCGAATGTTGCTACGGAATCAGATATGAGCTGCAGGCGCCGGTAGTACTCAAGACGGCAGTTCATTGTGTCGCGAAACATCTCGACCTCTCTTTCGAGGCTTGAGTTTACCTTTGCATGCTCTGCAGCCATGGTACTGGCATTCTTCAATACCCTACTGACGATTTCCAATTCAGCCTGAGCCCGAGTGCTTCCCTCAGTTGCCTGCCACTCCAGGGATGTGGTCAAGCTGCGAAGCTCACTGATAATGCCTCGGAGAGAGCCGAATTGAGGGTCGGGTCTGATACGACTTCGAACGTTCATGATTTTCAGGTACAGCTCTGGTGAAGGACCCTCGCCCTTCTGGGCTTGAATGATTCCGCCTTTGACTTCGTGAGCAATGAGCACATTCTTCTGCCCAGTAAGGCAGTCATGGCGATCAGCATACATGGCACGCAGAGCTTCCATATACACATACATCTCGCTCTGATGTGTCGTAGATCTCTCATATTCGTCGCCTTGGAGCTCCGACTCATCTTCTTGATCAATGAGTGACTGAGAGAGGAGATGAACCATGGTCAGGCGCCACTTGTCGTACTGTGCGGCATGCTCGTTCATAGCCTCGCAAAAGTCCTCAAAATTCTCAAGCACACGACGAGCCTCTATCCCTGTGCTGTACAAATGAGGTTTCATCTTGGGTATGACCACAAACCGCTTGTTCCGCAGCATTTCTTTGATAGTCTTCATATAATTCCCCACCTTCCCAGACACATCCGTTAACATTTCTTTCCGAACGGACTTTGCAATGGCGTAAGCCTCCTCTTCCTGTTTCTCGAGAAATTTGAACGCATCAGACTCAGGATCAGTGAGCTTGGGGTCCGACTTGATCTGATAATACGCATTTCCCAAGAAGAAGAGAGTCATGTGCTGTACTTCGAGAGCATTGCGCAGCCTGCTGCGGTATGCACTAATGCGATTATTGTCATCGTGGTTTGCCGCGTCAATAAATTCCAGTTCTTGATTAGTACTCCCCCTTGGAAGTGCCCGAACTCTTTCAATCTCTGTTCTTAATCGATCTCGAGATGATTCGACGATCTCGTTCGCTTTCGACAAACAACTGGCCCATAAATCACGTGCCTGTACTTTTTGCAAAGCATTTTCTAGCATTTGCCCTCGGCGAAGTTTGGAAAAAAGATCTGACCGTTCTTCTGCGTGTATGAGTAGGGTATTCTGGTCAATCATAGCCTCAAGCACGTCTTCCACTCTGCGCAAAGGGCCATTAAATCCAGCCGTGAGGCCTCGACGACGGTTCCCTGCAGGATGAAGACAAGTCTGGCGAAGTCTAACCAGCCAACTCCTCATTTTTTCAATCACTGGCCAGTCATCCGGATTCCAGTCATCACTGATAGGTGCACCTGAAAGATCAAGGCCACATTCTTCGCACATTTGCTCATACAGCTGTTTGTAATTTTGCTCTTCGATTGCAGTGAAAGGGATTGTGACAACAACTCTTTTTTGGGGGGGTAATCTCAATTCGGAACGTATGCGATCCTTAGAATGTCGCAGGGCGGTGGTATTGACGATATGCGCTAGAACCGGTCTAAAAGAAAGACACAGCCTGTTCCAGAAAGACCCACAGTAAGGCTCTAAACGTAAGAATAGAAGGATTCCGAGAAGGTCCGTAATGTCCTTGCGTATAGGGGTCCCAGTCACGACCCAGGCCATCTGCCGTGGAATCAAACGAGCAACTTTGGCTGCCGCACTGATACCACTTTCTATCATCTGGCCTTCATCCAGGCAAGTTCGCCACCAGTGAATCTGAACGAGAGGTGATCTCCTGGGCTTGAACCTTTTCTGATGCCGAAGATTTCGTTCTGGTGCATTTTCCGAATAATGGATCTCTCGAGAAAGAACGTTATAAGTTGTGAGGACAACATCATGGCCAGCCAACATCTCGATCAAACTCTTTTCCGGGACCTCCTGGTGACGATTGATACCCTCATAGTGGAAGACGCGCAGAGCCGGAGCGTGTAGCAGTAGTTCTTCTTTCCATTGTTCAAGAATTGCAGGTGGTGTTATAATCAATGTTGCTCCGGAGGGCGTGAGATCGCCGGTGCGACTTGAAGACTTACTCTCGGATAGCAGGTCCCTGCGGTGTAGGCATATTAAGCTGATCATTTCGACGGTCTTCCCTAGACCCATTTCTTCTGCCAGCAAACCGCCTTTTAATGTCTTATATGCATCATTCCAACCGGAAAAATCTGAGATAACGATCATGAAGAGATGGCTGGCATAACAAACTGCCCCGTCTGCATCTGTGATTTGGAAGAAGGAAGCTGGTAGGTCATTCTCCGCTTTCATTTCGACTGCCCCTTCCCTCTGCAAGAGCCACCTCACAGCACGTCTTTGGAAGGGGAAGAGCTGAGTCCCTGGAATGGCGAAGTCCATCTCTGGATCTGTGGGTGAGTTGGGTGGCACGTATACATTATCATAGAAATCGCGCGGTGACCAGCTCGGCCCCTGCCCCAGCCTTACTTTTTTCTGGTCGTACGTTCCGTTCTCCGCAAACCGATAATCGCTCTCCTTTAGGACGTACTTGGAGAACACCCTTATTGCGTCGGGGGATAGACGTCTGATGTCTGGGATATCTGCCGAGTCTTTCCACAGAATAGTAACCTCCAACCCGAAAGAGCTTCCATTGGGGTACCGATGCAAGGTTGCCTGGTAGCACACTGACGGTGCAATCTTGATGAATCGATCAGCGCAGATGAGGTTGGAAGCGAGTATTAAGTCGGCTCCGATGGCATCAATAACTTCAGCATTGGTGATCTGGTCTGTGAATAGAACTGTCTGTCCAGAGATTGCTAGCAGCTTTAGCTGGATCCTGTTGTCAATATTGCCACCATTTGCAGACGTAGCAGACTGGACAGGAGGGCATCTGATTGCATGAATCACAACCGGCAGATCTGAAATAACCTCAGCCGAGTGAGTTAAGTCTCCCGTGGTGTCCAAGGGAGCAAAGTTCTGTTTGATGACACTATTTAGTGGATGGATTTGACCTTATGTTGTCTTGGACGATCACTTACCACCAATTGCAAGTGAACCCGCGATAGTGTTATGTAGCCCCGCGGGACCCTCGATGCGGAAAGCCCGTTGATGGCTCTCAGACTCTGAGGTGCCGAAGCCAACTTGCGCCGCTTAATTGGGTGCTCAACATTCTCAGTGCCATTATTTACCAAGAAGGCACGACCCAGAGATTCGGGGACAGAACAGCCCGAGTAATTGACTTCTGCTGTTACTGCTGCCATGCTACATGTATGTATTGTACAATGGTGTAGGAACAGGGTGAGGCTGTGCCTGGGAGGCGATAGAAGAGGTGTCTTATCAGTTATAGCTCACGGTGGCTCACGTGCCGATAACAACTGTTTATCTATCTAAGAGCCCCCCAGCACGAATCATAACTACAGACGGTGATGGCTGAAGCAAACATAAGGTCAGGCAGTGATCGAAGATGCCTAGGCACTTTGACTGTCTGTGTCATATAACACTGCCGTTGACTGCATGCACTTGTCGATCGTATGAGACACCATTCGCATTAGATTTGAAATAATCGCTCGTTTCGCCGTATGAAATACTGGCCTCCAAAGTCGATTTATAGAAAGCTGTACCCCATTGCTCAGTGTGCAAACTCAGAGGGCCTGAGGTGAGAGTGTACGTCGAGATGCCCAGTGCCCCCGTAGCGTCAATATCCAGACCCCTGCGCATCGAAGCATTAATAATAAGCCCGTCATCTAAGTTGTACGTCTGGTTGCAAGACAAGGGATAATCAAAGGTGACCTCGTTGACTTCGTTGTTTTCGCCTCCTATGAGCTGAGTACGACCAGAAGTACGTTGGTGGGTAGTTTGGCTCAGACCTTGCTGGTTCAAGGACCCATAATTCGAGTAGGAGAGGTTCTGGCTCCAGGTATAATCAGAGGACTTGACTGTGATAGTTCGCCACGCACTGATCGAGTAGGCCAGTGTCTCATTTACTCCGGTTGCATTGTGCACAAGATTCCGCGTTGCTACAAAGCTCGGTGAGGAAGCTGATATATCTGGCTTGTGACTAGAAGAATTGTGCGACGCGACATTATCCAGATATAGGAAGATTGTCCCGGTCACGATCCAATAGGGTCCAATAGTATCGGAGAATGTGATAGATTTATCCTCTGAAACATCGAGTCCTGTGACTCTAATCTCGAATGAATGGGTCTTGTTGTCCCTGAGCATAGTGAGGAAGGGTGATATGTCGATTTCGGGCTGTCTCAAATCGAAGGCGTCAATGCCAACAATCGGACGCCAGAAGCCTGGCGCTATGCCGCCAGTGAAGATGATGGGAAAAGGCCAAACCACTCCCGCCATCACACCATCAATATAGAGCTGAACCTCGCGAAAGGGAGAGTACCCATATAGCTCCCCTATGGTGCTATTGAAAGACCATGAATCTTGTGTGAAGACGTTCGACCACCAAAATTCTTCTGTCGATTGACCAGTCGCGGAGACTGAGACAACAGCACGCGAGGTAGCTGGGGGGATCCGATGAAGCACCTTTGCGTTATCTGATGGAAGCTCAAATTCGCTGGACGAGTTCTGAGCCGACTTCCGCGCGGAAATCGGCAAAATGGCGTCTGGCGTCTTCACGTTTCCTTTGTAGGAGAAATGGGCCGTCAGTGTTGTATTGTAATACCCAGTGTAGACATTGGTGATGATGTTTCCCAGGTCAAAAATAACCTTTTGTGGCTCCCTAAGGAGAGTGTTGAACTGGGAAATATCTTTAACATAGGTCCAAACAATGCCATTGCTAGTGGGCTCAGCCGTTGATGTTCGATACACTTCTATATCACCAAGGTATAGGATTGCAAGGCGGTCATACTGCCTGCCTTTGGAGGTGATAGTCAGATTGATCCGAACCGTGTCAAAGGTGCAGTGCGGAGGTTCATAGGCCCCTGTGCACGTCAGTATAAGCCATTTCTCTGGTCTATTCGTGACACTCACCCACATAAGGCTGGCCATAGCTGTAGCCAAAGTCATGATGCACTAAAACTGTCTCCTCATTGCATTGCTCGTACCCATCGTCTACAATAGGTACAGGCTGATACACCTCGAATACCTCCAGAAGGGCGCAAGCCTGCTGATAGAAGATGAGAAGCCTGAGCCATAAAGCGGGGCGAAAGGTCAACAGCATGTCGATAGCGTTACCCCCAGCCTTGCGAGGTAACTGATGATCAGGGTGTTGAAGTTGAGTGGGCGAGGTGCTTGAAGCAGCAGTTGCCGTTGTTTCGCACAAGGTCGGCAGGGAGGGAGGAGAGGGGAAAATATTATTTATTCTCTGCATTTCACAGCGGGCATAGTCACAATGCTTAGCGGTGCTAGTACGCGAGCAACTGTCCATTCGACCTATGGGCGTAATCTCCGAGCCATGAATAGGACAGGTTCTACGGAGTAGCCTGCCTGGTCTTCCCTTTCGCCGACCATAAGATAGTGAAAGCAGGTGCATGCCGGATTATCATCAGTAGACTTACACTTGCAGTGGGGGGAGGGGGAAAAAGCTACTAGCTTGGCTCGAGCATCAACAGCATTATTTCTCATGCCAGAATCCGACGGTGAACCGAGATTGCTTGACGAGCTAACATTAACTAGCGGAGCTGAGGTACATGAAGGTGCACCAATTGCAAGTTTAGATCCGACCTCTCATCCTTTTTGTTGACCAAGCTAGCTACCGTTGCAGGTTTCAGATCGGTCGACCTGCCTTGATTTGATTTGATGTTGTTCGACAAGCTCCGCGTGTCCCTCAAAATACTTATCTTTTGAAGATGGGAGATCAGGAACGGAAGAGGTGGTTCTGATTCAAATTTGTCTTCGGGTACCGGCAGATAACAGCTGAAAGTTCAATCGCCCGCAGTTGGAGGAAGAAAACGGAATGAAGCCAGCCTTTGGCTCAACCCAGCTCGAAATGGATCGGAAGACTGTCCATTGATTAAAGTGATAAGACATATATCACTACGATATCTATCCAAGCGAAATTAGCCTATGGCACACACACTGGCACTAAAAGTTGGAAGGTAGGTGTGAATAATCATAATACAAGGAGTGGTGGTGGCAGTCCGCCGCGGACGTAATAATAACAATGATAGTAATATAACATCAAAGAATGAGGAAAGGGGGTAACAAAACCAACAGTTATCTACTTGTTTCTTGTTCTTCTCTGGGTTTCGCCATGTTTCCTTTCTTTCCCAGATATATAAAACACGAGACGCCCGCTAAACTCCAACCCTGTCTTTCTCATCGCCTGGCTTGTGCACGAAAAACGTGAGAGGAGAAGGAAGAACAGCGTGAGAAGAGAAGGCAGTAAACAATGTGTGCTAGGATAAAGCACACAGGTGTAGAAGGTAGAAGTCATTAATGTCAAACACGCATACACATACACATGGAGGCTTGCGCTTCCGTACTTGCTTACAAGAGAACTGCATAATGGGCCTTCCTCAGCGTCGTCGCTTCCGAAGACGGTGCTCTTTGCCCTTCTTAGACTTCGATTTGCTCTTGTCTGCCGGCAAAACGAGTGGCTCATCCTTCATATTCCACTCCATAAACCGAAGCAAGTAGTCATCGACATGGCCGAGCTGGGGCTCAACATCCACAGATTCGTCCACGGTGTGAACTTGTGGCGTAGTCAAGAGTTGTGGCCCAGGAGTACCCGAGGCTTCATCGTCTCCTATGGAAACCCCCGCAGTCGCAAGCGGCGTACTGGCCTGCGTCTGGCCGGGAGTACGATCATCAAAGTCGCCATCGTCAGCGTGCTCCAACTCCTTTTGAGCATTTTTAGCTGCGTCAATATCCTCCTTGTCTTCGGCTTGTTCGAAAACCCGAGCACTGCCGGAGACCCGATTCTCGAGCACCCGATCCATCGCAGCGCTGGCTTCATCTTGACTCTCGGGCACATCGTCGCTGTTGATCATGTCGCGGACATCCAGCTTGGTAAAGTAGTCAGTGGTAAACTCACCCTCTTGAATGACAACGTCGTCCAACATCCGCTTCTGATTAGCTTTGCGGAGGATGTTGGATTCAATCGTGTACTCAGAGACAAACCGGTAGATGTGGACATCGCGAGTTTGTCCAATACGGTGACAACGATCCTGGCACTGCTTGTCCATGGCCGGGTTCCAGTCCAGATCATAGAAGATCACGGTATCGGCGCCAGTCAAATTGATACCCAAGCCACCAGAACGACTGGATAGAATGAATGCCAAAATGCGGTTGTCGTTGTTGAACCGATCAGTGAGAATCTGACGCTGCTCGACTTTGGTGGTGCCGTCCAATCTTAAGTAGCGGTGGCCGTGAATGTTCAGGAATTGTTCCAGAATGTCAAGCATCTTCGTCATCTGAGTGAAGATCAAAGCCCTGTGTCCGCCCGCTTTGAGATCTCGAAGTAGCTTGTCGAGTCGTTGCAACTTGCCACAGTCGTACTGCAAAAGTCTCTTGTCCGGGAAGGCGATTGACAATCGCATCTGTGCTTCATGGAATGGATCATAGGGTGGAAAGCGTTCTTTCTTGGTGAGATGTCGGGTTTCAATGGGGGTCAAGGCTGCCGCGGTGACCCCGGCAGCAACTGCTGCAGGGGTAACACAAGCAAATCGCTGAACGTAGCCATCCATTGCCTGGGAACGTTCTTCGATTGACAAGATCATCGATGCGAGAACGGATGAGCGGCTTGACAGCCAGTCCGCTAGGGAGCGTTTTCGCAAGGGGCCTTTGGAAGTCGGTCGCTGCTTGCTGTCTGCCGTGAGAAACTCAATGAGGCTCGACCCGTATACCGGGCGGCGGCCGTGTCGTTTCGATTCAAAGTAGAGACACCGCTCTAATTCCGCCATTCTCCTTTTCCTGGACTCGTTCTCCAAAGCATCTAAGGTGGACTGCACGCTCGAGCCGTTGAAGATCATCTGCCAATTGGTGCGATGATATTGCTGCTCCCGTAGCGTGTTGAAAGGGCCGTACGCCATGAGCCTAGTACTGTCATCCGCTAGCCTGCGGGAGATATCTTCGCGAGAGATGGGAACCAGATTGAGAAAGTCCAGGTCGAGTTTTGTGAGCGGATGTTCATACAACAAGCGTCGGCGCACGAGAAGATCCTTGATCTCATATTCAGTCGCCACAGAGCGCGACATAGCAAACGACGTCGAAATTGGACGTGTCTCAAAGAGATCGGGGTGGTTGCAGACTTTGCGCAGTTGCATCAGGCAGTTGATGATGGAGAGGTAGTTGCCCGAAGCAAGAGTCTCTTTGGTCTGCGCCCTAGACATAAATCCATCATACAAATACCGCTGGCGCTTGGAGAGTCGGCAGTAAACAACATGTTCGTACTTGGCTGGCATTTGCTTCTCAACATCGGCCTTCAGGCGACGCAGAATGTAGGGTCGCAGAACAGTGTGAAGCTTGGTGACAACTTTTTTGGCTTCGTCATCCATTGTCTCCCGGCCATGCTCCAGGATTTGCTCGACTGGGCGTCGGAACCACTCGGAGAAATTTCTCAGATCTGCAAAGGCCTCCATGCCCTCCTCGTCGCTGTCTGACGGCATTAAGAAGAAAAGTAAGGACCATAGTTCAGTCAGATTGTTCTGAAGGGGCGTCCCGGTGAGCAAAAGACGAGCCCTGGTCCTAAAGGTGAGCAGCGCTTGCCACCTCTGAGAACGGAAATTCTTGATGTTATGAGCTTCGTCGAGAATCATATAGTGCCAGCCTCTCCTTTTCAACACCTGCTGGTCCTGTAAGACAAGCTGGTAAGAAGTGATTAATACATTCCAACTCGTATCATCCATCCAGCCCTTGCGCTTTTGCCGACGCTCTTCTTGATTTCCATAGTAGGTCATGATTTTGAAGCCTGGGCACCATTTCTTGAACTCCATCTCCCAGTTGAGGATTACACTCGTGGGAACTACCACCAAGTGAGGGCCCCAGACTTCATGCTCAACAGCCAAATGTGCCAACAAAGCTATTGTTTGAATGGTCTTGCCAAGACCCATCTCATCGGCAAGAATTCCATTGATGTGGTTCGTATAGAGGCCAGCTAGCCAGTCCAAGCCAAAGTGTTGATATTCTCGCAGGGTCCCCCGGAGCAGATGCGGAACCGGGGTCTTCAGTCCGGGAGCTGAGGGGTCCATGGTCTGTAGCTGCTGTTCCGGCGTTTCGTATGACGAAACAGATTCCGGTTCAGAAGGTTTCGTGGCAATGGTTCCTGGGGATGCTTCACTGGACGGCTCCTTACTCGGAAAGACATCAGGTTCTTCAGAGTGGTTAAAATCTTCGCCATGGCTTGCTTGGTTTTGCACCTCAGGTTCGATTGCTAGATCCGAGGTTTCGAGGGCAGCCGCATCCGTCATCTCGAAGTCTGACGTTTCGAATTCACCAGGAGTGGATTCAGGAGTGGATTCAGAAGTGGATTCAGGAGTGAGTTCGGAAGCAGGCTGGGGGCAACGGACGGGCGCAGGCGAAGCCTTGGAGATTCCGGGCGACGCGAATGGATCTCTTGCGGGTCCATTTGGTACAAGGGAGACTTCATCAGGGTCTTCTGGCTCCTCATCATCTTCCTCACCACCTGATGCTACCTTTGCATCAGCTTCGGCATCGTTATCAGTGACAACTTCGTCATCGCTTTCATCGTCCAGAGCAATATCCTTAGACGAGAAAAATCCCAACAATCCAGGCCCATTGTTGTTTTCCTCTTCTGAGTCCGCCTCGTCATATTCCTCACTGCTACTCATGTCGTCATCGTCCATGTCAGTGGACTCGTCTTCGCTATCGTCCATGAGCATTGGATCAACTTCCTCGAGCTCAATATACTGCTCGGATTGGGCCTTCGTAGACGGGTTGAGTGAATCCTCAACGCCATCTAACGCACGATCAATTTCTGAAGTCTCGCCACCAGTGACAGAAGCCGGGTCGTCAGTGACCACGGAGTCATGATCGGAGTGAACAGCGGCTTCCGGAAGATTGGCGTATTTTGACCGTAGCTCCTCGGCTGTTAAGCCCTCATCATCATCAACATCGTTACCGTCCTCGCTCTCAGAGTCTGATGAGGACATATTATCTTCGTCTTCTCCGTCATCTGACAGGTCATCTGACCCCGCTTGCTCCCCGTCGCTTGAATCGAGGGCGTCACTCTCGGCTTCACCGAGGATTTCCATACGTCTCTTCTCAAAGAGCATCGTTGATTGTTTGATCGCACGATCCAACGCCTGTTGGTCTTCTGCTTTTCGCTCTTCCTCCCAGCGTGCTAAACGCACCCTATCAACCTCGGCCCGTGCTAGGTCAAACATTTTCTGAAGATCCTTGGCCAGCTGTTTACGCTTCCCTCTTATCTCCTCCTGTTGCTCCCGGAGAATATCTTCCGGATCTTTGTTGCGCTTCCTCCATGCATCGGCACACCACTGAGCGAACAGTCTCGCCGTATTGCGATGACGTCTATGCTCTTGATCAAGAAGTTTTTTGAAGTAAGATACGTGGGCCACGAGATGGTCTTGATGAGAATACTGCTGGGGCGGTTCCTCCTGCTGCTCTGGTAAGAACGCAGAGCATACTTCCGGGCTCAAGAGGCCCCCCGGCTCCGCCGCTAATGCAATTCGGCGTCGCTTCAGAGCCTCCTCAAGCGCTTCGGCTGGCGCGAGAACGGCGGGGTCCCTTGTCTTACTGTCATCGCTATCCAGCCATTCCTTGAATGAGCCGTATTTTCGGGGCGGCAGAACATGGGATGGATGCTGAATCTCAATCACCGGTCGCTTGACTTTGATCCGCAGGCGCGGTACTGGCTGGTCGGGATCATCAACAAAATCATCATAACTGCCATGTTCGACCTCTTGGTCTGAGCCGTCCTCATCTTTTGCAGTGACATATGTACTTGTATTCAAGGACGAACGACTGTGTCGAGTGGAGCCATTGATACCGCCCTGGGAAACTCGACGCGAAGTGCTAGAGCTGTGCGATCTCGTGCGGGTCTGAAGCTGCTTGGATGCCGACGATTGCGATATCAAACTTTGTCTCCCTGTAGACCTCCTTGTTGCGGTAGTTCGAGTAGAACCGTTGACCAAGCCATTGCCAGCTGTAGACCTTCCATTCCGCTCTGACTGCGTTGAGGTGGAAAATGGCGACGACGCAATTCCTTTCGAGCCAGATGACGTATTTTTAATTACAGTCTTATTCTGGGCCGCACGTGTGTGTCTTTTATCGGAGGACGGACTCTGCAGCTCGAGAGGAAGCGCGTTGACTCGCGACGACTTGCGCCTGCCATCCTGAATGAAAGATGTCGGCCCATCGTGGCCGGCCTTCTTCCAAGGGGGCGAAGCTGGACGGGAGGACGAGCGACGAGAGGGTGTAGAACTCGCGAGCTTACGCCTCTTCGATGGAGGTCCGTCGGGATGGTCGGTAACAGGTCCGTCGTCTTCGGTTTGGAGAACAGCAGGAATCGAGTCGCGGGTCACAGAAGGTGTCGGAAGCTCCGTGGGAAGGACATCGGACGGGATGGCGGCGATTTCGGGGGTCACGCTTTCATCTTGGAGTAAAATTCCGTTCGGGCTACCGTTTTGCATGTCTTGTAATGACGGAGACAGGGGCCCTCTGGACAGCTGACCCCAGTTTTCCCAGCGAGGACGCGGTCGAGATGGGAGAAAATGACATCAACGGGTAGAGAATCTTGAATCAAAGTGCCACGAGAAATTTGGCATAGTTATCGGCACTGTAGCGTGACTGGCAGGCGAAGACCTACACGGAGGGAGTGATTGCGTTGAAGAGGTGGTTTTTTCGTCCGGTGACTTGGAGGCGGACGGGGCGCGCCGTGTACTAGTTAAAGCAAGTAAAGTATGTAAGCTTGTCCGCCTTTGGAGCCTGAGGCCGTCAAGAGTCTCCGCCTTTGCTTTCCACCAATCACCCCCTCAGGATTCCCCGTCATCTCCCAAGTCGCTCCATTCAGTTTCAACTTCCAATCGAGCTTCTCCCTCCTCCCTCTGCGGTGCCCTCCACCTTGTCACTACACACTTCCCGACTTCCTCCGAACCTGTTCACAGCGCGAAAGGGTGAGTGGCTTGTGTATCTATTTCTTATACAATTGGTTCATTTTTCTATGTTCTGCGCCCTCAATTGTCTCTCTGGGAACTAACTCATCTCAAATCCAATTATCAGATGCTGTCTCAACGGATCTTGGCCCGGCGCCTGCCCCAGGTGACCGCTCGCGTCACCATCCCCCGTGCTTCTTTCTCCCAAGTTCGCAGCCTGGCTGCGCCAGAGCTCGATGATCCTTTGCAGGTATGAGCTGATAGACAGCCCCAAACCCCGCCCTCGATCACTGGCACATCCAGAAGAATTGACACCACCTCCTTTCCGCTTGCAGAACGGCAACTACCAGAATCCTCCCCGTATGAAGCGGGCCTTCAGAGATCCTTATGGCGACTGGTGGGATAAGCAGGAGCGACGCAACTTCGGCGAGCCCGTCCACGAGGAGAACGAGATTCTAGGTGTCTTCAGTCCCGAACAATATACCCATGTGACGCCTGGCAAGGGTATCCTCCAGATCGGAGCTTTTGTTGTGGCCTTCCTGGGTCTATGCGGCACCGTCAGCCTTTTCTACCCTGACAAGCCCAGCGTTCCCAGGACCTTCCCCGGCGGCTTGGAGAAGGAGCTGGGCGGACCCAATGCTCTTACCGTATGTCGATACTCCATCTTCCTTTCTGATATGCTTTGTACACATGATTTGTACTGACCGCTGTGTTCTTATTTTTCTTTAGGCCCGTAAATCCGACGAGGACTCGTGGTGATCGATTCTATTCTTTGATGCTATGTAAATAAGTACAATATGATTTGCGTTATCGTCTTCAGCCTTCCGTGCGTGGTCTCGGCCAAGGTCGATGCACGAGGAAATAATTATCTTCGATTGCGATTTTTCCAAGCGGGCCTCAGATGCGTAAGGATTCGCATCGCCTAGCTATTACCATCCCGCAGTCCTCATGTGAATAGGTCAGGGCATGCATAGGAACTGGTTTATAAACATTACTCTGGCTCTCGGTCAACGGAGAAACTCGATATGAAGATCTCTGCGTAGGGAACATGATCCAATTGGGGCAATCAAACTACGAATTAGCCACAGCCTATGCGATTCTACTATTCTCCCCGTATCATAATTGTCGAGTATTTGTTCTCGAGCTGACAAGGTGGGTCAGAGAAGTGGGAATGTTGGTATCTGTGCTTGCAGGGGACAACCTAGTAAATACATTGATCCATATTTAGACTCCCCAAGACCTATCATGGATATCTGGGTCATGGTGGGCAATTAACCGTTGATGGTGCGACTAGGGCGGGCGAGTACCTACTACGTCAGTCCATTTGCTTAATGGGGGCGCAAGCGGTAGGTTCTGTTTCAAACAACAACACACTTCAATCCCCCTCCAAACTCTCCACCCCTTTCTACTTGCCCAACTGAAATCTACTTCAACTTCCCCTCTCTTCTTACGACACAAGCACTGAATACTTGCAGTCAGTCTTCCTGCTTTCGTTCCTGTGAATCTAAGAGGAACCATCGGAAAGTCACCCTTGCGAGGCAGCAAGGCAGCTGTTATCATCCCTACCAATCCCCTTCCCCAGGGCCATGCTGCTGCTGGTTTGATCGCAACACCGGTCTATTCCCACCCATGATCTCTGCCACTCATTCCCGACCACTACAATACTTTCTCTGAGCACTCTTAGGACATAAAGGAGTTACTGGCCGACCGCACGAAACGACACCGCCTTTCCTTCCCATGTCGACAGCATCGACCCAGTCCCGAGGGCTCAATCGGCGGATCAACAGCATTCAAAATGAAGCTCGCCATTCGCGCACGCCCTCGGGGTCTCGCAGACGTCCCGTAAACTCCACCACTGCTTACACCTATGCGCTGCGGGTCGCCTACTTAGCCTATCTTCTCCAACCACGATTGCGTCGAGTTCAGACTGCACCGGTCCCGCAGCGGCCCAAGAGAGCGTCAACCTCCTTTCACGATTTGATGAGCGATTTTTCGCTCGTCCGAGATTCGAAGAGTACTCGGATTCCCCACGGCTTCATATCAGAGCTGGAAAAGAGGCTGACTGGGGTCCTGATTGGAAAAGAGAAGCGGAAAGAGTACCAAGATCCGCTGGTCGTGAGGACCTTTGCTGCTTTTCTCAACACCCTCAAGGACCAGTCGTTCAAGAAGCGCATGGAGAAGGACCGGCGGGCTGAAGACCTCGTTCTCATCTTCTATTCGAATGCGACCAAGGAACTGAGCAAGGGAAAGGAACCCGACGATGATCACTGGAGACTCATGGTGGACAGACACGTGGCTCTTTTTGTCCGTTTGTTTGCACTTATTCTAAAAGATCACGACTGGGCTAAAGAACGGCCCGAACTGGCAAATCGCCTGTCGGTTCTAGAGAACAAACTGCTGTCTCAGGATCAGGATCTTGTGCAAACAAATGGCCCCTCCAGCGTAGAAGTTATAGCCCCGTTAAGCTACGATATCAAGGACATGCCCCTCGTGCAGCACGTTGCAAGCATCTTTGATGTGAACCTGAGCCAGGTTCAAGCCGATATCAATAATAATCGAGGAGTCTGGACGGGTCAAGCCGCCCTGCGAGATTTGAAGACCTACCAGGCTCATTTAACCCTGAAAACTCGAAAGACATTGTCCCGGGAAGACTTTGACAATGAGGAAGCATATGAAGTGTGGAAGAAGAATGAAGGTCCTGATCTATCCCAGATGATGCTTGCGATTGTGCAATCGAACCCTGAACTAGCCAAGAGCACTCCAGGAGGTGCCCTTCCACAGTTCAATCCGAGTGCGACGGATCAAGATCTAGCTGGAGAATTTTCGAGAACAAACTCTGAGCGGCCATCATCATACGTTATAGATCAGCCTGTGGATCTCAGCTCATTATCCCTCGCTGATGATGGCATGTACGGGAGTGACGAATCTGATACATATACCTACATACCGCAGGACCCCCGGTCAATGTACCGGTATATACTAGCCCAAACCCTTGGTCACGACTTGAAAGACCGTGAACTTGAGGCTGCCCAGGCTACATCCGAGGCTCCCCTTGTGAAGCTATTGTCAAAGCAGTCGACCGAACTCCTGAATGAGATATGTCTTCGCTGGCGAATTCCTGCATTTTCAAGGATAGTCCTCTTTCTGGATGTCGTGCGGTCTAAATTTGTCGATAATGAAATCGACCTTGACACCCTCGACTCGGCATTTTCATTTGTTAAGGAAGCACCGAACTCCGATGGCAGGAAGCGCAGTAGCTTCGTGGCTTCGGCTTTGTTTGACCGTACGAAATGGACCATTCATGATCTTCTATTGATGCAACAGATACTGTCCTCCCTTCACGAGGCGCTCCTCAGAGAACTCTATGATGTTATGATGGACTGTTACGAAACTAAACCACGTCCAATCGGTCCGGTCATGTACATACTGGAGAATCACATTCAGTTGGACCCTAACTATACCGAGGATTTGGAAGATATCGATCGTTTCCGCTCGTACGTGCAGGACGGACTGGCGCAGAAAGCCGCTGAGAAATACCAAGAACTTTTGGGCCAGCTCATTCCGGTGCAGCCAGAAGAGTGGGAAGTAGACCATGTGATCCAGTTGTGTGATGCCATCACCAAACTTGCGCAGAAAATTCGAAAGCGTTATCGCAACAATCCAGAAATCATGGGGTATGTTATGCCATCACCAATGTCAGCCGTTATGACTTTCACTGATCGAAATTCAGGGTCAATCCTTATCTGATTCTACTCTCAAACGTCCTTCCGATCTTCTCGGAAGATGCTCACGAGATGGTGGCTCGGATAATAGAATTGGAGAAGGTGCGAGGGGAAGAAACTGACATACAAGATGGATTCGATCTCTACCGTCGACTGGCAGGTATCCGTCGTCTCTTTACCGAGGCAATGCCAGAGTACGTCCCCCAACAAGACTCCTTAAGACTAACATGCTGTGCTGGGAGCTGATTACAGTATATAGCACATCATTTCCATTCCATGTGGAAGGCCTGATGGAGAACTTTGTCTGGCGATGGATCCGCCTGACAGACCAGAAGGTCATGGATTGGGTTGAGCAAGCAGTGAAACAGGATGCTTTCCACGTCCGAGCTGATGGCTCAGCCGAGGAGATTCCCGAGGATTACAGACACAGTGTGTCCGTCATCGATATTTTCCGATCATTTAACCAAGTAGTGGAACAGATGATACAGCTGGAATGGGACGATGACTTGCAGTATGCAAAATTCATGACGGCTCTCTCCAAGTCTATTGGCAGCGGTGTCGCGAGATACTGCGAATCATTGGAGCAGATGTTCGCTAAGGAGATGGATCGTCTTTCTCCGGATCAGGAAGCGGCCATTAACCAAACGGCTCAGGAGAAGTTGATGCAGATTGCTAAAGAGGCATGGACAAGTAAAGAGAAAATCGAACCTTTCCAGTTCTTTCCTGAGGTAGGGTTGTTCAAAATTATTTGCGCGGGCGCAACTGACTCCATCATTCTCAATAGTCTTTGGTTAAACTCAACAACGTTGAATATGCACTTTCACAGCTTGATAAGCTCGAGCAGGAAATCAACGTGGACGGTTGTGCAGAGGTTATAGCAAGACATGCGGCACCGCAGTTGCAAAAAATACGCAAGTCTACGACCTATGTCTTTACTATCAAGGTCGTGGAAGCCGAAGATTTAAAGGCCTGCGACATGAATGGAGGAAGTGATCCTTATGTGGTTCTGGCTGATGAATATCAGAAGCGCATTGCAAAGACTCGCATCATCTATAACAACCTCAACCCACGGTGGGACGATGCCGTCGACATTACCACACAGGGTCCTCTGAACATCATCGCCACTATCTGGGACTGGGACGCGGTGGGCGATCACGACTATGTCGGTCGCACATCGATCAAGCTTGATCCTGTGCACTTCAGTGACTTTCTCCCGAGAGAATACTGGCTGGATCTAGATACTCAGGGCAGATTGTTACTTCGTGTGAGTATGGAAGGAGAGCGTGATGACATTCAGTTCTACTTTGGCAAAGCCTTCCGAACGTTAAAGCGGACGGAGAGAGACATGACACGCAAGATCACGGAAAAGGTAAGCATAGTCGTGTCCCACTCTACAGAATACATAAGTAATGTCTCCATCAGCTATCTGCGTACATCAGTCACTGTCTGTCGCGGCGAACGCTCAAGTCCCTCCTTTCGCGAGGGCTCAGCATATCCAGCGTATCCAACTTTCTCAACCGGAATCGCGCTCAGTCGAGTACCGCCACACCGTCCAGTGCGGATGTGGAAAATGCATTAACACCCTTATTTGACTACTTCAACGACAACTTTGCTATCATGAACAAGACTCTTACATCCGAAGCGATGAAAATGGTGATGGCACGATTGTGGAAAGAGGTGCTCGCTACTATCGAGAGCCTACTTGTGCCCCCTCTGTCAGACAAGCCATCTCACCAGAAGCCCCTGACAATGCAAGAGGTCGACATAGTCGCACGCTGGCTCGTGCTTTTATTGAATTTCTTCCACGCGGTAGATGAGGAGACTGGAGAAGCCCACGGTGTGTCTATCGATATTTTGAAGTCGCCCAAGTACCATGAGATCCAGACATTGAACTTTTTCTATTTCGAACCCACCGAGAGCTTGATTCGCACCTCAGAGCGGATGGCTTCTGCGACAATCTCGCGCCAACAGGCCAACAAGAACCGCGTCTCAGCACCCCCTCATCTGGGTGCCTCCGGGCCCGGTAGTGTTCTCGGGCTTCCGGCTGCTCGTCGTGCCAAGAGCATCATGCTCTCGCGCAACCTCGGCACGATGAGGAAGATGAAAGAGGAGAAATGGCGCGAAGCCCAAGCAGAGCCAAACGATGACATGATCCTGCGTATCCTGCGTATGCGCCCCGAAGCTGCAGGCTATCTCCGCGATCGCAGTCGTCAAAAGGAGCGACTGGCAGCGGCGGCAGCGGCAGATGCCATCGTTAAACAAAGCCTGATGGCCGGGGCCGGGGGTAAGATGACGGGGATGTTGGGACGCCGATGAGTGTTTCAAAGCGACCAATGGATGACCCGCGGGCATCCCATTCGATTGTCCTTTTTTTCTTGTTGTTTAGGGGGTTGCGACCCCTGCCTTATCTGCTCATTCCCACATTTCGCATTTTGACATGATTCCCACCACCAGTTTGAGTTCATTTGGTCCATTTAATTTTGATTTTACTTGCATCTGAGGAAACGGGGGCGCGGGCCTGAGGCTCTGGGGTGAGCTCCGGGTTACTAGCTAAGTCAAACATAGGGTAATGATAGTTAATCACAGCCGCATGAGATACGTAACGGCTTCTGCCACGGTAGATCGTACGACAACCCGGGTTGAAGACCGAACTCAATTCGAGATGCAACTCATTCCGGGACTCCCCGCAGCAAGGTACATTGATATGGTCATTCACTATATACGAGTTTCATTTCCAAGCATGTACTGTACAGTACAATCTTCTTTTTCCAACTGTACTCATATCGGAGCTGAGAGAGACACTCAAGCCAAGGCAACGCACTCGATCTCGACGGGCACGTTCTTGGGCAGCTGCTTTACGGCGAAGCAAGAACGAGCAGGCTTGTGGGCGAAGAACTTGCCGTACTCCTGGTTCATCGCATCGAAGTCGGCCATATCGGCGAGGAGGACCTACATCACCCAGCACACAGAGGGTAAGTACGATCAGCCCCCATACAACATAATCATGCCAACACTACATCCATCCGCCATTCCCAAATCTCGTACAGACTCACGCCCAATGCGATTCCCCGATAAACCGTGCAACAACTCCTCCTCTTCCAACAACAACAACAACAACACAACATAAATGTAGAAGGGAGGCCGGGTGGGAAACGTACCGTGACCTTGAAGATCTTCTCGACGCTGGAACCGGCAGCCTCGACGACGGCCTTGATGTTCTCGCAGCAGAGCCGGGTCTTCTCGCCGATGGAGCCCTCGATGAGAACACCGTCCTTGGTGAGGGGGATCTGGCCGGAGAGGAAGATCTGGCCGTTGACCTTGATGGCCTGGGACTGTATGTGTTGCACCACCAAGCTATGTAAGTGAATAGGCTTCTAGTTGCGTGGGGACGGACGGTTTCTGATAGCCTTTGTATCTCCCCGCTCGGCTGAGCTGGCGGGCGGGCAGGACGGAGGCGCCGAGGGGAGGGGAGGTTAGATCCGGGGGACTTACGTAGGGGCCGACAGCTGTGTGGAAATGGGGTGTGGTTAGCAGTGATCCATTTCTCTTCGGGGATGTGCTATTGTGATTTTCATATTGGGGAAGGAGAGTGAGAAGACGGAGTCAATCAATGCATCCTGTGCTCGATTATCTGGGTGTGGTGGGGTAATGAGGGAGGACGGGGAGACTGGTGGTATTGCAGGCTGTACTTACGCTGGGCAGCACCAGCGGTGTGAACGATGTCAAGACCAGTGGACATGGTGACGAATTGGTGAAATTTGGGTTGGGTGGGTTTAAGGAGAGGACGACGGAGAGGTTGAAGAGGCGCTGGAGAGGAAGAAGAGGAGGCGAGGCGGGCGAGCAGAAGACGAGCACCGGAGGGGAACATTGAAGTGGTTTAATCTAGTTGGTGAGGGAATGGAGGAGGATCAGAGGCCGAGGCCGAAACCCCGCGGCAAAGTGCCTTCCTTGCCCGGCCGACATCGGAAAACTACTGATTGACTTATACTTCTTGACTACTGTAACTATTATTCTCGGTGTCTGCTTGGAGCATGGCTTGAATAATAGGTGAATTTGTACAAGTGACTTAAGACACTAACCAGTGCTGGCTCGCTAGCTAGATATACAAATATGCACGCAGATGTAGGTATGTACGGGGTCATGAATGAGATGTCATAGCATCATTAGTAGGCGGTCAAAGACACATGACTGAGGAGGAGAGGGAAGATCAGGGCTGAAACGCTCAGAGAGAATCGCCATTCATCCATAATTCCCTAGCTTGCCCAGCTGCTGCAAGACCAAGGCTGTCTGCTCCGCTGAAAACCCGAAAAATACCGGACCATTGAAGACCACACTGTTCACTGCCGGCTGCTGCGTGGGATTGGCAGCGTCGTGTGCTTCTTCACGGTCTTCCTTCGCAGGGTCTTCGGTGTGATTCGATTTCTCGTGGTTCTTGATCGTTTTCGCTTGCTGGGGCACTGCTGGGGGCTTGGTTTCTTTGTTCCCAGAAGGCGCGCCGTGCCCAAAGGGGCAGCGGCCGGTCTTCGGCGGTGCGGCGTGATGCTCGGGCGGCGAATCACTCATCGGTAAATTGGAGGATATGACGACAGCCGGTGTTGGAGATGTGGAATTGGAGGTTGGATCGAGGGAGGCAGCGACGGGTGCTGCGGGGGATTGAGGTGCAGATGCGGTGGGAGGCATCGGCGTGATCGGGACAGGGATACCCCAAGGCCTGCTTGGAGATTCACCCACCCGAACCTCACGCAGAGGACGGTCGAAATGTCCTTTTCGCTCCTCGTCTTCCTGTTCTATCTCGCCTTCACCTTCCTCTTCCTTGATGGGAGGAGGATGCATGTCCGACTTCAAGCCCACCTCCTCAGCCCATTTTTCCACTCGTTCAGCAGACGAGCTTGAAGGTGGCGCTCCATTCTGGGTGGTACCCGGAAGGAAAGCCCGATGTTTGACGGACAGGCCTTGGATCATGCTGATCAGATTACCATACTTCGCATCTAGATGCCGCATGGTCTGCGAGTCCCGCTGGTACCGCTGGACACAGATTGCATGGCTCCTAGGGATCTCGTGTTTGTGTCTTTCGACATAATCGGCGATCTCTTCCGGGCTATGCTGGTCTAGATATCTTATGGGACATCGTGAAACGGGGCAGCGAGTGTTCGACGACCTCGTCGAGGGCGCGCGACTTGAACGTCTATCGTTCTGCTCAGCTTTGATCGGGTCCAGGTCGGCATGGCCACACGTGTCCTCGTTTATATCTTGAGAGGCAAGCTCGACTCCATTGGTCACCCCATTTTCAGGGGGTTTATTGTTAGGCTTCGCAAACGGGCATCGCAGACTCCCCTGCGTACCCTTGGTAGTGAAGTCTTTTTCTAGGGTGGGAGGCAGTCCAGCTCTCGTGGCAACAAGACATGAGTCAAGATCCGGAAGCTGCTTAGCATCTTGGGGAGGTATGATAGATTGATAGCAAGCCAATCCCTCCCTAATGGAGGCGAGAGCCACATCTCCTACGTTGCCGGACTCGGCAAGCGACTTTACTACGTCCGGCGGGTTGAGTTGCTGTTTGAATTGGTAATCGTATTCGGCAGAGCGACCAGCGATTTTTTCGGAAACAATTTTGGTATGACCGTCAAGGCCACCGGGGAGTTTTTCTGCTAACTTGATATACTGAGAGGAATGTTAGCATGTGCATTCCTGAGACTTGTGATAAAAGAACACAAAGGTGGAAAGTCTCATCAGATAATACATGATATATCCGTCACCGCCGCAGATGCGACTCCTGATCTAGAGCTAATCGATTTTTCTCGTCCTTTGAGACAGAAGGGAGGAAGGAGTGTGATAGAGAAGGAGTGTGATTCTTACCTCTTCAGAGGCATGTTTCAGCCTTTGCTGCAAAGTTCTCTCTTTGCAACTGAGTTGTTGAGTGGTCAGTAACAGAGCCTCGAAGGCCCTTGCGAGGGTTTGCAGCTGGAGATCCAGCTGCGACTTGGATTCGATGAGTGCAGGTGACATTTCAAGCATCAGGTCTGATAGTTACAGAGCAGACAGTACATCTGATAATCTAGCCAAGCACTTCTGCCCTGAGCAGAAGTGCGGAGTAGGATCATCGAGTGGAAAATGGAGCGGGCGAAAGAAAAGGGGAAAGGATGCGACTCGAGCTTCTTTAAATGAACGGAAGCTAAGCGAGCTGGTCTGTGCGTCGGTCACATGATGGGTTCGTCAGGCAGCGACTGCGCCGTACCTGTAAATAATACTTACTGTACAGTAAAAGCAGCGTATACGTAGTCGGGCGCTCGTCAGTTCGGGGCTACTAATGGTCGCGAGTGTTGCATGATAGCTCAGCATCCAACTAACTTTACATGGCATCATATGCTGTGCGTTCGGACTTTCAGAATAGTGGCTGATCCCAGAGATATAACCATCCTTTCAAGAAGCCCAATAAAAAACCAAGCACGATTATAGCCTCACAGGCGACATTTAACTCAATCCCAAACACAAAAGAGCATGTTGTATAGTTGAAAGCTATGGTTGTCCACGGTCAATTGCAATGCAAGTTCAAGGTACTACCCGACAAAGGATGAAATTACAGTGGTAATTTTACTACTCGATCATAGCGCACTATCTTAAGTCATCTTCAACATTAGCCGGGCTAGCTCAATCGGCAGAGCGTGAGACTCTTAATCTCAAGGTTGCGGGTTCAACCCCCGCGTTCGGCTGTTTCTTTTTGCCTTCTTTTTTCCTTCACAGCCCGATTCCACAAACCCCCCCAACTTTTTACCCCCGGCTCCCCCTCTCTTCCCAGCTTACTCCTGTCATTGTCGGATACTTCGTGTTGTTCTCTAAAAAGACACAAAGAAGCTTACAGCTATCAACCACTTTAGTACATGATGATTTGTCTGCCTTACACCCCTTGGGTAATGCATGCCAACGTCGGGTAATCCCGCGCCCCCCACCCCCCGGGGTCACCTATCTCTCTATTGGCACATGGAATAAGAGAGCACACCATCACACATGCGCCGATTGTGCAAGTCTGACCATATGAATATGAGACATGGGTCTAGCTCATGGAATCTCCGCACAGTAGCGGACCGCCTTGTCCCCCTGAAAGCAGGGTAAGAGGCAGAAAATACATCCGTGCGCACATGGTGTGTTCGTGCCGTGCATTAGCATAATGCAGACGCAGCCACAATGCTGCCGTCCGTCAAGGTAGCTGCAGCTTGGCAGACTCACGGTATGCGTCTAGGTGTGAAAGCCCCAGGATCCATCCTGAGAGTACTGTGTCCCCTTTCGACGATAGGCGCAACAAGCCGTGGACAGAAGACGAGTAGGAGATTATGACGTCGCTCATTGTCAGTCTCGGATCACGTCGGCATCGACTTGCATTAGCTCTAGAAAAGAAAGATCAGGCCAGCTGGTAACTGGGCCTTAGACAATGACATTGGTTTTGCGAAGACACATACGCCGTGTCACACATCGCGGTAAGATCGGACACGCAGGAACTCGTACTATGACTGGGGTTATTGGAGATCGGAAGATCTCAAGCCCCAACCAATACACGATTTGTAGAAAGCCATGTTACTAGCCACGTGATCTAGTCCATTTGATCTGCGGGCCTCCTAAGTGTAATCGCCCTGGGTCATCTATCGTCGCCTCATTCTAACAGCCACACGGTACGGCTTGCATTCTTGCAGATGAAACAAAAATGAGCGTTAACCTAGTCAACAAGCCACCCGTAGCATAGCCAACATACTCAGCAATAAGCCGAGACGGTGGCCGCCCATGCGCTAATCGAATGCATAGATCGAAAAATATTGCTCCAGAAGCCGGAGCTTAGTGACACCTAGAGTCAGTCTTGATTATGACTGGGGCCAATAGATGAGTCATTTCATGGCCTAGTCGATGCTGGAGCTGAAGGTGAATACAATAAAAGACCGTGTATGCCTAGCAACGGACATATTTCAGCAAACGAATCAAATGGCATTAGCATATGCGGGGCGTGATCAGCACGCTGTGTATTTGATCCATTCACACCTTTCAGGCCAGGCAGCGCTCCTCCATGCCCTTTCCCGTTGCACCAAGGTGTGGAAGGGAATGCCGGTTTGAAGACCAGACACTATTGGCAGATCCTTGTCTTGCGCTGGCGGGGTAGGTAAAATCGGCACTGACAGTACTGCAGCAGGGTTACAGCGACATGCGCACCTCGGCGATGTATTTAGCAAAATAGCATGATAAGTATACTACATGCCGCATACGCCTCGGGAGCAGTGCAATCGATTCAACTCTTCCATGTCTTCAAGGCGGGTTCATAAAAGCGAGTAATTACCTTGAACATTTGCTGCGATGGGCTAGTTATCTTAAGGACAACTAGGCGAGATCGATGCGCTTGCAGATGGTCCAGATGCTTCGTTCCGGGTCATGATGGTATGTAACCGAGCATAAAATTATCAATTAGCACGGGACTCACTAGTACAGCCCAGGCACGGCAGCAAATGGGTGCTGCCGCAGCGGCGTTTTTCCGAGCGACATGAGGGTGAGGGGATGAGGGTATGCAGGGAGATGGACCGGGCGACCAGCGCAACACAAGGCAGTGTCGCGCTTCAGCTGCAGGTCCAGCAGCCTCTTGAGACAATTAACCGGGGCTGGGCGGTACTTTAGGAGTTGAGTTGCCAGCCAAGTTGGGTTAGACGATGAGGTCGGAGGAAAGGCGGCGGTGTGGCTTCAACCCGGTTCTTTGATCGCCTTGATCGAGCTTCATTGGGATCCATTGGAATCGTCCAACGATCTCACGTGTATTTTCAATTGGTGTGGACCAGAGTAACCTGGAATCCCATGTTACTAGGGGCCGTCTGTTTTCCTGGAGTTCTCAGTGCAGTAGCAAAGCCGCGGCCGTCGGTGTCGAAACAGGAGAAATGTGATATATAAAGCACACGGGGTGGGTTCCGACCAGCGGTCTATAGAAGGATCATCGGGAAATCCGATTGCAGCAAAGCATGACGATCAAAGGTGACGACGACGGGTATGATCCACCGGAACCAAATCGTGGTATTCATCCATCACAGCCACTTGATAATACCGACTGCGTTAGTCAGGATGATGTGTTACACTGGCCATCTATAAATCAATAGCCGTCACCGGTCATGGCATCCGTAGCCAGATGATAGGAAGAAGTGTGCGGGACAGCCAGGGAAATTAACTAGCACAAAGAAGAGCCAGTTCTTGTTCAGGTAAGGTCATGTCATACTCGAGAGAAATACCAGAGGGAGAGGTGGTGAGTTGCAGCAGTCTTCTCCATGGCACCATCGATGGAGGGGCAAAACAATGCGACGGGCAAGGTAATGCAAAAGATTGGCTTATTCTCTGAAACAGAGGCGCAGGCCATTCCCCTCCCTTCAAGCTCTCTCTTATTCACGATAGGTCGTTGCATCGAGACGAATGATGGTGTGGTAGTCTAGACAAAAGGGTAGAAATGCTCTCGACTCTGCTTTGCTCTACGAGTAGTTGTTGTTGATAGTTGAGGAGGGGGGGATGATAGCATTGAGGAAGATATGTGCAGTATCGTACAGGACAAGACAGGTATAGACATGTTTTGTGTAGGAAATAGGGGGAAGTTACCAGGCTATTACAGCGTGGTGACAGTACCAGCAGGGGGTCGGATCTTCCCAATCCATCCTTCCTACTTAATTTTTTTTTCCCGATTTTCCCCTCTTCTTCCTTTCTTATCACATCAAATTTCACTATTTTTACTTTTTTTTTTTGATCTTCCCATCACCCCTCACTAGAAAGTCATTACTGACTCTTACTACACTTACCACTAAACTAACCACCCCCCTCTCTCTTCCTTCCCTGTCCTTCTTCTCTTATCTCCCCCCGCCTCTAGGGTCTAGTCTTCTTCTCCCCTTTCTTCTCTTTTATTTTCTTCTCCTTTCTCCTCTCCCTTTTCACCATGTCTCAATCAGCTTCGACCCCTCCCCTTCAGGATCCCCATGCCACCACCGCCGCCCAAGTCGCCGGACAGTCCGCCTCCAATCCCACCCGCGCCACCGAACTCTCCAATCTTAAAATAAGCCTGCGCGGTGCTCTGCGCCAGTTCCCCGACTTCCCGCTGCCCGGCATCCTGTTCGAGGATATCCTTCCGATTTTCGCCAACCCTACTCTGCACGAGGCCCTCCTCCGCTGCCTCGAGCTCCACATCCTCGAGAGCAATGGCAACCAGAAGCCCGATGTCATCGTCGGTCTTGAGGCCCGTGGCTTCTTGTTCGGTCCCAGCCTGGCTCTGAGACTCGGTGCTGGCTTCGTTCCTGTTCGTAAGCAGGGCAAGCTTCCCGGTCCTTGCGAGACCCAGGGCTACCAGAAGGAGTATGGCGAGGACTTCTTCCAAATGCAGTCCGATGCCATCAAGCCCGGCCAGAAGGTCCTTGTCGTGGACGATATCATTGCCACCGGTATGTATCCCTCTCCACTGATCTGATATAAACACGCAAACTGACGTGGACCAGGCGGTTCGGCTTATGCCGCTGGAGAGTTGATCAAGAAGATGGGCGGCGATCTCATGGCCTTCGTTTTCATTCTCGAACTCGAGTTCCTCAAGGGACGGGACAAGCTCTCCGCCCCCGTCCACACCCTTCTGACTGGCCAGGAAGAGAAGGTCCTCTGAATTCAAAAATAAAGCAACCATGCACTGTGTTGCCGCTCTGATTTATTCGTTGGGTGGTCCGGTTTCAGTCCAAAAAAGTACGCAAAGTCAGAAAAGAGTTCATCCCGCCGGTATGACCCGCCTGGACGGATCGCTGGGGGCTCGGTAGCCAGGATATGATGCCGTGCGTCATCATGCAATTGGTCGATGGCCGGTGTGACCTCGCTGCATCGCCAGCTCTTGGCTGAGCCCCCCGACGGATGGTCTGCCAGCGTCGGAGAAAGTTGAAATCTAAAAGTTGCTCGCCATCAAGAACGACTGGCGTTCCTGGACTGGTGTCTTCCGGCATTCTGAAGTGAAACTACTCGATAATGATCATGAGTGGTTCTTACGCGTCGGACGGTGCTGCGCATCAGTTATATTTATAGACCATGAAAATGCTATTTATTGACGATACATCTAGTATATAAACATCTGTCCTAGTAGTCAATGCACGTGAAATCCATGCCTTTACACGCAGTCACATGACCTCCGCCCGGTCGTAAGCAATCGTCCCAAATAAACAAACAGCCTGACATGCCCTCGGACCAAACACCCTATCGTGATTTCCCACTTAATTAAGAGGTATCGACGGCCTCATAACCTCCTCGGCCCATCTCGCCGGAAGTCCGAGGGCGACCGACTCCCGGATTGCGCGATTCATGCGCGGGATGTACTCCTCCTTGGGCAGGCCCAACTTGACCCTCAACTCATCGACATACACCAACACCGGCACGGTGTTATCGCCACCGTGCGCACCCTCCAACCACTGCACCACCTCCGCGTCGACCACCCACTTATTGTAATCTCCCTGCCCTTGCTCCCTGGGCCGAACACTCACCGGCGGCACCACGACCGCGCCGTCCTTCCCACCGCCCGACCCCGCCGCAGGCGCATCCCAGTCCACGCCCTCGAACCCATCTAGCAGCCGCTCGTCCCGCTCGTCCATCGCGTACAGCACCCCATACACCGCGTCCTCTGTCCCCGAGACGGGCACCTCGTCGCCCTGCACACCCGTCTGCGGACCGACGCGCAGCTCGGGCGGCGGGAGGACGTTCGCGTAGCCGGCGTCACAGATCAGCCAGCGCCAGTGCGGGAGGCGCGCGATGGCAAGCGGCACCGAGGAGGCCGGGTTGTGGATGCAGCGCGTGGACATCTGCGACGGGGACAGGTTGGAGCCGTAGGCGAAGTAGAGCGGTCGCTCGGTCTGGGATTGTTGTTCTTTGGACCGGTCGGTGGTCGCTGTGGGCCCGCTGGGAGCGTTGATGTTGATCGGCGTGGAGGAGGGGGTCGTGCTGGGAGGGTCGTGGAGATGCATTTTCTTTTCGTGGATGGTGCGTGCTGCGGATTTTTTAAATATGCAAAGTGAAGTATGTAGACGATGAAGAGCGATTAGATGTGATGTCTATGTATGTATATAGATGAATGTGTATATACAAGTCTTCGTGTGCACTGTACACTATCCAGGGGACTGTATGATGCTCGATAAGGGAGATAGAGAGAGAGAGTAGAGAATTGAATAGATGTAGAAGGGAGGGGACAGGGACAGCCCGCAGGCAAGAGGGGCCGAGCTCGGACGGGTTCGGCATAAGCCTCTGTGGGGTTCGGCCCGATTGCCGGAGGCGACCGCCGATCCCGTTGTTATTGTTTAGTGTTCACATTTCGATATTGGCCAAGTGTCGCTGTCTTCCAATTGAATATATTCTTGGTGATTTGTATATGTGAGTGTATGCAGATATGTACACAGACAGCAGAGATCTATCTCTTCCATGGGTGTTATCCCCAACCTGTATCTCGTACTACACAATGTACAAATTGTTGATGGGAACTCCCTGGGATCGCACCGAATAGCGTCGCTTGATCCCAACTCCAGTCGCCTGTCGAAGCAGTGCGTAGGTCTCCTCGCCGCCACCCACCATTACCATACTTAGAGGATGGCGTCGCGGAAGGCCACCTGCAGTGAATTGGCTTTCGTCTAGATGTGGCCGAACAAGGTGCCGTGCTGAGTGCACAGCAGCCAATCCAGGCGAGGCCGGCTCGGAGTCCGCCATTTCCGACAAATCAACCTTTTCCTTATGGTAAGAAACCACGATCACAAGTTTCAAAGCCTGACGCGACGGCGGATATGCGGGGATGTTGCGTATTTTTTCGGAGAAACTACATCCGCCGCGCTTGAGTACAAGCACTTGGTGATTCTGGACAATTTCCCGCGAAAGACGATGATCGCAGAGCTCGTCTGCGAAGTAGACGCTGGACCAGCTGAGGCGCCGTTTTGACAGGTCGCCTGTTGCGGACGTTGTAGAGGCATCCTCCACATCCGGCAACGGGGCCGACCCGAGACCGGTTGAGATAGCTGCCGGAATCATCAAGCGCAAGACTGACGATTTTTGCGGCGGCAGACCGGTCTCAGCTCGCGCTTCGTCCCGGAGCAGGGTAGATAAGGAGTTAACTAAAGAGGACAGTACTGTCTTCATGCTTGAAATGGATGGATCGCCACTTTCAATGTTGCCGTTCACCGAAGTCGAGTCGTGGATGATTGGGCCCCGTGCCCCTTGGGGTGCCGTGGCTTCAGAACCATCATCTGAAACATTTCGCTGACGGGGAAGCTCTGGCAGAACATCAATGACAATGTCAATCATCCCAGAGTCGCGAACGCGCGAAAAATTCGGATCAGTGGGATCAAGCACGTCGAATGTGATTTCCCGCAAAAGATATACCTTCTCATCCTTTCCCAGTGGCACGTTATTGATTACCTGCACCCTGAACTCGTCCATGTCCGAGCTCTTTGCTTTGTCAGTTGCTAGGACATCCCGGACCATGCTCAACCGCAGCCCTCCGATGGCTTTCACAAAGATGCCATCCCGAACGCGTTCGAGCGACCCGGGGCCCACAACCATTCCAGGAAGTGCTGGGAAGGAGATGTCAAGAGTTGGGCGAGATATCAAGGGAGCGCTAGTTCCATTGAAAGGTATCAACTCTGGTGGTAAGGTCCAAGGATAGAATGTATAGTTAGTGGGCGATGATAGGTCAGATACTGATATGCTCGGGTGGTCCTCAGCATATTCAAGGAGTGGTCCTTCGGGAACATCTCGAGTGGGCATGAGATGCAGGCGAGCCAGACTCGCGGCATGAAAAACGTCAGGACGTGCAGCAGTGGATGAGCCCACCAATGTTGGGGGAAGAGGTGCCATTTGGCAAACAGGTTCCCTGCTCTTCACGCTCACCAGTGATTCCCCGCGTGCGTGGGGTGCAGTACTGCGCTTGGGTATTATCAGAGGATGGCCCTCTGTAGAGAACACAAACGGCTGGTCCATCTTGTTCAGCGGGTGTTCAAGATCATAGAGTAGGAACATGTATTTTGCGGTTTCCCCCAAGAAAAAGCTCTCCATCCGATCATTGAGCTCGCCGTTACGAACATCCTGAATGCCGGCCCAGCCACACTTGGTCCAGCATCGGCGCTTGAGATCACGCAAAACCATTTCACCTACATGCAAGTACCATGGATCCTTGGTTGCCCGGTACAGGTAGTAGGTAGATTCCACGAACTCTGGACGGCCACCGTACCACGCCAAGTTTTGCTCTATGTTGCCTGTGGCAACATTCCATCTTTCAGGCAAGCCAGAGAAACGGGTCCAGATGGCAGTGGCTAGAAGATGAATTCCAATCGCCTCATCCAACTCACCAGCCAGCGTCAGCAACCCCGGGTAGAAAGCGCTGAGGCTATCTATCCAGAAAGCACGAGTCGCGCCCGTGAAGATGTCGCCTTGAATAAGATGGGGATGTTGATGGCCATCTCCTCGGTACAAATGTCTTTTGATGGACGCATGTGACTCTTGCCACACTTCCAAGAAAGCTTCCGAAGAGTGTTCGTGCTCGCTCAAGGGTAGAAAGTAATCATCCAACAGATACCACGGACTGCTTGTGTTATGGGGAGGTCGCTCTCCTGAGGAGAGCAGGACGTATGACTTGAATGCATATTCAAAGAAGCTATCAATTCCGGCACCGATCTATTATCATTTGTTAAACCCAGCCCGGAATAATGATGTAAAGCTCGGAAAGTACTTACCCCAGTGTACGAGTGTACCCATCGGCCCGATTCAGCATCAATACCAGAGCCAATCAAGCCAATTTCACTTCGTCGCGCCCAGACGGCCCAGAAAGCCCTCTTAGCAAGCTCCTCGTACCGGCCATCGCCTGTAAGCCGGCTTAGAACCGTAAATTCTAGGACGAGACTGCCAGCGCCAGCGCTGCAAGTTTCCGTAGTTTCTGGGAATGATGACCAGCGACTTTTCTGGCAGCCTTCAGAGTTCGAACCATTGCACGAACGAGCCGTATTAAGTGGCGAATTCGCATAAAATGGTTGTCTTTGAACTCCGTATCGTAGGTTGACTCGCGGGTAAGGAAGACCGGTGTCCGTATAGAAAGCGGGCAGAAGACGATTCCCCAGGTCGGCCGCGAGTCGCAAGAGTTGGCCATCATATATGAACCCTGTCTTCCAATAGATACCGTTTTTGCCGTCCCCGAAAGATGACTTATCCCAGGCCTTCGCGAAGGTAGCTTCTTTATCCGAAGGGGTATACCCAACAATGGGAAGGTCACCCACAGCAAAGAGATGAGCACTGAGTAGTCCGCCTGCAGTGACAGATGTTAGCCAAGGAGGTGGACCTCTAATGAGTCTTTATAGAACGTGGTCGGCACATACCCAGCCCTCGAATGACCGTCTCAAACACTTGAACTTTGCTATCCATGTCAAATCCTCGGCTCCGTTCGCCCTGGCCAGCAGGGCTATCAGACCCATCTCCGTAAAGCGTGACAAAATCCTCCACTCCCCTCTGAAAGTAACCCAAAGCTCTTTGACCACCCTCTGGACTCGACGCAAGGATGGCCAAAGATGATAGACTGTCGATAAGGGTCAGGGAATAGTTTCCAAGGACGTCATTGAGCTCGGCGTGCGCGGGATTGTCTCGATCGCGGATCAATGGACGGCAGGTCAAGGGGCGAAGCTCATCTTCGGGGAAAGCGTGTTGGATGTAGTTATCAAAGCCGTGATAGAACATGTGTTCGGTTTCCTTCCTGGCCATAGATAACCCAAAGTGCCGTTAGCGGAATTCCTCAGACATGGTCATTGCTTTGCAGAATCTAACCTAAGTTGTTTGACTCGATCTGTCCTCATGCCCTGGGCCATGGCAAGCCATAGCGACAAAAGCATGGCCCAGGTTATCACCCATGCTGAACGGAGCTTGGACATTTGAAAGCGCCAACATCCCTAGCGCATTACCGCAATAGCGAGTCGGTCTTCATTAGCATGAGAGCGCGGGGACGAGACCGGGCCACTGAACGGTATGTGAGTTTATCTCTCTTTGACCAGCGAGCTTGGTTTCTAAAAGAGAGGAGTTGTTCAAGGGAGTGGTAGAAAGGAGGGGAAGGATAAGTGTTGCGGCGGAGGTGGCAGCAGCAGCCTCGCCGCGGGAGCAGCACGTGAGATCGCAGCAACCTCCGCGGCATTTGACAAGCGGCCAGATATGCCTCTTCAATTAACCTTAGCCGCATCATCGATCCCTCTCCGGGTGATTTTAATGGAGTAGTAGGCTAAATATAGGGCTGAGTCTCCGAGCTAAGTCTTCTTTCAAGGTGGGTTTCAACAAATCCTAGAGTCTAAATACAACACACTAATAGCGCTCATTTGATGCTGGCTAGATACATCACTGCTGACATGCCACTATAACTCCCGCTTGAACCCTGACAATCAAAGGACCAATAAAAAGAAAGAGAGAATGTTAAGTATGAGCTAATGCAGATGTTGGGGTATATCTCGGATGAAGGAAAAGAGCTTGGCAACAAAGGCATGACTTGATGCACGGCAGGCTCTCTGCCCGTGGCATACCGTGGAGGTGCAGAGAAGAACAGAAGGCTGAAAAGAATGTTAGGGCCGGCGAGACGGCCGCTCTGGTGCATGCCATTGCGTGAAAGATCGTGGCTGTGCTTCTACCACGTAGTCGATCCCATCATCAGAGGTGTAACTAGGCGGACGAGGTATTTGAGACTTGTTGCTGGGATCTCGTTCAACGACCTTTGGTAGTGCGGAATTGTTACCCACGCGTTGCCAATACAACAAGTCAGGATTTAATCGCTGGAAGAATATCGATTAGCGCAAGCCAGGAAAATCATGCACATCTGTAAGCTTACCACGCTACTTCTCCAAAGGCCATATGCTGGAGGGGGTACAGTGATCTTTTCTCGAGCAGCGTTGTGGCTTTCAGTCATTGCATCTTCATCCCCCGCCAGGACAACGTGAATGGGATGTGCCGGCTGCGCATAACCGGAGGGTCCTGCCCTGCTCGGTATGCGATTTGAAGCGATGTCAGATTCAGATTTTGGGACTACTGCCATCAGGAACCGAGTTAAAGAATGACAGAAAACAATGCCGATAATCAGTATCATAAAAATGAGCAGGATTTGTAGCTCGCGGCCCAAGGTTGTGCGCGAAGCAGCAAATGCAAGGTATATAGTGACAACCGAGAGGAGGAAGACTCCTGACGCAATCAATGTAATGAGCCGCCTGCGGACCTTCCTCTCCCTCAGGATTGAGGTACATGATCGCCTGCCATGGCTGTGACTACCAGAGTCGATCGGTAAACTAAGACCCTGTGATTCTCTGTGAGAATTTATATCCATTTGCGCAGCATGGGCATCCCGTCCCGCAGTAGACTGCATTTCGATAGGGACGTATGTTCGTCGAGGCGAATATGGTAATGTCGAAACATCTTCCGAATCGTTGTGCCTTGATATAGGACTTCCCTGACGGCGAGATTCCTGGTCTGTTATGTGATTATCCCCATCCCCAAGTAGTCGCTGCTCATCATCTAGGCGACGATTAGTTGCTCTGGATGCGATACGTTGGCCAAGAGATAGAGTTATCTGGGAGTCAAGATCCGAACCACGAGTGTTGTTAGACGATAATGAAGAGTTGAACAGCATGCCAGAGCTTAAGTTGGAATGTGTCGATTCAGGATGAGACTGCCGAACCGATTCCATGGTGAGTATGATTGACAACCAATGACTGACATATGCTCTGATCAGTGAGAAAGAGTCAAATGATAAGGAGATATCGAGTGAGATCCTGCTCAATATTCCAAGGGATGTTGGCCAACTGAAAGACTTTTGTGAGCTGCAATGCGATTTGTTTCTGGAAGTATGTATGAATTCAAGCGCACTTCCGCATCCGTTGAACAACACACAGCAAGCTTTAGAGAGCGTGAATCGCGACGAAAACTATCTGCCACGATCGATCGTAATAAAGCGCAACCGGAAATTCCGAGGCAGATTTGGTGACTTGCGACAGAAATAGACAAGCAGGTCGAATTCGGCTTTATAGATTCATAATGATGGCCCAGCCTAGGTTGACTGAGGGGCCCAGGGGAGCAGCATTTAAGGGAGTCCCGACCGCAAAACAAGAAGTGTCTAGCGACCAGGATCTTGGCCCTTAATGCTTCGGAAGACAAGGATAAAGATAAAACGGAGCAAGGCGATAGCAGCACCAGGCAAGCTTTCAGTCAGGTTTGTGTGAAGGCCAGGTCAACCAATGGTTGTGCCCAGTGATGCAGAAACCGGACTCGACTAAAGCGAAGGAAATGAATATTACAGCAGCTGCAACTAGTCGGTAAGGTAGCGAAGGAAGTAAGTAAGATCGTACTGAGATGAAGGTATTGAACAGTAATATGTGAAAGGTGGGTGCCCAGGGAATGACGAAATGATCAGTGCTGGCTGAAGGGAAGAAAGGAGATCGATAAGAAGGCAATCTTAGCGAGCGACAGGATATGCAAGATGAGAGGGAGGGAGAGAAGATCGTTCCATCGTAAGAATGAGATAAAGATTAGTTAGAGAGAAGGAAGAAGGAGAAGGGAAGAAGGAGAAGTAGCAAAACGATGGTGGGGAGAGCAAGACAGAGCAGGGGGAACAAGCCGCGGCCAGTTGGTTCAGTTTGTTTCCAAAAGTAGCAACCAGACGACTAGTTTGAAGCTAGACTAGCTGGTCGCATTTGCGATCTCTTCTCCTCTGACAACAGCACCGACTACTACTTCTACTTGATACTACCTATTTCAGTCCCTGTGCTCATGACCTATAATTAGTAGAAATCCAAGAGAGCATCCAACAATTGGGTTTTCAGTACCTGTTCTCAATCACCTAATTCAGTTGATTTTGAGTTATACTTATACTTCTTTCTTCTGGTCGGTCTGCTATGAAGCATTTACCCCTGGATGACCCACGTTTGCCGCTCGGGCTTACAGCCACCACACTTCAAATCCAGCACATGGTAAACTTATCCCAGAAATGTTGGAAATGCTTTCACTCCCCAATGATGTCATGGTTAAAGTTGCGGCAGTCTTGATTATGGGTAAGTACGGTCGAGTCACCCCCCAGGACACTATACAATTGACTATATGGCTGCACAGCCTATATGAAGAGTACCGTACACTGGGGTAGCAGTGCAGTCGAAGAATAGACAGAGATGCTTGACGATATAGCGCTCATTGCTGAATGATGTTGGATCGGGGAAATTCAAAGATCTGATAGTAGCCTTGCTTTGTCACCGCCATCGTCCTCACGAAGCCACCCTCCTTGGCTAGACTGCCCTAGGCCCCGCTTGGATGTGCTTCTTGTGATTACTGCGTCCCAGAACCGCACGAGCCTCTGTAGGCGATGTAGCTCAATATAATGCATGTACATTCTAGTCGCCTCTTGCGCGGTGCTATGGCATGGTAAATTGTTGATAGACGTCTGGTCTAACCCCCACGACTAATTCACTTGCCAAGCTCACCGAGCAAAAGAGTGCGATCGGATGATCCAGAAACAACTATTGGATGATGGTTAGAGCGACAGAGCCAAAGTACGATCGATAATGCACGGGGAGGAACTCACTGATAGGCTCGTTGTTGGGCGAGAAGCGGACATCATTGACAGTCCCCTTATGCCCTGGCAATTTGTATAGGAGTTTCCCACTCTTGGAGTTCCACACGACGACACTTCGGTCTCCGCTACCAGTGGCAATCTTCTCACCCATCGGGTCCCAACTGGCCCGAATTAGATTTTCTTCCAGGCCAACTGGTGCACCGTCAAAAGTCCGAATGTGTCGGTTGGCCGGTGCAAAAGGCCGAACGTCCCATGTCCGTACCGTGGAGTCGAAAGAGTTGGAGAGAAGCGTTTGCGAGTCCGGCGATAATTCGAGTGAGGTGATGGTATGCGTGTGCCCCGTTAAGGAATATACGATGCCTTTCTTCCGAATATCCCACGTATGGATGGCGTTGTCGATACCGCCACTGTATATTTCATTTCCAGCCTCGGAGAGCGCCACCGCGGTGATGGGAAGTTCGGTCTCCAGACAGTCGATGGCGTCCTTCTGCCGAGGGTCCCAGATGCCTATACTGCCGTCGTTGCTGGCACTGACCAGTAACTCCTGACCTCTTTTGCTGATATCGAGACAATTGATGTAATCTTCGTGCCCCACGTGTCGTCTAATCCTTTGTCCGGTTTCTAGGTCCCAGCTGGCAAGCGTCATATCCGTCGATGCGGAGAATATCGTCTTAGAGTCTCGGGACCATTGCAGGTCACGGATCGCGCCTCGATGGCCTGACAGTACACCATAGTTCTCACAATCACCGTATGTATTCCAAAGCACTGAAGATGTCTGGCGTTAGCGTATGAGTTGCAAGTTGGCTGCGCCAGGTGAGTTGCTCACAGATTGATCTATCCATCGATCCTGAAGCGATGTGCTGACCCGTTGGATCGAATCGTACAGAGAAAACCTCACCGGAATGGCCTGGGTCCGATTATTAGCCGACAACACATTAATTCAGGTTCCGTGCAGCTCACCCGTAAGTTCCATGATCGGAGCCTGGAGCCCGCTGGTGCGGGGAACCTGCACTCAGGATCAGTAAAGATATTTCAGACAAATCTTTTCGAGTCGGCCACCTGGTAACATACGGCTTGCACGAGAGCCCCATTTTGCGAAGAGCCCTTGACCACAGCTGCACTATTGTCGATACCAGCATCGGACTTCTTTCGCTTGACGACTAGCTGATTGGAGGAACCAAAGGCCTCTTGGGCAGGTCGCTTCTCGCCGGACATCTTGATGAGTGTGTAATGAGCGGGCTCACGAGCAGGGAAGAGACACGTGAAGGACGACAGGAGCGGAGATATACGAAGAGCTATTGGGGAAAATTGAGAGAGGTGCCGAGCTAGTATTGAACGTGATCGGGGGGAGCCCGAGGGTTAGAAAGCGCCGCGCCGAGTCGGTAGTCTACTAATCAGACCTGGTCTCTTGTCCAGGCATCGATGCTTGGTGGTACCGAGGAGAAGCGCTGGATGCTTGACATTAGCCGCGATAGGCGCCCGCGGATGGCCCACTAGGCGGTGAAGCTCCGCTTCGGTCCCCTCGCTCCACCCATATCGAAGCGGGGAGAGGAGTTTATTGTCAACACTCCACCAGTTGCATACGCAGTTGATTTCAGATCTTTTTTTTCTTGCCCAAGTCTTGAGGCTGCTCTTGACTCTTTCATATAAGAGACCTTATAAGAGACCTGAGACAGGCCCTGGAGTACAATATGTCATCCTCCACGAAAGCATCCAGGATTGGTGAAGAGTGAGCGAGCCGCAGCTCCCATTAATGACATACAGACTCGCTGACAGAAAATTAACGTGCTAGGCTATGGAAGTAAGTCACCGACGCGAGCCTCATGATAATTCGAGACAGAGCCACCAGTCGTTGAGAATGCAGAGACTCACCACCGCGTTAGAACAAGAGTCGACAAAGTCAATGCGGAGCTGGTCACTTTGACATACGGAACAATTGTCGCACAACTCTGTCAGGACTATGATGGAAACTATCAGGAGGTCAACAAGCAGCTGGAAAAAATGGGCTACAACATCGGAATGCGACTCATTGAGGATTTTCTGGCGAAATCGAATGTAGGCCGGTGTGCCAATTTTCGGGAAACGGCAGACATGATCGCTAAGGTAAGACTTGTGACCTTAAACGATGCGAGACGAATCGGGATTGATAATAACGCCGTTTGTACGCGCAACAGGTCGGGTTTCGGATATTCCTTAATATCGCTCCCACTGTAACGAATTGGACGAGCGACAATAATCAATTCTCGTTGGTGTTTGACGAGAATCCGCTCGCAGACTTTGTTGAACTACCAGACGATGGGCGGGCTCAGGATGAGCTTTGGTTCTCTAATATCTTATGCGGTGTTTTGCGTGGGGCTTTGGAAATGGTAACTATTCTCTACCTTGATCTTTTATTCGCCGACTGGCTAGTAACTCTGTCAACAGGTCCAGATGCAGATCGAGGCGCATTTTGTGAGCGACGTATTACGAGGAGATGATACCACGGAGATGCGCGTATCACTTGTGAGGTACATCGAGGACGAAATGCCACCCGAAGAGGAGTAAGCGTGGCAGTATGCGTGCTGTATGAACCTAGTTTTCCATTTAGTCGAGGCGTCTGGTGTCTACGGGGGTTGTGTTTAATAAGCAACTGCATAGGTTGATCGAGATCATCTGTAAGTTAATATTGATGGCATTACTGGAGAAGTCAACAATATATGTATGATACATTGTATTGGACGAACGGTGAGGTTTGCGTGAGAATGATAGATCAAACCGCGAAATTCGACCCCGGTGGTATTTGTGGGTCTGAAAAGTGTAAAGTGGCAGAATACAGTATAGATACTGCATAGAAGGAATGATCGCCCTGCCCTAATTGTATTCTGACATCGGACAGTTGTATACCGTAGATGCGGCATCACTTTCGGTAGACGCAACGCATTGCTTCACCATCACCACAACTTCATATTCTATGGGAAGGGGATTTTCATCAGGCTGATAGATGAATTTCCCCGATTTCCGGGATGAACCTGTCTTTCATTTCCTTGAGTTTGGGACATGGAGAAGGATCATGAGATGGGGAGATGTGGCCAGGAGCCACGTGATGCCCTAAGCCTCAACAGGAAGCGGACAACTCCATCCATCAGATCCCATCGGCTGTGCTAAGAATTACGCAGGGCCCAGTCATTCGATCCGCAACTACTTTATCGATAGATAGAAGCAACCATCAAGTCATGATGCGACCGACTTGAAGCATTTGAGATGCTTGTGAAGTTTCGCGTTCATAATTACCTGCTAAATTATCGCTTCAATTGACAGGTACGTTATTCGAAATTCCCATCTTGCTCCGATTGCCTTCGTCGTGATCGATAGGTAAGTTACGCCGCGCGGGATAGTTCACGTCAACTCAACTATCAGGTTGGGTATAGACCATTTATCCTCCTTATGATCATGGGAAAGGAGACATAAGTATCTGTGTCGTTTATCGAACCTTCAATTGAGAGTGATACCGTTATAGCCTGTCAATAATGTGCTAGTCAAACTTGACTCTGGAAGCTAACCATCTCTTCAGCTGTATAGATACATCATCTTTACCCGGCTGGTCTCGTTTCTTGCCTCCGAGAAAAAAGACTTGGCTCTCTCTCTCTCCCTCCCTCTTCCCTTTTCCCCCTACCCATATTGAATCTCCGGGGGGCCAATTCTTCTTTTGCTCTTCCTCTCATTCATTTCTTCTCCTCTCTGCTTGTTGTTTCCTCTTCCTAGTGATCGTCTCTGTGGTAAGTTATTCTGTCACAACAACCCTTTTTGCCTCCTTGTCCCTGTCCAGTATTTGTGTCATCCATCATCATCATCATCCATAATTTTTTTTCCCTCCCCTTCTCTGGGGTGTGTTGCCGCCATTTCTGGAAATGCATGCTGAGATTTACGCCAGCCAGCAGCATCTCCCAGCCCTCCTGCGGCGTTCCGGTCAAATTCTTCCGTTCCGAACAAGCGATTCACGCCCAGCCGGCAGTGATTGAACAGCCCAGCAACTCCAGGCACCGCGCCTGATATCCACGTCCTCCCACCCACCAGAGAACACCTCAGATCCACCGCTACACCTTGTCCTAACCTTCGCCTCTCCTCCCTCCCCCTCCACCTCTCCCTCGAATCTGCCGGATCTCTCCGTCTCTTCCCTCCCTCTCTCCTTCCCTCCAGTTCTTTCCCTTTTCTTGTAGGGGCTCTGGTGATTACTATTAGCCCCTCTTGAAGTCCTTCGCCCTCCTCCTCTGGCTAAGAAGTGGTGGTACTTGTGCCTGCCTGTTGAGACGCCTCCTGGGCCGCTCTCTCCTATACGTCGTTCCCGTCCTTTACCTACTTGTATCGCTTGTCGCCGCCCTCCTCCCTCACTCTAGTTGATTCTCTCGCGCATTTTCTAGCGGCTGAGTCTTTGCACAAAACTTAGTACCCTGGTGTCTCTGTGTTGCTATCCCATTTCATCCGACGCTGCTCCCTCTGACCTCCATCTCTCTGTGACGGGTCAGCAACAAATTCTTTCGTGCCTACCTTTTGCCTTTGCTTCCGAGTGGGCTACGCTCGCCTTCATTCGGTGATTATCGCAACTGCGTTGTCAACCTTCTCGTTTCCCTCTCCCCGCCACATCATATAGGCGACCTCGCGTCTTGCTCCATAACATCAAATCGTCTGATATCGGGCCGGAAGGTGCTGTGACCTGATCTTCTTCCCCAACGCCTCGGTCTCGGCGCACCTAATCTCTTACCTGTGGTATACTATCTCGCCGTGAAGCGGTGGATGCGCGTTGCAAGTACTTGATCTCCACTTTCTTACATCGAGGACAATCGTCCGGTGAGGGTGGCTTAACCCTTCGCGTGCCACCATGAACCAAATGAACGTGGCTGGGATGAACCCTGGTGCGGGCGGTCCTGTGGGAGGTGTCCCTATGATCAACAATGGTTCTGCGGCTCCCCGCAACGATGCAACCATCCACAACATTCCTGAGAATACGGTCGGCAATCTCAACACCTATATCTACGACTATTTCTTGAAACGCGGTTACTACGAGTGCGCTAGAGCGCTCGTGAAGGATGAATCCGTCAAACTTAACACTGAACCCCCCATCAAGACGAGTCCCGGTCACCGTCGCGATGGTGATGTGAACGGGGTTGATGGTGATACGATGATGACCGACGGGAAGGATGGGGAGAAGAAGATCCCCGATGATCTTCCTCGCCCCCACCTCTCGAGTGAAGGCCAACAGACCTCTTTCCTTCTCGAATGGTTCAGTCTCTTCTGGGAATTTTTCTGGGCCCAGCGCAAGAAGGGGACCAGTGCCGATGTGCGGCAATACCTCAGTCATACCCAGGTATGTTCCGTTCGCAAGCCCGCAATATACCTAAGAGTCTAACTGGGGCTTTGTAGAACATTATGCGCCTCAGAGAGCAACATCAAAATCAACTATTACGGCAGCAGCCGCTGATGCCTGGGCAGATGGGACAAATGAACATTCGCCGGAACGGCATGGTTCCCCAACCTCTACAGAAGACCGCCTTGCAGAACAATACCCCAGGCCTGTATGCTCATTCCTCTGCATTACTCTGCAGGTTGCAGGTGACGTACTGATCTATTGGTACAGGACCCAACAACAATTGCAACAGCTTCAGAAGAATCAACACCAGCAACTTCAAATGATGCAAATGACTCGGGAACACTCCGACATTGATATGAACGGCCACCGCCCCCAATCGCCATCATCCGCAGAAAACGCCCCGTCCCCCTCGAAGCGGCCTCGGCTTGAAGGTGGCCTCATGAACGGCCAGCAATTGGCTCCCAACGGACGCGCTCAGGTCCAGGGCATGCCAGGTCAACCGAACCCACAAGCTGCGCTCTTGATGCAGAACGGACTCAACCGGGCGATGAATCCCAATCAATTCCAGGCTTTCCCGCAGTCAGGACCTGCTGCGCAGCAGAAATCTATCCAGGTATATGCTCAGAACTTGGCCATTCATCACTCACGCTCAGCAATGAATAACCAGGGTATGCCGAATGGTATGATGAACCCCGGTGTTATGCAAAACCAGACGGACATGGTGTCCATGCCAGATGGCCAGGTGTATCCCATGAACGGCGACTACTATGGCGCGAATGGTCAAATGGCCCAGGTCCGGAACGGGATGCAGACACCTGGCGGTCAGCACGGGAACCACGCTCTTCAAGATTATCAGATGCAACTTATGCTGCTTGAACAGCAGAATAAGCGGCGTCTGATGATGGCTCGCCAAGAGCAGGATAGCATGGCCCGTCCTGACGGCCAGCCCCCACTGCCTGGGCAGCCGGGCCTGCAACCAGGCACTTCTCCCCAAGGCAGCCGGGCGGGCACGTCGCCAAATCCCAACGATCAAATGAAGCGGGGTACGCCAAAGATGCCCCAGACCGGTCTCCCCGGCTCCCCAAGTGCCGGTGACGCGATGGCTCAGGGTCGTGGATCTCCCGCCTCCATGAACTTCGGTAATCCGATGCCTCCTGATATGACCAACTCGTTCTACGTGAAGGGCATGCCTGATGGTATGGGCGCACCCAACGGTATGCGACCCCCGAGCTCCAATCCAGCATTCAGCGCCCCTCAGATGGGTCAACCGATCCCCGCTGGTGCTGGAAACCGGGTACCTAGTGGAAGCTGGCAACCCCAGCAAGGTGCCCAGCAACCTATGGCTCCGCAACAATCTCCCGCAACTCAGCCTCAGTCGACCGGAACCCCACAAGAAAGAAACGCCATGCCACCTCCTCAGGCCCCTCCTGCAGCCGGTGCCAACACTGGTCGCACCCAGCCGCCCTCTCCCCAGACGGCCGCAGCCGCTCCACCCACACCACAGCAGGCAAACAAGCCCGCCCCTAAGAAGAAGGATACTAAGGACACACGCAAGGTATGTATTTATAGGTGTCATACTTGTCGATTCACCTCAACATGGTTTGCTAATTGTGATTACAGCGGCCCTCGAAGAAAGCAACCACTGCTGCCGCTGCCGCTGCCGCCTCAGCAAACGCGGCTGCCACACCTTCCTCTGAAGCCGAGCATCCGCCGACTCCTACTCCATCTACCCCGATTACTCCTCAGCATCCCGCCTCATTCAACAAAGCCGGTGCCAATGTCACGACGAGCGCTCCCCAACAGCCTACGTCTGCTCCTGCACCTCAGCCGCTTGTGCAGCCCCCGACAGACCAGAGCCAGCAGTTTGGCGAGCTTGGCGTTCCTGATGTATGTCTTCCAGATCCCGAGTCTCCTCGTCTAAATTGTAGCAAGAGTGAAAATGTATGCTGATTGCCATAGCCACAGGTTTTCAACCTCGATTTCAGCGCTCTAGAGAACCCAGACATTCTCGAGAACTTTGACTTCGACACATTCCTCAACACCGATGCCGACACGGCCGGCTTCGGATTCGATCCCAACATATCGTATCCTACCGACGGTGTTGAGACCGGTGCCGGGGATGGCCTATGAATGTGATCCGACGGTTGTTCAGTTCTTCACTCATATACCCTTGCTTTGTACATTTCCATAAACTTCGATATGTGCTGTGCTATTGCTCTATTTGCTTCCTTCGTGCCTCTACTAACTGTCTCTTCCTGTTGACATGATTTGGATACGTGCTTTAGTGACAAGGCGTTGGCGTATCCGTTCTGCATATCCCTTCCTTTGTCCTGTCAACGAGGGGTGATTGATAACTGGCTCTGCAGGGGATGCCTTGTATACAAGCCATACTCTCTATGCCCTACATGTCTTGTGTGACTCTGCTTTGAAAGTTTTCTTTTCCTATTCTTTTATTATTATTTGATTAATCTTGTCCCTCTTATCAATTCCCCCGAAGGCCACTAGTGTGATGTTTCTCCAGCGTTAGTCATGCAAACCCTTTACCACTCAAACCTTAATACTTGAGATCTCCATCACAAGATGTGTATGTCCTTGGCTGGCCTTATTCTTCTCGCCTAACACCTTATTCTTTCTCTTCAACCGAAACAAGTTCTACTTGTTACACACTTTTGTCCCTTCCTTTTCCCTTTTTTTCCTTTGTATTGCCTCCTTTCTTCATTGAGTTTTGATTGGCGTTATCGACGAGGTTCTAGTCGCTATCTTGACTCCTCTCTTGGGAATGGTTTTATGAATTGAGGAAGAGAACTGACGTCTTTTTCCTTTTGCTACTCTTCTTATCCTACATCATATTCAATCGAGCCGAATCCTGCGTTGCTTCAATGCTTGCTTGCCTCCCTTGCCTGTATGTGCTTCTCCATCTCTGCTGTGCTGGATTTTGCCCGCTCTACCGCACCCCGTTTACACAAGATTGTGTACGCTTCACGCCGGCCTACTGCATGCGGACCGAACCGATCGAGTGAGATTCCTTTGTCTCTTCTCCAGGACATGGTAAAAGTGATCATAGCAATTCCATTATCGCACCAGTTGCCCCAACGACATTATGTCGAACTTGCACATCCATAAGGGGAGAGTAGTTAGCCTCTCCATCAGCAGACCAGAAAGCCACCCCACATAACATAGCGTACTGCATTCAGACTCGAAACAAGAACCGTCCAGTAGAGCCCAAGCCCTTTCTTTTGGTTTCTCTTAGAATCAAATGACTCGCCACACATGCCAGAGATGCGATGGCCACATGGAACCAGGTTCCAGACAGGCGATATCATCTGCTGTGGCACCTGAGCAAAACGTGGCATTCTCTTGCAATCCCAGAAGCATATCGTGATGAAATTCCAAGGGAATGAAACATGAACAACGACAATAGTAGGGAATGACAAGAAGCGAGAACAAGAACAAAAAGTGAAGAAAATGACAGAAGAGGGAGCTCCAGATGGGAAGCAAACAGTAACCACCAAATACATAGAGACAGAACAGCTGCCGGCTACGACAAAGGGTAACCCGACTAGTGACCATGCATCATGACATTTTCATTCCTGAAACCCCACTGCTGAACACTTCTACGCTCGTTCGCCGCCGTGGTCTCGAGCTCATCATCTTCCTCGACCATTTGGATCAAGAACTCGACAACCTTCTGGGCACAAGTTTGTTCGGCCATTGATTTGGTACCCTCCAAGCTGTTGACGTGACCGATAGGACCGGCACGTCGGAGGAATGGATCGTCTTTGAAGTGAGCACCGACAGTATATTGACCAAGTGTTTCGGTCAAGCGCCCGTCCAGCCTCTCCACTCGGATCTCGGGGTATTCCAAGTGGAGTAGTCCGCAGACCTCTGTGCAAAGGAAGAATACCATTAGCAGTTCGACCGAGAACATGGGAACAATACATTACTTTGCAACTTTCCGGTATATGAGGTTAGGCTCTGTATCTGGAGCTGAATCTCACGGGGTGTCACTGTCCACCTCTTTTCTTCCTCCTTGACAGTCACCTCAACCGATGCTATTCTGGCGCGCTGGATGAGTAACAAATTCGAGTTGCGAGGTTCGACTTTCGTCCGCTTTCTGTTTTCGCCGGCCTCGTTGGGGTACGCGGTTGAGGGCTCATATTCAGGTCGTCGGTTCCTCCGGTAGGGCAATTCGAATCGATCGCGTCTCTTCTCACTGTGAGCGGCTTTTGCATGATCGAAGCATTCCCATGTGAAAGTCCGCGCCTGGTGAGGGTCTCGCGGAACTAAGGCGAGCATCTTAGCATCCATTTTCTTCAGATTAGAAGGGCCTAGAAAGCTGCTGGTAACATCAGAGTCATCTATGTATAGACGCCGCAGAGCTAGTAGGGCGCACGATCTTCGGGAGTGCTCATCGTCGGCATAATGCCCAATTCTTCCGGTGTAAATGGTACGTTGGACTTGGACTCTGTGGTAGAACTCACTCCCGTGCATGAATTTGGTATAACCTGAGAAGTCGAGACCGCTGAAGGTACAAAACTCTGCCATGAAGCTCGTTAGGCCGGACCAAATCAAGCGACCATAAAGTTACTTGCCCTGCAGGAGATCAACCCAGTTCCAGTCAGAAGCCAGTGAAACATCGTCGATAATGTCAGGCAACTTCCAATCCGGAAAGTCAGGTTGTAGCTTTCGCAGTGCAGCGCGGCAGACATCGGATTTGGCTTCTTTCTGAGTATTGTAGATGATCGACTTTACAATCGTGTGCCCATACATTGTAAGCTTGACTCCCCATCTGCAGCTCTTCGAGACACTAAACTGGAAGCGCGGCAGAAGCAACGCCTGCGTTGTGAGGACACCAAAGCAGAAGAGAATCACATCATCGTCAAGAAAGTCCAATTGCGCTTCTGCCAGTCGCTGAACGGGTCCTGGGCAATCCGGCTTATTCCACGCTTCGACGGCGACCGCTGGCTTCGATTCTTGGAAACTTTCTTCGCCCCAGGCGGTGTCAGTTGGCTCGCATTTCACACTTGTAGTCGCCGACAAAGGTGGAACTGGGGGTTGATTGAGACGCAATGGTTGTGAGACTGCGGGCCGAGGTGATGAGAGCAGAGTCGAGGCTTCCACTGGTGCAGGCACGGATTCAATAAGCTCCCAGTAGGGCGAAGAAACATAGGCCCAGTGTGAAAACCCCTGGGGAGAGTGGCACTGGAACCGTGACAGTACATCCGTGAATGAAGTGCTCGAAGTCGAAGTTGTTCCCACCACCTGGCGTGAGAAAGGAAGGTAACTGTCCATGGTAAGATTGAGCCTCCAAGAATAGCGCAAGTACCTGGAGGGTTCCCAACGGCTATGCTACGGGCAGCGGACTTTAGCGGTCGAGGAGTCGAGAGGGGGTGGGAGAACAAAACAAATGGAAAACAGATGAGGGAAACGGAAGAAGGAGGAGAATGACAAGGAGAAGCAAGAGAAGGAAGAGGTATAGGAGGGGGAGAAAAGGGAGAAGGAGAAGGAGAAGAGTTTGAGGGGAAAGTGAAGGACAACACCTTCCTAGTTGAGTGGCGTGTGGAGTAAACAAACATGGTATCTGAGAGAGAAAGCGAGAGAGAGTGTGAGAGAGAGAGAGAGAGTGAGTGAGTGAGTGAGTGAGTGTGGGCTGGAGAACTCTCAGTGGGCAATCTCTTGCATTCAACGCTGCATTGCAGTGCTAATTTCTCTGTGCATACGCTCAGTACATACGCATGCTAACCATGTTACCCATGCCGCAGAACACTTGTCAGACTCTGTTTGATAGGGATAGCTATATATGATCAACGAATGTCCGGTGTCCAGTAGCTCAGTACTAGTCCCATCTACCTTTTCCCCAGCCATTAGAAAGGATTCATGGATCACGCGTAGAATAACACAGAAGGCAAAGAAAGCCCTTGCAAGGTGAAAACTTAGTCGGCAATGAAACAAACTAGAGAAACATGCGCCTATGCTAGAAATGTCACAGTAATGCTAATCGACCTCTGCCACTTCCAGAGCCGTGCTGACAAGCGGAGACCTAGCGTCGAGGGAGTCATCAAGGCTCGCTTGATGTCCCAGATGTCCAGCCGCGGGCGGGTCCTCAGTGGGTGACATCAGGAGGGGCCCTCTTTTGAATTTTTGGGTGCCCTCTCTGCCACTGGCCGAACCGATCGAGTTCTTCCCCTTGGTCTCGGTTGGGGTTTCCATTATTTCGCTCGTGCGTACTGTAGGTTTCAGCGGAGTCTGGCGAGATTTGTCGCTATCCTTGCGGGACGCCTCTACCGAAACCTCGTTCTCTTTGTTCTCGTAGGCGAGACCTTCCTTTCGGCTCTTGACATGCGTGCTCGGACTGGCATGCACCTTGCTTGTTGCTGCGGTCTCTGCAGGAAGATTTGTCTTCGTGCTTGAGCCCGAAATTTCCCTGGTTTCGGGCAGTGATACCTCCTTCAACTCGGAGGCTCGGCCTATGCTCTTCGAATAAGATGCAGACCGCGCTCTCGCCGCCGCCGAAAGCTTGATCCCCATGGGCAATGCCGTTGAAGGTGTATTGGTTGGCGCGTACGTGCCGCAATTGAGGGGCTTCGGAGGACTTAATACTTCTATCAATTGATTGTACGACTCCTCGTCGATAGGGGTAACGATGCTAGGATGCTTGCTGTGTTCATAACTGATGCCCGTCATGCTTGAGATGGCGCGACTACTGCTGGAGTTAGACACATAGTCTGGCATAGGCACATCTTCCCACGATGCTCGAGCTCCCCGGTGGCGTGCAGTCGGGTCGAGCACGTAAGGATCGACAAAGGGGTCTGGTATGAAGTGTTCTTGAGGCAGCCATCTGGACTCGCTGTATTGGCCTTGCCATTGGGGAACCTGCCGCTGATAATTGCGATAACTCCAAGAGCTGCATCCGGATTGGTTGCTAGCCTGGCTCTTAGTCGCCAGCATGTGCCGAATATCATGCCTAGAAGGTGAGTGCGTGTGGCTATCTTCCGGTTCTTTCGTATCACTTATGGCGCCCCTAGAGTTGTACTTAAACAACCGGGGCTCACGCGTCCACATAGAAGCATTCGGCCAGGCGATTTCGGAGTATTCCAGGATCTCTAGCGCTTGTGAGTAACGGACCTCTCAAGCAAAGCGATGCACGGCACAACTCACGGATCGGAGCATGCTGAAAAGCAAACGCAATTACTTCCTTCAAACGTTCAAATGGAGGAGACCGATGTGGCCGCGAGAATCCTTCCGCAATTACCACTCTGATCCTGCCGTACAGCTCTCCAGCGTCCCAATGTTGCGACTTCAAGATTTCATGATGGAACGTTGGGAAGCGGAGACGATCTTGATTGCCGCTCTTATCGACATCTGGACCAGCACTATGTCAGGAATTTCACTCGAGTCGGCAGGAATCGGGGTGGGGATTCTGGAAACGCACAGGAGCTCAGATCTAAGTAGACAGATGGATCTCAGTCAGCGTTGCTCAAATGCCACATACGCGCCGGCTGAAGGCAGTAAGGCTTACCGAGAACATGAGGCCAGGAGGATCTTTGATTGAATACACTACCACTACGAGATGTTAGCCAGCGCGGCCTAGAGCGGACAAGGGTCTACAGGGATCAAGAATAGCTTACGAAACGCAAAGCCCGTCAATGAAGACGCGAACCTCGAAGAGCAGTGCATCATCTGGCTGCAAAAGACTTTCCATGAATCGACTGGGCGCAGGCCTCTCCCAGCTATGAATCGACACTCGGAACGGAGTATTGTGACGCAGACTGGGGATGAACGTAGTCAAAACCGGCAATTGTCCCAGATTGCCCTGGGGTATCGAGCACGAGGCCGGGGTGACCAGGGCCGGGCTATGCAGGTAGGGTGATTCTGCGACAGCATAAGCAAAGAAGGCACACGCCTTTATGCACGAGAATTATTGCCACCGACCTTTGTCCTTGGTGACGAAGCATTGCGTCTTGAACTCCTGTAGAGGCACCTTGGAAGTTTCGGGGAAGAGAAGCACGTCCCAGTTTTCGTAGCGCATGCTGGATGCCCTGTGGTGTTTATTTCTGTGGGATAAAATGAGAAAGGAAGAATCAGAAGAGTGAAGATCGACGGATAGTAAGATATGACAAGTATAAAGACCCTCCCCTCAATCGGTGTTTGCGTCGAGGAAGAAGACCCAAGAGCAGGTCTGGAAATGAGAAGAAGAACAGGCGAAGTACAAAGAAGGAGTGTAAAACAAAGTTGGAATGAGAGAAATTAGGGAAGGAGAAGATGCGGAGAAGGAGAGAGAGGGGAAGGGAGGAAGGGAAGAAGGCAAGAAGATTCAGGGAGATAGAGAGGGAGGGAGGGAAAGGTAGCAGCAGTACCTTCCTCAATGGGCCAAATTACTGACTACATACAATTCAAACAACCCGCCGTTGAAGCTCAAGTCAAGTCAACTCAGTAAGGAGGCATGCCATCTATATTGCGTTCCATATACTACATTATAGCCCCGGGAACCGTGATATCGCGGCTACCACATGGCAGGCTAGAATAGCAAGAGGGGGAATCATCCGGAAAAAATGACACAAGGAGGAAACCACATCATGATGACCCAATGTCAAACGCCTAGCCTGATTCACACCCGTTCTCTTGATAACTACAGATTAATTCAAGGGGCGGACTGCGACGGAACTCGGTCAACCCAGTGCCAGATCATGACGCCTTGTGGATACAGTGACGAGAGAAGACGACGAATTTGACCGAAGGGAAAAATCGTTTCCACCGGCCGAAGCGTGATGCGTCACCTTCAAGAAAAAGCATCAAAAACAGGCAGATACTGGATGTAGGGTATTCCATAAGAAACAGAATTCAAGGAGGAATCGAAGGCGAACGACGCCCCGATGGAAAGATGTTGTACAGGCCAATGACCGGAAAGCACAGCGCGACATCCTCAGAATAAGACATTTGATTGGATTGCTTCATGAAAGGGGAATCTCAGATGAACTTTTCGCAAAAAGCCTGCCCAGGGAGTATATGGGAACCAATGCGCAAATGAGACAAATCCGATTGCTGCCGTACGCATAAGGATAGAAGACCTTTGGCGGCCCAGGAACATAATCAATGCAAGATGGGGTGCAGAGGGCATCGGGTTAAAATGAAAGCATACAACAGACTGGATGAGGGGAATTTGAGAGAGGAAAGGGTGGAAACATCAAGATAAAAATGAAGTAAGATATGATAGAAATAAGTCAGAGCTCAAATGTTGCTAAAGAAAAATGAAGCGCTCGCATATGAAGTACGTAGCACAGGAGAAAATGCCCATCCAGAGCTATAGAGGGTAACTTTCGCAGAAATAATAGCAGATTGGTTATGACACACAAAAGACCCATCGTGAAATGACGCAAAACTCCTGCTGTTTCTTTCAAACTAAAGAGGAACGCTCTTTTACTAGACATTGGAGTCAATAAACCCAGATTCGAGTGCTGCTAGGGCCGCTCACTGGGGGGAACTAACCTTCATAGGAGCAAAGCCGCCGTACTGGTGTGCGGGGGGCATGCCCATCGAAGGGTACATGGGAGGCGGAGGGGGAGCAGGACGGTAGGGGCTGCCAGCAGGGCCAGAGTTGTTCTGGGAGCGACCCCAGCTCAGACGAACACGAGAGTTGCCAATAGGGTATCCCTGCATCTGGTTGATGGCCATCTCGGCGGCGTGACGCTGAACGAACTGGACGAAGCCGCAGCCCTTTCCAGGGGGGATCTTAACGTAGGTGATTTCGCCGAATCCCTGGAAGAAAGAGCGGAGCTCATCCTCAGTCACATATCCAGACAGACCACCAACGAAGACGGTAGTGTTGTTGGGGTCGGTGAACTGGTTCATAGGCTGAGGAGCGCCGTAGAAGCCCATAGGGGGGGCACCCATGGGAGGGTACATACCCGGGCCGGCGGGCATGCCCATGGCTCCGGGAACGACGCCAGGTCCCTTGTTCTTGGGGGTGGCGGTGGAGATGCGCATGGGGCGGTTGCCGCAGTAAACACCCTGCATCTCATTCAGGGCACGCTGCTGATCATTCTCGTCGGAGAAGCGGACAAAGCCGTAACCACGGGACATGCCGCTGATGGGGTCGGTCATGATCTTAGCAGACTTGCAAGACGGGAAGCGGCTCTGGAAGAGAGAGACAAGCACGTATTCGTTGACCTCGGGGCCGAGATCACCGACGAAAATGGAGTACTCAGGACCACGATCGTCACGGCTATGGAAAGAAGACGATGTTAGTCCTTATCATTGACTCGTATCGTTAAGAAGCGTTTTCCTTACCTGCGATCAGCAAGACCACCACCAGTAGCCCAGTTGAGCTTGAAGAGGCGGTTGGTGTTGGGCATGGGGGTGCCGTTGAGGGAGAGAGCCTTGGCGGCCGCGGCGGGAGAGGCAAAATCGACGAAGCAGTATCCAGCGTTGCTCCTACTACCAACATTAGGATCGCCTTCAGTCCACATGCGTTTATGCTTTACTCACCCAGAGAACTTGTCACGGATCATCTTGACGTTGACCTGCTCACCCATCTGGAACCACAGGTTACGGACGAAGTTCTCGTCAATCCAGGGCTCGAGTTCGCCCATCCTGAAACACGATCGGCTTAGTACAAAACGAGGTCTCAGAGGACCTGGACATGAACATACCAGAGAGTAGTCTTGCCCTCATTGGCCTGCTGGGGAACAGGAGCGGCGTTGGGCTCACCGGGAGCAGGTCCCTGGAAAGCGGCAGTGCTAGGATCAGCCTGGCCAGTCATAGTGGTGTCCGCGGTGGCGGGAGCACCAGGAGCGGCAGCGGCAGCGTCAGCAGCGGGGTGCTGGTTCTGGAAAGATTCGAAGTTCTGGAAAGACATATTGACGTAAAGATTTGACTTTCGTAATGATAACTACGGTAACGGTATCTGCCCAATTGCGAGTCGTTAATTATCTGTCGTTTTGGCTCCAGATGGATCCACAGTACACTAGCACTGGTGCAGCGACAAGAGCTCGGAGTTCACTATACCTTAAAGTGCAGACGAAAGGAGAATAAACTCAAGCGAAATCAACTTTTCTATACCGAAAATGGCCCGTGCGACTAGGGGTTCGTTCAAGTCGTCAAGGAGTAAGACGTAGGATCGTTCAGTTTGAGAAAATGATTCAGGAAAATCACTCCCTGCAGATATTCAAGATCTTTGGTCAGCAAGCGAGAATCGGATAATGCGAAAAGATAACAAGGATTAATGCGGTAGAGTAGTGAAGACAACCAGGTGTAAAAACTGAAGGGACAATCTAAGACGCAAAAGAGAAGCAAGAATAAAATGCGTTATTGAGGCCAAGCATGGGCAACAACCCAGGAACAAGTAAACCCAATTAAAGGTGAGATTAAGAGACTGGGAAAGCCCTTGTTGCGAGCTGAGTCGATCTTTTTTTTTTTCGGACGGATCAATCGAAGAGAAGGTGGAAGGACGATAACAGGAAGGGATCAGCTCTGACTGTGGTTCCGCTCCCTTTCGATGCCAAGACTCAGGTTCCCCAAAGCGATGGCAGCGGAATAGCCGGAAATGTGTAATTTGGGGTGTGAACTGACGAGAACCGGAATGGCGAGAGAATGCTGATGGTCATTATGTGACAATGGCTAAAGCTTTCCACCCGCCGCATTCGTCGATGACATATCCCGAGATTCTGATCCATCCGCGCCCGGTTGCGACCGTGTCAACTGGCCCGCCTGATCCCTCTTTCACTGCGCGATTCACGGGCCGGGAGAACAATCGAGCCAACCCGGTGAATGGTGACAACCAAATCGTAGAAATCATCAGGGTAGGCATTTTGTTTGAGCGACCGGTCAACTCCGTCGGCTGAGCGTCCATTGCGCTGAGCAGCAGCGGGCGCATAGCGCATCGTTATTAAATCACCATGGCGAAGACCCAATTCCCAAACTCGTGTCTTGAGTTGTTCGCTGACGGTTTGCTGATTACGTCGAAGACCATGTGAGGGCGCTCGAGGATGAATTGCAATTCTCCTTGGCCGTAGAAGGAAAGTTGATGATCGGTGTGGCCGAGATATCCCGCGCAAGTACCACCGATGGGAGAGAGGAAAACGTGATGACCAAGGCAAAAAGCAAACAGAGGGGTATAATGACGATGATACAGAAACAGAGATTTATATCTGATTGATGACTACTTACCAGACAATGTCAAAAATCGCAACGTATAAATTGGCTTAGAGACGAGAGATGCGTTGCGTTGGCGTGGCGCAAGTATGCGTTTAGGACAAGGACGTCAGAGAGAAACCAGGAACTGGACAATCGAGATAACTCCGGCAACGGTGGAGAAGAATAGGAAGGAAATCCAAAGAGAAATAGGTAAGAGAGGGAAACGACACAGAACTATCCGCGAAACCGACTCCGTGTTTTCCGAAAAGCACACAAGGGAACGGTGGAAGAACTCAAGAAGAGAACAGGGAGGGCAAAAAATGGGGGGGGAGAGGGGAGGAGGAGAGGAGGAAGAAAGAAGAAGAAGAAGAAGAGGGGTAGGAGAAAAAGATATTTCTTCAGGATCCGATGGAGGGGAGAAAGGGAAAGAAAGGGAAAGGAAACGAGGAAGAATGGCGACTACTGCTAGGGCAGACCAAGGACGGGAGAAGCAAGAGAAACTCGTTAGACGAACAAACAAAATAATAATGGGAATAATGATTTAATTCTTTGGGAAATTCAAACCTGGACCCAAGACGAGAAGGGCAAAATAAAATAAATTTCTAATTCAATAATCCTAAATGGGAACAACTAAGTTAAGAATGAATAATCAAAGATACTGAAGCTAAACCAGCAATTGAATTCTCTCTTTCACTTTCTTCTACTTCGTTAATTGCAGCAACAAGCAGCAGCAGCAGCAGAGAAAGACACACATTTGAGGAGGGGCGCAGCAAAGCCTAGTCACAGTAGTAGTAGTAGTAGTAGTAGTAGTAGTAGTAGTAGTAGTAACCTGTCTGCGACTCTGCCTACCTGCCAACTGGGTGGGACGAAAGTTCGCCGACTACTACTGGAACAGTAAATTTTCCCTCATTTTTTCCCTTCTTTGTTGGGTAGGCAATACTGGTTGAACCGACCCTATGACCGGCTCACCAGCCCCAGAACCGAGAGAGCTGTGCAGTGTGTGGGTGTAGTAGATCTGGATTTCGACGTGCAGGTGGGATCGTGTGTGGCCTTACCGCACCCAGTAGGATCTAGTATTTCCTCAGTACGATACTATGGGCTTTACTAGGTATTCCATCTAGCTTTCCCATTCCATCCCGGGCTGGTGGATTGTATGCCGGCTGTACAACCTTACAGCATGTATGTTTTAGCTTGTTTCCATCCCCAATATCGCTTAGTTTGAGGCTCATTATACTCTACGAATTTTGAGACTTGTGAGCTCCTTTAACCCAATCACCCCGAGATGATCGATTCATCAGCTATCAATGGCTACCCTTTCAAGCAAACTGTAGCCCTATAGATCCATTGACTCCCCTCCCCATCTTCCAGGGATCCAGGCTTTCCGGTTTCTCTCTACTGGTGAGATTAAAGCTTTCAAGCAGAACAGACCATACCTGCACTGTACAGGTAATGCAGTGGATACGTCCAGCGGAGACCCAGCCAAACCAATTTGCCCTCAAACCAGATGACTGCTGCATCCTGCGGTTTGCAGCTTGACATGATTCTTATTTTTATCGCACGCAACATTATTGTTCAACGGCTCAGATGCCTCAAGGATAGACGAGAGACGGGGTCCCGAATCATAGCAGTCGCTTACCGTCTATGGTTGACATAGCAATGAGGAAACGTGTTCCGATCTGCATAAGCTTAGGTAGCTCGAATATGCTAACACTACAAGCTATCTTATGAGTATTCCCGATCATTCAAGCATCTCAACAGCAGGCGAACACCTGCAAGATTTCCTAACAATTTGCACCTTTCACATAGGGAAGGAGTGTTGCATCATGTATAACCCTCGAGCACTGCTCACGATGTGTAGCATGATCCTTGCGCAAGGGGAGAAAAGGTGGGGAGGAGAGCAGGCAGTGGCTGGGTCCGATCCCCTTGATATGTGCATATGTACAGGACCTGGAGGACTCCGGAAAGTTTCTAGGAGTCAAGGGGTAAGCAAGTAGATAATCAATTGCATTCACTGCTCTGCTTATGACAATATCTTAAAACGAGATGGTCGGGATTCAATTGATCAATCTTCCAGAGACCATCATGCCAAAAAAGACATGCACAGAAATCTGCAAGGACCCCAAAATGATGCATCGATAGCCCTCGACCAAGCTGTGACTGAGGCCTTTTTTTTTTTCTTTTTTTTTCCCCCTCCCTCTCCCCTTTGCTGTCCGGCAATGCGCTATGACTCGCCCGGTTCCATTCGCGTCCCATGGGCCCTTATCGTCATAAATTTGTCCCGTTCTCCGCTTGGCCAGCCGGAGGCTTGAGGTAATTCGTAGATCGGTTTCCGCTTGCAGCCTAATTCCACCATTTGTTCCTTGGGATCGGCCCTGAGCTGTGCCCTACTGTCCACAGCCGGGGCTGGAAGCCTGGAAGAGGCCGCCGACGGGGCTGGGAAAGGGTGCCCACCGTAAGACCTAAACTGTTAAAGAGAATAAGAGAGAATGATGATGATAATGGGCATGGGATCAAGGTCATCTTCCATCATGATTACTATTGAAGCGAAGAACCGGAGAGAGAAAAGTGGAAGCGAAACGTCTGGGCTGCACGGTGGAAAGGTGCAAATGAAAGGGCGAAAAAAATCCTGGCCCCCACCGATGCGCCCCGGACCCATGGATTGGAGAGCTGCTAATGCTCGGTACAGATTACAGAGAGTCAGAGACACTCAAGAGAGGCTTAGTCACGAATACGGTGCATTCGAGAAGCACAAAAACCATGTGGCTGTGGATGGTTCCTACGGCCTAGCACGGGGGGGCTAGCACGCTGTTCTTGTTTAATGGCCTTGTCGAGATTTCAGACTGGAGAAGACACATCGACTCCTGGTCTAGCAAGATCCGCGGGATTTGGCTGGCTTAGTTCAGTCTCAGTCCTGCGTACTTCTGATTAGGTTAGTGAGGTTTGGTGCCGGTTAAGGTACGGGATCATAGTAGAGGTAATAATAGTCAAGGATACAGCTGAGAAGACAAAGGTCAGTCGTGGCCGTCAGTTGGTCCATGCAGCAGGATCGTTGAATGCGATGATGATAAGGAGGGTTTGCACTTGGACCAGATTTGATGCTGCAATTGCTTGCTGCTAATGCCGATCCAGTTTAGATAAGTCTTTTGTGTGGATAAGATTATTCGAACCTCCCTATGCCTGCAAGCTAAGGATATACAGTACAACAAGCTGGCATGCTTATATGAGCCGAGTCTCCAACAGTAAGAGAGGCCAAGGCATTGAATTGGAAGAGGAGGACCAGTTGATAAAAAAAGGACCTAAAAGAGCTCCACTTTCCAAAGCTGAGTCCAGCATCCACTGCCCGAATAGTGGAAACTGCCTCCTTGAGGCTGTTATTGGTCACCAGTCGCGCACTGGTGCGCGCGTGTAATTTAGAGCAGGTGTCCACTCTCCATTACCTCGTACTCCGTATAACTGTATCAAACCACGCATTACTTACTGTCTGAGAGACTGAGACACTTTTCTGACCTCTCGGGCCTCGTGACAACAACCGTGAACTCACTATGTCTTTAGCTTCCGCTCTGTTTCATCCATGAGAAGACCAATTGTCCACTGGCTTCCTGTGTCTTTGAGATTTCGAACTCTTGTCTGTTTCTGATCTCTACCTAATTATTGCATATCTTAGGACGCGTACGCGGCGCGATCAGCCTGCAGCATATTGCCCCGACACATACACATAGCCGGCACCATATACATGTACTGATCACACAACTCTCTGGCATGAGCAAGGGTTTTGTTCCCCCGAAGACATACACTCAACGCTTATCGTCATATTGCGGTTGTGAACCGCAAGACTGCTGTCTGTCTCAGGACAGTCATCCTCGCTACTGTTGGTACTTATTGAGGAACCGCCATGCGAGGTTTGCAGCACAGCTAGCTGGAGAGTGTGTGCGACTGTGCCAGCAGCCCCGGTGGGTTACACGATCATGCCTCCAGGCTGGGTCAGCACTCTGTCCCTTGCAGATACTCCTTGGAGGATCAGCCAACCACCCTCATATCGGGAGATATTCGGATTTACTAGCTACAGTACTGTTGTCCCTATCAGCTATCTACTGCTGTTACGGCCAATTTCATCCACCAGGAAATGAAAGATTTCTGTCTTACGCCCACCATGAACCTACCACGAACACCTCCATCTCAGCTCAATTGTTTGGGATTGAGTCGTATGAACCATGGATGGAGCCCCAACCCATGATGGAATTTGTAATCGTGGTAGAATAGATTGTCTGGGTGACTTACAATAGTAACCCAACAGTACCAGAGATAGGCAGATATTCAGCGCAGCCAAACCCCTACGAGCACTGTTCGCGTCGAGTCCAGGAATCAGGGACGTGTTGGACACGTTCAGCAGTTACTAGCTTTAAGCTATTTCCTCGAGGGTCGCCAGGCGTGCACACCTTTTAAGGCAAGTTATGGATGAATCCAACGGCGTCCTATTGTCGCGTTGAGTCGGCACCAGTCCCGCTCGTAGCCTCCAATATCATCCAACCCAGAAACCTACCTGGCCACCTATGGTATCATCAAATATAGTACTGTACACAAATGACAAGAAAGTCTCGATAGATCGATCTCCCCCGACCCCTACCTAAAATACAAACAGTATCAACGAAGCGGCCTTAATCAATCTGCCTCCTCATCCAATCCATCACACAAGCCCCCTTCCTCTCCAGCCGCCATATCAGTATCACAGAACTCCCCAGTATCCGCCTTGCCCAATTCATCACCCAACAGCTGGATTGTCTTCTCATAAACCTTCGCCGTCTCCATCTCCCACCGGCCAGGAATCGGATACTCGTCCATCCCAAACACGTCGTCGTTCATCATCTCATCATCGTCAAAATCATCATTCTCGCTACTGTCCTCCACGCCATTCCTCCTTCCATCGTCACCGTCATCATCATCATCGTCACCTAAATCCTCCTTCTCCCTCGCCTCCACGACAACCACCCGACACGTCTCCGCAATACTCTTGATACGCACCTTCTCGGTCATGGAGACCACATTGCCTCTCCCCTCAAACCCAGGCAGCGGCTCTCCAGAGTCCGCATCCTCGCCGAGCAGCAGCGACGCAAAAACCGAATCCAATTTCCGCAACAGCCGGAAGGTCGCCTTCGCCGCGAACGGATAATCCGGGAGATACGAGTTGACCTGGACGGCCAAGGAGATCAGGTAGGGAATTTGTAATGAAGCTGGGCGCACAAGCAAGCAGTCAATATAGGATCCTCCCTAACTCCCCCAACAAACCCAAATACAACAATCTCATCAACAGCGGGGGAAAAGAAAGACCTACGTGTCCCGCTAACCCACAAAACATCCACCAAGCTCTCGAAATCCCTCGCGATTTCCTTGAAGCTCTCGTAGCCCCGTTCAGGCTCCGCCGGTGCCGAGCGTTGGTGGCTGCTGCTGCTGTTGTCGCTGCTGCTGTTATCGTCGCCGATGAAAGCTCTGCTAAACTTCTTGGCGTGTCGGCGGCTGATAGAGAGGAGTTTCTTGTCGATATACTCCAGAACCGTGGCTTCCTTGGCAGAGCCCGGACGGAGGGGGTGAGCTCGTGGCTTGGGGAGAAGTGACGGGGTCGCGGTGGATGCGGTGGGCGCTGGCGATGGAGGGTGTGCTGCTGGTGGGATGAAGCCTCCCCCGCCCATCTCTCCTCTGGATGTAGTTGCTGTAGTCATATAGTTTCTTTTTCTTGTTTATCTCTCTCAATTTTTCTCGGTGTTTCGCATCAGTAGAAGTCAGTACCCTGTCCGGCTTTTGCGGCGCGATAGCAAAGCAGAATCAAACGGGCTGGTTGGGTGGTGGTTGTACAGTACAATTACTCCGCGGATCTATCTTGGGTGACGTCGGTTTACTCAATGCGGTATAGCGGGGCTTGTTACTCGATAACTCGGGACAAGATGAAGAACAAAGAAATTCACTTCTTAAGGTGACCAGTTTCGATGGCGGATTAAACTTAAGGGACTGAGAGGAATTTGGTAGATTTTATATGGAACAAGCTTGTGTTCACGAGAATAGGTCGCCCTGCAGTGGTGGTGCCACACCTACGGAAAGCCTCTGCGAGAATGGGTTGACAGCGTTGGCAGCTCGATTCCATTTGTCTACATGCACAGCATAGTTCATTGCTATAATCTTAAACCTGTTCTAAAATCTTGAGTCCTGTTCCCGGAGGCTTGGTTGTTACTTCTCTTGCGACGAGAGTCGTGGAGGAACACGAATGAGTCTTTCAGCAAGGCAGCTGGCGGTGGAAATGAATTCAAATTCCAACCACTAAAAGTGACGAGGCCCTCCTAGTCTGTGTGGGATAGGATGTGTTGATTCAAGCGATCATCAACATGGACTGGACTCCCTTGATACTCTGTATCTGGGAAGGAATTAGCATATGGTCGATGCCAACCTGGAGCATCCATCCACGGTATGATTCCAACTTTTGCTTCAGAAAGGTGAGAAGATTGAATAATGCTGGTTTTTGAAGGCATGGCATGACATCAAGCTGTTAGATGAGTCTTGCTACTCTGGCCCCAGCGTATTCATCATATGCATACATGAGAAAAGCGACCACGTAGGACATAGAAAGAGAAAAGTAGCACTCACATCACCAGAGACATTTCCTCGAACCCAGTAGTCTATCTACCTAAAAGTCGACTTTTGGATGAACCCCTCCCTAACGCCACGCTAAACCAAGACGATGTGTGTATGTGTGTGGATGTGGAATATGCACTGTGACGAACCGGGCTGGGAGACGCAATCACTCAGGCTTTAAAAAGAAAAGAACAAACCGTTAGCATATAAATCATCGAAATCGAAATGAGATAATCATCAAGTAAACTCACCGCGAATTTGCCCTTCCTCTTCTTCATATCCGCCAGCTTCCTCTTATCCTCATCGAACTTCCTCAACAACTCGTTCTGTCTCTCCTTCCTCTTCTCTCTCGACTGGAAGCGATAGAAGTCCTCAAGACCCTCCTGCTTCTTCCTCTGCTTCTCGATCAACTCACGAGCCTCGTCCTCGCGCGTGGCATCCGCCAACTTGGGTCCACTCGTGACCGTGACGAAGCCATCCTCGTCCGGCTCCTGGGCCTTGCGCGCCGCCTCCCGCTTCCGCACCTCAGCCACCTGCTCGAACACCGTCATGAAGTCGTTGACCGTGCGCAGCAACTCGCTCCGACTGGGATACTGAGCCTGTGAGTGGATGAGGTACCGCTCCAGCCCCAAAGCCGGCACGCGATCCTCGTCAAGCCCCTCCCCCCAGACAATCTTCTTGCTGCTGCTGCTGCCCCCGACTGCCTTGCGCGCGGCCTTCCGCGCAGCCTTCAGGCTAGCCTCCATGCTAGGCTTATCCACGAAGACAACAATGGCGTGCGCCCCGCTCTTCTGCAACGGTCGGTCCCAGACCGGGGGGAGCTCGATCTCCTCTAGCTGAGACTCCAGTTCGTCCGCGGTCACACGCTTCCGTTTCTTGTTCTTGCTGCTGCCAACCCCGCCGCCGACGAGTGCCTGCGGCGCCGCGACCTGACCCTTCTTCGTGGGGACGGACTCGAAGTGGACGCGCTCGACCCGGCCGGCTGAGAGCTGGGTGCCGAAGAGGTGGCGCAAGTGCGTCTCGGTCGTATCGATGGGAACGTTGACGATGAACATCGAGCGAGGGGTGTCTTCGTCCGGGTTGCGAGGCTCGTGGGCCCGAAGATACATGTAATGCGTGGCAGCCTTTGCAGAGGAGGTCTTGGGAAACTGCAGGGGCAGCACGGTGTACCCCGCTATCTCGAGTTCTTTATTCATCCTGGTAGCGCGTACTCCGGCTCAGCGTATACTGCCTAGCTATTGAAGCAAAGTACGCTAAGAAGGGCAAAATAATTCGATGGTTGCGTAGCAAAGAAACAGTTTGAATTTGGTGTAACTTTTTTTTCTGTTCGGGCGGAAGATAATTTTGCACCGGCAGTATAAAAGGCGGAGAAGGCGAGTATCTTGACAAGAAGAAACAACCGAATTAAGAGCTCGAGCAACAAGAAGCAAGAAAGACACAAATATTCGTACAATAGAAGGACAGATGGCTCAACTCGAAGGCCCTGAAAAAACAGCAGCAAGTGATGTCGCAGAGGTCCCAGTCCGATAATTGCTAGTCGTAACATAACCCATTACTCACCATCATACACGCGATGTATAAATATTCCACTACGCCTTGTCAGGATCGTTGATTCCGCCATTCGTAATCAGGTAAGTTGCCTCTCGCTCGGGACAATCTGCATAAGATTAGAGAAATATCATCCCGTTTAGGGACTCAGCAAACCTGGGGAATCCTGGATCTTGGCTACTCGCTCTTCGCCACGGCCCTTTCGAAGTAGCACCCGGGTTGTAGATGCATGCGCAAGGACATGTCCACCGACTGGTTTGCGGCCATCGGCTCCGGCGAAGAGAGCGCTTGCACCGGGGTCACTCTGGACCTGATTCGTCTATGACTTAATAAGAACGGGGGTTATCGGCTTGAGCTCGAAAAGACACGGTAACAAACCATCAACACGCAGACGTTGAACTCTGTACACCCGGATATAATTAGTTTCCGTGACATGTCTCATAGACACCAGGTGCATGCAGCGTCGTACCTTCAGCCATGTGGGCAAGTTTCATCAGGAACTGATTCAGTTTCTGCTGACGTTCTGCAAGCTCCCCACGTCCACAATAGTCCACGCGGAAGCAGTTCATGATACTGTCGATGATCAGCAGCCGATACTCCCCGGAGGCAAATTCGCGACTCAGGGTATTCAGTAGTTCCAACTGATGCTCGCTGTTGAGGGCTCGAGCGTAAGCAATGTTCTCCTGAGTCGAGTCCGGGTCAACCCCGAAGCGCCCAGCAATCTGGGCTATTCGCTCGGGTCTGAACGTGCCTTCTGTGTCGATGTATGCCACCTTCCCATCGGCCCCGCCCATTTCTTTGGGAAGCTGGGCAATGACAGACATGGTGTGTGAGAGTTGGGTCTTGCCGCAGCGGAATTCTCCATAAACCTCGCTGATACTCATGCTTTGGAAGCCCCTGTGGAGGATAATAAGAATTGGGACATTTGTTGGGGACATTTGTGGGAAAGATAAGCCTACCCTCCCAGGATGGAGTCGAATTGTTTGCTCCCTGTCGAGATACGAACCACTTTCTTGCGCTGATGGCACAGCTCCATCGCTGTCATGAAACCAGAGGCCGAGGGCTATGACTAAAAATGAGACACGGCTCTTGAATGTGTCACCGGGACCCTTTGGCACTGACCAGGCATTTCTGAATGGCGTCTTTGATCTTTTCGACCTTGACATCACTGAAGCCGCGGATCTTCAGCAGTGTTCTCCGCGTCGCACCATGAACCGACTGTGATTGAAGCCAACAAGTTAGTAGGTAGCCAGCCGCAATGGCACATAGGGAGCGAGTAAGTACTGCGACTGTGAAGTAACCATTAGCCTTCAGTTTTGTAATATCTGCAACTCCAATCCCTGATTGCTAGTCAGCTGGAAGGAGAATAGCCGAGGCGACATCTAGGTGGCACCATGAGATTGAATTGAATCGATATCAACAATGAAGGCCTGCCATCACCGAAAATGGGATCGATGTTAGAGAAATGAGAGCTGGAGTTGATTGGAAGGAGCGGATGAGCTAGGGGTTTTACATCGTCATCGAACTCGTCACTGGTGTCGGAGCCAGGCATGATTGTGACCTAGATGCGTCTGGATGGAGTCTTATAGGATACCCTAATAGAAGATTGTAGTGATGCTGACGGGTTGTCGTTTAAAACATAGACAATAAGGCAAGCATGGAAGGGGATATAGAATGATGGGTGGAGGTAAGATGCAACTGGGCAAAGCACATGATAGGGAAAAGTCGATTAGGGAACTCTCGGTCTAGCACTACTTGAACCCTACACATGGCCAATGACCCCAGAGGAACGTCCTTGAAATTGATAAATTTTTGCTTATGTTTCTGCTTTTTTGAATTTGTTTCGCTTCCCAGTTGACGCATCTGAGAAGGATATAGTACGAAAAGATGAGGAGGTTGCCACAGCGCCACGGAACACTTTCACCACTCACGCATCTTCAGCACACACACACACACACACACACACACACACACACACACACAATCCCATCCACACCCTCTTGAAGCTTGTTCCCATGTATACCAACGCCCTTGCTTCGGTCCACCATTGTCTCTCCTGCGCTCAATTAACCCGTCGCCCCGCCTGGCCTCGTCTCCTTCTTTTCTTGCCGCACCTGATTTGTGTAAATGAGAAAGATACCCGAGGAGATCAATAGACGCCATCCATAAGACCCTGAGCCGTGTTTAGGATCCAAGCAGTAAGGGAACCCAAGACTTCGTGAAACTTTTGTTGTTCGTCGTATACATAATGGAGATTGTAAACGGTCGGTGCCGAAAGTTGCAACCGATGGGGAGGCGCAATATATGCAATGGAAGAAACATGAAATAATAAGAAAATCGAGATCGATGTCGGCCAACCTTAATACAGAAAGAAAGAATGGAAAGAGGGTCCCATGAACTGGGACTGATCAATCTTAAAGGGTGCCCCTTATGCGACAGCAGCGGGGGCTGCAGGCGCAACAGGAGCGGCCTCTGCGTTGGTCTCACCAGCGGTGACAGGAGCAGGGGCGGCCGCATCGACAGGCTGGGGGGCGTCACCGTTAGGGCAATCACGGGAGATGTGGCCAGCCTGGGAGCACTTGTAGCAAACCTTGCCGGCAGAGCTCAAGGGGCCACCGTTGGGGGCGGTGCAGTCGCGAGAAATGTGGCCCTAAAGAGACTCTTAGCCAAGAAGATCGAGGGGAATGAGGGACTGGCGAATAGAAGCCATACCAGCTTGCCGCAGGCGTAGCACTTCATAGCCTGAGCTTGGCAATCACGGGCAAAGTGATTGGGACCACCGCACTTGTAGCAAGTGGCTGTGCGAGCGTACCCGTAGCCGCCACGGAACGCAGGGTTAAAGCCGCCACGAGGAGCGGCCGGGCCCCGGGGAGCAGCCGTAGCGGGAGCGGGACAGTTGCGCTAGAAGACGGTCAGCAATTGTACGTCCAAAGCAGGTATGTCCAAACGCGCGCTATCAACATACAGCAAGGTGGCCGGGCTGACCGCAGTTGTAGCAACGGCCGTTAGCACCGTTAAGGCGTAGAGTGGGACAGTCAGCCTGAACGTGGCCTAGTCCCTGGCAGTTATAGCATTGCTTGGCTGAACGGCCATGTATCAGCATCCTTGCGCTTCGCGATTCAAGCATTTTCAGGCACTCTTACTCTCGGTAGTACGAGGACGCGGGCAGTTGCTGGACTCATGTCCTGCGAGCGAGTCAGATATGTTGCTGGTACGTATGCGACGTGCATCGCATGGGACCTACCAGGCTGCTTGCCTGTGATATTGATTGGTAATTAGCGTACAAGCAAAATGGCATATATCAGGCACATAGGTTCACTCACAGTTGTAGCAGAGACGCTCGGATGAAGAGCAGACCTCTACGCTAGCCCGTTAGCAAATGATAGCCTGGGCCTAGGCGTTTGTTTTCCATTGCGACTAACCAGCATAGTGACCAATGTTGCCACATTTGTAGCAAGCTCTGCGAGACAACAACATTCTTAACGAACGAGATGGATCTAGATTGATCCCAAAGCCCTCACCGTCAGCATCTCTCTTATGTGTATGTCAAGTCTTTATTGTCAAACTGAGTGCCGGTGGCGCATTGAACGGGTTTGCGCGTCATGCAAGTTTTGTAACGAAGGAGGGGAAATAATCGTCAAGGCTATGGATGCTGTATTGAGCAGCGGCATAATGGGTCACACGCAATTGATCTGCTAAAAGGAATGGTGGAAGGCCGGCTGTAGGCAAATCGTGGACGAGCAAAAGCGGCCGAAGAAAGTTGAAAGAATTGTCGCAATGCGGCCACCGGAACGCAGTATGATCACGGAGATACAAGAGAGCACTCACTCTTCCCAATGTATGAGCGATAAGTCCAAGATCAAACTTCCAATCGTCTCGTCAGCAGCCCTGTTGCGATCATTAGCCCGAGAAGCTTGGAGGAGGAACCGACGACACTTTTGACAGCCCGCTCCTTGAGAGAGTGGGCTGACAAAGACCGAGAGGGTGAAAAATTGTCACAGAGGGAAGAATCAACAAGGCAACACTCACCAAGCATAAAACCACACTAGTTCGTGTAAATGATCGAATGGAGATATAATAAGAGATCGCGATAGTCTTGCTATTATGCTATACAACCCACAAAGAAGAGGATGAGTAGAAAACTGAACGAATTCCCAATTACCAGTTAAGCGATGAAGTTAAGTAAGCAAGGAAACGGAAAAGAAACCACGGCTGTAACGTTTTGTCATACTGGGATGTATTGCTAACCGACTGTAGGTTCCAGTCAGCTCCCGGGCTTTTCCGTAGTGGCATAAGGTTGGTGGTTGGACCATCCCCGGATTAGCACGGGGGCGCAACACACGTTCTCGGGCCCGGCAGTGTATTATACGTAACTGGGTCGTACTGTGTATTGTCACGGTATGTCTTTCATTCTGGCGCTCGGTCATTGTTGATGACATGCAGCTAACTGGGTGGCGCCAGTTTTGTTCTGTATTCTCCCGAGACAAGACTGGAAAGTGGAAGCAGGCTCCAGGCTCCAGGAAACTGCAGAAACTCAATCATTATTTGTAGATAGGTTAGGTGAACTGAACAACATGTAGCTCACCCAGCCAGCGCAGCCAAATGACAGCAGCATCCGGCTCACTCTACCTACAATCAAGGCTGGTGGATTGCAAATCATGTCTCCGCTGGACGCGGTTCCATGGTTCTCTCCTGTATCATCGATCTACAATGTGCGTACAGTACACTGGTGTCACTATGTTGTAAAAGCACAAGACGAGTATCTGCATGTTACCCTACTTCGATACGACCTCGAAACGTCGCTGCAGTTGAGCTGAGCTGTAATGGTAGTGCTTCGATATGTCCATACATGCATGCACTTAAGATCATTCAAGCTGGTCCATATTCCATATGCCGGGCAGTAATGTGGGAGGATCTATCTACTCTTCCTTCTCAATGACCGCCGGGGCCTTGATCTCACGGCCTTTGAGAAATTCCAGTCCTTCCCCGCCCTATAATTCAGTCGTCTTAGTCTCCGTTCCGCCGTCGAATGGATGCACAATAGAGGAGCACTTACGTAGCTAATCAATGGGGAAACTTCAACACCAACTGCTTCACCCTCAGTGACGACAACGCCGCCCGCCTTATCAATCCAGCGCTGTCCCTGGTTCATGATGTCCGCTTTGCTAGTGTCCGGGTCGTCCTCGCCGGTTCCCCGAGCGTTCTTGAGCGGTGAGAATTCGTCCTCGCGGCGCACTTCGATGCATGCAAACTTCTCCAGTGGTGTCATGGGGAAGACGTCGAAGACGAATTGCTCGAGTTTGACACCGTTGGGCTTCTCCGGCTTGTAGAACTCGCCGGTTTCAGGCTTGATGCAAGGAATCTTCTTGCGGGCCACATGATGAGGCAGCTTATGGCTCCATGTCTCGATCGATTCGAAGAAACGGAAGGAGTAGTAATGGTTGACGATGTTGGCCGCACGGAACTTGAGCACGTCAGGTTGCTTGGGGTCCTTGGCCTCGGCTGTCTCCTGGTCAATTTCAGAGTATTCGACAACATCAGGCTTGCCATTCTTCTGAAGAATCAAGCCCACGGACTCGGTAGCGTTGCGCTTACGGACCACCTTGGTGGCGATATCAACGTTCTTGAAGGCGGCGAAACCGATGAAGACGGGATCAGCAACCTTGACAAGGCAGTTGTCGACACAGTAGGTGTGGATGTGCTCAATTCCGCGCTTGCGCATATCCTCCCTCACGCCAGAAGTGAGGAGGGCCAGATAAATACCACCATTGCCATCGGGGGCCACGGCTGCCTGAAAGTGACGAGATTAAAACCAAAGAATTAATGTAGTTGAGGATGATCAAGCTTGACATACCTTGGACTTGCTTTCCATCAGAATTTTGCCTTCGTTCGAGATACAAGGCAAGACGCCCTGCTCGAAGATAACCACATTGCTCTTGTCCAGACCAAAATAGTTGTGCTGCTGGAAGAACTCCTCCGTCGGCTTGCGAGTAGGACCACTGGTCATCACATACCATGGAATGGCAGCCTCCTTCCCAGAAACTTTCTTGGCCAAGAGCTGGAGCTTAACAATGCGCTCGGCCTGGATCTGGAAGAGGGACTTGTGGCTGGGAAGGCCGATGTCGAAGCAGCCCTTAGGAGCAGCGCTACCCAAGCGCGTTCCTTGTCCACCAGCCATCAGAACCACCGCCACTTTGTTGCCCGCAACCAACTGTAGTCCTTCATCATACCATCTTTGAATGTCGCTGGGATCCGAGTCTAAGATAGATGCAGTGGCCACATCGGGGAGGGGTTCCAGTGAGGTGGGCCCTTCCTGGGTCTTGGGAGGGTTCAGAGCCTTGTCAGCCAACTCGTTGATCCGGTTGGGGTCGAAATTGCTCAGCTGGTGAAACAGCTGGGTCTTTTCGGTAGACTTCAATTCATCGACAAAGGCGAAAACGTGTCCTTGTCCGGCATCGGTGTACTTCTGTCTGAGCTGCTGGAATTCCTCGGAGGATGGCTCGCGGAGAGTGTTCTCGGGCTGGCTGTGGAAAAGGTTGGAGACGGTCTCCTTGATGGCGGCGGCGGCCATAATGACCGGTGATGCGCAAATAAGGAAATGAAAAGGGTATCACAGGTAGGATAGATCAAGGAAGAGGGAGGAAGAATGAAGTTGAGGCAGAATGGGGGAGGAGGAGGAGCGGTGGGTTGGGGGGAGGGGGGGAACAAGGAGATATTATGAGCGCGGGGTGAACTGGTAAGGGGAGGGAAGGGAGGGGGAGGGGAAGATCAGTCCTTAAGAAGAAACCACCATAACCCAAACAAACAGGCTGGCGAAAACCACCTGGCAACTCAGCCACCCGTACCTACGGTACCATAACCGTTATTGAGCTACGAATATCATCACTGACCGCTAGAAGACCCCTGGTTTCAGGGGATCGATCATTATTATTTTTAGACCGGCTAGCGAGAAACAGAGAGATGCAAAGGACTCAAACGGAGAGGCCAAGGTGAGCAACACAGCCAATCTGTGGCAGGCGGCGGGGCACACCTTCGTATACTCCGTGGAGCCCAGCCTGTGTCTCAAGGCATCGATGACTTTGAGAAGATGCTCTATGATGATTGATGACCGGTCCCGTCAGGTGAGAGGTCATATGTGATTCAAACCATTTTAGCATACCTGTGAGTCGGTCTGCTAGCAAAGACTGCTTGCTGCATTGTGCAAACGAATTTGATTACTAGGAAGGTAGATAGGAGGAATAGATAGATAAATATACGTCATTCATAGCCTTTGAGGTCTCATCTTCTTACTAAGTACATCATCGGCGTCGTCGGTCCCGATACCTATCGTCGTCACGACGCTCATACCGCCGATCGCCGTAGGAGTCCTTCCGTACTGGACTCCTGCTGTGCGATTGAGCGGGGTAACGACTACGGTACGGGCCTCGCCGGGGGCTTCGACTGGCTCGTCTATCACGGCGCTCGTTCCGTTGAGGGCTCCGGCTGTATGATCTATCGCGACGAGGAGCAGACTGGCGCCCAGGCTCTTTTTTGTCGAATACCATGGAATAGTCTTCGCGGCGACGTGCATTGTTGTTGTCAGCCGCCCGATACTGGCGCTTCTTCTCGAGTCCGGCTACACCACCAAACCCACCCCGCTGACCACTGCGCTTAGAGATGGTTGCGTTACGCCAGCTTTCGGACAATTTTGACACCTAGTGCATCGAGTGGTCAGCAGCATCCGACCGAGCTCACCCAGGTAGTACTGCTTACACTTTGTGAGAAATCAACATGGATGCGATGGTCGTCAATCAGGACACCCTGCATCTTGAAGTAGGCCTGCTCACAGTCCTTTTGATTCTCGAATTCGATAAATGCATACTGTAGGCTGTCACCTGTCCGCTTGTCTCGGATCACCTCACACGAGAGAATCGGCCCGAAACGACTGAAAATTAGGTTCAAATCCTCATCTAGAGCCATATCTTAGTTAGCCATGGTGTTGAACAGCAATAAGCATAGAAGACAGGAAAAGGTAGGATCCGACCTTGAGTGACTGGATTCAGCTTGCAGACGAATAATACATTTTCTGGTGGCTTGACCTCAGCAAATGGAAGGTCACCTACCATTTCCAAGGTCAACGCCTGAGCTCTTGCCTCACGTTCCCGTCGTAGCTTCTCCAATGCCTCTTCGTCCATGTTGTCATCCAGGTCCTCGTCATCTGCGATCCTCACTGTAGCTAATTGTGCCTTGGAAGGCACAGGGCTCTCCGCAGGCTCCACCAACCCCGGGGGGTCACTGAAAGGATCATCGAGGATCACAGTATGACGAATCCTGATATCCTTGAGTGGGCGCCCGCGATCATCGATGAAGGCTTCGTTGACCTTCTCTAGGACATCAAATCCTTCTACCACCTTGCCGAAGATCACCGCCTTACCGTCCAAGTAATCCAGGCTCTCTCCGAGAGTGATGATGAACTGACTAGCGGCAATGCGCAGATCCGGGTCATTAGGAGAAGCAACCGTTGCCATGCTCACAGTTCCCCGCTCGTCATGCTTTAATTTGGGAGGAATCGGAAGGGAGAAGGTTCGCTGGGAGGGACCCTGCAACAAGCCCCAAATCGAGGATCCGCCATCGCTCTCAGAAGAGTCAGGACCCAAGGGGTCACCGGTTTGGAAAGTAAAATTCTTCTGAACACTGTGGACGGGCGAGAAATTGTAGTACTTGACTTTGCATAGCTTCAGGAAGCTATGGCGGGAGACCATAGATAGCTTAGTTTTCGTTCAGCCACTCGACTTGTACGCGCGCGCAATAGAGCATGACGAAAGTACCAGCAGAAAGAACAATCGCAGGAAATGGAGAAGAGATGCATACTTTTCACAAGCCTTAGGCGACTCATCGACCAACAAATCAATGACGATGTCGCCGAGAGAGGTTTCTAGTAGGACGCTCATGGCGGATCCCCGGCAGCAGCTGCGGGTGATTTTGGGAGGATCGACGGTGCGCAAGACAGAAACAGAAAAAGATGAGGAATAGCGATGGAAAGAACAGGGATTGTGCAAAACGTGCAACAGACAGATTGGATTGCAGAAGAACCAGAAACAGAATTTTTTGGGGGTGGGGAGCCGGGGGGGGGAAGGGTGTGGTCGTGGTTTGGGGGAGGAGGAAGCTTTCAGAAGGACGGAATTAAGAGCCTTTGGAGTTGAGTCCAAGCAAGCAAGGAAAGGTACAGAACAGAGTCACAGACCGACCGACCGACCGACCGAGAAGCAAAAGTTACGATGCGGAGCCGCTGCCGCCCGCTCTATTCCTACTTAGTCGAACATCAGCGGCCCACCGTCGATCGCTGTTCGATTGTCTACTTGTCTACTTGTTCATTCTCCTTCTTGATGCTTCTACATGCTGCTGCTGCTGCTGCTGCTGCTGCTGCCCTCAGCCAACTACTCCACCCAATTTATCCCTATCATCATACTAATCGGGATAATTTGAACGAACTAGACTGATTAGTTCTAGATCAACAGTTATCTTCCCCCGGGGATGGATCTACCTGCTTGCAGCCACAAAAGTTCTTCACATCTTTCCCCTTACCCTCACCCCCACTCTCACCCAACCCCCCATGTCACTCGAGTGACAGCGACTCAAGGGTCATACATGCTCTGAAAGAAGCATTCATCACTGAATCAATCACCTTCGACAGTTTCGAGGTGTTCTCATTGTCGGATGGTCGATCCGGCGCCCCCCTCGTGTAACCGCCGTTACTTTTGAACTGGGCGGCATATCTTCCGGGAATCCCCGTTGAACGAACAACTCGAAGGCAAGAGATAGTCTCACGCTAGGCCTGGGCCGAGATTTAGCTGGCTGCTGTTTGTTGTTTCGTTTCTTGCCGGCGATCTGGTCACTCAAATCTGTCGGCAACTTATCCATAGCCAGCTCCCGAGCAAGTACGACGAATATTGTTCCTGGTGCGATGTGCCATCGGCCCCAATTCAAGCGTCGGCATTGACCCTATGAGGTGTTTCGCTATTTGTTGGACTTCGCTTTGACGTCAGCTCCAGCTTCAGCTCCAGCCCCAAATCATAGTAACTTCGAATTCGCACGGTGAGCGCCTTTCAACACTACAAGACTCACCCGATTCTACCCTTTGTGAGTTTCACCACAGGGGCGTTGGCAATAACGGGCGGTCTCCTGCAGCTAGGTCCAACAGCTGTTCAGATAACCCCATCAGCAACCTTTGCAGAAATATGACAGCAGGACTAATCCGATTGGGAAAGACACGTGGTGCTCACTAGACATGGGATACTATATCTTTATCTTAAGAATGATCATTACATTGATGATTCTCCGTAACGCTTTTAACTCCTGGAATTCCTGAATGAGATTCATAAGTTTCACTGGGTCTTGGTATTCCTGTGGCTGGTCCTATTGCTAATGACAGCTCTCTGGTCTAACCACTGACTGATAATAGTTGTGACCGGAAGATACCTTGATCATTGACGCCCTTCCCCAATCTCTGGGGCTTTGGCCCTGCCCTCCTATTTTCGACCGCTGTTTCCTCTTCACTTTTTCTTCGTTTCTTTTCCATTCTACCTTCTTTATCCTCATTTCTCCTCTTCCGACCGGAATCAAGAAAATCCTCTAGCTTACTTTTCTCGTGTTCTATCAAACAAATGGTTTACCTCTCTTGTTCGATCTCGATCGCGATCCGAAAAGGGACGGACGACACTAGTACCTTAGCTCATCATCCCCCTTTCCACATATTGCCTGCGCCAAACCTACTGCCATGCTTGCGAATGAATCGTTTCCGATCTAGACCAATCGTTGTGTGAAAGTGCTGCAGGTTTGAGCACAAGCAGATGTTGACAAGGTTCTGTCAGTCGGTGACAATGTGCACCGGACTCGTGCCCCTGACCCTCCTGCATACTTAGTCGATCTCTCTTTTTCTTTTGCCCCACAGTCATGGTCAAACTCTCGCCGAGCTGTGAAAGCTCATTACCCCCCTCTTATTCGTTCTCCTGATGTTTCTCTTCGTTCGCCATCCTCTTTTTGAGGCTTCCTAAATCACCCTGGGCCGGTTTGAGTCCTTGCCCATTTGACGCCTCTCGATCTCCCTAGCAAGCCAAATCCAGGAAACCCAAGTCATGCATGATATGTAGACTCCGATCCAGACCTTAACTGGCGATCTTTGCTTGATGGTACTAATGCGAGCCATTACTCCATGCTGCCATGGGCGGGCTCCGCGCACCCAGTCAGACTTGGCGGTTGAGTCACATTGGCGCGTTGCTGAAACACGGCCGATCTCAGGACTTAGTCGTTGCTTGAAGCTATCAAGCTGAGGCATAGCAGCCAAGCTTTCCGAGCCATCGGTGTAATATTCGCAGATTGGTGCGGTCCGCTTGCATCATGCTCTGAATCGGGTCTGGGCACTTCCCTTCTCTTGGCCCCGAGTTCCTCTTTGTTGAAGTCGCTCGTGGACCTGATCGCTGCCGATCTGACCTAAGCTGAACTCTATGATGTCAAAAGTACCAGTCGAGACTAGACCGCCGAGTGAAGTTTGTTCGATGCTTGAAAATAGCAAGCATCGGACCAATCGCCTTTGGATGCCGACCATTGTTCAAGCAGAGAGCAAACATCCACACGTTCGTTGCTTCCGCCTTCCTGTCAATAGCTTGATATTCGCGCTGGAGGTGCTCATGCAAACGTAGTCGGTGGCTGTCCGGTCTTCGAACTACCCTGACCGGTCGCTTCTGACGCAGGGCTCTATCGCTGGCAAAAAATAGCATCATTTAGAGACATGGACCAGTGGCGGAAGCAGCACATGTGGAGTTCGCATCAACGTCTATTGGATGAGACCGACCCTGGAGATCTTAGTCTGCCCAGCTTGGAGTGATAGGCCTGACTGTGGTTTTCTATCAGGCCATTTTTAACTGGTGCAACGTTACCCTTTCTCTGTGCAACTCTTAGAACGCTGGGGTATTTTGTCTCTGTGGTCTGCTATCATCATCATACCATGGTGCCCATACCTAAATCTCTGGACATGATATTACTATCTTGGTTTGGTCTGGACTTTTTGTATTTTTGTTTTTTTTTAGCGTTTTGCCTGAATGAGATGCAACCCGGTTATTTGCATGATGCTCTCCTGGTACAACCCAGGGTAAGAAGAAACAGGTATCAAGCTGATCACACTCCATCGAATGGGGAAGCGACCTAATTCCCATTCTAGTTCTAGGGACTTTGCTTGGGTGATGGGAGAAAACTGAGATCGGTCTGAAACTCCCCAACCTGCAACCAACAGCATGCGAATTCAGCGAAATATTAAAATAAGACAATCGCGAGAAAAAGAGAAAAAAAGGAAAGAAAGACAATAAAACGAAGGGCCAGGCTTTCCACCATCAACACCTACGCACCATCAACACATGGACTTAAAGCTGGCCTTGCTTCCGGCTAAAGCCCCCTCACCCTTTCTGGTTCTTTTCCCCATCACTTGAGGGTAGAGCGGATACGTTGATTGCAACATCCCTGATTCACCGACCTTTTTATGCTCCTTGAAACCCTTCTGAGAAGCTTTCCCATCCTGTAAACTTACCTTGACTACATGTGAGTCTTGAATTCGGGAGCACCATGTTTTCCCCCACGCTGATGGATGAAGTAATGGCTCATCCTATCTATTCCCCGGAGGAGGCGATTGGCTTTGATTCACAATCCAAGCGAGATGCTCTATCAATACCTCACCCCTATCGAGCCGACAGCTATCAAGATATGGTCGAAAGGGCTGGGTGTCAAAGTCCTAGTCCTGAATTAGACAGCAAGAGTCGAAACTCGACACGCCGCCGCATTCAGGTCGCTGTAAGTTGGCCCTTTTATCTTTCGACTCTGTTCTAAGTCGAGAAAGGATCATGGCTTACAGGTTGTTCTTAGTGTAACCGTTGCCGAAAAAGAAAAATCAAATGCAGCGGCGACAATGGCGAAGGGCAAGGCTGTTCAAACTGCCGCAGCTCTGGAAATGTTAACTGTCAGTTTTTGAGGGTGAGTTTTAGAATCGCTTCCACTTTGGTAGATTATCAGCTGACACCAGCACAGGTCAATTCTTCGATGATGCAGACGAGAGGTACCTGGCCGTATCCAACGGTGAATGCTACGATATCCCCATCTCACAGACATGGGCCGTATGGACCATCAATGGCGCCAAAGCCGGCGAGTAGTACACCAGGAAGCCCTTCTACTATGCGTGTAACTCCTTTCTCGCGAGCCCCTGGCTATGATTTTGGGTCGAGCGACTCTCAGATGCCCTTCAGCCGACAATCATTTGGTGTTGACCACGCCGTCCACTACGAGGAGGATTCTGGGATGTACAGCCCTCAGCCTCCGACGTACATGGTCTCTGGGGCACCACATGCCGTTATTGCGGACTATTGTGGGCTCACATGGAGTCCCAAGGCTTGGAGTCCAAATATGTGCCTTGGCCGAAGCCCTAGCGCAGCCATTTTCGCAGACCACGAGACTGGAAGTTCTTTGTCCCAACCTGTATATCCTTATATGCTCTCGGGGGCCCCAAGCCAAATAACTGATGCCCCTCCGATCGTGCCAACGATGAGCTTTTCCTCCGCCGAAGGACAAGGAGTGGATCGGACTCTTCCTGACCCCACGAGTCGAACTCAAGGCCCACAGTGCCCTGCTGGCTTTACACTGACACCCGAAGTCCTTACACTTCCAGAGACCGTGGATCACAGGACGGGGGCTGGTTGGAATTACAAAAGCGCCAGCTCTAGTAACATGCCCTCCTCAGTTCAACGCTGTCCGAACGAATCTTTCAACACCAGTTCTACCAATCGGACAAGAGCAAGTGCCCAAGACATGATGTTCGGAACTCCGTTGCTCACAACTGTTGGTGCACCTTCTTCTTTGGCTTCCTCCGCTGGGCCTCTTGCTGGATTGGAGCCGGTAACCTCGAGCGAGGAATTCCGCGGAGGTGGTGACAGTCAAGCAGCGCGGACTATGTCCCAAAGCCATCTCTCCGAAGCCGGCTCTGATGTCTATGTATACAGCAGCAGTGAAAGGAGGGACAAGCACTCGTACAAGACAGATGGTTCAGCATCCATGCTCATGAATGGGCTACCATACACACGTCCTGGGCCGGGTCTTTTCGCTCCATCGATAACTACCTCGCCGGCCTGTCGCCCTGATACAGTAGTGTATCCGACTCCAATACAGCCGCTAAACCACCCAAGCAATTTTTAAGCTCACGCTATAGGAAGGCATTCTCATTATTTTGAAAGAAATTCCCTCCTGGATGCGCTGGGGAGCATAAACAGGCGTTAGCCGACAGCGAGACTGTCGGTAGGTGACACAACAAAAGAGCTGAAACAAACGTGTCGGCTCGACTCCACGGGTATCTAGCAGCCTCATCTTAATTCGAATAGGGATGAAGCCTGTCAATCTCGCCCCGACAGACTATACATGGAAAGGTAGATTATTGAGCGTTGGCGGCGCTTTTCTCCTTACGCCTATTGGTAATATCTCTCAGCACAGGCAGGCAATGCGCTGGCTCTTTGTTACATTATATCCCCCCAGGGCGCAGGAGAAGGAAGAAAAAAGACATGTTACACTAATACTAGGGATTGTGTTGGATTTGTGATTCCCAAGGCTTGCTCGGTGTTGATTGACTTGGATTTTTGCCTGTGACTGGGCCGGCCAGGCCGTCCACGACTGGGGAGGCTCACCTTTTATATGTTTCTATGTTTTGAGTTTTTATTTGTCTCTTGTTGCTTCTTACTTACGGTGGCTATCTTGTCTCCTGTATATTTTACCCCCACTTGGCAAGGGCTTTGTTGTATTGCGTTGTTGTTTTGAGCACATTTGTCCATGCTGCCAAGTCAGTTGTTGGTTACACTACTGGACCCTTACTTAATATGATAGATCACATACACACACACACACACCTCTTGATTCCTTTGCGCCAGACAAAAGACAACGGTTAAGATTGTTTTTACCTGGGGAAGAACAACTGGCGATACGTGCAATAGAACGGTGAAAGAAAGATATATACAGCAATAGATCGACCCTAGCTAGTACCTTGAACCAACAAACCCAACTCCACCCAAACCAACCAACCTCAACCTTAAGCCCAAAAACCTACTACTGAACAAATAATAGCAAAAATAAGCACTTTTCCAACCCTCGGACCAAAAATCCCACCAACAAACACAGCCCCAAGCTCCAACGGCGCATAGGGGAAATAAAACAAAAACAAAAACCAAAAAAAACCGAACTCAGAGCTAATCCTCGTCCCCCGTTGCGTTCCCCCCGCCGACCTCCCGGATGCCATTTCGCCGGGGCAGGGGACAAAGCAAGCAAGAAAAGCCCTGAGAGGGAGGGGGCCTGTGCATTGACTTTTCCAAACGGCGCGCGCACCTACTGACGCAACCTTCCAGTACCCTCTAGCCTTCAATCTCCCTCGGTTCTTTGTGTACCCGGAAGATCTCAAAGACAGAAGACGACCACCGACTCGGTCGATCTAGTCGTACGCTCGCTCGAGCTCGGACCCTTCGTATTCTCTGTTTCGTTCCCCCCCCCCTCCTCCTCTTCTCTAATTGAATTGAGATGTAACTTACCCAACGAAGAATGTAAACCAAGAGGGAAAAAGGGAACCGGGCGTGATTGCCGGTCCCGTGGTGGGACCCTGCGTTGCGTTGCGAGCGAGTGAGCGAGCTCTTACCCTGGTACTCGGGTACGCGGACGGGGGAGGGGGAAATCGGTTCCTTGTGGTTTGTTTGGTAGGTGAGTGTTCGGGTTGGGAGGTTAGGGACGGGGGAATGGAAGTTGTGGATGGATGGATGGATGGATGGATGGATGGATGGATGGATGGATGGGCTGGTGTACGGTACTCGTTGGGTGCGTGCGGGCGAGAAGGGGGGGAAAGAAAAGGATGGATTAATCGGGTTGGGTTGTGGTGATACATACCTACATACAGTACCCTATCTGTCGAGGCGGCATGAAATATGATGCCTCTCTCCCTCACTTGCTCTGCTACAGAGGAAGTGCTACACATTGACTCGTTTTACTCGTCTACGGTATACCATATTAGGTGGACGATAGCTAGCTTGACAAGGTCGGAGTGGTGATAAACACACTCCCATCGGGTCAGGGCGTGCATCATATACATACTACTGTCTCAGGGAACGGGAACTTGATCTAGTCAAATCGTCGATAAGAAATGCGATAAGGAATTGTATGGGGTAACTGGAAATTCAAGGCGGAATCATTCAACCAGGGAAGAAACAATCAGGGGCAAAGAAAGCAGAGAACATGGGGTAAATCGATCGGTTGAAGAAAAGAAGAGAATATCCATTTTATCCTGGTTTTTTTTTTTGCGAAGATATCCGACCCATGTTTTATTTTTTTTTAACCCGGCAAGAATAGGCCCAAGCGGTCTCCAAGTCTGATTTGATATTGAAGTTCCCTGTCATCGAATTCATGGTTTCATATTGTAGATATGAAGAATTGGCGGTGGCCGCCCATGAGAAATAAGAAGATTGTAAAACGCCCTCCACACACAACCAGTTCGTTCATATCCACCAGGGTTCATTTGGTTGAAGAAGATCGGAACAAAACCCACATCTTCCCAGTCATCAAGTTCAGCCCGTGGCCGCGATCGTCCGTCTTGGTTCGGCAAGTGCATCCGACTCCGGGTCCCAAGGCGAAGATGCGAATCCAGCGAGCAACTAGTTGTTTCCCCCTTCCATATTTTCACCAGTAAACGTAAACGCAGAGAACTCTCAACCGAATCGATCCGCTTAGTTCTTGTTCTTCTTGGGGCCCTTGACCTTCTCGGTACCGCGGAACTTCTTGGAGCGGTTCTTCCGTTGCTTGCCTGGAGAGGGTATGAGTATGACGGAAGATGGGAGGCGGGGAGAAAGAAGTAAGAAAACGTACGCTGCTGTCTGCTGGGCTTCTCGATCTTGGTGGCGGCACCGATGCGAACCAGGCGGTAGTGGGGCTCGAACTTCTTCAGGGCCTCCTGGGAGTCGTAGACGAGAGCGAAGCCAGTGCTCTTACCACCACCGTACTGCGTGCGGAAACCGAAGACGGAGACCTGGTCCTTGTTGGCCTTGTACAGGTCGGCGAGCTTGTCGCGGAGTTCGTCCTTGGAGACGTTGGCGCGGTTGGGGTGGAGGACGTCCCTGTGTGCACAATATCAGCGTCTGCCGTAGTCATGCAATGTTTTGTCGTGCTTGCTGCCCGGAGGTGTTCTCGGATGGTTCCCAGTCGATGATATTTTTCTTCTCTTTCTCTCTTCTTCATTGCCCCGACACGCATATATGCACATTTTAGATGTGAAATTGCCGCCGGACATTGTAAACCCCTCCCCATCGAAATTGTCGTATCTTCCTGGTTGTTTCCATCACGTCGACCTGATGATCGTTTTGTCGTATTTCCCTCCTTTCCCATCTCTTTTGTCTTTCGGGTATCTTCCCTCCGGGCATCCTCCGGGCAGTAGCATCGGGGGAAGGCTTACACGACCATCTGCTTGCGAGCAAGCAGGGGGTTGCGGATGAACTTGCGAGTCCGCAGGGTAACGGGAGCGTCGGCCATGGTTGGAAGTTGACAGCGAAGGAATCTGCGTGCGACAGGAAGCAGAAGGGGGGCAGATTAAGGAGGGCGCGGGTTTGTCGAAGTCGCTGTCAAGTCGGGTCGGGGCTACGAAATGCGGCGTTCGATTCAATTTTGGTCTCGTTGTGCACAAGTTGGCTGTGGGCTCGGCTAGACGACCCTAGGCTGGATCTGGTTAGTCCTGTGCCCTGTTCCGCTAGCCTGCTTTCGATCTAGCGTCGCGGTGCCTGATAAGCATGCTGACTCATCATTTCTTATCGGCCAACTTTGATCACATTTTCTACTAAGTATACGAGCTAGACCAGTAGTCAAGTCTCAACCGACGCTCAAATCATCGCCATGTCCTCTCCCTCTCTCGACCGTCTCGTCTCACAATACTACCAGCAAGTCGAAATTCCCTCCCTCTCTCTCTCCCTCCCATCCAACTCGACCCTCCTCGACCCCACCACCCAACATGCTCTTTACAATCGCATGTTCAACGACGCCGACCCCGCCCTCTGGCCGCTGCCGCCAGCCCATTATCGCATGCGCGTGCTCAAGCTGATCATCGCGCGCCTGGAAGAATCCCTCACCAATCCCGAGGAGGATGTATGAACCCTATCCAGCCACCTGTATGACAATGATCAGTTCAATCACCACTGCCGATCAATCTCATTTTCCACCTCACCAGCTTCAATCGCATACTAACGCAAATCTTCCCCCCTTCTCCTTCACCCAGGAAATCATCGACGAACTCCTAGAAACATGGGGCACACTCCTCACGCACCCCAAACCCTCCGCGATTGAACAAGCCCAACAACTCACCTATATCAAATACACCGCTCCACACATACCTGACCCCTCCCCATCCCCCTCTTCCCCAGCCGCAGACCCAAACCACCCCTCCCGCCGAACAACCATAACCTCCGAATCCCGCGGCCTGATCCTCTCGTCCGGCACCACGGGCTTCCGCACCTGGGAAGCCGCGCTGCACCTGGGAACTTACCTGGCGACGAACCGGACGGCGGCGCGCGCCCTGATCGAGGGGAACCGCGTGATCGAGCTGGGCGCAGGCACGGGCTTCCTCGCCATGTTCTGCGCGCAGCATCTGCAGCCCCGCTCCGTGGTCACCACCGATCGGGAGATCGCCCTGATCGAGCAGATCGAGGATTGCGCGGGTCGGAATGGCTTGTACGATACGCCGGGCAAGTTTGCGGCGGGGATCTGGGAGTGGGGGACGCGGTTGGATATTCCTGGGTTGGATGGCAGCTCTGTTTCCTCATCCTCAGGAGAGGCAGCAGCAACAGAGGTAAATGGAGGGGAAAAGGACCGAGGACTCAAGTTCGATGTTGCGCTGGGCGCGGACCTGGTAAGCCCCTCGCTCTCCCTTTCCCCCTTTGTTCTCAGTCTGGGATGGTTTCCCCCGTCCTCTCATCCTTGTCATTTTGATCAACTCATTTGTAACCTACCACCGGGAACAAAACCTGACCAACCTCGGACCAAACCAGATCTACGACGTCGACCTCGTACCCCTACTAGTCTCCACCATCGAGGACCTCTTCACCAACTACGGCCTACAGCAATTCATCATCTCCGCGACGCTGCGGAACGAGGATACCTTCCGGACGTTCCTGAGAGCGTGTGGTGCGTTTGATCTGATTCCATTCTTCTCCTGGCCCTCCATCTTTCTATATCCCACTCAGTGGCACATCGGTCCAGTTAGCGCTAATAACTCGTTAACTCTCCGCAGAAGCTCAAGCCTTCACCGTCGAGCAGATCCCTTTTACCTCCCCTCCTGAGGCAGAGCAGACGGGATTCTACCACTCCACGGCTATTCCGATTCATATATATCGGATTACAAGACCCAAGGTCTAACTCTTCTTCTTTTTCTCTTCAGGAAGAGCATGAAGACTTAGATATAATCCGAAAAGGAACCGAGACCGTGTCGTAGACGAAGAGCGCACGCATCTATTACCCACGCATCCCGGCGTCATGTCTGCCTTACAATGCATATGGTAGAATCAGGGATGGTGCCAATCTATGATGGTGGTTGGAATTTAATCTCATTTCGTAAAGGGCAACGAACGGCCCGCTGGAGAATGATAATTTTGTAGGAGGTAACCGTGTACAAAAAGAAAAGCCTATGCTATGCTGTGCTGCTGTATGTGATAAGCAAAAATAGTCTCTCACATCCTGGGTATCATGTCTATCAAATCGGATACAGAAACCTCTCGAGCGATGGGCGGACTGGCCCAATGCTCGTCTCGAGAAAAGATGAACGGCTAATAGAAGAAAGTTGATCGACCAAGGATTGTGCTGCCGCCTATGAACAGGTGGATGGATGGCGCTCAGATATGATGAAAGTTGAAAGAAAGGGAGCGATGGCAATGGTGTATATACGAGGCTATGTTGTTGTCGTGCTGGCGCAATACTGACCGAGCAAAATCACTCAGCAAGACTCTCCCTGAGCAGTCTTTCGTCTAGTTGCTCGGCATGCAGGGACACAGGGGCACGAGAGATGGGCCGGAAGCCCATGATGGGCCCCTTTTGGTTCACCCCCGGGTAACGGAAGGGCATGTTCGGGGCTGGGCTTGCTCGAGCCTTGGCCGGGTGGCTGGCACTGTTCCCGCCGGAAGAAGAAGGTCTAATTGGGCCAGAAGCCTCCGCTTCAATCGGCAACGACTGTATGCTGTCATGTCCCGAGACGGCGGCGGTGCCCCAGCGACCGCGGACCCAGCCGCCAACCCGGCGGGATAAAGACAGCTTCCGAGAGGGCGTAGCGGCGCTGCCGTCCAAGTGGCCGTCTTCAGAAGCCGCATGCTCCGTTGGGGGCTGCTTGTTCCCCGCCATCGATGCGAGAAGGGACTGTGGACGCTGGTTGGGCATCAGGGCTGGCTCTCGCCCGGCCGTTACAATGCTCGTTGAAATCACTGGGGGCGTGGGGCAAAGATCCGCATTTGATGAAATGATTCGTCGTGGAAGCCGGACAGGCATGGTAGTGGAAGGAAGGTCGTTCACGTTGGTCCGCGACGGACGTCGACTAGGAGCATGGATGTCCATTCCCGCCACGGAAAATAGACTCTCGTGGGACGAACCCCGGCGTAACGAACGATAGGGAGAAGAGAAAATGTCGGCCATCGAAGGAGATGCGGCTCGCTCTGATTCGGCATACTGCATCGACTCCACCTCTTCCGGGATCACGGTTTCCACGATTCCCTGGTGCGGAGACTCGACACTCACGTTACGATGGGTGAGATAGTCGTACCCTGGATCATCGTCCTTAACATGGGTGAAATGGTCAGTCTCTTCACGGCACAAAGACGTATCAGAATGAATATTCCTGCGGCGAGTTCTCAAAGGAGATGAAAAGACGGTACTGGCTGGACTGGTTGGCTGGGAGAAGTCGAAGCTGCGTTCCGCACGGTCGAAGATTGAGGGTGGCTGATAGGCGGACTGCGGCGAGCTGGCCACAGATTCCGTCGTGGGGGTTTGCAATGACCACCGATGGGACGTTGCCGGAGGGATGGAGACCGAAGTTTGGGACAAAATTGTCGACGTGGATGAGCTGGACGATTGCGAGCGGTGATTAGGCTTGCGAGTCCCCGACGCCAAGTTTAGCACCGCCGCACTGCCCAAAGATCGTCTCTTCTTGCTGCCACGACGGAACAGCGAACCTCGTTCTTTTTTGGGCCCAGCTGGGATGGCGGGAGGATGATAATGGTGGTGAATGTGATATTCCTGCGACACGCGACGAGACTCTTGTGCTTCCAATTCCTGACTCAGAGTGGTTGACGGCCGAGGTTCCTGCCCATCGGACGCAGCTAGAGGCTGATGAGACAGTATCTGATCCCGCAGATTCTGCACCTCTTGGTTCGAGCTTTCGAGCATGTCCCGCAACTCCATGATTCCCATCTGTAGGTTGGCATTATCTTGTAAAATGTCACGTACGAAGTGGGAAACCACATTGGCGCCCCCACGATTGCGCCCCAGCTCCTGCGCCGCGGCTGCACCCTTCAATCGACCAGCCGCGCCATCGAGTTCGCGCTCCACGGTGCGCCGGCGCTCCATCCGCTGGATTAAATCCGCATGACGCTCTCGTTCCTCCCGGGCTTCCTTCTCGATGCGATCGACCTGGTCATGCAGGTCACGCAGAGTGCATTCGGCCTGCTTCCATCGCTGGACGGCCGACCTGGATTCCTCCTTGGCCGACTGAAGACTTTCTTGTAATCGGCTCTGCTCTAATTCCATGTGTGCGAGTTGGGCTTCAAGATCCGCCGCACGGGCTGCCGACATGGTCAATTTGCGCAGCTCGATCTCAGTGTTCTCCAGTCGCGAGGTCAGTGACTTGGCGTGTGTGTCGGAATCAGCGACGGCCCTGTTTAGACCCTCTAACTGCTCCAGCAAGTCGCGATTCTCCTCGATTATTCGGGCGTTCTCGGCCTGAACCTCGCGCTTCTCGCGCTCGAGGTTCTCAATGTTGAGCAGGAGATGCCGGCGGTCCTGTTCCGCCTCAGCCATATACGATTCATGTCGATGGAGTAAAGCCTGCAGTGCAAAGGTTAGCGATGAGGAGCCCGTAGTTGTAGCCGTCGATGCGGCCTTATCTGGGAAAGCAGCCATGACGAACAAAGAAGCAATGAGAGAGAATGGGAGACTTGGGCTTGATGAACGCCATGAGAGAGAGGGGGAATGTTGTGACAGGCCAATTGATAGGTCTGTGTTAATTCTCCGTTCTTGTCTCGTGAATTTTTCACTCCTCTTGGCACTCAATCCCCGAAGAGGAAGGGTTATTCAATCCGAGATAGTCGAATTCCAGGGCAGGGCCAGCAAGATAAGCAAACAATGTAAACAACGGCCCTTTTGCCAGTGAAGGGGGGCAGGAACATGAGGTAGGTAATCAGGCATGTATGTACACAGGAAAAAGTATGTGAGAGGCATGAGAAGTATATAGGCCGACCATCAAAAGCAATCCGGCAGGCCACCAGTCAGACAGCCTCATGTCTGTCCTGTACAACTCCATCGTCCCCAGGCCAAGAATCAGGCAGGGCATGGTGCATCGGGAGTGATACTGGACGAAGGAACGGACCTCCGCTGCCAACAATGATGCCGCCTGACGTATTGAATGGCCGAGCCAACGAAAAGCCGAAACTTTAAAATTGTAGATAGACAAAACACGCAAAGTGAAGGCAGATGTGCACTAAGCGGGAAAAGTAGGGTAAAAAGGAAAGATTGTCAGCAAAAACGTACCTGACCCAGTTTAGCAGCGGTTGCGAGATCCTTTTCCAGCCCCTCGAGGGCGAGGTGATTATGGAGCAAGAATGCACAATCATTCCGACCACAGCAGCATTGAAGATCTGTGGTCGAGACGTGGGCAGAGGCTGGGTGGGTGGGAATGCTGGGAAGCTGACCAGTAGTGGACGAATCCATGGCTGGGGAGGGGAAGGACGAGCGGCGGCAGCAGCAGCAGCAGCAGCAGGAAGTGCGGCAGACGCAGTAGTAGCAGTATTAGCAGCAGGAAAGGAATGGAGAAGGGAGGGGGAGTGGACGCTTGAGGTGGCACCCCTGGAACGACGTGATGAAGTGGCCCGGAGGCCCCCGAGCTTCGAGGCTGTCCAAGCTCCGGTCGTAGATAGATGAAACAAGAATAGATCGAGAAGGACACAGATCTCTTGTGAGGGTCTGGCGTGGGTCTGTTTGTCTGTCTGTCGCCTGTCTATCTCACAGTACCATGGTGGTTCTTTGCTTTTTGCCGGATTCTCCCTCACTTTCTGGGAAGAGCCAAGCTGAAAGTCTCTAGTGACTGGCGGATATGTGAAAGGAAAAGGGTCTAGACAGGAGTCCGAGAGAAAGAGAGGATTGATGATGGAATGTGGAATGGAAATGCACTGGCAATCAACAAGTGAAGCCGTTCCAGGGCGGAGACTCGTGGCGCGTGGCGGTGATTGGCTCTGAAAGGGAAGGTGGGTGGTCCGGGCGGTGAGAAGTGGATGGAAGGAAATGACCGGTCTGTTCGAAGGCGGTAACAGAATTACAAGGGCAATACAGTTTTATTGATGATTGATTTGCTGTCTGTCATTGTTGCAGAGTGAAATGTGATGATAACGTGCATGACGAGATAACCTGCTTGGGACATGCAATTCGGCAGCTTACCAAGTAGACAGGACAAGGCAACTCCTAGAACTTACTGTACAATGTACACTATACGAAGCTACGGAGGAACTAACCGATTTGACGGACGGCCCCACTGGAGACTACTGCCAGCATGAGTGACTTGTTCCCCCGATCGCCCGTCGTCTGCCTTGTCGCCCAACCACCAACCAACCAACCCCCTGCAGCAGCTGCAAGAAAGCCTGCTTGGCCTGGCTCTGTGAAGCTGAGACGGAAAGGCCGTGTGTCCTTCTTGCTCGGGAAATCGATGATCAAAGATACCAGTCTTTCGTATGTTAGGTAGAACAATCATAGCAGATCCCAGACATGTCCTCATAGACCCATTCCCATCGCCCCGGAGCCATCAAAGCAAGAAATCCTGGCGTACATTGATAAACGCCCCAGCGCCACCATCTTCGCCAACTTCGTTCACCAGCACCTCTGTCTGTTGGTACAGGCGCTCCAGCGCCGCCAAAGATGACTTGCCGAGTGACACTGTTTCAGCTGTTAGCCACCGCGTAACCAATGCAGTCACCCACCCACAGTCTACCTACCTAAAATGGCCGAATTCAACTCTTCTGCCACGGCAATGCGGCCGGCCGGGTCCAGATAATGCCCATGCACTGACTGGCGCGCGTCCTGATAGGCCACCAGGGAGAAGATGTCTTCTAACATCTTCCGGTCCCCGCCCCGTTCATCGGGCGGGTAATCGATGAAGAGTTGTTGCCCATACTGTACAGCTTCGGTCAGCAGCTCCCTCGATTTGGCTGCCGTTTCAGTGTCTTCGATCTCCATCTCCTCAACCTCCCATCCATCCCCATCGTGAGCTTGGTCATCTAGTTCCATATCCTGGTCAAACACCGCGCTGTCCAGCAACCCGTTTGTTGAGCGTCCCCGCTTTGACGCCATCGCTGACAGCTCACTGCACCGCCGCATCATTTCCAAAAATTTGCGGCATCTTAGCTTGAAATGAATATGAGGGTAGGTTTGTAACACGTTGGCATAATATGCATTGGTGTACTTGAGCGCTTTGTCTATATCTCCATCAAGGATTGCGGCTCGAATCTCTGGAGGGTAATTATAGTGTTAGTATGCGATGGATTCAAACTGTATAGAAGCTCGAGGGATGCCTTACTCTGTCGATTAACTGCTTCCACATCCTCCACAACTTCATACTCCGGCAGCGAAGCGGGTCGGCCATTTTCCAGCGCCGTCGACTCCGCCGCCACCTCTTCGGCGAACGCGCGGGCCGTTTCCACATAGCCGTCATGGGCGAGGAACTGCGCCACTAACTCCTGCAACAAGGCATTTTCGTCCAATGGCGGGTGTAGATTGGCGGTACTGGTCGAGGCGATCTCTGAGTGGATTAGAGATTTCTCTTTCTGTGGTGATATTGTCAATGAGGATCCTTTGCTCCGGAGAGAGTGCCACAGAGGCTGGACGGTACCTTGACCATTTCATCGATGTCGAACATGAAGGGCTGCTGGCCGAAATTCGCAATAATATGCACCGGCGGTTGCTTCTTCATTCCCACCGATGGGTAAACTTTAATGTTTCGTAGTTCTCGGAATGCATTCCCTGCGTTTCTCTTAATCCCTTTGGGTCTCGTAGGGCTGCAGAGAGGCAACAACTTACCTAAGAAAAAACCGTTCTTGGTGAAAAAAGCACATCCAGTCGAGAAGTTCACACCACATCCCACAGTATCATTTGCCCCGAAGGTCGGGCCGTACTGACGACCTTGTCCTTGGCTTTCCCCAAAGAACGACTTGCCATCATCGCCATGATAGGCCCAGGACTCTTGTTCCCATCCTGGTAACCTTTCCATGGACGCTTTCTTGCTTGAGAATCCGATACCGATCATCCTAGCTGTGTCAGCTGATTTATACGCGGATATCACTTCAACCTCCTGATCAACACATACCCCTCTTTAGGTTTGGAGAGAATAGTGATCTCAAAGTAGTAGATCCCGCACTGCGGGGGCATGGGACTATCCGCGCGAATGGCCGCCGCCTCATGATCGTGTTTGTTCACTGGGCCCGTATACCGAACTTCAAACCCACCGTTGGTCAGTTCCAAGCCCGAAGATCTATCTTCGGCATTCCAGCCGGAGGGCAAGGGTATCAAAAGGTCATCTTCGATGGGGGTTTCCCGTTCGATGATATCATAGGTCATGCCTCGGTGAGAAGGAGTGATCCGGGGCAGGCTGGCCTGACTCGACGAGGTCGATAGAGGGATCGACGTGGCGGAGGGGACGGCGGTATCTCGAGGGGCAACGAGTTTAGCCCGACGGGCGGCATCGAGGCGGGAGACATAACGGGAGTTGCGGAGATAAGAGGGGGTGAAGGCGGGGACGGTGTCGGCGAAGCTGCCCGGCTGATGGGCGAAGGGATCGTGAAGAGGGAAGCTGGCGAATTTGCGGGAGTGAGGAGGCAGGGTCTCACCAGGAGACGACCGCCAGGGCGAGTTCATGATATCAGCATCCACGGCGGCGGATAGCCTCGACAGGCGGCTGTCGGCGGTCAAGGGCGGGGGATATGCGGGATTCAAATGGGAAAACGAGGAGCTGCTGGGGGAGGCGAGAGCGGCGGTGCCGGAGAGGACTGAGGCGTAGGAGGACCGACGCGGAATAGAGGAGAAACTAGGTCCAGTGTATGCAGTGGTGGTGGTTGTAGTAGTTGTAGAGAGAGGAGCTCGCGGAGCTCCACCGGAAGGGGGAAATGATGCGTCAGTCATTATTCCTGTTCAGTATTGGTATTGGTGGTCCTGGGAGGGGAACAGCCAAAGCCCCCAACTGGTCAATACACTTCCATACTGTAATGGTGTATACATCAAGGTAAGAAAAGGTTGACTCGGGATTCAGAGTCACTTACACAAAATAGATTGCAGAAGATGACTACTCCATTCGCTGACTCTACAGTTTTGGGAATCTTCTTTTCTTGTGTAGTCTGTCCGTTTGTTGTTCTTTCTTCTTTCTTCTTGTTTCGTTGGGTGGTTCACCTGATCGAACTGGGTGTTGATGTCCGTAACCGGCGGCAGGCTGTGGATTGAGTGGAGCAATTTCCGTTAGACTGAGTTGGAGAGAGAGAGAGAGAGAGAGAGAGAATTCAAAGTATTTCGACAGAGTAACAGCTTGAACTCACGGACACAATTGTCGATGTCAACACGGCTTTCGATGGACTTCAAGAGGCCAGACAGGAACAAATGAGGATCGCTCGCTTTCCCACTCTCGATCACGGGCCAAAGTTCAGCTGAGCCAGGCCGCGATTGAAGTCTGTCACCATAGCCCGTAGAATGGCAAATTAACCGTTGGATCTTTCAGAGATTTGGTGGAGACGAAGTAGAGGATGAAGCGCGCCAACAGGGAAGAGGAAATGGTCACGTCGAGGCTCGCGTGACGGAGGGAGGGTGGAAACACATTCGAAGTATGACAGGGGATGATGGCCTGACCAAAACTCACTGCGGGGAAACACAGAAATGAAATCCCGGGGCAGTAAGGAAAGCATTGACATCTGACAGGAGCCAACTGAAGAGGAACAGAAAGAATGCTCTGCCCTTGCATGGCTCTCTCGCCCAACACTTTCAGCCATCTACAGTTCCTGATGCAGTTGTGGTATTGCCGTTTCGGAAGGAAGTACAGTACACCACCACTGCTCCACGGGCACTGCACTGCACTCACCCACCCTTTCTATTCACCCAATATATCTCGGTTAGGCAACCAACCAAGGTACCGCCATCCCATACTTCAGGTATCATTTTCCCTTCATCAACCCAGCTGGCATTTGAATACCGATTGCCAACCAACGGACCACGTCCTCTACAAAATGCGAAAAAGAGATGTATCAAACAGATTGCACAGCCGAATTGCATTCATATGATATCAATCAGGGCTAACAAGAGCCCGGTCGATATATCGTCCTGTCCACCCAAATTTTGATGAAGTAGTAGTAATATACCGTACATGCGTACATGCTTCCAACTGCTGCTGCTGCAAAAAAGAAAAAGAAAAGAAAAAACAAGCCCATCCATGCCCTGCACGGGGAATCGTTCCCGTACCCGCGAATTCTAGTGTTACATAACAAAGGAAGAAACAGAGGACCGAATCACTAAAGGCGATGATAAATATCCATCATGTGTAGCAGTTCGCTGAGGTGACCTGACCGAGATCGTCCCAACGCCAACCCAACAACAAAGGCAGAAAACAAAAGAGATGACCGAAGAATGGTCACACGACCATCACAAGTAATAAAAACGTAAGTCGATATATGGAGGGAGATATGAGTGAAAGGGGAAACAAAGATGAATATGATACAAGAAGAAAAACATTAAGTAAGTGTAAGACGGCGAGATGAGATGACTATGCAGTCATGGCAATGGCCGGAGCCGGTGAGGAGGCGTCATGTATATTAGAAGGCAGCGGGGTGAGGTCTCCATCACCCCCGTTGCTCTTTTCGCTGGGGACGCCACTGGCGCTTTGGTTGGCTTTGCTGTCACTGTCGCCTGTTTCGAGGGCCATCTCTTTAGCCTCGCCGTTCTCTTCGGGCTTTTGCGGTCTGGGGGCACGCCAGGTCGGCAGAGCCCATTGGATGCCCGTGAAGCTTTTCAGCTGCAAGGGCTTGCGCTCCCATTTCCGGCACGGGGCACCGGTACGATCCAACGCCCGTAGACCGGCATTGATCGCGCCCAGGTTGGCCTTGGGTCCGAGCTTGTGATTGGCAGACAACTTGACATGGTCGACAGTGCCATCGTCACTGTATAGTCGACGGGTTAGTGAGACAGGGACAATGAGTATGAACAGCAACCACATACAGTCTAGGTTTCTTCTTGGGGCCAGGCTTGCCTCTCGGCCTCGGGTACGTCTCTCCGGTCTGGCCCAGACCCCGTTTGCTCCCAGGCTTAGGACCCGGCACGCCCTTGCGACGGGGTGTGTCGGCAGCGGAAGTGCCCGCAGCAGGCGTGGAAGCTGCATCGGAGGCATTGTCCACGGAGGAGGGTGGGGGCGGCAGTTCCGCCGATGAGGAAGCCGGTGATGAAGGCTCCTTGATCTTGACCGGAGACTGAGCCGGGGTGTCGCTGTTTCTCTTCTTCGTCTCCTTGATCTCGGGGAGTGGTGTCGCAAACTGGCTTAGTAGATCGGGTGACAGTTTCAAGACGACCATCTTCTTCGAGCTTCCAGACCGGCTGGAGCGACCGTTCGTGGTGACGGTGGTGGTAGCCGTCGCAGAGCTGGCCGCCGGCATCGTGGGGGGTTGAATTGGGTCCGAAATTAAGCTGATTCCAGAAGGGGGAGTTAATCCTTGCGGGTGACAGGAGGATGGTAGCCGATCAATAGTGAGGAGAAAAGAAACGAGGTGGTGCCCGTCAGACGCTGGGTGGCGATGAGGAGTTAAATTCTGAGAGATCGGACGGGTGAAGTTTGAGAGAGGGGTGGGAAGGGGGTTAATGAGGGATTAAATGGTGATCGTGACGTGGGTGCTGGAGAGTAAGGTTGGTGGAGAGAGTGAATTTGGCGTGGTTCGGGTCAAACACGGCGGCGAGACTGGGTCAAGGCGAGGCGAGTGTCTGGCAGGGCTGATGGAGACAGGCAGGGTGAGGCCGCGGTGACATAGTCCGGTGGTGAGGCCTAGTGTGGTAGTAGTAGTGGTGGTGGTGATAGGTGGTGATAGTGGAAGTGAGGTAGGAGAGGGAGGGGGAGGGAAAGAAGAAAGGAAGGACGGGGAAGGGAAGAAAGGGATGAATGGGGATGTCGAGGCGTCGAGTGGTGGTTTCATTGCAGTGGTGGTTGGGTGGATTGTCTGTGTGTGTGTGTGTGTGTGCGTGGGTGTGTTTTCTACTGACTTGCTCGTCTAGGGAACGACAAGCCAGACTTTTCTGGTGCGGTCAGTCCAGGAGAGAAGCTGAAGGGAAGAAAGAACCTCCAAAGACAAGACAGGCGCGTCTTCATACCACCCGTTACCACGGATCCTCTTATCGGATGTGCTCCAGCCATGGTATGGAAAGTATGGGACGGTATGGAAACAGACTCAGACAGTACCTTGAACTAACTTACTTACTTCCTCTCTTCCCCGTACCTCTTCCGACTTTCATACTCTTCTTCCCGTATAGATTTTAGTGAGGTACGTTCAGTTAGTTACTCGGTAGTTTATTAGTTAGTCAGTCAATCACTCAGTCAGCCCCCCTTCCAGGATCTTCCGAAGCTCCCAGTACTTTGCATTACTTCTTCTCTATTGTCGAATTACTTGCCTCTAATTCATGAATTAAACTGTTACTTGAAACTACAGTAATACGCATCTACTATTCATTCTATCCTATTCATCACCAATACACTAAGAATAATGAATGGTGGACAACCAGAGGGAGAGAGGGGAAGTCGTCTCTTATCCAAATTAAACCCACTCCTTCCTTAGTTCTTACTCCAACCATGTCTCTCCCCCTTCAACTTATCCAAGAGGGAAAGAAAAAAAAAATATGGATCGGCCGTCCCGCCTCGGCCGCGTTAGACTTTGCGCACTCCAGCTGTGTCGAATGATGAGTTTGGCTGTCTGGTTTACGAATAGGGACCTGCTTGTGATTGTCTGGGAGCCGAGAAAGCAAAAGGTCGGCCAAAGTAATAACAGCAAGGCATCATCAGCCTCAGCATCATGACCCAAATCATCTGGGATCAACCTGTGGCCTATCCATGGCATCCGTGCTTTAGCCTTCTTTTTTTTCTCTCTTTCCCCCTTCCCCCCTCCCCCAATATTAGTTATTCATTGCTACTACTGCACGTACTACTCGTACTATAGACTGTACTACCATCACCACCGCCGAGGCAACGCCGGGAAGGAAACCGAAACTAGTTCATCGAATTCCCCGTCAGGATGCAACGGATGCGTGTACGGTAAGTGAGTGAGTAAGAGAAAAAAGGGAAAGGGAGCCAGCCAGAACAAACACCTCATCTCAACCAAGAAAAGTCTCTTTTTTCCATTCTTCCACCACCCATTGCATTCCGATCGGCTTGCCACTTCCGGAATGTCATCACTTCTCCCCCATTCCCCCAGGCATCCGTGTCCATTTTGGTTCTCAACACGAATCCGACCAGACCAGACAACACAGACAACCAATCCAGCAAGAGGTGCACTCAAATGATGGGTAAATCAATCCCCCGTCTGATCGCTTGTACGAAGCCCAACTCCACCCGGTGCTCAACTAACCAGCTTCCTCCTCACTTATACCCATTCACATCCGAATGCTTATCGTGATTGCTCCTTGGCCTGCGCGAAATTCTATGGGGCCGAAATCCAACCGGGATTGGCGATGGCAACTGGTCCAGATGCGTTCCATCCGCAGTCAACTTCCCCCGATCACGCACTCTAGTGCACGGAGGACAGGGTTACCACAAAAGCAAGATGGTGATTTACAACCAAACAACCCTTCTATCATAATCAAAACCAAGGGTGCCGGGAACTTGTGAAGGGAAAATAGTTACAGCATCAAAACACCCAAACCCCCAAATATACACCACCTCAGTCTGCTTTCCCCTGCTTCTTCCGCTGGATCACCTCCGCCACAGCCTGCTGCACCCCCGGACTAGCCCTCACACTACTCAGCACCAACCCTTCCTTCATTCCCTTGCGCAGCGCGGCCACGCCCTCATGGTCGCCCTTGAAAGGCGCGAATCCCAGCTGCAACAGCTGAGTCGCCTCACCGTCCGTTGCCCGTGAGAGCTGCAGCAGCTGTCCCAGCCGCTGCATGGTCTGTGGGTGCAATTGCTCGCCCGTACCGGACGCAGCCCGCCGGCCGATCTCTGGGGGCGTAAGCTGTGAGATGAAGATGTGCAGCGTCACAGAGGCCCGTTGGGCCAGCGTCAGGATCTGGAACGGCAGCAGATAGAATCCAGAGTTCTTCGAGGAGATCCCAAAAAGCTCTTGTACGGCATCAGGGAGGTAGGATGCGGGGAAGAACAAGGCCCCGGGATGAGTGAGGAGAGCCAACTCCAGGATCATCAGAGCCGCAAAGGTGAAGAAGCGCCACTAGACAGCCCCCGTTAGTAGTTACTCTGGTAGGAACTAAACCCCCGGAACCACTCACATAGCGCCCCCATTCCGACCACCAGGTGAAATGTAGAATCATGATGGTCACCAAACCCCCGATGTACTGCGGGGCAGATCGCTGCAACCCGGCAAACATGAACTCCTGCATCGTCTTCTTCTCTCCCCAACCGAGCATACTGGGTCCGAACCGGTCGTAGGCAAAGCGTCGGACGGGATCCAGCAACGTGTCTTGCGCCAGCTTCAGGTAGACGAAATAGTCGTCGGAGCGCAGCCCGTCGCCGGAAGCAATCTTGTCCGGGTGGTGCTGGGCAGCCAGCCGGCGGAAGCGCGATTTGATTGTCCGTTCATCGGCCAGGGGCGAAACGCCGAGGGCCTTGTAGAAATCGCCCGCGATTTGCACCCGGTGAAAGGTCTCGTAAAGCGTGTAGAGGAGGTAGCTGGTGACCACCAGGATGAAGATGCGACGACGGTGCCGCGCGTAACGGGGAGTGCCAGGCTGAGGTCGCGGTTCACCAGCGCGAATGGTGAGCCCATAGTAGATACTCTGTGCTATCGAGGTGGCATACTGTCGAGGTTGGCCTGTCAGCAACCCAGCTCTGCGTTGAGGAAAACCAGCAAGCAGTCTCCGGGAGACGGACACCTGGCGGCACACGGGGAGAAGACTCACGTTTGGGAGGACAGCCCATCCCATATAGGACAACAGCGACGCCATGGGCGAGGGTACCGAAATCCTCTATGAAACTATAACACAAGTATTCTCCATACAATCACCCAGCACAGTCACATCCAACAAGACAACAGGATCGGAAAGTGTTTACTACCGGGTCAAGTACTGTACCTCCCGCTGTCCCCAGCGGTTATCTCTCACTTATCTCTCACCGCCCCATCCACCGCCCGAACTGAACCTCCCCGAACAGGGAAAAACGGAGAGGGAAAAAAAACTGTAGAAAAAAAGTTTCTCGACATCGCAAAGGTCCCGCCATCCGGCATCCGCAGACTGCGACACAGCGCATCCATTGCGCCTCACACAGTCCCAATGGCTATCGACGCAATGGAGATCGACTCGCACATTGCCTCCCCGGCAGCGAACCGCTCGCCGGAGAAGGAACGCAAACGCAAGCACAAGGACTCTTCGTCCCCATCGAAGAAGAAGCGCAAGCACACGATCACGGATGAAGAAGCGACTCCGATGCCCATTCGCGAGAAGAAGAGCAGCAACAGCACCAAGAAGTCGGCCTCATCCAAAAGCCAGAAAAAGACCACCCCCGCCGAAAGCTCCCCATACACCCTCACCACCGCAACCCTCTACCTCCCGCTGTCGCCGATCTCCATTTCGCCGACGCACGCGCAGGCGTCGTTGATGGCCGAGCACCTCTCGCCGCTGCTCCTGACCTACTACCCGCCTCTCCAGGGAATCGTTCTGGCCTACTCGAACGTCACGATCTCCAGCACGCCGCCCAACAGCCCGGAGTCGGCCGCCGCCGCCGCAGCGACCGAAGACCACCCGCAACCGCTCACGCTGGCGCGCACCGCGGGCGAATACGGCGTCCTGTACGTCTACCTGACAGCCACCTTTCTGGTCTTCCGGCCGCAGCGCGGTCAACTTCTGGAGGGGTGGGTCAACGTACAATCGGAGGGGTTCCTGGGCGCGATCGCGCTGAACCTGTTCTCCGTGGGCATTGAACGCAAACGGCTTCCCTCGGACTGGAAATGGATTCCTCCAGGCGACGAACAAGAGGACGAGTCCAGCACCACCACCACCAATAACACATCCGCCAACACATCCGCCAAAACCTCCGACGCAACCAACCCCACCTCCACCTCCTCCGATGATGACGATGACAACTCCGAAGACGAAGAATCCGACACGGAAACCAAGCCCAAATTCGACCCCGCCCTCGAACACTTCACGCCCGTGACGCTGGCCTCGGACGCCAACCCGCTCAACCCCTTGAACTCCAACCCCAGCACCGACTCGACCCCGACGACCAACGCCGCCGTTGTTGAAGATAACAACGACGACGACGACGACGGAGTAGAAGGCTACTTCCAGTCCGTATCGGGCCACCGCGTGCGCGGCACAATCAAGTTCCGAGTCGTCGACATCGACGTGATCCCTGGCTCGGAGCGGGATCGCGGCTTCATCAGCATCGAAGGCACGATGCTCACGCCCGAAGAAGAGGCTCGGGTGCTGGAGGACGAGCGGAACGGGATCCTCTCATCGGGGCTGGGCGGTATGGGTACCCCGCAACGACGATACGGGAGCGTCGATGCGCCGTCGGTCTCGTTCACCGTCCCGCTCAGTGCCGCCAAGGCAGATCGAGTAGATGAGCTTCGTGAGGATGACGACGAGGGGCAGGGAAACGCCACGGCAGCGGCGGCAGCATCGGCAGTCGACACCCCTAGCAAGAGTAGCAGCAGCAAGCCCAAGAAGGAGAAGAAGAGCAAGTCGTCCTCTTCTTCGGCGTCAGCAGCCGGCTCGAAGAAGGAGAAGAAGGAGAAGAAATCCAAGGCCTGAAGTATGCTTCCCTAGTTCATCGTGCATGGTGGTTCACTTGGTCCCGCGGATATATCTAATCAGTGGAATGTGATGTGCCTGAGCAAGAGGATATCCGAATCCCGGACTCGACTGCTGCAGCTTCTATGTTTCTTCTCTCCTTCTGCGGGTAGGACGAAGGGAACATTGTTGATATTCCCGTCGTTTTTCTGTTCCATGTTATATACTTCATCTGTGTTGTTTCGATGCTCTATGCTGTTTTGAGTTTTCTTCCTTTTCTTTTTCTTTCTTTCCCTGTATCTCTTGCCTGGCGTTAGATGGGAGAATCAAAATTTCAGTTTCGATCAGTCATATACCATTTGTTCCGGGTTGTATTTGTTGGGTCAGCCAAAGAATCAAGGTGCAGAAAATAAATGTAAGGTTGATAGTTACGGATATGGGTTCCCTGATCGTCAAGTATATCACATTACTAGATCCAGTATGCTCACGATCAGGCAGCAATTTTGGTGCTCGAGGTGATGCGCCTTGCTAGGTATAAATGTACAATATGCTCTGTGCGGGGAATATATATTTCCAATGGATTTACTCGACGCCAACCCATCCGACTCCAACTTGAACATTTCCGATTTATTTCTCAAATCGCAAATAAAAATTCCTTCTCTGTACACGAGAACATATATGTTATTAAATAGATCCCTAACTAGTAAACTAAATTCTCACGGAAGTAGGAACATCGACAGCCAAGACGTCCGCCCCACCCTGAATCTGCGACTTGGTCGGCATATTCTTCCGCCGCATCAACTCCGCACACTTGACCATGACCGGATCCATACCCATCGTCGCTACGGCCACGACCGTGTCTCCCTTAGTGTAGTAAGCCACGAATTTGGCATTCTCGGGCTCTCCCTGCAGGATCAGATCGTCCCACCCGTTCACGGTGCTGCCGCAGTACCGCAGCTGGGCACCCAGAGCACTCCAGAAGATCGGAATGAACGCCTTAGGCTTCAAGGACTGCAGGGATCCAGCCTTCAAGCTGTGTGCGATGGCGCGGGCCACGCCTCGACCGGCATTCTGAGCCACGTTCCAGTGCTCGATCCGGGTGTAGCTGCCCTTATCCTGGTCAGCGCCAGGTCCGTGGTATGGGTAGGTGGCGATGTCGCCGATGGCGAAGACATCGTTGTTCAGACCCTTCACAGCAAAGTGCTCGTCCGTCTTGATTGAACCATCCTTCTCCAGGCTGATGGCTGGGTTATCATTGAGGAAGTCGGTCGCGGGACGCACGCCAACTCCCAGAATCACCAGGTCGGCTTGCAGCTCGGTGCCATCATCGAGATGAACAGCACCAACCTTGCTCGAATCAGAGCTCGAGGGGGTCGCTTTAGAGACACCCACGTTCAGCTTGAACTTGACGCCCGCCTTCTCCAGGTTCTTCTGGAATATGCGGCCGACCTGTTCACCCATGACTCGCTCCATGGGGGCCTTCTCCATGCCGACAATGGTGACTTCGTTCTCCTTTGCGAGGCAGTTGCCCACCTCCATACCGATGAAAGAACTGCCGATGACGACTACCTTCTTGTTCTTCTGCTCGCTCAGCGCCTGATGAATGGCCTGCACATCGGGAATGGTGCGGAGCACGAAGATATTACCGAGATCTTTGAATCCCTCCAATGGGAGGGTGCGCGGCACACCTCCCGTGGCCAACACCAGTTTGGTGTAGGGGTGCGACTTGCCGGACTTAGTGGATACTGTCTTCTTCTCAAAGTCGACGCCGGTCACTTCATCGTGGGTAACATCGATGGATGCCTCCTTGTACCACTCCTCAGGTCGCCACTGAATCTTTGCTGGGTCGGCGATCAACGCCTTGGACAGCTTGGTCCGATCGATAATGAGATTAGGCTCCCGGGTGATCACGGTGACGGCACCTTTGTATTTCAATTCGCGGACCGCCTGGATGACGCCGAAAGTACCACTTCCCCTATAGGTTGCAATCCCCGTTAGCATCCGCCGTCGTCGTACAGATGAAGGATAACACTTACCCGCCAACAATGACCAACCTCTCCGCGTCGGATGCACTGCATTTCATCACCGGATCTCGCTGAGCAGACTTGATGTCCGACTCCTCTGCGTTGATGTAAACGGCACCATTCTGTTCGAACACCTCGAATTTCTTCAAGGCATTGGGGGCCGGAGCATCTTCGACATCCCCGGTGATAACGTTGAAGCAAGCTATTTAATGGCGATTAGTGGAGGGACTCCAAATCCCAGAAGCGATGAAGCTTACCTCCGTGCCAGGGACAAGTGATGCGACCCTCAGGAGCTACGACACCGAGTTTCAAGGGTGCACCGTAATGGGTACATTTGGGGGTCATGGCATGAACCTGGCCATCATGGCGAACCAGGAGGACCTTGCCTTCTTCAATGCCTTCCACCTCACATTCGACCTTGTCCAGTTCCTTGACATCTGCGAAGGACGAGACGTTCTTGAGCTTGTATTGTTGAACCATCTTGGCGGGGGAGGAAGTTGAGAAGGGGCGAACTAGCTGAGGTGATGAGCACAGGTGGGGGTGCGATGGGCTGATACGGGCAGAAGCCGAGGATGGATGAATACAGCAGTGGCAGCGACAGGAAGAGACGTTGCGACAACCACAGCGACAGAGTGCAGGACGTGGGGATGGGGATGAAGAAGGAGAAGAGGGAGCAAGGGAAGTCAGAGAACGACGAGCGGCAGCGGCAGAAGAACGTTGGGCGAAGCTCTGATGGAGGGGGAGGGGAGGACGAGCCACCAGGAGGGGAAGACGCATTGAGTACCTTAGTGATTGGAGCAATTACAACAATTACCAGGAACTGGAACTTGAACTGGAACTTGAACTTGAACTTGAACTTGAAGAGGGACGGGAGGGGAGGGGGGATTAAAGCATTGACGGATGGATGATTGAATGTGGTATTATATTAACTATAAGTCCTGGTTTCAAACCGGATGAAGGCGGGAAAAAAGAAAAGAAAGAAGGAAAGAAGGAAAGAAGAAGAGACAGACAGGCAGGCAGACAGACAGACAGACAGACAGACAGAATGATGAAGTCAAGCAAGGAATGAATCCGACGGAAGTTCGAGTCAACAACCTTGAAGTGAACGAGGGAAGGAGCGCCGCGACGGGCCCGCCGGGCGACCCATCGTGCTTTCCCTTTTGGGAATCCCAGCTCGATGACGTCGCCAACTGTTGCGAGCTTCTCCGCCAATCAGCAGCCAGCTATTGTCAGAAGTGGGAGGGGAGCTTCCCCACACGGACGCCTGAGTCCACATTGAACTTGATGCGTTCTACTCTGTCATGCTACTACTTGGTAAGGTATCATCATCTGCCGTGAGTTACCTCATTCTTACATTCCCTCATTTATTCCTTCTTATGCCACCCCTGCCCACCAGCCACACGGCGTGAAGTGAAGAAGGGGGAAGAACATTCAATCGTTATTAGTATACATAGCTATCACCACTCTTGTAGGTAGGTAGGTATGTATGTATGTATGTATGTATTGTATGTACATAGTAAAATCATCCATCAGTAGACTACTGCTTTTCATTCCGCTGTCATTCAAGCGTGGTGGACCCTACACCTTTCAACTTGTCTATCACATCTGCCCTCGTCGCCTTCGACGCTGTGGGTTCGACTCCGAACTCACCTCCTCTCCTGACTGCCCACGCAGCCTTCCCAGCGACTGCCGGGTGTGGCGTTGCGTGGGAGGTACATGTTTTTGCACCGACCCAAGCCCTTGCGGCAGTCGCTGCGATCGGCCAAAATCCTTGTCACTGCCTCCGGGCGACACCGGGGGGCTGGACTGTGTGAGATCCACCACAATGGGCCCGGGCTCTGGTGCTTCGGGGGATCTCCGGGGTGGCACCACCGCCGGAACCATGCTGTCTGGAACAACACTGAATAGGGAGGATTCCTCCGTGCCCTGCCACTTAGACTTCTTCGGCGACGATCGCTGGCCTGACGGTGGCGTGGAAGACGATCCCATCAGAGATTGAAGCTCCATTGTAGTATCAGCCGCGGCCCCAACGCCTTCCGATTTCTGAGAGAAGTGCTCGGGCCCATCTGCCTCCCGAGCCCTGTCGATCTCGAAGAGCGGATTCGGTACCATCGAACTCGTCGACGACCGCGAGCACGGTCGGCGCTTTTCGCCTCGCACTTGCTGATTAGAAGGCGGAGAATCGTTTCCCTCCCGCTTGACAGGAAAGTATTGGCTCATCAGCTGATTGAAGGACAACACGCTGAGCGGACTACTGATCATCTGGAGGTCGTCATCGGAGCCATCGGCGGCAGGCGCCTGGCCGACACCTTCAGGGGGTTGCGTGGAACGCAGAGTGCGGGGGGATGTCTTGATTCGAGGTAAAGGCACGTCGGGTTGACGGTCAGCACCGCCATCGGGGGTTGGTTCGGCGTCGGCGGTAACTTTGGATACCGAGCCCGAGGCCTCGTCGACGCAACGGGTCGGGGGAGCGAGGTCGGGAGACTGGAATCCGAGAAACTGGGGGGACTGAACGGGGCTGGAATCGCCTGCAAGATTCCCCACGGAGTGTATTATCTCCTGGAGGGAAGGCTTATCAAGTCCCGAGTCAGCCGGCTTTTCTCCCACAGTGGGGGCTGATCGCTGACCATCTTCGTCGCCATCGCGCACGGCCGTGACTTCACTTCGCGCCGGACTGGTGATATTTGGTATGACGGGCTCCTCGGCTGCGGGGGAGCTTGGTCGGGTGAGCGTCTGAACGCCAGAGGAGTGAAATGGAAATTAATGTACTGACATGCTGGGTTTCTCAGCATCCCCAGGTCCTGCAGCAGGCGCAGCAGGCGCAGCTCGGAGAAGCTTGGGTTCAATGAAGTCGGCAAAGGAAAGCTCTCGGAAGCCATCGTCCTCTGCCTCCTCGTCTTCGAGGCCAGGCATCTCAAATCCGCTGTAATATGGTTTATCGTCCCCGGCCTCATCCGGGTCGACCTCGGCGATTTGTCTTCTGTCGCGCTTGGCGAGCCTAATCTTGAGGATGTTGTCTTCGTATACGTCATGTATCTCAGCAACCCGATACTCAGACACGGTGGGTTGCCAATTTGTGGCCTTGGACAGATCCAATTGCTTGAAAGCAATGATAGAAGCCCGCTGTAGGTGCTTCTCTGAAAGATCCGGAAGAGTAGAGGGATTGGCCGGCAGAAGAGGCAGATCTTCAGCTGTCTCCTCCACCTCATATCCTGTCCCGTAGTCCCCGTTGTGCTGCTCCGTGTCATCGTAATTGAGGCGATCGTCTCCGTCAAAGTAACTGTCCTCCCAGTTTCCATACTCTTCCTCTCCCGCATCATAGACTTGAAGCTGTTGGCGACGCTTCCTCTTTTTGCCCCAGCCTTTACGTTGTCTGATGATATCGCCGGCATCTTGATCCCAGCGTTGCTCGAACGGGAAAGGCGGCGCTGTGAGCTCGATGTCATCGTGAATACACTCGGTAGCTCTGATGGTCAATTTTTCGTCCCAGTTATTCTCCGCATCACTTCCATTCTCACTCTCTCCAGCCTCGCTCACAATCTTGCGAGGCGGGATGCTATTGTTCTTCGCAGCGAGCTTCTTCCGCGTCGCTTCTTCGTCTTCCTTGCTATGCGGGGTTCTCACCCCAAGAGAGCCAAATAGCATTCGCCGAGAGCTGGCTACATCCAGGCTACGCCTCTTGGACATTTCAGTGTCTTGGACAACATCCAGGGACGTGCCCGTTGCAGGCTGTCTCTTGTGAGTGTTTTCACCAGAAGGCGGCACATTCTCCTTTTCCGAAGTTACAGACACGTCGACGCCGCCAGCTGCCAGATCCTGGAGCAGCTTCTGCCGTCTTGCTTCAAATTCTGCGCGCTCTTGCTCCTTTTTGTCACGTCGGGTTTTGGGATTGACTTCAGGTTTGGCTTCAAGTTTCGTTGCGGACCTGGGTTCGGGTTTGGTTTCAGTGACATAGTACTCGCGTCCATGCACGTCCTCCCATTCGCGCAGGGCCGCAAAATCAGCTTGTGCAGGCAAGGCGCCAAGTTCCTTGAGCTTGGCCAATCGTCGACGCATCTTATTACGTTGATTGCTTTTTTTGGTCCTTAAAGATCCTGCTCCGGGTGGAGCGTTCTTCATGGTTGCATCAACGCTAGTATTCGAATCGGAAACCTCCTCATCCTCTGACTCTGATGCGCTTGAATCATCAGAATCCGAAGTGGACTCATCGTCTGAATCGTCTGACTCGTCCGAGTCCGATGGCGAAACATCCGAGTCGGAAGATGAATCTTCATCTGAGGTGGATTCACTCGTATCACTGGAGTCGCTCGCGGACGAGCTACTGTCGCTGTCATCTGAGACAGAGGCGGCCGAGCTTATGGAGGGAGATCTCGCCTTGCCCGCAGGCGTGTTTTCAGGCTCCAGGGTCGACGATGCCGCTTTCTGATCCTGAAATTGAACCACTTTTGATTCCCTTCGTGAGCCAGCTGCGGTTGAGGTGCTATGGCTGTCCTTTGGTGCATCCTTCTTTGGTGTCGTCGAGGGCGCTCTAGGTTTCGAGCGAAGAGATTGGGCTACAGAATCTCTTTGCTGATTGGCATGGTCTTCAGGGTTGTGCATGGGAGGAAGTTCCAAATCTTCTGCAAGAGCCTTCAACTCCTCGTCAAGCTCACCCTCCTGAATATCGGACATATCAGAATCACTCTCCGATTCTTGATCCATATCATGAACGGGGTGACGGATGACAGTTCCGTCGCCGTCCTCTTCAGGTTCGTGATAATCCCTAAAGTCATCCTGAAGCTCAGTCCCATTTCGTTCCGATTTCTTGCCTGCGGAACCACCGCTGCTTTTAAGCACATCAACTTCAGGATTGGAAAGCAGCCGATTGGATGGTTCCCAGTCCGCGTCATCATCGTAGCGTACACCGTAGTCCCATCCAGCAATCGTGGTCCGTCGTTTCTTTCTGGGCGGAATCGTAATCGCAGGTCGTGATGCTGTAGGTCTTTTCAGAAAAGGCTTTCCGAAGGGAACGCCATCGATGAGGTGTTTGCCATCGCCGGAGATTTGATGGCGACCAGACAGTCGCCTCGCTCGAAGGTCTTCAATTTGCAAAGCACGGATTCTGTTATGGAGAAGTACTTCGGTTAGTGACCAAATAAAGGAAACCATGAAAGCATCAACTTGAAATGGGTGATCCATACAGAACCTCATCGCCATCGCGCAGTAGGCCGTCCACCTCCATGAAATGTAGGCACTCTGAGCCACCCACTTCGACCACATAATCTTCCAAGCCCCACTGTCCGCTGCACTCGTCGTCAAACTGGGCTGATTCCGTCTCCAAGGGAATGACCTCGTTCACATCCTCCAGCAACTGTGCAAATGTGTATCCTCCGTTGGAATATAGCGCATTGGGTATGCGCGTCGAAGTGATTGCGGATGCGGCCGCGGGTATCATGGGGGAGCCATTGGACGCACTGTGACCGAATGGAGAGTGAGGCGATGTTGTCCAGAGAATGCGTGTCACCGGCAAGCCGTGACGCTGGATTGTCAGGTGGAGACGCATGGTGGAATGCTAGAGAATTCCGCTGCTACTTCCAGACCAATGCGATCAACAGTAGCTCATTTGAATAGCGTTTTGATGCGAAGGAAGAAAAATTTAAAGTCAAGATGATAGCCGCCGCGTGCTACTCAACGGTTGAGCGCTGTTGGAATAGAAGCTCAATCCGGGTTCGACACTTCTAAGAGTATAAGGAATTCCCTATTCAGACCTGGAGGGTTATTCAATCTCGCGAGCAGGAGCATAGGACGTCCATGATATTAATGGCAAGAAGAAGTAGCCATAACGGGATGTTGTGAGCGCCGCGCGGAAGAAAGCACGGGGAAGGAAAGGCCGAACGGTGACCGATGCTGTGCCAAAGCTTCCCGAGTCTGTTCCCCGCTAAGCCTGTTTGGTCCAGACGCGGCTCCCACATCATTTACGAGTACTGGGGCTGTACAGACAACTTCTCTTATGATTCTGCGCTCTTAGCCTCTTGTATCTGGATAACATTGGCCTAAAGCGATAGAGATAATTTCACTGTATAGACTGTATGTGCTTGCTGTACCTTTAGTCACATCGGAGATCTAGTACCAAGGAAACGGCGGGCAGAGTGCAATAAATGTGTATTAGAAGGCCGGCAGCGAGATATAACAGTGCTGCGAGCCCGGAAGTCATTTTTGAAGAGGTGGATATAGTTCCAAAATCATGCACAGAAACGTGATACCCTCGTCCTAAAGGTAGAGAAGTGAAGGTAGCTACGGGACAATAGGCGCTAGACATCCCGACTTGGACTACGAGGGACCGGTTTCCGGTTAGGAACTCCCAGATTCATAGCGCGAGGCTCTGGCCGAGATGGCCTGCGATTGCCCTGGTTCCCAGGCGGCTGGGTTGGATTGTCCGCTGTTGCCTGATACTGTGGAGGGCTCTCCTCTAGTGGAACGGCCTTGTGTATCTTGAGTACGCTTTGTTGGCGGGAAACAAGAGAGACGGGCGAGCCGGACCGCGACTCTGGAGGGGTTGAAGGCAGCATGTCGAGGGTTTCCGAAGAAGAATTGGCCCCTTGGTTGCCGTACGGTCTCGAAGCCTCAGGTTCCTTTCCAACTGAAGATCTTGCATCAGCCCCAGATTCAAACGATCTTTCGGAGGAGGCACTTGGTGGGTTATACTCTCGACGGGGGCCATCAATTGGGCTGAGAGTATCAGCCATCGCGTCTTCGTAGCTTGGGGGTGCATCGTCGTATCCATCTTCCGGATTCCTTGGCGCAGGTGGCCGGGACGGCCGAGGAGGCATCGGTGGAGGCAAGCCATCATGCAGAGGCTGACTGGAGGTAGACACAGACGGATTGTCAAGCCCATTGGCAGCCATGGCTTCCAAGAGTGCCTGTGGGGGCGCGATGCCCGAAAAGACCTTGACAGGCATGCGCAACGGAAGTACAATAAGTTGAGGCTGCGAGCAATGAGTGTTTGTAGCTAGGAAAGGGGATACAAAGAACAACATACTTTCATGTTTCCCACTGATCCATGCGTAAGCCCCACGCGGACTTCAAGCTCATAGGTCCTGGAAATGTTACAAGTTTCGAATGATGGGGCGACAGTGCTGGGTAGCGGTATGCGATTCCACATGTTAGCATCCAAGGTCCATTCGGTCTCAGCAGGATCTCCCCCTCTGCCCAAGGGCATAGCCATGTTACTGCAGCTTAAAATGACCCAGGTGCCACTCTCAGTCCGCTTGAGATCGTGGGCGAGGATGTGTGTGTAGGAGATCAATTCGACCTGTAACATCTGTAGAAAGATGGTCTCGTACGAGTCGGACAGTTTCTTGACGATGACCCGCATAGGTATGGGCTCGTTGCACGTGAATATCGACGGATTGGGTAATCTTAGATCTGCCGAGACACGGGGTCCGTCAATGGCGCTTTCTCGAAGGGAACTGCTTGACATTTTCCGAAAGAGGCTTTTCTTCTTGGACACGGGAGGGGCATTTGAAAATTGATGTTGCCGCCTGGCGTATGTCTCTTCGCTCGGGTTTCCTGTTCGTGGAGGCTCGATCGGAAGGAAATTCAAGTTCGTGACCTTGTGACACAGCCATTAGTCTCATAAGGACGAGGGCATAGACAGCTACAGTAGGCGATATTGAGAGACATACCGCCCTGATATTCTCCTTATAGAACTGTGGACGTATAACCGTGGCTTTGATGTAGTACTTGATGTCGGCCATTCCAGGGAAGCCGCTGAGAGATGGTGGAAGCGTCTTCTTCACATGTCGATGGGTATCCTTAGCCACCTCCACTTTAAGGCCGGTGATATTGAGGTTGGTGAGCATGCTGTTATGGAAGTTGCAGGCATTGTTGAACGGAAACTAGGATCTGAAAATCAACATATACTCAGCGCGATGAAGAGAAATTGTAGCATGTCACCTTGAACTTAAAGGGATACTCGTATGTTCCCTTTGCGAATGTATAGACCCTCTCGGGGGTTTTCGAATTGAAGACCTCGGGAGTGGGGAAGACTGTAGCAACCTTATACAAGATCTGTAAGGGGTGTTTAGTATCAATGTATTGTCGGCGATCTACGAGGTGGGGTTGGAAGATGGTGGAGTGCCGCACCTTATGGACCTCGATCTCCGTCCGCTTCTTGTCTGATTGTTCATGATGCGGGTTTCGTGGACCCGACAGACGCGTACGGCTCTCGCCTTCCAGCTTCACCTGAATTCCTCCTATGGCAGCCTCGGAAGGTAGGTTGAGCACCACTTTCCCGACGAGGAAGTCGAGGTTAGTGAAGTGCTTGTGAGGTCGGTCCAAGTGGATTGTTACGGACATGGCGAACCGTGCGTAAGCCGAACCCAGGTGAGAATGGCCGACACCAGAAACGCACAATCACACCTTGTCAAGACCGGGATTGGATTGAATCAACACAGGAGGGAGACAAAAGCAGAGACCACTCGAAGAAAGTAAATACAAGTGATAACCTTACGACAAGATAATCAGAACACTGAAGGTGGGGAGATCGGAGGGGGGGTGAAGGGGGAGAAAAAGAACAACGGGAGTTCGGCAGAACTACAGGGAATGACGTTAAGTCCAGGGGGAATAAGAAAGTTAAGAACTGCTCCCGTGGGGCAGTCTTTCAATAGCTCTCGGCGTCCTCGGAACAACAATGTGAGGGAGGGAAATAGATCGACAGTGGAGATTGACCGATGATTTGAAGCCGTCTGATTCGATTCAATAATTAACATCTGGTCAAATTGTAAGTGCCTATTCCTCCTTCCATCCCGCATCCTCAGTGAGTGTCAATAGATGAAAGATCGACTCGCAGGGCTGAGCTGTTCGAGTCTGGGCCGAGAGTTGGACTCAGCCACCCAGCGCCGTTGCACCGCCACCTTCGTTGGTCTTCTCTCCGCCAATCGAACACGAGGTACACAATATACGATTGAATGCACCACCATGGGCCCAGCCGTAGAAATCGTGGACGTCATATTTCGCATCTACCGAATTGACTGCAATGGGTGCCGCCAAGAATATCTGCTGCAAACCCCAAAGCACTCGCCCAATGCCTTCTAGGCATCAGGATTTCAGACAAAGAGCTACTTACTGCACAGCGCCCTCAAAGGCCTTCCTTCGCAAGCATATCTAGAATATCACTCTCATTAGTCACACCTTTCAATAAATAGTCATGGTTCGACAACATTGTGTGTGGAGTGATGCCGGCACATCTTCTACATACCAGCAATATCAAGATAGAATGCAATTGCGTTGAATCTAACTCAGCATCAGCCAACGTACAATCGGTCAAACAAGTCGAATATGATCATGGCTGTGAGGGCTCATCACATACCTTAGCCTGTTGCCCGTCATTTCACCAGCCAGCCATTTCAATCGATTGGTCCAGTTGATCAGGTCCAAGTGGCTCACCCCTTCCAGGGTGCCCTTGTAACCCCTTTCTCCCCCCCACTTGCTGCTGGCAACGCTAACAAGCCCATCATTATACCCCTCGACTTGCTGTAAAAGACGATGAGACAGACGGAAGACGGACCAGAAGCTTGGCTGCATTGATGCGCCATAGGAGAAATACCTGCAAGAACTCAGCCTTTCCGTAGCACTTACGGGGCAGAACACCTACCGAACATCGTCTACATCTGGAGTTGCAGGATTAAAGGTGTTTTGCATGTAGTCGCGAGTCAGTTGAGCAAACGCCCCTGACTCTATTCCTAGTCTCTCAAGGGCATAGTACAACTGAGCCAAACGGTCGTCTTTGTGTACTGAGTGTAAGCTTCGTCCTCTGGGAAAATAGTTGGGTCAACGAACCACCGATCTGCTTGAGGATATAGTCTGCAACTGCAGAGCCTGAGAAGCTAATTAGCGCACTGCATTGCTTCGCTAAGTCATACATACCTCGATGAGGCGTAGCGATAGTAGTCAAGGACTTGACCTTGAAGTCCGTTGGTCTGAGGTGTGTAATCATATGTCGCGAATCGAGACCCCTTAGTTGTCTATCAGTACGTGACTGTATGAGACAACTATATGTGGTTGAATTGCCTACCCCTATATCGCAGTGTAAACAGGCAGGCTCCTACGACGGCGGTTGATCTATCAGGCTTACCATGCTATGACTGTCCGATATTAGATAAAAGCATCAGAGAGGAAGATGAAGAAATGAGATATGAGAGCTTACGCGATAATGTTCACTTCTTTGCCACGGGCTCCAGCCGCGATATCTTTCGCTAATTCCTCGGCACGCATTTCGATGGACGCCGACGGAGGTACTGTTGCAGTGATGACTTGGACTCCCTTCATCGACAGTGCATCCTCAATCCCACGCCAATACTGGACACCAGGAAGATAAGGGCCGGCAAAACGCAGCGTGTCAAACCCGAGAAGTCCATGCGCAAGCACGACGGGGTGCTTCGGGGTATCTGGTGAACAGCAGGTCAATTTAGGCACGCTCACAGGCTGTTATTAACAACGTGGCGCGACGGAATTGATCACAAGCCTGTAACTCACCATATTGTTCTCTGACTGCAGCATATTCGTCTCTGATAACCTTGCCCAGGTCTTCCAAGCGCGGATCAAGAACATCAGACTCTCTACGCGCGGAGGAATGAAAACCCCGTGAGGTGGAACGACACTTCAAATAGGAGGGCTGGCGGACACGTCTCGCGTTACAAAGAGAGATGCTCCTTGCTGTTCGCAGAAGCGCGACAGCAGCTCTCATTTTATTGCGCTTTTTGTGGCTTATATGTACATACAGTACAAAGTAGTAGAAGTAAAAGAAGCGATGTATACACACACCCACACGATGGGCGGCCGCACGCCGAAGAATGACGCAACAGAGGCCTGTTTGGGAGTTGATGCCTGAGGCCTATATACTAGCAGAGCATGTCATCAATGTTGATCGACTAACATTATACTGCGAGAGAGCCTCTGAAACACTTACAATGTATCTCAGGATATAAATCTATGGATCAGAGCGAAGAGCTTGGCTTGATTACATCGTAATGTTCAACAGCTGTTGAAATGATCAAAGGGTCGAAAGGCGGGGAATGTTTCATGCATGCACCAGGCGATATGTCCAAACCCAATGAAGACATCAATGCACTCCCCCGTCGTATTGTCGAATGAGCTGCTAGACAGCATAGAAAAATGATAGACAGGAGGAATTGTATGATCAAATAGCTAAACAATATTCACAGGCTGGAAGCAAAGAACCCAAACATTGATGAACCTTCACACTGCTGCAGGAAACACCAAATCTATGCCTTGACCACAATCTTCTCCGAGGCCTCAGGCTTAACGTCAATCAGCGCATGGATGAGGTCCTCCACAACCTTGCTGCCTTTCTCGTTGCCGGCATCCTTAATCTCCTGGAGCTTCACTTCCGCCTCCTTGTTCGCATCCTCCTCAGCCTTCTTGTATCCGCTCGAGTGCTATAGAAGACACAGGTACATTAGCTTCTTATCTGTACAGTATTTGCGAGCCACCCCTAATCGCGCGACCATTGTGGAATCGTATGTGTATACCTCAGCCTCGAACTTCTTGAACTCGTCCTCCTTTTGCTTGCGGTACTCCTCAATCTCCTTCTGAGCCTCGGCCTTTGCGTCCCTTATCCGCTTGGTACGGTCTAATAGGGAAGTATTAATGAGTGGCTGCGGTTATCGGGGAGGGGTTGGGACAGTACATTCTCTAGCTACAAGATGCGATACGTCAGCATACGGTGGTAAGGTCCAAGACCAACACGGTGAAGCTTACCTTGCTGAACAATTTTCTGGGCCTCTCTCTCAGCCTAGAGGGTCGGTGTCAATTAGAAGACCTCATATGAATAGTCATATTGACCTACATCGAGGAGGGTCTGAATGCCTGCGGAGTTCTGAGCGGACTGTCGGGGACAACGTTAGTACCTCTTCCACAGGGAAAGGGGAATACCTCTAGCGCTCACCATTTTGCGGACAAGTCCTCTTGGACTTCACGATAGGCTTAAAAGAGAACGACTCGAGCTGAAGCGATATATCAATAAGGTGGAGTTGTGGAGCTTGTGATGCGCCGTCCAATCTCCCCGACGCCACGAATGACCCCCCTAGGCGGTCGGCGATTCTGCCACGTATCACCGCCATCGTTGATTATCGCCGATTCAAGACTTGGGTTATGTTCGACCTAACCTCTTGATCGGGTGACCTACGAAGTGTTCCCGAGCTCTGTCGAATCATTCAGTACAGAACCAGCAATATGTCTCGAGCTTCTAAGTTGACATTGGCCGCGACCGGCCTGGGCACAGCAGGGATTGTCTACTTTGTGCACTGGGCACAAGAGCAAGAAAAGGCGGTCCGTTAATCTCTTGGTCCCTGAATTCTTTACGGATACTGACTCCTGGATTCTCTAATATCAGTCAATGCACAAGGCGGTCGAACTTGACACGGAGAAGCAGCGCGTTCGACAGGAACGACAAGCTGACTTCGAGATGCAAAGGGCTCTCGAGCAAGAATACCGGAAACTTCAAAAGGTGTCTCCAAGCTTAGACGAACCTAGCGGGACGCAGACAGGCCAAGGACAAGGGCCATGAAGCACTTCTTTGCCCGTTCACCCTGCGACGTGTGATATATAGGCTTAGGTGTTGGTATGTCTCTGCCAATTACAGACGGAATCAATTCTAATCGGATGCACCAGTTATGGCTATCAAGCCCGATGGCAGCTGTACGGTTGTAAGATATACCCAATTTGTACAATAGACAAAGATTCTACACTCCAATCATAACGAATGCACATACTCTAAGAATCATGCAATACTCCACGACAAGAGGCCTACGATACTATGTGACTGGCATGTTGCAAAGAGATCAACAACATAGCATCGGAGTGAATGGTGGATGGACGCAATAGACGGACGAATCGATTACATATTCGAACTTCCGCACGGCGACAGATTGAATGTTGAAGCACCACATGTAGTTCTTATCATTTGGTGACATGAATATGTTTGCTCGGGACGTTAGTTCTTCCGAGTCGCCGGAGTCCTGCGGAAGCCGAAAGATAGGGAATGTTGCAGCCGATAAAAAGGGAGGCCGGTTATTAGCGGAGGCCGGCTCAATTCCGGCCTCATGCAACTACGAAAGGCTAATCAGTCAGATTCGGCTGTCGTGGCCAATCGCGACAAGGACCACATGACTTGAAGCCTTGGCAGTTGGTGAAGTATAAACAAGGTCATGATGTAGGCGGTGGTCAATTTGGGGCACCATGATCGTAAAACTGGTAAGATTGGATCAACTTTTTGTGTAAGATGATCGAAGAACTGTTCGCAACAGCTGATACGTGCGTATCAATTCTCGCGTAGCAGCTAACGTTGAGTACAGGCAGCTGAAGACATTGATATACAATGCTGGAAAGGGAATAGCGTGTCCTCGTGATCCCTGCGTGCCCTGATCTGCCAAGAGTTTGTATAGAGTCGTTGAGCAGGCCTTGGTGACGATATATTGACCGCTGGGGTATTTTGAAAGCACAAGAAGCCATCTCTCAGGTCATATAATCTCTCCAGGGCGCCGAGAAACGGTACTACCCTGTTCTCATGATTGAGTCTGAGGTCTCCACGCAGTTTCCCTACCTCTTTCGTATTGGCGCTTTCGAGGCCGGAATTGATACCGGCCTCAAAATGTTATAAGAATCGCCTGCTTTCCCGCCCAATTTCCAGGCACCAGAACCCAGAGTTTACCAGCTTAGAAGAGTGCAAGGTTCAACACACCGAAATCGCCCCCTTTCCCACATTTTCCTATCTTCCTCTCTTCTTACTCTAGACTTCCGAATCTCTCCATCCCCATCACCACACTGCTATACCTCCATTTCCTTATCAAGCAGATTCCTTCACCATGTCTCCTTCTAGAGTTCCTCTACCAAACAGTACTTTGGACCGTTTCCCCCATATCCATGATAATCCTTCCACCCTTCCTCGATCCTTGGACCCTTTCACCATCACAACCTCCACAGGTTTCCTGCCGTATCTCACCTCCCCTACCAAGCTGCCCTCTGTCTTCCAGCCTTTGATGTCACTGCTCGAACGTCTCCCTGTTGTCAAGCAAGACGGTTCTCCGGGACTTCTCGCTCTATATGAGCTAGGTCCCGCTGTGTTGGCTGAGCTTCCAGACCTGACCGAGGAGATTGACAAGCTGGTGACTTCCGAGGGAGAACTAGATCTGTACATGATCACCGCCGCATTTCGCGACTACTCTTTCCTTGCCTCGTCGTATCTTCTCGAGCCATGCTGGGAGAGCTGGTGCAAGAACCCTGACCAGGGCTATGGACTCGGACGGGACGTGTTGCCCAAGTCTGTAGCTCGTCCGATGTACCACTGTGCCCAGATGTGAGTTTATCTTCCATTTACAAATTCTTGGCCTCATGAGCTGACCTGGAATCAGTCTCAACATTCCTCCTTTCATGTCCTACGCAGCTGCGTACTCACTCTTCAACTACACCATTGCGGACTCATCCAAGGGCCTAACCTACTCTAACTTGCGGCTTGTCCGTGCCTTTGAGAAGGGTCTCGACCCCAAGAGTTCCGAAGCTGGCTTCATTCTGACCCACGTGGACATGGTGAAAGAGTCCAACGGCCTCATCAGCGGAGCACTGAAGGTGGTCGACAATGTCGAGCAGGGTTTACGCTCGGTGGTAAACGACGGGTTCCGCGAGATTCTAGCCTCGATGGAGAAGATTGAAGCCTCAATGGAAGGTAAGAAGCCTCTTCCCTTTCTACTTCCCACCCTCCCTCCTAATTCCCTCTCACAACCCTGATCTAGACATGTGGGCCAACTCCAAACCCCACGACTACCTGTCCTTCCGCGTCTTCATCTTCGGAATCACCAACCAATCCATGTTCCCCAACGGCGTCGTCTACGATGGAGTTCTCGACAACCAGCCCCTCTTCTTCCGCGGCGAGAGCGGCGCCAACGACAGCATGGTGAGTCAACCTATGTGATTCCAAAACCCACCCTCTAATCAACTAACATCAAAACAGATCCCCCTGCTGGACCACCTCTGCCAAATTCCCATGCCCTCCACTCCGCTCACCAAAATCCTTCACGAATTTCGCGCCTATCGCCCCCTCCCTCACCGCGAATTCCTCGCCTACATGAACTCCAAAGCGGAGGAAGTCGGCACCCGCGACTACGCCGTCCAGGACACCGAGACCGCCATCCTCTTCCTCAAGACCTTGAACCATGTTCGCAGCTTCCGGTGGCGGCACTGGCTGTTCGCGCGCGAGTACATCATCCGTCGTACCCCGCATCCTACCGCTACCGGGGGTAGTCCCATCGTTACTGTAAGTTATTCACTTCTCCATCCCTCAAGAATGATGCTTTCTTTCCCGGACAGATACTAATCACAGTTTCTTTGGTCGTTTTGTGCAGTGGCTTCCTAACCAGTTATCTGCTGTCATGGACCTGATGATTTCGGTCTACGATACTTATCTTGCGCCGCAAAAGGGCGGAGGGGGTGCGACTGGGCCGGATGGGCAGACGGGGTATGCTGATGAGGCATACCTGAAGCAGGTAGAGCCGATGATGGAGATGGTCAGGGATCAGAGAGAGAAGTTGGCCAGGGAGGTGGAGAGATGGTGTAAGGAGAGAGGGGTTTGAAGGCGGGTTTTTGGAGAACTGGCTCATCGTATCATACCCAAGATGTACATTGGTCGAAGCGCATACTGATTTAGGGCTCTTGTTGATGGGCACTGGGATTCATATTATTGATATCGATATGAGGCAGAGCGAAGTATTTCGTTTGTACTAAGGTGGAAATCAATGAGATGATCAGGAGATGATGTAGCTAATAACTACTCCTAGTAAATGGCTTTTGAGGATTAATTTAGACTATGACCCTTGATCCAGCGTAAGAAGCACATCAGCTCGGTATAGTAACAAGAGCATGTTGAGTCGACTTGCAATATCAATCTCCGTTGGCAAGCTCGCGACTGAAAGAACCTCGGCATTTTCGGCCCCTCCGCTTTTTTGCCCCATCCGGAGCTGCGCTTTATCTCTCCGCATTTCACCCCGCTGCGTGATGGTGACTCCTCTTTCGCTGAGACAATAAGACGAAAGAAAAACTCCGGGCTCGACTTAGCTCACCTCTTATTGAAGAAGCCAGCCATCCCAAGACATTCCCCACGGACCTCTCCCGTCTCTCAACCACCACCTCCAAAATGCCTGCGCAACCCGACCAATTCCACGGCTGGGTCTCCCACTCACCCACGGAGCCCCTGACCTTCACGACCTTCACAGCCAAACCGTTCGAACCCACTGACCTCGAGATCGAGATCACCCACTGCGGGATCTGCGGCACAGACGTGCACACCCTCCGCTCCGGCTGGGGACCAGCGGACTACCCGTGCGTAGTCGGACACGAAATCGTCGGTCACATCACACGGCTCGGCGCGGCGGTCCCCTCCCTCCCGGCCCCGTACTCCGCCTTCCAGATTGGCGACCGCGTCGGTGTCGGCGCCCAGATTCTCGCCTGTCTGCTGCCAGACTGCGATGCCTGCAGCACCGGCCAAGAGAACTACTGCCCCCGCATCACGGGCACCTACAACGACCGCTTCTACGACGCGACCTTCCTGAAAAAGACCGCCGTCAAGACAATGGGCGGGTTGGCGCGCACATGGCGCGGCCCGGCACAGTTCGTGTTCAAGATCCCCGACGCGTTGTCGTCCGCGCACGCGGCGCCGTTGCTCTGCGCGGGCGCGACCGTGTTCACGCCGCTGAGGAAGTACGGCGCCGGGGAGGGCAAGCGCGTCGGTGTGGTGGGGATCGGGGGGCTGGGCCATCTAGGGGTGTTGTTTGCCAAGGCGATGGGGTGCGAGCGCGTGGTCGCGATCTCGCGGTCGTCGGCTAAGAGGCAGGATGTGGTTGAGGGGCTGGGGGCAGATGGGTTCATTGCGACGGGGGAGGAGGAGAACTGGGCGAAGAAGTACGAGCGGACGTTGGATCTGATCATCTGTACGGTTGACGGGGATGATATGCCGCTCTCGAGGTATTTGAGACTGCTGAGGGTTGGGGGCACGTTTGTCCAGGTCGGTGCGCCCGAAAAACCGCTGCCCCAGGTACTGGCCTGGGCGTTTATTCAGAAGGGCGTCAGCTTGGCGGGATCGAATATCGGGTCACGAGAAGATATCCGGGCCATGTTGGAGTTGGCGGCGCAGAAGAACGTCTTGCCCTGGATCGAAAAACGGCCGATGGAGGAGGTAAATGCCGCATTGAAGGACATGGATGCTGGAAGGGCGAGGTATAGATATGTGTTAGAGAATGGAGAGCCGGACAGTAAGTTGTGAAGGTAGAAATAAACAATAGACGCTAGACAGCTTTCCGAGGACAATTGCCCGATGTGGACATGGATACGAAGTATACGAAGCGGCTGGTGTAGGCAGCAAAGAATTGATTCGGAAGCAAATTTTCTCCTCTATGGGTAAAACCGTCATTATTGGGATAATTATCACATATGCTCATATTACAGGATTGGTCAACCTACCGGCACTTTCAAGCCAGCCAGTATCCATGCGAATATAACACTTGCTCAGTGTTTCCATGTTCTCCCTTCAGCAAGGGATACTTGTGTAGCCTAGCAATTCTTAGAAATCCTCGTACGCACACCATGCAGGTTCAATATTGCACCATAGGATGAAAGCGAGGTTGATGGTGCAAATCCTTGAGCCAGAAGGATGATCTGGCCGATGGATCTTTCGTAATCACAACCGCTCAGTGTGAAGTGTCCCCAAAGGTTCCTGCCATGGGCTGATTGAGCAACGGTCGCCACTGATCATCCAAGACTTGCCAAATAGCCTTGAGAACCCGAATACCCCAGTCGTCAACGAACCATACATCGCGAAGGCGATGGAGGATTGCACAGTAATAAGCCACAATAACAAGCGCTAGTGGCTGATGTTCCTGAAGGAGTTGTACAAATTCGGCCTTCAGCCTGATCGCCCACCTGCAGGCTTGTCTCACAGAGGTCACACCATGGTGAGCGGCGGCCATCAAGTCTGCCAAATTTTCGATCGCGTGCTCATAGGCCGCCGAGTCATGGGCCGGATCTTGAACTTTGCACGCGTTGTTCACTTCGTGTAGTCGGTCCAGAGCCGACCGCTCATCCTCGGGAAGGATATCATCGTAGTCATCTAATAGGAAAAGGGCCCCCCAATCACTATTTCGTATGGTCGATGTAGCTTGTTGCAAGATTTGCTGCACACCGCGGGTCAATGTGAACACCTGCAGAATGCCATTGATGGATGCCCACGGATCGTCCGTTCCTGGGGCGTGGGAGGGATGAAGAAAACCAAAAGTGTAGACCACAACCACACTGGCAAAAGCAAACATGGCTTTGGCATTCGATGCGTTGATGTCGCTCAATTGCTCACGGAAGAAAGCCAGAGCCTGGTTTTCATGCGCCACGGCGATGCTCACGTAGGCCGCACGTTTGACCTCGTCTCTTGTCCGCGCCAAATGGATGGCTGACAGCGCCAACAAGCCGTGCATGAGAAAGGGATGGGATAACGCTTCCTCAGGAACACGGGCCTGCCAAATAGCATCGGTTTTCTCGAATCTCGAGAGTGCCTTATAGGTTGAATTGCACCAGTGCATCATCAACTCCAGGTCATTCAGGTTGAGACGAGCCACTGACTGAGGCTCGTCATCGCCGTTTAATTTCCCAAGGATGCGGAGCGAATTGGCAGTCGTGGAGAAGGTGGATTCGGGTTCCTGAGGCCCTTCGGATCCCGACTTATTCGGCCGTGGACGAGGCCGGGACTCTTCATTCGTCCAGAGCAGTGAACTGGCAGAGTCATATTCGCACAGCGACATGCGTTTCGAGCAGTTGGAGCAAACAGGCCGCAGCTCGTCACATTTCACCCGCCTGCGCTTACATTCGAGGCAGCCATGTCGAGACTTGCGATGAGGGCGTCGGAGTGCCATTTCCTATGGCCATGCCTGACTCCTGGGAAGTTCAAGAACAAGTCATAGGGCGAAAGAGAGTGCGAACTAGGCTAAGATTGCATGTGTCCTAATTAACAAGTCCAAGTTCAAAGCCGTCGGGAAAGTATTTCTTGTCGAGCCCCGCTGAAGAAGCCGTTTTGTACTACATTATGTCATCAACCGTACCGATGGCATAGATGGGATAGTGATTCTCAGGGCTGGAGAATGTATTCAAATTGACTGTAGAGGCTCGGAAATATAAACTAGAAGTGGAGAAAACGATTTGCAAGGTTTGCTGAAACATAGACGTCGTTACGGCGTACGCAAATGTATAGCTTCCATAGCCAGGATAGCCTCCTCCAAAAAACCCTTGGGCCCGAGCAGCCTCCACCGCCAGCACTCCCTCATATGCCAGTGCTAATACTGTTCCGACGACGTCTTGTTTTTTCATACAAAGAAAGAACTGTCGCAAGGACCATCAGATCGAACTGTTGCCCGTAGTCCACATAGAGCTGGAGCGTGCCACTTGCCCCGGGTGTCGCCACAGTGCTCATGAACATTGCTAGAATATTCCCGCTCTGCTCGTCAACCAACTTATAGTTGCGGTTGCTGAGCCTAGTCAAACTGTGATCTTCGAGGCCGACGTGATGGGTCCGCTTCCAAAGAAAAGACTGTCTCCGCGAGTCACCATTCGTTGAAATATTCATTTCCCAACGGTATTTACTGTGGGTTTTACTCTGACCGGAAAGATCCTCCCAAGCCACCTCGCTCGGTGCTTGAGGGTTTCCCAGACCGATGCGAACACCTCGTGAGAAATGATGGAACTTGGCGACTGCCACGATCGGACCCGAGTCATCGACCCCAGAATGGAAAGTAAGGTCTGGCTTCCCTGGTGTCATTTCGGAAACACGGACCCTGTAGAGCTGTTGATCATGCGCGGTTTTCACATTGTAGTGATGCCGCCAAGCTGTGTTGGAGATCTGATAGCGGCGAGTGATACTATCTTCAGTTGGTAGCTTGGCATCCACTGAGCCAGACCCGACTTCGGTGGAAGCATCGGAGTTGAATGAATGTTCGTAAGGAGGCATGGTCATATACTGAGAAATCACATTTTCATGAACTGTAAGTTCATTGTCCGAGGGAATGAAGCCTCTTTATACACCCCAACGGTTGTTAAGATGCTTGGGAATTGTTTCCATTATCTGCCAATCATGGTAAGCATCTCAGGGTTCCCCTGAGGTTGTCTGATGACAAGGTGGGTACGGTAAGGCTCTCGGTGTGCACTCAAAACATTTGAAATGAGAGAATTGGTTGGGCCGTTAAACTTGAACTGGCTCTTGGCCCTTTTCACAGCCTTCAGGATGGAAGATCATCATGGCTGTGCATACGAGCCATCCATTTTTGGGGTAAGCGGGCCGAGCATCTTGACACCTAAGGCGGAAAGTCTCACATGACATTCTCTCTCGCCTCACCGCCTTGGCCGGCGCGTCCCGATCGATCTCCGGCAACGAGCAAGAAACATGCAAATCGGCGTCGCCAATTGCTTCCTTTCGCGCCATTCTGCTGGTTGCGACTCGACAAGCGCATTGAATTCCGTTGCGCATCATCTTATCTGTCTTGCTTTAGCTTCCATCGCCTTTGCTGTTCTATAACCCCCGTACCGGGGCTATGCAATCATAGTCTCCCTCCCACAACTATTTTTCCTGTCAACTCCGCTATCCCACCCGCCCAGTAACCGTTTCTCCTCAGAATTTGTCCTCTTCAGCCATCAACACAATGTCTTGGAAATTTCAGCTTGATTCCAGCCCGCCGTCTACCCCTGGTAAATCCCGCAATATTTTCGACGATTTGTCCAGCACCCCTGCTGGCGCTCCGCCGTCCGCATCGAACTCCTTTACTCCGCATGGCGGGCCTTCCGACTTTGGGAGCTCTCGCATGAGCTCTGGTTCCCTCTTCACGAAGTCTGGACATATGAACTTCAATGATAACGATAGTATCTTTGGGTCGTCCATTGTGTCCAACGATTTCCTTCCACCCCCGATCAAAAAGACAACGACAACAACAACGACGAAATCCTCCGTACCGTCGCAGTCTTTGTTCAGCATCACGAATGGCACACGTTTTGACGAATCCACACGTTTCGAGAAGCCCAGTAGCTTTGCGGAGTCTCAGGTGGATGCAGAGGGAGATGACATTCTGACTGAGGAGGAAGATGAGGTAGCAGATAAGACGGGGACCAGCCTCGGTATGGGCAAGGCGAGCAAAGACGCTGAACCTCGCTTCAGCTTCCTAGATTCCCAGCTCGGGGACTCTATCGCTCCGCAGCCTGTCTCGCTTGGCCATCGCAAGTCTATCTACTCGAATCCTAGCAGCGCCAAACGTCCAAAGCTCGACGAGCGCTGGGCGGGTCAAGCACCTTTGCGCAAGGGAAAGCTGTCACCGAAAAAGGACTCTGCAATGCCCTCTATCGTGCGCAATTTCGCTTCTCGTTCGCGCTTGGCTACAGTGGATGAGTCTAGTGAATTTGTCACGAGCACGGAAGACGAGCTATGCCGTATGTACGACGAGGTCAGAAAGGCTGAATATAATGGCGCCGACTTTCGCGCCGCCCTCTCGGATGTCTGTAGCCGACTTACAGATGTGTGGAAGTCAGCTACGGGACAGGACGGCCCCTACCAAGAGTCGGACGGCATCGGACCCGGTGATCAAGCTCCGAACGTCGTCAAGGCGAGTTTCCTCGCTTCGCTCCTTCTACAGCTTCATCACCCCCCTCGGCCAGTTGATCGACCGGGTCAATTGAACCCTTTCGCGACGCGCAACTTGTTACTGGGTGGTCCGCGCATGACATCACCGACACCTATCCCTAAACTTCTCATTGACTGGCTCGATGCCAACCACATTCCTCTTGCGTCGGAGTTGCAAATATTGAAAGAGCTCGAACCCAGCCCCACTGCGTCATCAAGCTTCTGGGATTTGCTCAATGCTGCTGTTCTACGAGGTAGTCTTTCTATAGCCGTGGAAATCCTACGATCTGCCGACTTCAATTACGCAAGATCAGCGTTAGAAGATGGCCTACCGCAGGCGGGATACCGTGGGACACAGCTGCAAAACATTCAAGGATGTGTCAACAAGGCTCTTCAAATCCTTGAATCATGCCCCGCTGTTTTACGCGATGATTGGAATGTCAAAGGCACCGAATGGGCCTTGTTCAGAAAACGGGTGTTGACGGCCGTGACCGACTTGGAGTCTTTCGCCGAAGGCGAGGAAAAGCCGACACCAGAACCGCCTGTCCAGGAAAATCGCTTCCAAGCCGTCAACTTTGGGCTGAAAGCGACTGCTCCCGCACAAACATTCTCCTTCACCCAATCTGCTCGTATGGCCGAGAGTAAAGTGCCCTGGACAATCTACCAGAATCTTCGATCCATGTACCGCATCCTTCTTGGTGATGAAGATGCTATCATGGACAACTCACAAGACTGGCTCGAAGCAACCATCTGTATGACCGTTTGGTGGGGCGGTGACGACGACGAGGAGGTCGCTAGTGAGCTTCCTCCCACTAGCCTCAACCCTTTGTTCTCTCGTCCACCTAGGAACACGTCGCCGTACCACGTCGAAGATGCATACCTGCATCGACTTGACCTGGCTTTTGGCCATGCAACAAGCGCGGAAGCAGATGATGCTAGCTTCCGAGTCAATTCACTCAGCAGTCTCGAGGTTGGGCTTGCCTCTGTCTTTGAAGGCAATACGGAAGGCGTGATCGAGTTGCTGCAGACATGGTCATTGTGTGTGTCGTGCGCCGTAGTCGAGGTTGCGTCTATGGGGGGTTGGTTGGACCCCAGAGCCAACGGACCAAAAACTATCCCTGGCTTGAGCGAAGACGACCTGATGGTTTTGTCGTATGGTCAAGGTCAAGACGGCAAAGCGACCAGTCCCCGAGTGAGCAAGAACGATGTCATCAGTGCTTATGCATCTGGTCTCTTCGAACGACAATCAATTGAGTATAAGGATGGCACTCGCGCTGGATGGGAGGTAGCTCTCGAGGTTTTGAGCCGCTTGGACGACCGGGACAAGCTGCAAAAGAGTGTCTCGGAGCTGCTGGATAGGTTACCGCTCAACACGGCAGAAGAAGTTGATAAAGTGGTTTTGCTCTGTTCCGAGCTTGATCTGGACAATGAAGGGCGGAAGGTCTCCGAGGTTTGTTCCTCCATACCTATTCCAATAAGCTGCTGCTAACATACTTAGCGTTTCGGCGATGCTACCGTCTCTGACTCGGAGGATTACGGCCTTGCTCTCTTGTGCTATGCTCGCGCCCATAACCGCCGCAAGGTCAAGTCCGTGGTTGACTTGCTCATTTCATACAGTCTTGTGCAGTCTCGCGCCTATCCCGCCTCGAATGACCTTGACGAGCAGCTTGAGTCTCTGATCCGTGACCCTGGTCGTTGCTTGGCAGCCATTGCAGGATCCGACGAAGATGCGGCCAGTATCCTCCAATACTACTTCTCCGGATATGCGACGTTACGGCGGTACTACGAGATTCGCGACGAGGCTGCGAATCTTAAAGAAGGCCAACAACCTCGCTACAAACCTCTCGCCAGACGGCGTGCGGCGGCACAGTCTCTTGTCGCAGTCATCAGCAGCGCTGCAGACAGTATTTATGGCGGGCTTTACGACCCAGACCGTGACTCTGCCGTTCAAGTAGATGGTCTTTTGACCCTACTGGGCGAAGCTCTTCCCTTTATTGACCGTAAGTTTCTACTTCCTCATCCCCAAATCAATTCTCATTTCAAAATCTTACAAACTTCAGAATCAACCCCTATCCTCTCCGTCTCCCAACAATTCACCATTCTTTCTGCGATCGAGGACCTTCAAACCGTCACTCCTCGCGTCTACGCCCAATGCGAAGAATGCTTCCGCTCCACCTTGATCGAATACCATTCTTCCAAGAACGCAAACGCGTCTCCGTCGGCTGACTCCTACGTCCTACCCCCTTCCCCGCGCGCCATGCTCAAAAAGTCCGTCTCTGGTCTCAACGCCTCCAGCACCTTCTCCTTCATTGGCAACGAGATGATTGAGTCCGCGCGGGCGCGATCAGGCTCCGGCTCTGCCGGTAGCTCGGGCGTGCTTGTGCCCCGCTTGAACTCCGAGAAAGGCAGTGCGTCTCACGAACGAGGCTGGGATTGGCGTGCTGGTTTGCCGGATGATGTCACGGGCGAGGATATCATGCGAGTTCTGCGGCTGGGATTAGCTAGAGGAGTGAGTTTCGGTGGGCTTGGGTCGATCTAATTTGTTGATCCGTCATGGACAAAGAGACTGAGAGAAAGAGAGTTTGAGAGGTGGGCAAGTCAGGGGAGCAATGTATCCTATGATATTGTATTTAAGGCATATCTGGTGCTGTGTAGAGATAGGGCAGTAAGCTACCGCCTGTCTCACTGCTCTTCTGGGCGACTAGGGACTAAAGAGAAACGTCCATGAGGAAGAATAAGGAGCCATGATTAGCTAGCTCATCTCGATCTTGTTATATGTACCGTGTATGCATAATGGGTAGGTGCACGGAGTTTAATCATTTCAGAGTTCACATGTTCTTCATCTACCAAACCAAGAAGCGGATTTGCTCATAAACCTGTCAGTCCGCCCACAATGTCCTAAGACCTTACAGAAGGTGACACGATCGACAAACAATAAATTCAGATTATCGTACTGAGTATGAACACAACGCATTATCACCAGTACCCCATCAAACAAAGACAACCCCAGACCCCTTAGAAACCCCACCCACCCCTCACTCGCTCTTCAGCTCTTCATTCCGCCGCAACCGCCGCAACCGCCGCAACCCTCGCCTTCAACGTCCACACCCCCTTATCCGGCCGCTGCAGAATCTTCTCGCGCACGAACTGCATATCCTCCGGGTGCGTACCGCAGAGCTCGAGGTCGAATCGCCGAACAATTGACGCAATGGTCATGTACAACTCAGCGTATGCCAGGCTGTTGCATTTTGATTCGTAGTGGAAGTTTTAGTGTTAGCTGCGTACATGCATTGCATTGGATACTTGTGCCAACTAGAGGCTATCTTCCCAACAGTTGGGGATTGGGGATTGAGAAACGAGCTCCACTCACTTCATCCCGATACAGATCCTGCTGCCCCTAGCGAAAGGCACGAGGTAGCGAGCGAGATTCTCGCCTCTTTCAGCGGCTTCGAGCCACCGCTCTGGGCGGAAGGCGTGCGGGTCTGGGAAGATCTGGGGGTTGCGGTGAATGAAGTAGCTGATTGTGCTGATTGGGGTCTTGGATTAGATTAGTGTGTGGATAGGGTGTGTTGCTGGTTCTAAGGGGGTAGCGTACACCCGGGGGAATTGTGTATTGTTTGTAATGTAAGGACTCGCACGGGGCGACTCGGGCTGGTCGCATGGGCGTTGCGCTGAGGCGGAGGGCTTCGTTGATGATGGCTGTCTGTGGAGGCAAGGCAGGGTTATTAGAATGTTGTACTGTTTGGCAAGCGGGGGGGGGGGGATGCTTTTTCTATGCGCGTGGAGGTACCAGGTATGGCAATTGCTCCAGTTGAGACCATCTGGGCTCGCTTTTAGGGGTGGGCATGACCTGCTTCAGTTCCTCGCGGAGCTGGAGGAACATTGATCTGTTGCGCAGGAGGTGGTAGGTCGCGAAGGTTAATGTTGCGGCGGTGGTTTCGGTGCCGGCGATGAGGACGATGAAGCTCTCGTCACGCAGACGGGCCAGGGAGCGCTCTGCGGGGGATAAGGAGGGATCCGTGAGGGCCTGGTATATCGAGCCGCCGGCGGTACTGATGTGATTGTCGTTGTTGAGCGGCACTTCCTGCGACTGCTGCGCGATCTGTTCGTGCATCGCGTAGACTTGGGCTAACTTAGGGCGAACGAGGCGCATCCATCGGGCAGGAAGAGCTTTGATCATCCGGGGGATGAAGGGGAGAAACCGAAAGAGATGGCATGAGCTGGTGCCTTCGAACATCAGCTCCCAGACCAGGTTCCGCTTGGTTAGGTCTGGGTCCGATAGATATCCGTTGTCCTGACCATACAGGTAATGGGTGATAATATCCCCTGTCAGACCGACGAAGGCAGTGTGCAATGCAATTATCGCCCCGTCAGCATGGGCCCTTTCCAGATGCCATGATAGTCGCTTGACCTTCTCGAGAATGACCGCCGAGAGATCCATCACGGCTTTCTTGGAGAAGAATGGATTCAACGGACCCCGTCTCGCGCGGTGCAGATCGTGATCGATCGTCGCTATGGCGGAAAAGGGAGACGCGAAGGAGGAGACAAACACTGAGTCCTTGTTGCGCTTGCGACTGTTACCGGCGTAAATCTCATCGTACATGGCCGGATCGATGATGTGCACTTCTCGAGGGTTGATCCGGACAATGGGTCCTGATTGTCTTCAACAAGGAAGCTCATGTAAATGATGGCTTCGGGATTGATATACCATATTTCTTATGCATCTTCTCGACTTCCCAAAAGAACTTCCCACCTTTAACCACATCATAATAGAACTCATGGAAGCGAGTAACTACTGCGAGTGGGGGCCCCGGTATCTTGCTTAGAGGGTGAAAATGGAGGCGATAAACACTTCTCAGGATGTAGTAACTGACGATGAGAAGGGAGAGCATGGTGAGGGACATATTGTGTGCCTATATCATATGTCTGTTAATCAGATACTACTGGGGCTTATACAGATGCTTGCAAGGAATTATTATGCAGTTATAGATTATAGTGACTGTTACATGCTTGCAAGGCCATTACGATCCTTGTGTTATCATGTGCCAGGCTCGAAGTTCAACTGGGTAAGATAGAATGTCGACAAGGATAATCGACATTTGTGATGAGTATACCTGGCCAAGGATAGCTTCAAGCAGTGTATCGTCTGTATAAGACCCTGCCGGCCAAAAGCCTGGGCGTTCCACGGTAATACTCATGGTGCTAGTTACCATATGCTTCAAAGAAAGCTCAACGACACTTCCCAAAGGCCACCCAAGTAGAGACATGATCATCCAGAACACAATGGACTTTGAACTTCGAGGCACTGACAGTGTTTGACCTGTCAACCTTTTACAATAATCACCCTTAGCCCAAATTATTGTTAAGCAATTGGCACCTGGCGATGTCCTCACCTTCCTTGCGGCTGTCGAAACTTCCCGCTGAAAACTTTCAGGTAGGTTGGTCAAGTCATCGAAATATTGTCCAAGTTAACTCTGGGACTGTGGGCCCACAGTAAGTGAGCAATATCCTGCAGATCCGGGATATGCTGCCAAGGCAAGGCGCCTGTTGTAAGCAAGAGTAAGCTGCAGACAAGGATAATCCTTGCATAATTTTACCCCCCGAAGCATGTGAAAATGCCAATTGAGAGCTCGGGGCAGTAAATTAAATGTAGATTCAATGCCACACATGCTTTGTGTGAGAGGCCTGCGATCTCGAGCAGATGTAAGCAGAGTACAGCGGCAATGCTAGTAAGTTCCAGTCACATTGCTCGTAGTGAGATTTTCCGGTCTGGTTTGTATATGTTGTATCTGCCGCGCAAAGTTTTCTTAATCATGAGTTGCTCGGGATCAAGGGACAGGCTTGCTTTAGAATCAATGAGTGTGGCAGTGGACTAATGTCATGCATTCGTCCCAATATGTAAGACAATCGACAGCGTTGCTAGTGATATTCGAGTGAGTGGTGGGGCCGCTTCGTCTTATCAATTCATGCATTCATCTAGGCATTATTTGTATCGATGGTTGCCTGTTCAGCCAAATGGAATAATGCGCGCAGATTCAGACAGTCTCTCCTTTGCACCTCCAGATGCAGACATCATCTCGGAGACGATATCCCCATTGAGAGGTGACAAACAAAAACGAAGTAGATATGCGATGCAAGCCAATCTGCTTCTGCGCCTCGGCGATAGACGCAACGGGCAGTCTAGACCGAGATGGCGATTCCGTCAGATGAGAGCCACGCAACACGCTCGATATTCCCACTCGGAAGAGATCTTTCCTTCAGACGTTAGTCGAACCTAGTCAAGTACGAGTAAGACACAAGTTTAATCAACCGTGAAGCTGTGTAAAATCCCGAAGTATGGATGGATGACGTCGGCGCGGATGACGGAAGCCCCTCCATGTGCAAACATTGCAAACTGCATCTTTTACGATGATTTCCCCGCGCAGGAAAGCAATTGCTTTTGGGTTTTTCATCTCTTGCACTCTTGCGCAGCTTGCAATCTTCGTGGTGAGAGAGCTGCTACCTTAGAACTCGTCTCTCATTCTCGTGCCTCGTACCGGACCCTGAAACCACAATCTCATCATGGGTCAAGACGCATCCCCTCCGCAGCCGGAGGGCATTTCCTCGCTACTTGACACGGACTTGTATAAGTTGACAATGCAATGCGCCATTCTCAAGTACTTCCCCGATACTCGTAAGCAGGCGGAGAATATCTTACTTCGCGCAACGGATATCTGACCGATCAACCACGCGCAGATGTCACCTACGGCTTCACGAACCGCACCGCCGATATGCAGTTGACGCGGGGTGCTCACAAATGGCTTCTGGCGCAGATGGACAGTACGTTCTGAGCATGATCAATGCTTTCGCATTCCACTGACTGCGGATGGTCTCTCCCTAGAACTCGCGAATATCCAGGTCACAAGCGACGAGATTGCGTTTCTGAAAGAGAAATGCCCTTACTTCAACGATGCCTATTTGCACTTTCTGACCACATTCAAATTGAAACCCTCGGAGCAGATCGAGATCAGCTTCACCCCCACGGACAGTGACACTGGCAGCGATGAGGACAAAGGTGATGTCGACTATGTCATCAAGGGTCTCTGGGTGGATACCATCCTGTACGAAATTCCGCTGCTGGCCCTGACGAGCCAAGCGTACTTCATGTTCTGCGATAAGGACTGGGACTACAGCTGCCAGGAGGAGAAAGCATTCCGCAAGGGCTGCGCATTGTTGGAACACGGGTGCATCTTCTCCGAATTTGGGTCCCGACGACGACGCGACTATCACACCCAAGACCTAGTGATGAAGGGACTCTCTCGCGCCGCGGAGGTAGGGAAACAGAAGGGCTGGAAGGGCGCGTTCACGGGCACAAGCAACGTACATTTCGCGATGAAGTACAATGTGGTCCCTGTCGGCACTGTCGCCCATGAGTGGTACATGACCATTGCCGCTATCACGGACGATTACGAGAACGCCAACGAGATGGCGCTCCGGTACTGGCTTGGTTGCTTCGGGGAAGGAGTACGTCGTCCGAGCTACTCAAAATTCTTGGTGAATGCAATATATCTGACTGGATGCAGGTCCTGGGTATCGCCTTGACCGACACGTTCGGCACCCCGGCTTTCCTCGATGCATTCCGCAAGCCGATCCCCGCCTACACCAGCGCCGGCGTGGGCGCCGTCAGCACCGCGCCCTCCGGCTCCAGCACGACGGTCCAATCCACCATCCAAAGCGAGGCGGAGACGACAGTCCCCATTTCTGCGCCCTTGCACAACTCGCGGGGCGAGCACCCCACCAAGACATACGCTCAGGTCTACACAGGCGTGCGCCAGGACTCTGGAGATCCCACATACTTCGTCAAGATGGTCCGGGAATTCTACGACCGTGAAGGCATCAAGGAACCCAAGACGGTCGTCTTCTCCGACTCCCTGGACATCGAGCATTGCCTCGAGTACAAGGTCATCGCCGAGGAAGCCGGCTTCCAGCCCGTTTTTGGTGTCGGTACCTTCTTCACAAGTACGTTTCCCTCGCTCTCCCCCCAATTCCCGCTCAACCACTCTGGAGATATAAGCAATCAGCCCCCCACACATACTAACCCAACCCCCCCGTTTGGGGAATTAAAAAAACAGATGACTTCGTCCACAAATCCGACGGCGATAAATCCAAGCCCCTGAACATCGTCATCAAAATCTCCACCGCCGACGGCCGGCCTGCCGTCAAACTCAGCGACAACATGGGCAAGAACACGGGCGACAAAGCAACAGTGCAGAGCGTCAAGAAGAAGCTGGGCTACATCGAACATGAGTGGGAGAAGGGCGACGAGAAGAACCGCTGGACGCAGAAGGAATAAGAGGATGTCTCGCTCCACCCCTCCCTTCCGCCCCTCATCATGGCCCTTTTACTCGACGGCAGTGATTGCATGCTCTTCCCCGCCCCCGGCCTGCCTACCTACCTACATTTATCGATTTCTGGCCCCTAGCTTAGCCAGCGAGCGCGTCTCAAAGCTACCTACCTACCCTCATCCTCCCATCCCCGCGTGTCTTATTTTCGGCCGTGCTTGGTTTGGTTCATGACTGTATGAAGTAGAAAGGTTTAGAAAGAGGAAGAGAGAAATACAGGGATAGATAAGCCTGGTTTATACACTATACTATCCCTGAGACCCGAGAGACCGGGGGTTTAGAAATAGAATGTTCAATCTGTACGGCAGTGGTAGTCTGGAGTTGTCCTCGCTAGTAACTTTTTTGATTCGTCCCGATGTATCAGAACATCTCATCCTCGTCCCCTGTTAACCCTAAGTCCCGATCTAGATCGCCCGTGATATCTCCGGGTGTGAACCCCGTCGGCGTCAGTTCGTGCTGAAGACCACGGCCACTGCTTTCTGTGTTGAATATGCTGAAGAGGTTGTCCCGGTCATGGTCGTCCGAGCTCGCTTCATGGCCCTGACCCTGGCCTTCACCAGGATCTACCCAGCGGAGAAGCTCGTTCGCCCAATCGATATCTATGTCGGCGGATGCCGGGTGTTCGGCTGTTGCTGTAGCTGTAGATTCCTGGCGTTCTTGAGGTGGAAAGTCTGCGTCATAGGCGTCGAGATCAAGGTCGAGGTCTAAGAAGAAGTCCGTTTGGTCTACGATGGTGTGGTCGTGAGGTTGAGTTTGATGGGTTGGGTGGGGTTGCTGTTGGTTGGGGGAAACAGGAGGGTGGTCGTCGAAGATTTGGCTGAAGGGGTCGTCGAAGTCATGTGGAGGGGTGAGTTGGGGTCTCTGGAGAGAGGGACGGGGATGGTTGAATGAGACTGCGGTTGCTGAGGGTGTTGTGTCGGCGGCAACACGTGTGCTTTCTCGTCGGGCTTGTAGAGAAGTGGTGACTTGCGGGTCGGACTGTTTGGGGTTAGGATTGGCGGTGTCGGTTGATTCATGGTCAAGAGGTGGCGTCCATTGATTGGAGGTCCTCCCATCTGCTGAAAGAATGGTGCGGGGAGTGGAGGCAGTGCTTGGTTTGCGCGCATGGTGCTGGGGCATGGTGCTGGAAGGTGAAGGGGAATCAAGCTGCATGATCTGTAGAAGGGCGTTGTTGCAATCGGATTGAACCTTAACTGCAGCTTCGATATTGGCGACTTCCATGTCAGCTGCGGGGTAGATGTCTTTCAGCCCTTGCAGGACCTGGATGCAGCGCTGGAAGTGGTGGATGCTGGACTCGCGGGTTGACGGGTTGCCGGATAACGAGTTCGTCAGATGAGCTACGGCTGCAGGAATGATAACAGTCACGCCGGACTGTGGCAGAAAGCGTGTGAGGCTCAGTTGGTTGAGACCTTGAATGATGTGAGTAATGCCGATGACAGCGTCCTGCATCTTAGTCTGTGCTGTATTGATCAAATCAAGACGGGGCTTGGGCTGATTCTTTTTAGGCATAAAGGCCCAGGGACGGTACAGTGCGCTGGTGGTAGCGTGGTACAGCATTCGTACCATCGCACCGTGAAGAAGCAGGACATCTTCTCCATCGTGGATATTGGTCCTTGATGCAGGAATGAACTGTGCATCCTTCGGAAGGGCGTTCAGCCACGATTCGAGTCGCTGGCTGCATCGTGCCAATTCTGATTCAGATGCTTGTCTTGGGACCAAACTGATTGTTGTTCGGGTGGTTACACCGAATTGGCACTGAGAGGGCGAGTACTGCGCGAATAATACTCTCCCGATGCACTGGCACAGCTTGGCCTTTTCAATGAACATAGTAGCTAGACGCTTTTGATGGGATACGTCCTCGAGTTGACGACAGCGGAACATCTCAATGACTGCAGGATGGAAGGGTTCGAAGTCGAAGTCGTCGAGTCTCAACATGGGCACATTACTTGTCCCCTCATTGACCTGAGTGGGGCGCCTCAGCCCCATGGCAATCAGACGATCTCGTGAGTATAGACTCCACCATATTCGAGCTCTGAGCCTCTTCATCCTTGGGTCCATGTTGGACGTGGACGCATCTCTATTCAACCCTATTGAATGAGCCTGGGTATTGCAGACACCAATCCAATCCCAGATGTCTCTGTGAGGGTTGTTCTGATGATCAGACCAATAGGTCATGAGAAGGAGTGTCTGCAAAATGACGATTCGATCGTCCTCACAGTCCAGGGAGTAAAGGAGCTACCACTTTTGTCAGCCATAGGCAGAGAGCGTGGTATAAGGAAATAGCTGAGACGCCACACATACCCTCAAGCGTGTAAAGAACACACTTCGCGCACTCTTCCGCGTAGCATAACCAGCATCCTGCAGGTGCTTGATATTCACAAATGCAGTGGCTACGAACATGACCGCTTGGAAAAGCAGCAAGCTGATGTTTCCATTGGGGTCATTTTCAGCCACGCGCCTCAGGAATTCTTGGAGGTCCAACACAGGCATGAAGCTGTGCACCCATTTGATATAGCAGCGCAGGAGCTCATTGCGTAGACCGCTCTCAGGAATCGTCAAGGCCCCGCGGAACCGCAAAAACTCCAAGTCTTCCTGAGGAATGCGCGCGGGGAGCGGCTTTAAGAATCGCGGCTCGTCGTCCAGAAGAGCAATCAGCGGATCAAAGTCGGGGTCTATCAGATCTCGCACAGTTGAAACCATATTCTCCAATGGTAGGGAGGGCCGGTGAGCCCGATCCCCCAAGGTCCGCCAGCTCCGAGACGGTATGGCGTCCTGTAGCCAGGGTGCATGGGGGTTGTATCCCAGGCTGTTGCTTCTCTTGGATGCGGGCGGGCTGTCATCCTCAACCTCCGCACTTGGCGGCTTGCGCTTCATGGTTAACATTTTTCGGGACGGGTGGGAAAGGGGACACAGCCAGTAAGCCACAATTAGCCTCTAAGTGATAACTGAGGCTCCGATCGCAGTCACGACAGGATCGGGCTTGACTGGTGCCTGTCCGGTGCAGAAAGAATAGTTTTCTGAAGGTCGGGATATGATGGTTGATTCGTGAGTGGAGTTGGGTGGATAATTGGATTAGATAATCTCTACTTTGATTGCCCCGCGAAGGACCGGAAAAGCCGGGGTGGATTGTGGGGAGACCGCACTAGACCATTCTTGGAACGCCTCGAAGGACCCCGGGCCTTAGGTATTGTACTAGTAGTTACACATATTCACCTTAGTAGGCAGTATGAACGAGCATATCATTAGTTCCACAAGCTTTGTGACTCTATGTAGTGTACAGTACAGTCTAATAGTCATAATCCCAGGCATTCAACCTTCGTGGCCGGAAATTGTACTTTCTTTTCTCCTCGACCAGCGATTGTCTCTCCTTGGCCAGCAATTTCTCCTCCTGCGCCATCTGTCTTTTCATCCGCTTTCTACGCTCCTTCTGGGTCTTCCTGAGCAGCTTCTCCACATTATTGACGGCCGCCTCAGGGTCATCTCTAAACTCCAGGAGATGTCCCTGAAGCTCAGCAACCGTCAGCTGTCTATGGGGGAGTTGCTCGGCGAAATCATAGGCCAATTTGTCGAGATCTCCCGGCGTGACCACGGGCACTCGTTCATCATTCTTAACCTGGACAACATGGCTCAAGGTGTGTAGAGGTAAGTAGAACGCCTTGAAAAACGACTGGATCTGCTCGCGTGCCGCATACTTGAATTCGATGTGCAAGTCCACGCGTCCGGGTCGGACTAGTGCTGCATCCAACTTTTCGGCGTGATTGCTCGTCATCATGAGAATGCGACCCTCTTGGGAATCCACGCCGTCGATGGTGTTGAGAAGAACGGATAGTGAGATGCCATTCAGCCATGGATGACGACGGACCCTTTTGCGTTTTTGGTCTTCCTTGTCGTCCTTATTTTTCTTATGAGTCTCGCTGTCGTCGTTGTCGTCACTGTCATCACTACCGTCGCTGTCATTACCGGAAGCCCGTGACTGTGTGATTTGTGCACAATCCACATCCTCCATCAGAACAATGCACCTTTCGGGCAGCTCGCGAAAGAGTGTCTTGAGCGTAGATTCGTATAAGTATGGCGAACTGGGATCCAACACAAAGATCGGCAACTTGAGATGCCCGGCAATGGCGACACAAAGACTGGTCTTGCCTGTCCCCGGCGGGCCGTAAAGCAGGTAACCCCTTCGATAGGGGACGCCCCGCACGGCGTAGACCGATCTGTTCGTGAGGAATTTCTCGATATCAGCCATGATATCGGACTTGGCCTTCGAATCAAGCACAACGGTGTCAAGTGGCCTTGGCGCACGCGGTTCGCTTTGTACCCACGTCATAGACGCCGAATGGTTGTGCTCAGCCCCGGCGGTCCAGATTTCGATTTTGTCTTTCTTTTTCTCAATCCACGCCCGCTGCGCTTCGGTGAGCAGCTGCTTGAGCATACCCAAACCCCGGTTGCAAAATGGTAATCCCCAGCACGAGATGATGATACGATCCTGGGTATATGACTCCGTGCTAGTGATGCGCTGGAACTTTATCCAGCGCCAGAATTGCCAAAAGAGCCACGGACTGGTATATGCGATGCGATGTATCTGTGCAGAGGGAATGTAGTGTAAGGGACTGTCACGGCGCCTGGCGATGACTTTACTCCACCACTCGTCGAAATTGTCCCCTGGCTGATACTCGGGCTCCTTATCATCGTCGTCCGGGTCCAAACTGGACGATATATGGCACCAACCACCACGGATGAAAAGCTTGTTGCTGGCTTTGAAGTGTTTAGTCCTAGCCATAGATCGGTGATTCATCAACCAATACAAAAGGTATTTGAAGATTTTATCTTGGCCCTGCACCTCGACCGTGCAAGTGAATGAGTCGTGAAGGTACGTCGAGGCAGCTCCTAGTGGCGACACGAACAAATCCACGACGTATCGGAGAGCCATGCGGCTACAAAGGATAATGAGGAGACAGAAACCATAATGGTTTAGGTCAATCTTGAAGTGAGTCAACAAGAAACGAGAGAGAAATGTGTATCCGGGCAGAACCGACTCCAGCATGGCGTCATGGCGCAGTGGCTCGCTTGAATTTGAATTCATGGTGGAGGCAGAGCTAGTGGTAGCTAGTCGTAGTCATTCAGTTGTTGTAGGTACTCGATGTGACGTTTATGCCATGATAGGGAGCCTGGGAGGCCCGTCGGGAATATATGAGATGGATGGTAACGCTGAAATGTCGAGATGGACTGCATCCTGGAACTCTGAGGCGGACAAAGTGCCTTTGTTTGAACCAATGGTCATTTATTCGGTGTCATTCCTCACAACAGACAAGACAGCTCTAAAATAAGAAGACAAAGACCTGGTTGAAACGTTCAACGACGGTTATGTGTATGGAAGGCGTACGCTCTTTATATTCACTTTTAGATAGAGCTTCAGCGAGTCAGCGAGGCTGCAGGACAAGGTTTCAGGTCAAATCAATGGAAGAACAGTGACCACTTCAGAATAACCCAGCCTAGTCAGCCGTAGCCAAGGCGATGACAAGGTCGAATCGTGAAGGATATGTTAGGGAAAGCCTTTCGTTGACCTCAAAATCGTAGATGCTCCATAAAAGACAAAAGGCACTACGTACCTCGTCTATCCATAGGTTGCAAGCAGATCAAATCAGAACGCGACCCAGCAGTGGGTAATTCGGTGTTGCTTTCTCCGCTGTTCACTCTTGGCCTTGTTAATAGAATCTGAGACTTGTTTATGAATTCTGTGGTGGGTGTCGAGCGTGCTAAATGTTAGAACTGCGACAGAACCCCGGAGAATGGTGCAAGTCAGCGAGCGAGGCGGAGACGCCTCTGCCCGTATGCCTCAAGCCCCAATAATTGACGGTCAGATCAATAAAATATTGTCTCCGGATAAGTCATCATCAGCCATTAACTACAGTCTACAGAGCATTCGACACCCGTTTGTTAATACCCCATCGCTAGGTAGCCTGCCTATAGTGTCCCTTAGATTGCCACGCAGGCGAAACATCCAGATCGAGCGAAAAGAGACTTGGAGCACATATCGATTCCAACGACAGAAAAGAGAGATTCCCCAAGAATCATATGGCAGGCTTGCCCATCAGCCAGCGCTGCGAGCCATTTATGCGTAGAATATAATACAAGTATTCATTAACAAATGTCGGGATAATAGCAAGGAAAAATCCGCCCGTATCCAGTGATCAATAGTCGACCCGGTTCCTGGCCCGTCGGACGGCCTTCATTTCACGGTAATGGACGGAGGTTCAGGGTATCCATTTACATACTTCTCGCTCGTTAGCACTCGGTTCATCATGGTAGACCAGACGTTCTGCGCGGTGGCGGAGGTTTGGGTGCGTGCCCGACTTACGGAGGAAGAAGGAGCTCGCCGAGGCTGCTGTGAAGGAAAGCGACGCCAGCCTATAATTCAAGCAGTTAGTGGCTCGTTTCGCCCCGTCAAGCTACAGAGCAAACTGCTGTAGTATAGTACTTACGCCGAAGACCAGAATGCTTCTGACGATGGTAGCGTTTTCGGCGGAGGTAAGTTCCTCATAGGCGGTGCTGAGGAAACCCTTCTGGGGGCGACCGGAAACAACACGCTGTCTGGGGGCCATGATGTGATCGATGTGATAAAAATTGATGGGTTCGACGGTGAAGATGGACGGAGTATGGTATGTCGCAGAAGTGAAGGGAGATGCGGTCGATGGCAGCGCGGAATGATGCCGGAGTCCGAGAAATCTTTCGATGCTTGGCAGCTGCACCTTTAGCTTATCGCGGCACCCGTATCTGCTTAGGAGCTGCGGCGCGACCAGTCAATCAACCAGCAGTAGTTAATGTATTATCGTAACTTACTTAGTCTTGGCCGTCAAGACAAACTGCTACTCGGAATCTCGGTCGGTTACCCATAATTTTGTGTGAATGCTTAGTTCGGGTCGGTGGAAGACGAGATTCCCCGTGCTTTTCACTCGCGCAAGCCGCAGCCATGACGAGCATCGATGAGCTTTTCAAGGTAAGCAACCTACTCGAATGCAAGATATAGCCACAGACATGCCCTGACGTCCTAAGAAACCCTCATCCGCAGCTAGTTCAAAGCGCAAGTTTGATGCCTCGAGAGACCCAAGTTCGTCACCAAAACCCTCTTGTTCGGCGCAAGGTGCTAACTTCTGACGAAGACGAACTATACAAAGCGGCCAAGCTTGACGCAGACGGAGATGTCAAGTCGAAAGGAAAGGCGCCTATGGTAGAAGAAGAGGGCGACGCAGTAGACGACTATGCGGGTCCAGAGCTACCCCCGGATTTCGAGGCTGAAGATGTTCCCGACGACGAGGAAGGCCGCTTTTTCGGCGGTGGTATGGAGCGCCAGACAGCTCAGGCTATGCAATACATTGACCAACATGAAGAGGAAGAGGCAGCGGTAAGAACAAGACTCGTATAAAGCTTCAGAAGGGCGAGTGCTGATATTGTCTTGTCCAGCTGGAGAAATTCGACCTTGCCTGGGTACGACGATTTGCCCTAAATTTCGAGAAGAAGATATCAAAGAATGCAGAGCTCCGTGGAAAATACGAGAACGATCCTCAAAAGTGAGTTTGGGATTTAGGTCAATGCCCATATGGAAAACCAAAACATGCTAAGCTTCCTAGGTTCATGGCTTCGGAGGCAGACCTCGATACTGAGATCAAGGGCCTCTCGATTCTATCCGAACACCCTGAACTATTTGATGAATTCGCGAAGCTAGGCTGTGTTGGTTCGCTCGTGTCCTTACTATCTCATGAAAATGCCGATATCGCGATTGATGCTATCCAAATTATCGGGGAGTTGACAGACGAAGACGTGGAGGCTGAGCCGGAGCAATGGGACACACTTGTTAACGCTATGGTAATTCACCCATGTGAGAAACTAGACTATTGCTGACATTGGTAGCTGGATGCCGATCTTGTCGAACTTCTGGCACAGAACTTGTCTAGGCTTGATGAAGAATCCGAGGTTGATAGAGCAGGGGTATACTACGTTTTGAGTGAGTCTTGCATGTCCCACCATCCCAGACGCTGCTAAGACCACCTAAAGATGTCCTCGAGAACCTGGCCTCGCAGGCGTCAATTGCAGAGAAGATAGGTCAGGACCAAAATGTTTTACCTTGGCTTATATCTCGCATCCAAAAGAAAGAGAGACCTGTGAGTCAAAACCAACAATATTCGGCCGAAGTTCTAGCCATTCTACTACAATCTACGGCCAAGAACCGCAACAGGTTTGTGAGCTTAGATGGCGTCGAAGTTCTTCTCCAACTGCTCAGTCAATACCGCAAGCGTGACCCGGAGAAAGATTCCGACGAGGAGGAATATGTCGAAAACTTGTTCGACTGCTTGACCTGCATCGTTGATGAGGGACCCGGCAAGGATAAGTTCTTGCAAAGTGAGGGTATCGAACTCGCTCAGATCATGCTCAAAGAAGGCAAATTCAGTAAACAAAGGGCTTTACGGGTTCTAGATCATGCCTTAGGTGGTGTAGAAGGTGTAAATGCATGCGAAAGATTCGTTGAAGCAGCATGCTTGAGCACAGTGTTCGGCATGTTCAAGCGTAAGGTAGGTCGGATTTCTCAGAAGAGCTTTAGAGCCGGGCTGACCCATAGCAGCAAGACAACCAGGCCGTCGAACACCTATTGGGCATTTTTGCTTCCCTCCTGCGGTTGTTACCGGGAGGCTCCGCGCCGCGTATCCGTACGCTTGCAAAATTCATGGAGAAAGACTATGAGAAGATCGAGAAACTCGTCAAGCTACGACGGGATTACGCCTCGAGGGTGTCGCCTGTCGAACAGGCCGTTGAGAAAGAACGGAAAAGCTTTACGCCAGAGGAACAAGAGGTCATGGCTAGCGAGTGGCTCTCACGGCGATTTGATGCTGGGCTATTCTCACTCCAGGTTCGTCACTCATGATTGACAATAGTCTCATCCACGTACACTGACACTTTTGCAGCTCATTGACGTGATTCTGGCCTGGCTGTTGGCCGAGGACGATGGGGCCAAGAGAAAGATTGTATCCCTTCTTGCGGACCGCGATGAGGATTCGTCTTTGATCAAGGCAACATTACAAGGTAAGTCGCTTTCATTGTCATTGCCTCACCGTCAAACAAAGACTGACGGGATGTTTAGAGCAAGTAGAGGGTCTTTCGGAGGATGATCCGGGGCAGAAGGATCACAAGGAAATGCTGGAGACACTTCTTCAGTTCGTATGATTGGGATCAATCACCGAGAGATGGGATCAATTTTTGTATAGTTAGCGAATCAGCCATAGGAAGTAATTTGACAATGAAGTCATTGTCATTGGATATGGTAGTCATCGTATGAAACCTTATGTAACACTCATCCCGTGACCCGAGTGTGTTGACAACGATTAGTCGCCACGTGACTTTCTTTGTTCGGATTAGTGTTGTCCCTTGAGCGCCAGCAGCAGCAGGCGGTCGGGGCTAGTGGCGGCTCTCTCGGTTCCAAGTCAAGATCCATCAGCGCCCGGAGACTTGAAGCATCCCAGCTGCTTGCTCCCTTCACCAGTATCACCGGTGGCCTGGGTTTTCTCCTCTTCATCTACTTGAGGCTCCCGGCTCTTTTGATTACTTTCTTTTCTACCGTCCCGAAGCCTCATTCCCGGTGTTCACCCTCTGACATCAGCCCTTTGGCGACGTCGAGTGGGATATTTTCCGCCGGGAGCGTCGCGCCCTTTGCGCTTTCTTTATCGCTGTCAGTTATTTCGCTACGATCGTGACCGATATTCGCCAAGATGGCCGACTACGAAGATGCCTACGAGGATGAGTACTACGACGACATGGACGAGGGGATCACGTCGGAGGATTGCTGGACCGTTATCTCGTCATTCTTCGACACCAAGGGTCTGGTTTCGCAGCAGCTAGACTCCTTCGACGAGTTCATCTCGTCAACCATGCAAGAGCTGGTGGAGGAACAAGGTCAAGTGACTCTCGACCAGACGCTCCCCCCGGCCGAAGATGAAGTTGATCCAGTCGTCGTCCGCCGATACGAACTCAAGTTCGGAACCGTCATGCTCTCTCGACCCTCCGTAACGGAAGGTGATGGTGCGACCACCATCATGTTGCCGCAGGAGGCTCGTCTACGTAACCTTACATATGCCAGTCCTCTCTACCTTGGTGTCACTAAGAGGATCATGGAGGGTCGAGAACGCTTGGTTGCCGACCGGGATGAGGAGGAGATGATTGAGCCGACCGAGGATCGGAAAGCCCATGGCACCTATCTTTCGTGGGAGCAGAAAGAGCTTCCTGCGGATCAAGCTAAGGAGGAGACAGTCTTCATCGGAAAAGTGCCCATCATGCTCAAGTCGAAATATTGTATTCTCAAGGACTTGAGTGAACAGGCTCTCTACAACTGGAACGAGTGCCCTTACGACTCGGGTGGTTACTTCATTATCAACGGAAGCGAGAAGGTCCTGATTGCCCAGGAACGCAGTGCTGGCAACACGGTCCAGGTTTTCTCGAAGGCGCCCCCGAGTCCCACACCTTTTGTTGCTGAAATTCGCAGTGCTGTCGAAAAGGGGTCGCGACTTTTGTCACAACTGTCTCTCAAATTGTTTGCGAAGGGTGAAGGTGCAAAAGGTGGATTTGGCCCTACAATCAGGTCCACTTTACCTTACGTGAAGACCGACATTCCAATTGTCGTTGTTTTCCGAGCTCTCGGAGTGGTTTCCGATGAAGACATCCTGAACCATATCTGTTATGACCGCAATGACACGCCTATGCTGGAAATGCTGAAGCCCTGTATTGAGGAAGGTTTCGTCATCCAGGATCGCGAGGTCGCGCTCGACTTCATCGCCAAACGTGGATCCTCTCAGTCCAGCATGAACCATGAACGCCGTGTCCGATACGCCCGTGAGATCATGCAGAAGGAGTTCCTTCCACATATTTCCCAGAGCGAAGGTAGCGAAACGCGGAAAGCCTTCTTCTTAGGTTACATGGTTCACAGACTTCTCCAGTGTGCTCTGGGTCGTCGGGATGTTGATGATCGTGATCACTTTGGTAAGAAGCGCCTGGATTTGGCCGGTCCTCTTCTTGCGAACCTTTTCCGGGTCTTGTTCACTCGAGTCACTCGCGATCTCCAGCGGTACGTCCAGCGGTGTGTGGAGACGAATAGGGAAATTTACCTGAATATCGGTATCAAGGCTAGCACCTTGACGGGAGGATTGAAGTATGCTCTTGCCACGGGTAACTGGGGTGAGCAGAAGAAGGCAGCCAGCGCCAAGGCCGGTGTGTCTCAAGTGCTCAGTCGTTACACTTACTCTTCCACCTTGTCCCATCTTCGTCGAACCAATACACCCATTGGGCGAGATGGAAAGATCGCCAAACCTCGTCAGCTTCACAACACCCATTGGGGTCTGGTGTGTCCGGCCGAAACTCCTGAAGGTCAAGCTTGTGGTTTGGTCAAGAATTTGGCTCTCATGTGCTACATCACGGTCGGTACGCCCAGTGAGCCTATCATCGATTTCATGATTCAGCGTAATATGGAGGTCCTCGAGGAATTCGAACCTCAAGTGACTCCAAACGCTACCAAGGTGTTTGTCAATGGTGTTTGGGTTGGTATTCACAGAGATCCCGCTCACCTTGTCAACACAATGCTCTCCCTTCGTCGCCGTAACATGATCTCTCACGAAGTCAGTCTGATTCGCGACATCCGTGAACGGGAGTTCAAGATCTTTACCGATGCTGGACGTGTCTGTCGACCGCTCTACGTGATTGACAACGACCCGAAGAGTGAGAACTGTGGCTCTCTGGTACTCAACAAGGAGCATATCAGAAAGCTGGAGCAAGACAAAGACTTGCCTGCGGATCTGGACCCTGAAGACCGCCGTGATCGCTACTTCGGTTGGGATGGTCTGGTGAAGTCCGGTGTGGTGGAATACGTGGATGCTGAAGAAGAAGAGACTATCATGATTGTCATGACGCCGGAAGATCTTGAAATCTCCAAACAGCTCCAGGCCGGTTATGCCCTGCCGGAAGAGGAACTTCACGATCCCAACAAGCGTGTCCGCTCCATTCTGAGTCAACGGGCGCACACCTGGACTCACTGCGAGATTCACCCCAGTATGATTCTTGGTGTTTGTGCCAGTATCATTCCCTTCCCCGATCACAACCAGTCGCCCCGTAACACCTATCAATCTGCCATGGGTAAACAAGCCATGGGTGTCTTCTTAACCAATTTTGACCAACGTATGGAGACGATGGCCAATATTCTCTACTACCCGCAGAAGCCGTTGGCCACGACGCGATCCATGGAATTCTTGCGATTCCGCGAGCTTCCCGCGGGACAAAACGCCATTGTCGCTATCGCCGTTTACTCTGGATATAACCAGGAAGATTCGGTGGTCATGAACCAGAGCAGTATTGATCGCGGTTTGTTCCGCAGTCTTTTCTACCGTACCTACACCGACAGTGAGAAGATGGTTGGATTGACGGTCGTTGAGCGCTTCGAGAAGCCGATGAGATCGGACACCCTCGGAATGCGGAAGGGAACCTATGATAAGCTTGACGAGGATGGCATCATCGCGCCAGGCGTGCGTGTCTCCGGTGAGGATATCATCATCGGTAAGACCGCTCCCTTGGCGCCAGACGCGGAGGAGCTGGGTCAACGTACCAAGGCGCACACCAAGTTGGACGTCTCGACACCCCTCAGAAGTACAGAAAATGGTATTGTGGACCAGGTGCTGGTGTCCACTAGTAACGACGACCTGAAGTTCGTCAAGGTGCGCATGAGGACGACCAAGGTTCCCCAGATTGGTGACAAGTTCGCCTCGCGTCACGGACAGAAGGGTACCATTGGTATCACCTACCGACAGGAGGATATGCCATTCACTCGCGAGGGTGTAGTTCCTGACTTGATCATCAACCCTCACGCCATTCCTTCCCGTATGACCATTGCCCACTTGATCGAGTGTCAGCTTAGTAAGGTTTCTGCACTGCGTGGTTTTGAGGGTGACGCCACGCCCTTCACCGATGTCACGGTCGATTCGATCTCTCGTCTTCTCCGTGAACACGGCTATCAGTCTCGTGGATTCGAGGTGATGTACAACGGCCACACTGGACGGAAGATGGTGGCGCAGGTCTTCTTGGGACCGACATACTACCAGCGTCTGCGCCACATGGTGGACGACAAGATCCATGCCCGTGCGCGTGGACCTACGCAGATCTTGACGAGACAGCCTGTTGAGGGTCGTGCCCGTGACGGTGGTCTTCGATTCGGAGAGATGGAGCGCGATTGTATGATTGCGCACGGAGCCAGTGCCTTCTTGAAGGAGCGGTTGTTTGACGTGTCCGACCCGTTCCGGGTGCATATCTGCGATGATTGTGGCTTGATGACCCCGGTTGCGTAAGTTGACGATGCCACCCTAATGTGCTGATTATGGTGGATGGACTGTGCTAACAGATATTGTGCAGGAAACTCAAGAAGGGTCTATTCGAGTGCCGACTGTGTAACAACAAGCACCGAATTTCGCAGGTGCATATCCCGTATGCAGCCAAGCTTCTGTTCCAAGAGCTGGCCTCGATGAACATTGCCGCTCGCATGTTTACCAACCGGTCTGGAGTGTCCGTGCGGTGAAGAAGACAAGGAATACCATCTGTGTACATCAGTGATTTTCTCTGTTCCTCTTTTCACCCCCGCCTCTCTATATTATGATAATTTCCTTTCTTGTCTCCCGGTGTTTTTCTTTGCTCCCGTGATTTTTCTTGCTATCTTTCCCCACCATTAAAATCTGCGATATCAACCGAAGACTCGACCGATTCGGCGCATTTTTCGGCGTACAGAGGAACCGAGGATTGCGTGTACTTTCTCCTTGTTACATTTACTTATTTTTTGGGCGGAGGATGTTAGGTGAGCAGCGAAGGGGTTGGGTTTTACGATATACTTTAAGTGTACTCGATCAAATAAAATTCTGGATTTGGAACAGTCAGTGTCAATAAGCCGAGCGAGCAAAAGTGTGTGTATGCGTAAGGATGTGCAATTCTGCAAGCCTGCATTCCCCCTCTCTTTGTCCTGCAGTCCTCCCCACCCGGACTGACCGTGATGTCCGTGATGTCCGTGATATCTGTGACAATGGAAGTGGGTATAGCGATGAGAATCCTGTCCACCAGTGAGGAAGCAGACACAGACCCTCGAGACTCATCCCCTCCTCGTTTTCGTGAACTTTAACTTCCACGATGGTGACGACAGTGCAGATGAGAGTGCAGAAGGAAGATGTTATAGGCCAGAGTGGAATGCAGTGGTTGCTGGCGGGCGGCAAGCGACGAATTGTCAATGGTGGGAGGATCGGAGGCGGGCTGGGAAGGAAGACCAATCGAACCCTGGACTTACCCGCGGCTGGAGGTGTGACGAGGTGCAGTGAGTAGTAGTAGTAGTAATTTTGGCAGTCTACCTAGAACCTAGTAGTACCTAGTACACTATTTACTGTACCTCAATTAGTACACTTTACAACTAACTGTACGAGGGTCCAGTAGTAACTTCCTCCCCCCCCCTCTCTCACTCTCTCTCTGCCTTCCTCTTAAAAAGAGCCTCTATCCGCCAGGCCCTCGTCGGCCTTCTTTTTCTTTCCTTTCTTCAGCAAGCTAGTCTTGTCTGTTCTGCCTGTGGTTTTGGAAGTATCCTGTGCACTGGTTGCACTTGCTTGTTTGTTGTTCTGCATCTGCATCTTCATCTTCATCTTCCCTTCTTTAACCTCTTTTTGCATTAACTCCCCTTAATATCACCACCCCCCATTATCAACAAAAATCCTAAAATCATCTCCATCTTCGAGCTGTGCTCCTGGATTTCCCCTTGTTATCTTGCTTCATTTCGCATAGGATACTTCTAAACTGTACAAACTTTCCAACGGTTCAATTCATTGTCGCCGGTCGACGATAGTCTTGTTCCCGCTTCACTTCCAGCTCAGACAAACTTGCTCGCCTTACAACTTAATCTTCTTCTACTTGTTTTTGCGTGTCGAGGACTGGATCCCCGTCAATCTAAACGCTTTGTTGTCTTGCACAGCCCAACGGACCAACAGTTCGCCAATCCACCGCAGCACGAGGCTGAATCGAATTGACTCTGGTAGTCACTTCGCCCCAACAACAAGAGCACGTTCATCGTCGACACGATTATTTATACTCTTTTCCATCATAACCTATCTAATATTCTAGTATATTTCTGGTCCAAGTCAACCGTTCATCGTTGCCAAAATGTCGTCCGTTCAGCTCAAGTTCTCTCTTCGGACCTCCTCCAATGTCAAGACCGTCCACTTGGTCGGTTCCTGGGACAACTACTCCCGCCAGATCCCTCTCTCTCGGGATGAGAACAAGTCCGGCTCATGGGTGGGCAAGTTCCGCTTCCAGACTTCCATGCTCAAGCTCGGTGGCCGCTACTGGTACTACGTCAGTGACCCTTGTCTATTGCTTACTGCCCGTCCACCTTACTGATCGGCTTGCTACAGTATATCATGGACGGCTACCACGTCTCCCACGATCCTGCTGTGGAGTACACCGTGGAGCCCACCACTGGCCGCAAACTCAACATCTTGGATGTTCCCGGGGGCAAGTCTTCCAGCTCTTCCTCGGCCCCCAGCAAGAGCCACCGCCGCACCTCGGATGTAGTCAAGGGGCGGGCCCTCTCCCCATCCAAGATCCAGCACCCCAAGCCTTCCAAGCCCTACGCTTCGCGCCAGATCCGGGAAACCGACTTTGTCGGAGGTCCCCCAACCATGGATGACCTAACCCGGCGGTTTGCGGGGTCCCGACTGTCGGACGAGTACTCCCTCTCCAACAGCCCGCCCAGCTCTGTGGGCAGCTCGCTGTCGTCCCGTTCCTCGGGCAGTACCTCCCCCTCGTCGCTCAGCTCCATGAGTGATCCCCCTACCCCTATCTGTCGGTGTGAGCGCTACGGGATCACCCGCAAGGGGGACCGGGTCAAGCTGGATTGTGGAGGCAGTCGCTGTGGGTATGTCACCGAATCCTCGGAGGCGAGTTGCTCCGAGTCGGAGGACAGTGATGAGGAGTATCGACGGGCACGGAGTGCCGTGCGAAGACAAGGAATCGTTGTCCGGAGATAGATTCCATTGTCTCTGGGGCGATGTAAAAGGAATTTTGGTCGTCAACAACAGCTCAGGCACACCATCAGGGCTTGTTCCCATTATCCCTGCCGGTGTACTGCCAGCGCTACTCGGAGCACAATATCCATTTTGGTCGGGCCGGGCTGATTTATACTAAATCGCTAAGTCTTTCATGTTGCTTCTTCGACAAGATGAAGCAAGATGGTCCACGGGTCTGGTACATGAAAAAAGATTAATAGAAAATTCGAGAAAAAAAAAAAAACTGGAGTGGGATAAAGGAGAGCCAGACTGTGGGCGCTACTACGGACGAGCCGGTCTCGCTTCGCAGTGGAGGTGGTGCCAATGAAGTAGGTGAGAATGTTTGTGGAAGATAGGGGGGCGAATGGGAGAAGTGGTTTAGGGTTGGTGGCGCTGAGAGAGAGAGTCGGGGTGGAGATGGAGGTGCAGGCTGTGGTGGAGTGTCAGCCGGGGGTGAAAGACAATATCCGCTCTTTACTGGAAACGATAGTATAGCCAGGTGGATGGAAAGATGAGATGAGTGACCCAGGCGAGAGGCCGTGTTAGCCTGGGTATGAATGATGAAGCGATGAATTGATGGTATATCTTATCGAGATTCATAATGGTATTGAGTAGTGTGCATAGACTGCTGTACTAGAGGCACAGGATGTAGTAGTTGACTATGGTATGTGTAGTCATCAAGGAAAGTGCTATCTACGTACCATGATGCATTGGACCTGCCCACTACATACAAAGAAAAAATCGGGATACACCAAATGGATCTGTGTCTCGCGTACGCTGACTTCATCAAGCAGCCACGATTGACCAAGCAATCTTCGCCTATTGTCGCCCAGCCCGTCTTCCCCGAGTTTCTCTTAGTCCGTCAGCCCTACAGTCGAGGTCCGAGACTAGGGCAAGTAAGTGCCTATTAAACGCATGGACTTGATCATCCCCACCATTACCTCATACTGCATCGAGACGAGGACCCCTCTTCGGGAAGAGGACGAAGCTTTCGGTTAGTCACAATGAAGAAGCTTGGGGTTCATTCCCTGGGTGGTTTGTGACTAGTGACTATCGCCCAGGTACAGTACATACAGTACGAGGAGGCAAAATGAAGGGGAAGCATTCCGACATTCCGAGATGCCAGTGCCGAGAGATGGTTGCCTGATGGCGGCCGGACAGACCAGGCTTTCATAGGCATTGCAGGTATTCTATTGGTGGGCACGTGTGGAGGCCGAGGGGCAAGCGGGGCGTGACCGGCTGAGTCAGGCAGACATTGTTTTTATTCTTGCCTGCGACTCGCTTGTTTTGTTCACGATGATTGCTGCAGATTGCTAGAAAATCCTCCGTCGGCTCTTCCACTTTGGCACTGAGTTCAGCCCTACGCCATTCCATCATCCACAATTCCACATCCACCTTGGAACCGCAAACTTAGCCTGTTTTCTACCTAGGTACAGTGTGGTACGCACGCCCATCGGTCTACTCAGTTACATGGTTCTTCTCACGAACCGTCATCACTCGGACTTACTTCCCCCCTCCTCTCTCCTTTTCAACCCCTTCCTTTGCAATCTCTCCAAAGCAGGCTGATAAAGACAGAGCATCTTCCATGATGTTCTGAGCAAAATGACCCTTGCCAGAGCAACCTTGGTCGGACAACTAACCTACTTGGTCCAATCCCCGGCGGGTTCAAAGAAAATGGCGCGCTGTTCACCTGCATATGCTGCAGCCTTACGGCCGGCCACCATGGTCCCTCTCCCCTCTTTCGGAGCACACCCGACCCAGAGAAATCTTCTTGTTCTGGTTCCTTAGGGTCAAGTCTCTTAGTTGCTGACTGGCCCAGCTGAAATATCCCCTAGGACACGAGTCCTATTCACCAATGACAAAGTTGGGAGACACCGTCTAGCTCCGCCGACTGCCCGCCTAGGAGCCCCATTGACCTCCCTAAGGATGGCTACCACTAAAAGCCATGCGAAATTTAGCTGTCACTAAAGAGAGTAATCAACGCCGACGAAGACTGACTGCATCGTCCAGGACCCGGTCCGTGACGTTCAGCCTGACCGGGATTCTCTCTTGTCCCTCCCCCCCCCCCCCACTGATCGACTACTTTCGGTCTGCCCTACAAGTCCTGCCTGGGGATCAATCTGCAGTCTATTTTTCTGCAATCAGTCTTCTTTTCCCTTCCCACCTTTTCTCTGCTCTCACTCTCTCCCTCCCCTCTTTTTCTGTCGTGATCCCTTCCCTCCTTCCCCTATTGCTGCATCAATTCTAGGTAGACCTGGACGGTTCTACATCCCGCTTGTAACCTTTTCGTTCCTGATCTCAATACCTTCCCGTGATGGAAAAAGTCGGCTCGAACAGCGTTCAGACAATCAACAATTAGCGGGCGCGGTCTCTCGATTTATGAGCGCTTTGCATTGGAATCTGCTGTTGTCGTCCGTGTCAGATCGAAAGCAACCTAGAATGACAGATCGTGTTTGCTCGGCAGTGTCAAGTCATCTTTGTCTTTGCAGCAACATTTGATTAGGACCTTCCTGGGATCATGCTCGAAAAGGCATAAACAGTCTGTGTCATTTTTTATAATTATACCGCAGTTCGCTATCGTCAGTCGCCTTTTCATTGCTGTCGGCCGTTACTCCGTTCAACCAGCCATCTCCGAGCCATTCTTTGACCGGTATACCGTTTGCATTCCTTCCATTCGCATCGCATCGCACGCAGGACGTCATAGATCTGCCCTTCTGCTCTGAACCAACTATTGCCTTTCGACTTTACCACCCCGATAATCTTCAATCATCATGTGCTACAAACTCGTGGAACGATTCGCAGCTTGTCGATGTCTCTACTTCCAACACGCGGTTGACCCGTGTGAAGCCTACGGCCAGCGCGGCCACTCGGTCCAGGAGAAAGTTGTCCTGGTTGGATACGCTTGCGATAAGCACTCGATCACGTTCAATGGTGGCATCACAAGAAATGCCAAGATGCCTCAGGATTCGGGGTACTCCAGTAGCAAGAGTTGAACCTTGCAGGGTATAATGGGCATTTTCAGGACGGCAACCGACGCTCAGCGAGCATCTGCGCTTGAAAGCTCAATTCCTTAACATGTCTAATCATCGCCCAACTACGGCTATGATCTCAACTCCCTTACAATTCGATTCGGCTAGGATTTGGTTTGGCAGGCTCCTCCCAAACTTGTGTCTTTGGAAGATACTCATATTTACTTGCTTTTGCTGGGTGGCTGCGCTCCCCAGTCGCTTCGTCTAATTTGCTTTCGCTTACAACTATTTCTACCCACCCATTCTTTGATTCTGCGTGCACGCGTGTTGAGTCAAGCGTCTGATGAACAGGCATAGCAAAGCGTTTGTTGAATTCCTGTGTTGCATCACGATCTCATGAGCGAGACGCATGATGATCGACTACATATAATGTTCGAGACGAGATCCGTGGATAACTTGGGTGAGATTACCGGTTTAGAGGAGGATTCGAGGGAATGGAAGGTTTCTACCACCCCAAGGGAGCCGTATCAGGGATACGTTGAAAGACTGACCGTAGCTCAACCTCTTTATTTTCTATTCGTTGTACACTATACATCGCTTTATACTTTACTGTCTAGCTGGTCTACCCTGTTCACTCACCTATTCAGTCTACCCTGCTGGCATTTTGCCTTATTGAATTTCTGTTTGCAGGTCCTTTCTTAAGTCCGGTAAATTATAATACTAACTTTCCTCTAACACGAGTAAGGCCTTAGAGCGTAATCATTGACATAAATCATGCTCGTTATACTATCGGAGCCTGGGCTACATACCCTGCTGGCTGATATGCTGATCTCAGTAAGGCTTAGTTATTTATTATGCATCTAATTAGTCATCATTCGATTTCCGGAACATCGTAATCCCGATCTCTCTATCTATCGATTGTCTCAACTCTCATCGATAAGCATCCTTTACTTTGCATCCAATTCCCTTGCGACCATAATTTACATTGCGCTGGCTTCTACATCCACCCCTTCTGGCATCGATTCATATCCCACATTGTCTACGCTACAATCATAAACCCTCTCGTGACGACGGCACACAGCTGCTGACATAGCCACCACGACCGTGCGTCAGGATTGAGGCCGCCGTGGGCAACGTGAGCCGAACGATGTCTCAATTACAAGAGGACCCCGCCACGGTGCTGGAACAGTTCGTGCACGATGTGGCCAACCTGCCCGCGGAGATCAACCATCTGATGGAGGAGATCCAAGCCAAAGACAAGACCATCCAGGAATGCCGGACGACGATCAATTCGCGCGACAGCAGTCTCCAGAAATTCATCAAACTCAACGGCAGCCTGACCCCCAACCCGAAGGAAGAGCAATACAGCAAGACAATCCTCCAGAACCTCGACAAGTCGCAACTCCTGCAAGACGAGAAGATTCAGCTCAGCGAGAAAGCCTGCGTCCTCCTCGACCGCCAGATCAAGCGTCTGGACATCGCGATTCACAAACTGCAAAGCAACGGCATGCTCTCCAACGACCCGCCGCTGCCCTCCCTCTTCAACAACAAAGACCAGTATCGCGACCCGCCGCGCATCTTCTTCCCCGATGCCACCATCGACGCCGCCGGCGCCGCCTCCTCATCGCCGATCACAGCGCACGCCAACGGCGGCGGCGGTAGCGGCACCCCGAGCTCCAGCGGCAACGCGAACCTGATCCTCGGCGCCACACAACGCCTTAACCAGTCCCTCGCGCGCAACGCGACGACCGCCGCCGCAGCCGCGATGCTGAGCTCGCCCTCGGCCGCGCGCTCCTCCGCACCCGCCACCCCGTCCGGCACCGTACATTTCCACCAGCGCCACCAGCGCGAATCCTCCGCCGGGGCCGTGGAGACCAACAAGCGACGCCGCCTCAACGCCTCGCTCGGCACCCTCCCCGCCGCCTCCTCAAACCTCCGCCAATCCTCCCTGGGCCCCGGCACGCCCAAGGGCGGCGGCGGTGGTGGTGGCGGCGGCGGCACGCCAGCCTCCAGCCGGGCCGGCAGCGCGGGGCCCCGCGGCTCCGGCGCATCCACCACCAAGAAAGCGCTCACCAAGAAGGTCGCACCGCATCAGCAGCTCAAGAAATTGAAAGCCGGCCTCAACGGCAAACACAGCACCGCCTCCAACAAGCGCTCCTCCAGCGCAACCGGCCGCCTCAAGCTCACCAAGAAATCCTCCCCCTCTGCGGCGTCCGCCGCCGCCGCCGCCGGCAGCCACGCCGGCGAGGATGACGAGGACGACTCGCTCCTCAGCAGCGCCGATATGTCTGATTCTGAGCACACGGGCGGCGCAGGCACCGGGTCCGGCCTCGGCGGCCTCGGCGCCGATGACGACCTCGATGACGAGGATGAGGACGAGGGCAACGAGGATACGAAGGTGTACTGTACGTGCCGCAGCGTCAGCCACGGCGATATGGTCGCCTGCGACAATGAGGACTGCGAGTTCGAGTGGTTCCATTGGAAGTGCGTCGGCTTGACCCGTGAGCCTGTGGGCAAGTGGTATTGTCCGCAGTGTTCGGCGAAATTGGGTGCTTGAGTTTTGGGAACGGTGGTGGTGTGGTTTATTGTATATACCCTTCTTCCTTTTCTTCGTCTGTCTTTGTAATAGCTTAGCCCTTATGATTGTTCATGACTTTACTTCCTTGCTTTGTTTGTATCTTTCCTTCTTATCTCTATTTATATATGTGAAGAGGATACGATCAAGATCCCGCAAGGAACGCCACTTCCTCTATCAACCTCAAATCTCTATCCAAATTGAATAATAGTATTGCGTCCATCTATAAAAATGAGCTGATGCGTATAACAAACCAGTATTGTACTGGTTCTGCCCACGCCCTCATATCGTCCCTAAATCCATCTTTCAATCCCAGACGGCTAAATATAAACAATGATGTCCGCATGGATGAGAAACAGTGTCCGACCGACCATGCACTAGTATATGAATCCGGCATCCTGCCTTGCCTGCCTGTCCCTGACTCGATACATAAGAACAATAAACAACAACAAAAAAAGAGACGCCATCGCTATGCAAATCAATCATTTTGGGCCCCATCTCTAGCGCAAAGAAGCAGGGATGCTTCTTTCCGTTTAGGGTGCGCGAGCTTGGGGTTGGTATACAGTATGAAATAAAGGGTGAGGAGGTTCTTTAGTAAAGAGGTGGACTTGAGGGGGTTTTTGCAAGGATAACCAAAAAAAAAAAATAATGCAAAGGATAAATGGTGTTATGAATAAGAGTCCTTGGGTGAAAACCCATGCCAGAAATGTCCACACCCAGAGGAGAGGAAGAAGGTCTAGAATCCCAGGGCCTTTTCTAACCACGGATCGAAATATTCGCAGCTCTCGGGGCTGACGGCGCCACCGGGAGCGCAGAGCTTGAAAACGGGACAATGGCCGCAGGGGGCTTCGGTCATGCCGTTGCGCACGAGTCGGTCGTCAATCCCGGAGTCCTCGCCGGGCGGTTTGCGCGCCTGCTGTGATTTGACCTGGTCTGGGGTCTTGACAGAGCGGTAGACCTCGCCGTTGTTGAGGGCTACCAGCTTGTTGTCGTAGCAGAGCATCTCCAGCAGCTGCGTGATGCTCTCCTCGCCCAGCCGGACCGGGGTGATGCCGCTGGCGTTGACGGCCGCCGTCAGCTCGGGGATGGTGGGGTAGCCCTGGTAGCCGGCGGGGAAAGGGATGTATTCCTTTTGAGGTTGTTGTTGGTCGAGGGGGTCGTGGTGGTGATCGTGGGCAATGCCGTTGCCGTCGGCCGTCTTCAGCCGTTTGTTATTCCGCTGGTGGTGCTGCTGCACGGCCGGCACCTCGTACCAGCTCTTCTGGCTGACCTTCCATTCGATGAACCCGGCCACGCTGTTGATGAAGTTCTCGTCCAGCACCCCGTCCGTGAACCAGGCCCCGCCCGTCACGTCCTCGCTGGGCGCCAGCCCCGCCAGCATGTACATCTTCCGGCTGGGGAACTTGACATTGTGCACGCTTTTGATGTAATTTTTCCCTTCCAGCGACTTCAGGCAGCGGTCCAGGATCGACTTGTGCAAGTTCGTCCGCGTGCCGATCGCGCGCACCCAGATGCCGGACCGCCCCGTCGAATGGATCACGTTGTACACTAAACTCTCGTCGGGGCTGAGGTTCTGGAGTCTATGATTGGAGAAAAAAGCCTCGAGTTAACCAAATTTGTTCTTGGAATTTTTCCTTCTGCTTCGATTTGAGCTGGATTTGGGTTTCGCTTACTTCTCTGCGTCCTCGCGCGAGATGATCTTCCACGCCAATCGGTCATTCTTGCCCTGGAGTAGTCGGAAGAGTTTCTGATTGACGAGCGATTGGGTGCATTGGAGGAGTAACGCGAGGTCATTTTTGGGGACAATCCCCAAGCCCAGGAGATCTTGCTGGTAGAAGAGATGGTCGGACGGGAAGTTTTTCAAGCAGGCATCGTAGAGTCGGGCGCAAAGCTCGCTCACTGACGAGCCAGCGGAGGTGGCCATTTTGTCTTCTTGCGCGGGCGGGCAACCCGATATTTAGGAAGGGTTGAAGCGGTGGGCGAGCGGTGGGCGCGCGGCGGGGAAAGAGGAGGAGAAGGAGGAGGGGAGATCTTGTCGAGTCAAAGGTCACACTGTTCAAGGAAACTATCACCGAAAGGGCTTGTGGAAGGGCATGATCAGAAGCGCGCGCCCAGATTTTTGACTTGTTCAATAGAGGGGGTGAGGCAGTATATGAAGAGTTCCCGACAAGGAATAGTTGAACCTCAATAGAATAACAAAAAGAATGAGCGCAAAGAAGGAAAAAAGGTTTCAGTTGAAGTCGATCGGCGGAAATGTGAAATGACGGCGGGAAAAAGATGAATGGATGTTTCTCTGCCCAGTCAGTGCTGCTGCCCGGCGTTTCTTGCGGTTTATGGTTTAGCTTCATGTAGCTCTTCTCCATCCGGATTAGTGTGTTAGCCTGATATCTCAGGTGCCAGTTTATGTCCGCCTGAGGCCTCCAACGATGTCCCTCGGAAATTTCGAGAAGCTCCCGGCAGAGCTCAGGCCGGAGTTTAAACTGGCGCAAGGCGGCACCCCGTCAGTTCATTCAGACCTCAACACTCACTTACTCACTCACTCACTCACTCACACCTCTCTTCCACTTCTTTCTCAGTTCTCACTTTTGGTCAACCGTCTGTCTTACAGCATGGCTGACGCTTTGAAAGCAGAGGGCAACAAGGCCTTCTCTGCCAAGGACTATCCTACTGCTGTGTATGTCTATTTTTTGCCCCGTATTACCCCGCTTGGAAACGAAACAGTTAAGGCGGCGCAACGATGGCAGCAACATACCTGAAGACTAACTAACATCTTCACAGTGAGAAGTTCTCTCAGGCCATTGATGTCGAGCCTACCAACCACATCCTCTACTCCAACCGCTCCGCCGTATACTCCGCGCAACATGACTACCAGAAGGCCCTCGAGGATGCCAACAAGGCCACGGAATTGAAGGCTGATTGGTCCAAGGGCTGGATCCGCAAGGGTGCCGCCTATCGTGGTCTGGGCGATCTCTGTAAGTCGCATCCCTGAAAGTGCCGGACGGAATTCTTTGAGGTGGGCCGGTGCTAACAGACTGTATCCAGTGGCTGCCCACGATGCATACGAGGAGGCTCTGAAGCTGGAGCCCTCTAACGACCAGGCCAAGAACGGCTTGAACGCCGTCAAGCGCGCCATCGACGCCGAAGCTAAGGCCGACGGTGTTACCGGCGACCCCATGGGAGGACTCGGTGGAATGTTCAACGATCCCCAGCTGTTCCAGAAACTCGCCAACAACCCTAAGACGGCTCCCCTTCTTGCCGATGCCGACTTCATGGCCAAGCTCCAGCGCCTGCAGCAGAACCCCAACGATATCGGTCAAGAGATCGGCGATCCCCGTTTCTTGCAGGTCATGAGTGTGTTGTTGGGCATTGATATGAACTTCGGTGCTCCCCCGGAGGCTGGTGCTTCTGCCAGCGCTGCGGAGGCCGAGGAGGATGTGCCGATGCCCGATGCCCGCCCGGCCGCTCCCAAGAAGGAGCCCGAGCCTGCCCCTGAGCCCGAGGCTGAGGATGAGGAGGCCCTCGAGAAGAAGAAGGCCCAGGAAGCTGCTGATGCCGAGAAGAAGCTTGGTAACGATTTCTACAAGAAGAGACAGTTTGAGGAGGCCATTGAGCACTACAACAAGGCCTGGGAATTGCACAAGGACATCACCTACCTCAACAACCTCAGTGCCGCCAAGTTTGAGAAGGGTGATCTTCAGGGTGCCATCGAGACCTGCCAGACGGCTGTTGAGGAGGGTCGTGAGCTCAGAGCTGACTTTAAAGCCATTGCCAAGTAAGGATCCCCGGTCAGATATTAGTCCGACCATGGCTAACATGAACGTGATTGCAGGGCCTTCGCACGTATTGGTACCGCATACGAGAAGCTTGGCGACCTTGGCCAGGCTATTGAGTACTACCACAAGGCGCTTACTGAGCACCGTACCCCCGACGTTCTCACGAAGCTGCGCAACGCCGAGAAGGCCAAGGCTAAGGCTGAGAAGGAGGCTTACATCGACCCTGCCGAGGCCGAGAAGGCTCGCGAGTTGGGTCAGGCTAAGTTCCAGGAAGGTGACTGGCCCGCCGCCGTGGATGCCTTCACCGAAATGACGAAGCGCGCCCCCGAGGACCCCCGCGGTTTCTCCAACCGCGCCGCAGCTCTCATCAAGCTGATGGCCTTCCCCCAGGCTGTGCAGGACTGTGACGAGGCTACCAAGCGTGATCCCAAGTTCATCCGGGCTTACATGCGCAAGGCGCAGGCTTTGGTCGCCATGAAGGAGTACAACAAGGCTTTGGATGTGTGCACGGAAGCGTCGGAGCACGATGACGGTACCCACGCCCGGGAGATTGACCAGCAGCAGCAGAAGTGCCTGGAGGCTCAGTTTAGCGCCCGTGCCGGTGAGACCGAGCAACAGACGATGGAGAGAATCCAGAACGACCCTGAGGTGAGTTGACCGTCATCCTGAGAAATCCCGAGGACCTAATGCTAACTCTGAAATCAATAGATCATGGCCATCCTGCAGGACCCTATCATGCAGACCATCCTCCAGCAAGCCAAGAGCGACCCCGCCGCCCTCCAGGAGCACATGAAGAACTCTCAGGTGCGGATGAAGATCCAAAAGTTGATGGCCGCCGGCGTCATCCGCATGGGTCGGTGAGAGAGTGACTTGGGAGATGCTGAACGAGCCCGGGGGTGGGAAGTTTGTGACTGCGATTATTATTAATCTGTTATGAAAAGCGTTCTGAATGGCGCCTTTTTTACGTTTATTTTATTTTCTCGTTGTTATTTACGGCAGTGACGATGCATTTGAATATCAGATATCAGATCTATGAAATGACATGCTTGAAATGCTCTATCCTTCTCAACCCTGGCGATCGAGAATTTCCACCATTCAAAAGTGACTGGGTCGTTCAAGGTAGATGTATTAACACAGCTTGATTTAAGTCTCCAACTGTAGGTCCAACCTTTTGGAGGGAAAACCCCTGTGTTACCTTGTATCCCTATCCATAGCCATAGATAGGTCGCTAGCAACCTAAAAGTGGCTGGGTAGGCTCCCACTTACTTATACTGTAGGACACACAGTAGGACAGACCCAGGCCAGACCATAAGGCGTACCGCCGTACTCAATAATCATGCCACAACCCCCTCTTTTTCTCTCTGGCTCTCAGACCAAACCTTGTCACTCATTAAGATTTGAGCTTTCTTACTTCATTCTGCCTATATCTCTAGACGCGGGGGTTTACTTTTCCGTGCTTGAGTCTCTGGGCTATCAACTACTTGAAGGGATAAGCCGAGCACGCGGTCAGATGCTATGCTCTAGGTACTCTCTCTCTCGTATCCGCTGCGGATTTCCTACCAGGCTTTGAGAGCGGGGGGTTGGTTTGAACCGTGGATTTCCCTCGAGTAGCTACGGTGACTACTCGTAGTCGGCGAATGTACGACGACGGATCATTCGGTCCCACTTCTTTGTTTCTTGGTATCGGAGACTCGGAGCTGAGCTGAGGGGCAGGGCTGAGGTTGAAGGCTGATATCTAGTGGTGGCGAATGTGAGACTTGGTGTGGAGCATGGGTTGATCTTTATTTGTTAGTTGTTTACTTAGTACTCAGTAAGTGTGGGTTTGGGTTTGGGTTAGAGGAACAGTTGTTGCGTTGTGTTCTATGAATCCGGAGGTTGGGGCTTGATTTCGGGTTTATGTATGTTTACGACGGGGTACGCTGGCCTTGTATTGCGTTGTGTATCTGTGTCTGGCTGTCGCCGATGCATTAGGTTCAAAGGTTGTGATCGGGATCTGGGAATAATGGGTAGATAGGCGGGGCTGTGGCTGGTAAAATCGAGAGAGAAGGTTCAGGGTTGGGAACGTGCTTTAGTGCTGCTTTTTCTCGTGTGGTGATATCTGTGTTGGAATTGAGGGACGGTCTGCGGGTTGTTCGGATATTCTACGAGGACTATATCTACAGCATGACGTGGAATAGAGACCATTCACGCAGATCAGGGCTTTCGATTATGTTTGCGCCGTGGCCATTGGGCTCTATGCAAATCTATCTCCTGGGGACAGTAGGACAGACGACGATGGAGCCCGCTCTCAGATCGACTGCGGCGCTGATCGGATCTACGCGCATTGCGTAGCGGTCGTCGGATGGCGTTTCACTTTTGACTACGGGGTACCGGTACGGCGTTGGCTGGGGTGGTTGGTGCAGTGTCGATACCTATGTGGCCAGAAGATGGGTGTGGTGGGTGAGGGTGTGTACTTCCCACAGGAAAGTACCGTGTCATAGTTGAGAGGTTGAAGTCTTGTTGTCGAGATAGCACTCTCCTGCATGACACGTGTGACCGCCCGGCTATCATCCTCAGCAGTGAGTGATAAGTAGGCATCCATATTTC